ATAAATTACTTTAATATTTAATATTTTTAATATCCCCCGTACTTTTTATATTTTTTAAACGTTCGACGGCGTAAAAAAAACGTATTAAAATATTAATAAGCTCTACGTTAATATTTTTAAATATTTTAATTTCGAATTTAAAAATATAAATAAACCTTATTTAAAACGGGAAGTTTATAATTAAATTAAAAAGTATTTTATTAATACCGTTTTTAAATATAAAAAAAATAGCCGTAAAGTTTAATTTTTAAATAACGTATTTTAAAAAGTTTTTAAAATTTACGGCTGGGTTTATAAAAATTTTATAAAAGGTAAAATATAAATTAACGAGCTTTTTATTTACGCCGTAATTTTTAGTAATATTTATATAAGTGATAAAAAATATATTAATAATAATATTATTAATATTATTTTTAAAATCGGTCGCTTCGACTTATTTACTTTTTATAATGTTAAAATCTATAATATAACGTAAATTAATTAAATAAAATTAAATAAGGTTATTTATTATTTAAAAAAATATAAAAAATATATTAATATTTTTATTAATAAAATAATGGTTTTAAAAACCTATTTTAAAAAGTATAAAAAATAACCCGTTATTAATAATAATATAATAAATATAGTTATAAAAAACGCTATTACCGCCGCTTATTATATAAAAATTATAAAAAAAATAATTAAATTTATCGCTATTATATAAATTAATATATAAATTAAAATAAATAGTATTTTAAAATTTTTTTAAATTAGCTTTGTTAATAAAATTAATTAAATAGAAAAAGTATATAATAAAATAAAAAAGAAAATTAATATTAAAAATAAAAAAATATAAAACCTCTATTAAAAAATTAATATTTTTATTATAGCTAAACTTAATCCTATAATTTTTATAAAATAAATATTATCGTTATATTTAGTTTTTATATAATTAACTCCCCTATTACGTAAGCGCTTTTTTTAAAAAAAGCTAATAAAAAACTTATTAAAAAAAGCTATTAATTTAAATATTATTTTCGGCCTTTATTATAATAAAAATTAAGTATCCGAACGTAAAGTTATAATACGTAAAAAATAAAAAATACTAAAAGTTAAGTTTATTTATTTTAATCGGGACGATTATTTTTATAAAAGGGGTATATATAATATTTCCTTATAATTATTTAGTAATTTAATTACGTATTAAAGCGATTTTATATATATAAACGGGCTCGCCATGTCCTTTTATTTAAAAAAATAATAATAAAAATATATTTATTATAATACTTATTTTACTATTTATTTTACTTTTTTATATTGTTTTTCCGTATTGCTTTTTAATTGTATTACTTTTTACGATTAATACGCTTAGCCTGTGTACTTACCTGGCTAGCTTGTAGTTTTACCCTTTCTATTAGAGGTGCCTTTTATTAGAGAGATTATATTAAAAGTTTATAATTTTAAACGATTTACTTTTGTAATTAATAAGGAATTAATTATATTTAGTTAAGTTAGTTTTACTAACGGTTCCCTTTGCCTTTTTATATTGTTTATATATTTCGGTTTTTTTTTTTTTTAAATAACTATTAGACTAATAGCCTTTTTTTTAATATATATAGTATTTTTAAAATTTACGGAACCTTGCCGTAAGAGGCTTTTAAAGGCCGTTTAGAGCTGTTTTTTTATTTTAGTTTTACAATCGGGCGTCGTATCTAGCTTTTTTTTTTTTATTATTATAAATACGGTTAACTTAGTACTATTAATACGGTTCTTTATTAATTAAAAACTATTATTATTTAGGTATCTTAATTTCGATATTAAACCCGGTTCTAAATTAAATATAAAACGCTTTATATTTATTAAATTAGCTTTATAAAGCAAATCTTATTTTATTAACCTGTTAGACTATAATTAATAAATAATCGATTTTCCGTTTATCGGTTCCTTTTATTAATAAGGTTTTGTTAATCTTATTAATCTATAAAATAAGTTTTTTAAAAATTTTTATTTTTAATTTACCTTCTATCTCTCTTATTATTAATCCGAACGATAAAGTTTTAAATTTAATAAAAAGCCCTTTTTTTTAATTATTAGTTTTAAAACGGTTTTAAAAGGCGTTAATAATTACGATAAAGTCGTTTTAATTAACTATTATATATACGACTTAATAATAATATTCCTTAGCTTTTTCAATAAAAATAATAATAATCGCTAAGTAATATTAATAATTTTAGATTTTAATTTTTTTATAATTAGCGTAGAATATAATTAAAATCTTTTATAAAACTTCGTACTTTCCTTTTAAATATTTCCTTTTTTTAAAAAAGATTTTATATAAATCCGTTAATTACCGTACGTTAACTATTTTTAAATTTAGATTTTTATAATTTATTTAAAAAAAGGGATTAAAGCCGCGTTAGCCGTAGTTAATTAATCGTAATTTAATACTCGTATTTAGTTAAATAAGGCTAAGTAGTTTTATTTTTATTCACGATCTATTAGCTATAATAAAGGTTTATAAAGATAATAATAACCTTATTTTTAATAATATCTTTTTAATTAACGTAAATTTTAAAACCGAAATAACTCTGTTTATAATTTTAAATAAAAATTCGGGCTTTTTAATCCGCTAAGTAAACTATTCGAATCGATTAACTACCCGGTTAATTTATATTTTAAATTAAATTAAAAAATTAATTACCTAAACCGTTGTTATAAAGGTCTTATAAGGCTACTTTATTAGCGTTTAGTTTAATAAGACCTTATTATTATAAATAAATCCGTTAAATTTTTTAATAATCCGTTTATTTACGAGTTTAAATTAATTATCGGGCTAATAACTTAAGTTATCGATTATATAATAAAATAAGGTTTGCTTAGCTAAGTTTTATTTACAATATATTTCGATTATAAATAGTAACGCCGTATTAATTTAATCGCTATTAAGATCGTTTATATTATTATATAGTTAATTTCTTTAATATGTTTAGATATTAATAATAATTTATTAATTTAAAATAAGCATTTTTACTTACGCCCGGCTTAATTTATTTAAAATCGTATTACGGCCTATATTAAAATTAAAACGATCGTCGTATTAATTTTTAATATATTAAAATTTAACCTATTTAAAAGTAGCGGCGGTAGCTTTTTATTATTACTTAACTCGTTATTAAAAGTTAAATCGGTCCTTACGCCTTAAGTTTATTTTATAATATTTTTTATATTTATCTTTTATTTTATAAATAGGTTTTTAACGCCGTTTTTAATTATTATAAGCTTTTTTTATTCGATCTAAGCGGTTTTATTATACTTTATTAAAATAGATTACGGTTAGTTTAATAACGTCTTAAATACGTACGTTTCTCCTTAAATAAATACCTAAGAAACGTATACGTTTATTAAACGAATTATTATTATTCAGTAGTTTATTTCCTTTTAAAAAATATAAAAAAACCGTTTTAAATCCGTTTTTAGTTTTTTTTTCTTTAAGATTACTTTAACCTTAGCCTTTTTTTTTAACGCCCGTTATTAAATTATAAAGATATTTATTATTTTTATATAATAAATACTTGTAATAAGCCGGTTAAGTTTAGAAATCTCGTAATAGTTTTGTTTTTTATTTATAAATCGTTATCGAAATAGTATTTTATTCGTTTATTTAAAAAAGTAATAAAAAAGTTAAAAAAAAAGTTAAATTAAATAAGATTTTACGAGGTTTATTTTATATTTTTAATTTCTTTTTTAATCGGATCGTTATATAATTTAGGTTTATTAAAGCTACTTTTTTTATTTTTACTTTTATTAAAAAGTATAAATACGATCTATTTAAAAGATTTTTTTAATTTTTAATCGCGCAGCGCTTTAATATATTTTTATTAAAGGTTTATTCTTTACGTTTATAAGTTTAGATAAATTATATAATTTATTTTTTACGTTTTTATTTCGTATTCGTACTTCATAAGTTATAAAATAATTATAAATATTATATAATTTAATTACGGTTAATATAAATATAAAATAAATAAATTCGTATATTTATTATGAGAAGTAAATAAAAAAGAAAAATAAAAAAAAAGGTTTTTTAAAATTAAAAAAGGTATAAAAAAGAAGGATTTTTTCGACGGTCGGTGGTTAACCTAAGCGGTTTTATTAATAAACCGTTTAAAAGCGTTATTAATATAATAAACGCTTTTTTTTTAATAAAAGTTTAGAAAATCGGAAATCTTTTATTCCGTACGGCGTTAAAAAGTCGTTTTTTTTAATTTTTATAAAAAGTTAAAATAGTACGATTTTTTTATCTTGTATAGTATTAAAAAGTCGCTTTTTTTATTTTATAATAGCCTTATTAATTTACGATAATAATTAAATTATTAATTAGTATTAGTTTACGTAATTATAGGGTGATTTATTTAATCGAACCATAGTAATAAAGGGTTAATTACTTTTATATTAATCTCTACGTAAAGTAGAAAAAAGAGGTTCTAACCGTTAGTTAGATCGCCGGTTAAACGCTAATATAAAGACATTTAGATGGCCCCTGCGCTGGCGCTGACTCGAGGTCGAATTGGGCTTCTAATCCGACAGTACTCCCACGTTGCTTCCGTTGCATCCGGGCAGATTCACTAACCAGAACGCGATGAGCTTTCTCATATGACGATCAGAACAAGGCAGACAAGTAGATTTTGCAGATATATACGTTGGCACTAAGCTTCCCGAAATTTATACGATAAGGGCTTGATAAATGAACCTCAAGCACCGTCAACTCCCAATTTTGCGTCACGAATGGTACTCATTGTTAGTAACAACAGTAAAGTCGATGTTCGGCTTATGGGTGCCACAACTGCAACAAGGAGAGAGCGAAACTCAGTGTTAGTAGAAAAATCCATAATGGCACCGGTCGCTGCACTCAAGTCAGAAACATATCTACTGCAGAACTTGCAGTCACATTGCCTCATCGGTGTTCCTTAAGAACCAGTGTACAGCAAGTAAATCTTGACATTGTGGACAGCCAATTTATTTTATTTAGAAACACCAAATCTACTTTGAGCCCGCAGCTTTGCTCCATATTTCCAAAGCAGTAAAGGCGCTGGCACACCAACCACCACAGCAATGACTGCCAGCAAACTCCCGCCTCGGCCATAGCCAAGATTCCTAAACAAGGCCGGGGCAAACAGCGGGAACGCGAAAGCAAACATGGATCTCATGAAGCAACAAGCTGCGGACGCCGACGCAGTGTGGAGACAATAACAGTCGGCGATGTAAGCCGATATACACTGGTAGGAGACCATGCTGCTACCGATAGTGATAGCTATGCCCACCTACAGAAGACAAATTTCAGTCAAAAGGATCCAAAATGCCATTGATTGGAGAAGATTTCTTACGCTGGGAAGCATAAAGTGCATTTTGCTCTGTGCAGTCCAGGCGAAAAGCAATATCCCACAGGGCGTAAGGATAGAAGCGGGAACCATCAAGGGAACGCGGAACTCTGGGACTCCCTGCTTTTCTCCGTCAATACCGCGGCGACATTTGAGTCTTTTATAAATCAAATCCATTGCTGGGGCGGAAATCAACACCCCGATCAAAGCGCCGAGGGCAATAGAGATGTAGTTGAGACTCGCATGCCCCTTTTGCATCCCGTACTGATGCTCCCACAACCGCGGAAAGCTGGAGATGATGAGATAAAGCAGTCCAAAATTGAAGGCTTGGTACAGCGCGAGACTTTGAATAATAGGTTGAGTCGCAAGCATGATCCACGGCCGGGACATACTGGTTTTGAGAACGACACAAAGTGTACGTTCCTGCTTTTCCCATTCCGTTTGAATGGATGGATCGTTGTAGAGCTTGCGGAGACGTTTAGCCTTTTGGTGTAGAAGTCGCGGCGCGTATGTTTCTCGGAGACATATCAAGGCTATGGCTTGGACTGTGAAATTTAGGATAACCACGGACCAGAAGGTCCACCGCCAGGTTGCGTATTGGGAGATATATCCGCCGGCTGCGTGTTTGGGGATTATCAGACCTGCACTTGATACTTTGTAGACGATGTTCCGTTGATTCCTGAGGGTTGAAACATACCAATAGGCCCGACTGCGAGACCCAAGACGGGAGCGAATTGCATAAAAGCTATGCCTTTGCCTCGCTCCTCTGGTTTCCAGCAGTCTGCCAGTACGCCACTGCCCATCTATCAAACTTATCAGCAGAGTTCAACCCATGCTCCAAAAAAGACTCACCCCAATCGTTGCACTTCCGCCTATCCCAGCCAGGAAGCGAAAGGCTAAGATCTGCTCTTTTGATGCTGCAAAACCACAGAGGGTAGTAGAGGCGATGAAGATCAAGTTCCCAACTCTGACGATTGGCGTTCGCCCCCATATCTCTGAGCAAGGTGATAAGATAAACGGCCCCAAGGCGTATGTCAAGAGAAATATCGAAAGCACCAACTGGAGCTGGACCTCGTCGGTGATGTGTAAGTCGTGACCGATCGGTCCGAGAGCGGGGGCGGCTATCGACGAGGACAGAGGAGACAGGAACGCGAATGCTGAGATGATCAAGGATGTCTAGATTTTCTATCAGCGCATGTTCAACATCTCTATGCCTGATAGTAAGATACTTACTGTCCATTTCCGTCGTCGGTTCCAGTTCTTCGGGTTTTCTGGGTCTTCTGGCCCATCCCACGTCACCTAAAGCGAGGTAGAGCCAGCGTTAGTGGGATACAACTATTACATATTGGACAACAAAGCCTTACAGATGCCCGTGTGGAAAGAGCTTCATGACTGCTTTGGAAATGTTCAGAATCTGGTATTGACTGAGCAGCCGAGATAGGTAGGGCCTTGGTATTGTCGCTGTGTTCACAATTTGCTTCGTCTTCGCACAGTGTTGTGAGAGAATTGAAGGAGATAAGAGCTGGTCTCAGTGCTTTTTCAGTATCCTCATTGGAATCTGGCCGAGGATTCATGACAGAATCAGCCAGCAAAAGAAGAATATTATAAAATATTGAATCAGGGATCGTTTTCAAAGAAGAACTGGCCAAGACTTGTGTCACCGAGAACGATCAACCGTCTGAGCAAACCAAACTCCTTATACCACGATGACACTGGCTTTCGTGGCTTGATGTTCCCCATAGGTCATAGCATGTTTACCATCATTGACATGGATCAGGAGTGCGGGCCGCAATTCATTACTTTGCCAACCGCATCCAGGGCTGAGCCAGCACTTGAGCGCATCTCAGCTCCCCGGGGCCTTCTCGTAAACCTACCCAATTCGGGCCTTTCGGAGGCTCTCGAGGTCAAGCCCTCGTACAAAGAAGAAGCGTAGCCTCCTGATTCCGGTTGTTCGGAAAGACGGCGCAGGCGGGTCAAGTAAGAGGAGCGCTCCCCCAGACAACCCCCGGCCGCGCTATGTTCTCGCTTAGTGCGAACTATCCTGCGCCACGGGCCGAATGGCATAAAATAAAAGCCACAAGCGCAGTTCCCCATGTCTTGCCCCTGGCCCAGACTTGGGACCATGAATAATAGTATTGTTCAGACTGTAATGTTCAGGTATGCCTCGAGCTCAACTAAGTCCAAAAAGATCTGCAGAACACGCTCAACTGTCTACAGAGACAAAACAAAGGTCCATCCAGGATTCGAACCTGGGCTTACGGAAGGAAATGCTTTTGCATCAGAATCCGACGTCCTAACCAACTAGACTAATAGACCAATTAAGATTGAGAATTGCTCCTCGGTGGTGTCGGGAGCTGAATGGGACACTCATGTTGGGTGTGGTCTGGGGGCTGAAGCCCTCAATGTGGACACATCGTGAAGTGGATCTCGGGTTCCATTCAACACCAAGTATGGCGTCTAAGCTTAGGAGGTGGAATCTTAGCAGACAATTATAGCGCCCAATTCGAAAATAGCAAGCTACATATATATACAGTGTCATCAATCATTTGATTCCGAGAACCTGGTAACAGAAAAGCCACATGAGTGAAGAGTGGGACCCTAGGAACGCCAAATTACAGAATGGAATGTTTCTTTTCAAAAACGCACTCTGGAGGAATGAGGCGTTCAGCTGACCACTTACTACTCCAGGAAGGCGATTCGCTTAATGACATTCAGCTCGACGCCACAATGCCGGGGTAAGAGCAAGTCTCAAAGAGGAATTTTATCACGCGATGCAGTCGTGCTCTTCATGGCTCGTGGCGTGCTGGGTGGATTCGAATACCGCATGCAGTTATGTAGGTAGGGTCGTGTACTAAACCTGACATTTATGCAACGTGCGCTGTTTTACACAAGCCTCGTGCAACAGGAACGATTCCAATCGAGATCAATCATGTCAGTATCGCATGAGTGACGTTGGCGGTATTCAAGCTGCAGAGAGAAATGAACCAGTGTACTCGAATCGTAGAATTCATGCGACATGTCAAAGGAATTGCGATGCTCGTACGTCTCAGCTTGCGGTGATGCTTGTTGTTTCATTACATCAGGGTAAGTGCTTCAGAAAGCTCTGTCCACCCCAATCATTCTCAGGAGCTCAGGTCAGATCAAGCATTAAATAAAGCAGCGACAATAGGCAAGCTTTCTTTACTTGGTATCTGGCGGAAGCGCGTAGCGATGGCATGTCAAGAACTGCGTTTGTATCTGAGGGTTATGATTGAGAATGGTATGAGATTTTCCAACATCCATTGGGCGATTGGTTTAGTGGTATAATGACCGCTTAGCATGCGGTAGGTCCTGGGTTCGATTCCCAGATCGTCCATTGCTTTTTATATTTCCTGGCGATAATGAGAATGTCGCCAGGTCGCATTTTTGTCTTTTTCTCCATTCAGTCGCGATTCTCACACGGGACTGCGGCACGGCATGGAGGAGGGAAACTCTCGAGTAAAGTTCTCTATAGATTGGGGTCATGCTTTATAGAAGCGTGTGGGGTAGCTTGGCGCCTGGAGACGGCTCGAAAGGGACGTGTTCGAGAGATCCTCCGAGATCCAAGGGGCACGGATCAGACTAACTAACTCTATTATTTCGTATTGAGAAACTAAGGCACGTTTAGTTTTCACGGTCAGACTTCAACCGAACAGTTCTCGAAAGCTTGGTGGTCAAACAGCTTTATTAATATGGTGCAATACCCCGGTTGGTGCTGCACAGTTCTGGCTTTGCACCTTCGTCTACCATCGCGTCCCGTCGTTGCAGCAAATTCATCAACGTGACGAACGAGCTGGTTCATGCGCCGGTTCCTGCTGGCGACACCATTGACTTGCAATGGCAAGGCTGGCCCAAATCGCACCACGGCGCCGTCATCACGTACCTCACATTCTGCGGCAGCGACGCGGGGTCTTGCGAGTCCATCAACAAGACAAAGTTGGCCTTCTTTGCCATTGACAAGGTCGGAATCGATGATCCAAATGCGAATGCCACGAGCTCCGCGACGGCGTGGGGTATATGGGCGAGCGACATCCTCTTCCGGAACAATGCGACCTGGGTGATGCGGATTGCGCCCACGATTACACCAGGTTATCGATGTGCAGTTTGCTAGTTATTACCCAGGGCCAGGAGCGCAACATCATCCTCAGTATATCAACATCTAGGTCACCGGCGGTGGGGACGACGTACCCGCTGGGACGTCAGCTGTAGACTTGTACAAGCCGGTGGAGGATGGGTCGATCTATGACATCTCGCAACGCTTACCGGGACGTACAAGATCCCAGGGCTGACAATGTTCACTGGCGCCACGGCTTTCGTCTCTCACACAGGAGTGTTTTGTCTTTGGTGGGCGACTGCGGCGCCTAGCTGACCGAAGGCGACGTGGAAATAATTGCGGCTCCGAGAAAGCAGAAGCGTGATGAAGAGGGAGTTCGTTCTACCGCCGTTTCTCGGGGAGATGGGGCCGTGATGGGGACTCAGAGACCGGTGCTGCCGGTATGTCACAATAGGGCGGTAACGCTTTAATCTAGCCTATGGAGAACTATATAGAGTTTGAGTGGAATTGACCCATTTAGACCAGCACCCTTACCTCGAATCCAGAAATGCCGTCGTAAAGTGCGTTCTTGGGCGTAAGCTTTGGTGAGTCGTGGGCGTAAACGACAGCTATTCGTTGGATGACCGGGGCTGTTGAATGCCTTCATCCCGGCTGGTTCTGTCCGGGTCTGGTACCCCGGTTTCGGGCGCCTTGGCCGAAGACATGGTCCGGGGCCGATTATTTTGCCTATCTCCCTTCGCTCTCTTACATCAACCAGTCTGCGTCTCCCAACATTTGCAATAAACTCGGACCTATTGGATCTCATAACAGCGTTACTCGCCTGTTTCGCCTAGCACCGATTTTGCATTCTTGGATTTAATCATGATTGCCCGCGTAAGGCCAGTGTCGTCCATTCCCCGCCGGGTGAGGTCACTCTCGACCGCGCGGGGTTCCTTATCTGGACTCAAGATCAACAGCGACCGGCTCCAAGAGACGATTCATCATACCTGCCAATGGGGTGCAGCTCACCGATACGGAAAGTCTGTGTTCGGGCGTTTTTGTTTCTTTCGGCGCTTGAGTCGATATCAAATGCTTACTGGTACGATGGCAGGGGTGCGACGGAGACGGGTATGGCCAGACTGGCGCTGTCCGACGACGATGCTCGCGTTAGGAAATGGTTCGCCTACGAAACAGCCAGCCTTGATTGCGAATTGGCAATTGACGAGATGGGAAACATGTTTGCGAAACGCCAGGGGGCGCTCAAGTCGTCGGCTCCGATGACAGCCATGGGAAGCCATCTTGACACTCAACCCCGCGGTGGCAGATATGACGGCATTCTAGGCGTTCTAGCCGCTGTCGAGGTAATGAGAACGCTGAAGGAGAACAACGTCAAGACGCAGTTCGATGTTGGCATCGTCAACTGGACCAAGTGAGTTACATTTGCAAACGCCAATCTCGACAACCAATCCGTAGAGGCGGGGAGGCGTCTGACATCAACCAGCGAAGAGGGCGCCCGCTTCCCGAGATCCATGATGTCCTCGGGCGTCTGGGCAGGTGAGATCTCGCGGGAAAAGGCCTGGGACCTCACCGACATCTTCGACCCCTCCGTGACCGTCAAATCCGAGCTGGAGCGACACGGCTACGTTGGTCCCCTCACCTGCTCGAGCGACGCATCATCCGGGTACCCCCTCGGCGCGCACTTTGAGTTGCACATCGAGCAGGGCCCCATCCTAGAGGAGAAGGGCAGAAAGATCGGCGTCGTGCAGGGCGCGCAGGCGTACCGCTGGTTCACCTTCACCGTCAAAGGCCGCGACGCGCATACGGGCACCACGCCATTGACGTCCCGCAAGGACCCGCTGCTCGCGGCGTCAAAGATGATTGCTGCGTCCAACGCCATCGCAAAGGAGCTCGGGGCGTTGGCGTCGACGGGGGTCATCAAGATCCCGCCCAGCTCGTCGACCAACACCATCGTCTCGGAGGTCACCTTCACCCTAGACATCCGCCACCCCGAAGACGCCGTCGTCCAAGAGGTGCAGAGGCGGTGCGTCGCGTCGTTTGAGAGGATCGCCGGGGAGGATGGCCGCGGGGTCGAGATGCAGTGGACGCTCGATACCGATTCGCCCGCGGTCAAGTTTGACGCGGAGTGCATCCAGGCCGTGGAGAGCGCGGCGATTGGCCTTTTTGGGCCGGACGGCTGGCTGCCGTTGACGAGCGGCGCGGGGCATGACAGCGTTTACACGAGCAAGCGGTGTCCAACTACTATGATTTTCGTTCCTTGCAAGGACGGCGTGAGCCATCATCCCGAGGAGTATTGCAGTCCTGAAGATTGGTGAGTGGCCGGTCCGGTTGATACTCGACAATGCGTGAGCTGACTTGCTAAAGTGCGAATGGTACTCAGACCCTGCTTGAGGCCGTTGTAAGTTACGACAATCTGAGGGCTAGCAGGAAGTGATGCTGCTTGAGAATTTTGGCAAGGAGCAATTGGTCATGAGCCGTCTGAGTCATCTTCCATGATAAATTTCGTCATTTCGCTCATCTGAAGGTAGTATTCTTCATTGAAGGTTTGGTTGAGATTAGCGTCCTTGAATGAACCCTCAGTGAGTGATCGTGTACAAGCATATGCCTGAACTCCCTCCCGCATCAAAACCATCGCATAAACGTCCTAGGCTGGCTCAAGCTCATCTCAACAAGCCCTATTTGTAAGAAAGCTTCAATTTATCAGCACGCCCTACATGTTGATTGTCATTATCGCGCCTTTGCAAGGTGGTGGTCTCGCCGCCGCTCACAAACCGCGCTGATCCATGATGTCAGACCTTCCAGGACCGTCACCGAGTGAGCGCACTGAGTTTTGGGCTTTTGTATTTTAGCGCTGTGGAAGCAGCCGTGCTGGACCTCGGAGACCCCTCACGCCCTGACTCTCGGTGCAACGAGAAAGCTTAGGGGGCATCGAGACTGCAAATATGGATTAGTAAGACTGTTGCGACTGCTACCCACCAATCGAGACGCCATCTGCACATCTAGGTAGATCGTCCAAATAAGGGCGTGGATGTTGAATGCAAAGATAAACATAGTCAATACGCCTGCCTGATCAAGCTCATCAAAGCATTCAGCGAAGCGATTTCATCACACACATCTCACGGCACAGTTTACAGCTAGTGAGCATTCACGCCGCAAACCCGAGTTGAAGCTTTTGAAGACGCAAGACAACACCATGACTTCCGACATCAAGCCGTACAAGATCGCGGTCCCCGACTCAAAGATCGAGGAACTTCACGCCAAGCTCGACATTGCCAAATTCCCTCCAGATTTCGCACTCACTGATAGCTGGGACTATGGTTCCCCGGTCTCAGAGGTGAAGAGACTGGTCCAGTACTGGCGCAACGGCTTCGATTGGCGCGCGGCAGAGGCCAAGCTGAATGAACTGCCGCAGTTCACGACGACGATCACAGTGGACGGCTTCGGCGATCTCGAGATTCATTTCCTTCATCAGAAAAGCCAACAGCCTGGAGCTGTGCCGCTGCTTTTCTCTCACGGATGTGAGTCGGGTTGTGTGTTCTCTATACGCATTCTACGTGTATCTAACTTGATTTCAGGGCCCGGTAGCTTCCTCGAGGTTCTCAAAATCCTCCCGCTGCTGACGACGGAGAAGAACGGTCTGTCTTTTGATGTCGTGGCGCCGTCGCTTCCCAACTTTGGGTTCTCGGAGGGTCCGGATAAACCAGGTTTCCGCCTACCTCAGTACGCCGAGGTCATGCACAAAGTGATGCTGAAGCTCGGCTACGAGCAGTATGGTGAGCTTTCACACTCCGAGTACCGCTTTCGACGGGAGCTGACCATGGAGTAGTCACCCAAGGAGGTGATTGGGGTTTCGGAATCACACGTTTCATGGGCCTGCTCTACCCGGACCACGTTCTCGCATCCCACATCAACATGGTCTCCGCCAGCCCGCCGTCCTTCTTCAAGAACCCGCTGCAGTACATAAAGAACCTCTTCCCGTACTCGGAGAAGGAGAAGAAGGGCATCGAGCGGGGCCAGTGGTTCCAGAGGGAAGGGTTCGGGTACAACCTCGAGCAGAGCACCAAGCCCGCGACGCTGGGCCTCGCGTGGGCCGACTCGCCCGTGGCGCTGCTGTCTTGGATCCTCGAGAAGCTGCACGACTGGACCGATTCGTACCCTTGGACCGACGACGAGCTCCTCACCTGGATATCCGTCTACCAGTTCTCGACGGCCGGGCCCGAGGCCAGCGCGCGGATTTACTACGAGGTTGCGCACCCGGAGAGGCATACGGAGCACGTCAGATGGGTCCCGCGGGTGAAGCTCGGGTTGTCCATCTTCCCCATGGATCTAATTGTTCCGCCAATGAGCCATGCCAAGACGTTGGGTCCTGTTGTTTTTGCTGTCACGCATGGTGATGGTGGACATTTTGCTGCTCATGAGAGGCCTGAGATTTTGGCCAAGGATTTGAGGGAGATGTTTAGCAAGGGTGGTGGTGCGCATGATGTTGCGGAGGTGTTGTCGAAGCAAAGTCTTCGTTCCAAATTGTGAGACAGTTTGTTTTCCTCAAGAAAATGTGTTGATTTTGGGAGACAGTTCGGATTCGGAAATTCATCTTTGTTAAATGATGTTGATGATGCTATTAATGCTATATGAAGCCAAGTCCATGATGTTTTCCCAACCGCAATCCCTAATTCATATGCCACATGAACGCCAATTCAAAACAATAGACCATCCTTACGTGACCAGCGAATCAATAGTTTTACATTGCCGAAGACAATCTCTAAACCTCATGTCGATGAGGGATCAAGCTGTGAGGTAGCCCGTGGGTTGCCGGGTGAGCCGCCGCCAGATCTTTCGGGTCTGCCGGTAGATCTTGACCAGGGTTGGCTTCCTCGTAGTGAGCCCATTTGACGAACCGATAGTACGCAGCCGCGAGAGCGGCTCCCATGCATGGCCCGAGCCAGTAGATCCAGTGGTAATTGGGAAACGTCCTGCCTGCCACGGCACATCCGAAGCTACGGGCGGGATTGAGTGACCCACCAGTGACCCAGACACCTGCTCATGTGTCAGACAACTTCCATTGTGATACAAAGGGGGAAGAATTATCTTACCTGGAATCAAGATCATGAACAAAGCCAGTCCGATACCAATGGGCGCGAGGAAGGTATCACGAGACTTCTCAGCGGCCAGCATGAATACCACAATGACGAGTTGCGCGGTGAAGAACATTTCGAGGAACAGACCCTGAGCGACAGACGTCTCAATCCCAAGCAGCGAGTTTGCTTGATGGACTTGGCCTGGGAACATGGCTTCGACCAGCCCACCGGCGCACATCGACGCCAGTATCTGGGCCGGCACCAGGAACGCGGACCGCATCCACGGCAATTGGCCGCCGAGAGAAAGGCCGAGTGTCACCTATTCTCACTTCCATCAGTATGCGGCTCATAAAAATCAAAAATTATGGCAGTCCATTTTCCGTGCCCCATTGCGATGCGTATACTTACCGCAGGATTGAAGAGACCACCACTGATGCGGTAGAACGTCCAGACATTGACGAGGAGGGAAAGGCCGTACGAGAGGGCAATGAATACAACGCCCTGACTGCTGAGTGTACCGTCCCCGGCTGACTCGGTCCCCTGCTTGATCACCATGATGTTGCCGGCATACGCAAAGTACAGGAAGAAAAAGGTGCCGACGAACTCGCCCGAGGCGGCGACGAGGTGGCCGCCCATTGTGGTCAGATGGGGTTTGGGGATTTCGTGGTGGTGGCCGTTGGCGTGGTTATGGTGGCGATCCTGGGGTTTCGACATTTTTTAAACTCTCCTCTCTTTCTCTCTATCTCCCTGTCTGTCTCTCTCGTTTCTGATTCGATTGCTGTCGTCGAGATGCGCTACCATCAAGGGACATTGGGGAAAAGGAGAAACATCCGAGTGCAAGGGAGGGCACCCTTTTGAACATGTATGATGGCCACATTGTATTGTTCCTACCTACATTAGGTATGGGAGGAGCAAGCACTGCTAAGGGGGTAAGACACAAAGGAATATTGTAGAACCCCCCGTGCCCCCAGTCACGAAATTCTCCGTTGGGGGTTTAGCTCAACGGGTGTGGCTTGGGGTGTGTTTAACTCGAAGCGGCTCTAATGACTCTTCGTGATGCGGTGCGCACGTCAGTGGTGCCCCCATGGTGAGACATCTTAGCCTGGCGCTCCAATCATTGGGGGGCTTTCTTTCGGGCTCGATGTACGCCGCAGACGTCTGGAATTCCCCAATTTGGCGCGCCGTTCGCTCCGGAGTGTGAGTCGAGGCGTTGACGCAGGCCAGGCCGCGCGCGCCCGCCCACCTCTTGCCGCGTTATTTGTTGACAAGAGACTGCAGTTCCGAGCTTGTGTGTCTTGGTTCTTGCGTGGCTTCTCCGCGTCTGCGGGAAAATCCCCACGCCATCCACTTTGCGTATGGTCCGGAACCCCCCATCTCAGGAAATCTGAAATAGATAGTCTAGCGTCATCCGTCAGTTGGTTAGTGGCTGGGACTAGGAGTTCAAAATGGCTGCCTCCTTGCCGTCAACCGGTCAACAGAGACAGGCTGGAGGAGAACAGATCCGCAATGATGTTTTGATTCTTGAACAGGGTGTCACGTTTCTGCTAGTACATGTTGATCGTGAGTTTGATTCATATCAAATTTATGCGACTTAGATGAAGCTGTCGCTTGCGAGGAAACTCTGAGTCCTGATACCTGGTTCATCCACTTGCTGCTTGCTGCGGGCGGCTAGCCACCTGGTATCACCTAAAGATGTCCCTCAGGGATACGAGATGGGAAATATGCGCCAGAAAAGCGATTAGCGAACTACCGTGAGCCATTCTAAAATCAGATCTCATCTTATCTGCTTCGCAGAATGAAAAAACGTTAGTCCCGAACAATACTGATTGTGAAATACCGACAGCGGGGATGGTCATACTGTTGTAGAAGTGAAAGGTTGAGGTATTACAGGGGAATATAATCCATCCGGATGGTATTGCTAGAATTAGATGGACTGAAAAACGAGTATCGAGGGTAGGCCACAAGCTGCTCATCGAATACGAACACTCATCAATCTGTAATACATCAAGGTGTTGCCCATGTACCTGGACACCTGCAGCGAAATACGGGTGCGACCGGTGTGGCAAGTATGACTTCTCTTTGGTGTTCTCTGTCGCACTCACAGGCGGATGTTGTTGTAGACGCGTAATCGTTCTCGACTTCTTATCTTCGACTCCCTCTATGGCAGCGACATCGATGACATCAAAGCTGGGATGAACTGGATCTTCGCCTTGCTAGAAACACAAGGATGCAAAACTAGTCAAGAACCAAAAGATTGGCAGGGTTTAATAGCACAGCAATATGCACCTCGCGGCTCGCGGCTAAACAAGTTGAGGTTAATTATCCCATCGGCAAGCCATAAGCTGTGTAACTACACGACGATTGAATCACAATTGCGGATCTATCAACCAAAGTTTGTCCCAGACTCAAGAATTATTCATGGGGTGACTATTCAGCATCATGAGTATCGGTTCACGTATCAATGCTGACAGGAAAACGTCAACTCACGTGCTGATGAACTTACTCAAGTCTCAGGAAGCTAGCCAGTCTCGCCACTACACGGTTCAATCCGTCCCAAATACGATGCAAGAAGTTTCTCTCACATGCAACGAGACCAATGAAACGGCGAAAAGACCTACTTATAGGATTTCGGCGTTTCGCCTGGGATGAAAGTAGGCAACTTCACCATGCTAAAAGTGACAAAAACGTAGTGAGTGAAAGAAAGCTCCAACCAAGCATTTCATTGCTCAGCAGATGAACAAAGATCGGGAGGCTAGTCTAATATGTGGTGTGGCGTACACCTACAAGTTGAAGTATGGACAACCGTTCCTTCGAGTGGTTCGAAATCTTTTGGCGGTTCATCGTCTCCAGTGGAGTGGTTTCGGTCCTAGAGATCGGCCGCTACGTGACGGAAGTCCGTGGATCGCGGCCGGGGCTGGGACCAGGGTCTCGATCCACCAGCCTGATCCCAACGTGATTGAGGAGGAAGTCAGAGCATCGTGATCTGGGGTAGTTGTGTGGGGTGAAGCAATGGAAGCGGAGCTATACCCAGTGAGATGAGTGGACTTGATCCAGTTGCGTTGAGCGTCAGTCTATTACCTGGCAACATGGCTCGCATACACATCACAAGACAAAGGGGTTGTGATATTGGGCGCTAAGCGAAGCTGCACTTACTGATGGTCCTAGTTTCTGTGGATCTTGTAAAATTTTGCTTAGCCGCGGCACTAGAGTCGGCAATCCTAGATCTCCACCGACTCCGGCTTTCGGAACCACTTAGACTTGAAGTTACCGGCGGAGGCTTTGCTATGCATTTTCAATGTAATGACCCAACTTCACAACGACTACTCCTCATGGATCGGCTCTAGCTAACTGCAAGACCAACTCTCTTCAACACAAATATTATTCTGGAGCACGCCCGCAAAATGCCATTCCTGAACCCCCAGCCCAAGATCATCATAGCCGGTGCAGGCATAGGCGGCCTCACAACGGCACTGTCCCTGCATGCCGCCGGATTCACAGACATCCACATCTTTGAGGCAGCGTCGCAACTTACGACTCTGGGCGTCGGTATCAACGTGCAACCCTCGGCCATTCTCATTCTCCGCAACCTCGGACTCCTGGAAGCTTTCGAGAGGACCGGCATCAAAACACAAGAGCTCAACTTTTACAACCGCCACGGCCATCCCATCCTCAACGAGCCAAGAGGCCTCAAGGCAGGCTATGCAGTGCCGCAGTTTAGCGTTCATCGCGGCGAGTGCCAGATGCTGCTGCTGAGTGCCGTCAAAGAGCGGTTGGGCGAAGGGGCGGTCAACCTCAACCATGCCTTGACAGGGTTCTCCCAGGACGCGAAGAGCATCACAGCAGAGTTTTCGCAACGGAGAGACGGTGCGCCGGCCGGACAGTCAAGTGTCACAGGCCACATTCTCATAGCCGCCGACGGAATCAACTCGACTGCGAGAAAGATTCTGTACCCGGACGAGGGACCACCGCGTTTCTCCGGCCGGATGCTCTGGCGCGGCTGCATCGAGCGTGAGCCGTATCTCACCGGAGCATCAATGGTCTGGGCCGGCCACGCCGATCAAAAGTTCATCGCCTACCCCATCAGTCAGCGTTCCGCGGACAAGAGCAAGAGTCTCGTGAACTGGATCGCCGAACTCCGGATACGAGACAAGGATGATGAGGACCTCACTCCGCCGAAGACGGACTGGACAAAAGCGGTCGACAAGTCTGTGTTTGAAGGCCCGTTCCGCGGGTGGCGCTGTGGTGGGCTCGAGATGAAAGACCTCATCGACGCGACGGAGAAGGTGTTTGAGTTCCCCATGAGCGATCGGGATCCGGTGGAGCGCTGGAGTTTTGGCCGTCTCACGTTGCTTGGTGATGCTGCGCATGCCATGTACCCAATCGGCTCCAACGGCGCATCGCAGGCTATTATTGACGCCGAGACTCTTGCGAAGCAACTTGTTGCGAGTCCGGGAGATGTAGAGGCGGCGCTCAAGGCATATGAATCGGAGCGGTTGCCGGCGACGGCCAAGATTGTTATGGCAAACCGCGGAAACGGACCAGATCACGTCTTGCAGATATGCGAGGAAAGAGCACCCGATGGATTCGACAATGTTTACGATGTCGTTCCGAAGGACGAGTTGGAAGACATCGGTCGGGTCTATAAGAAGGTGGCTGGCTTCGAGATGGAAAGCGTGAACAAGAAGGCAAAAGAGACGGAGGGTGTTAGTGAAAAACTAGGGTTGAAAAGTCCGGCTGAGTGGATTTAGACCTCTACTAATATTTGATAATTGGCAATTGGCTCCTTTACAAAATCGAGCTGGAAGCAGTAGAGGCTGAACATGACTTGTCAATATATATATTGTAAGTCGTCTTTCCTTCAACCGCTCAGGGATGATGACATTAATTAAGCACCTTTAGCAATTCCCAATTCAGGTAAACCTGCCACGTGCCTACTACCCCAAGTTATATCGAACCCTGGCTACACACGTGCATAAGCCACACAATCATCAGGTTCAGCCTAGTTTCTCCCTGCGTGGCAACTGCATCCAATTCCTTCTTGTTCCTCGAGACATTTGCAATCCATGTCATCTTGGCGGCCGTTGCCGCAGCTTGAGCAACGGCCAAGAAGCCCGGCAGTCAAGTGAGTCTCAACCCTGGCTTGTGCCACCATATGGTCGGCGCACATCCTGCCGCGGGAGCTCCAGCGCTCAAGCTGATTAGTTCTGGCCATGAATAGGCCACTTAATGGTGTGGAGAAACCAGACCGCGGAGGGCATGTCTGTGTGTCTGTTCCTACGTTTCCGTCTCTTGGAACATGAAATACATGTGCCTTCGACGCACTGTGCCTTCATGTCGGCAATCAAGCGACATATGGATTTTTTCGAAGATTCACCAGACGGAATTCAAAATTCACTTCACTAAGAATCAGGTAGCAATGAACAATAATCAAAATGGAGTAGAGAGCGAGACTTAGATTTTCTGTCCAAACCCCTAGAAACTCATCAGCACGTGGATCTATGGGAGTCGCAAGCCTTGAGTGCGGCATAGAAGCAGGCAAACTAAGTACATAGATTTCGGCAAGTGGACGCAGTCAAACAGTCAGTGACTACATTTTTAAAATTGACCAAGAGAAGACAAAAGACATATTCTGTCATCTGCAATATTGTGCTATGTACCCTGCCTCCCCTGTGAACCGAGTCACGCCAGTGACGAAACGGTCCAAGCCTGGAGCTTGGTCCCCTCAGGTGGCCCGTGACTAACCGTCATTCTTTTCCGTGGTCACCGCTGTCAGAATCCTGATCTACCGGCCCTTGGCGTTTCATCTTTTCCAAGGTTCCCTAATATTACCACGGTTATAGCTTACCTCGCTGCAGGCATGGCGTCGTGAAAGGACACTATGGAAAGTAAGCTACCGTCGACAACCTTTCGAGCCATTGCATCTTTGGTGGTCCTCTTCTTCCTTGCGACGACCTTTCTTGGTCTCAGGATATATGCTCGAGTCACCGCGTTGAGAAGCTGGCGACTAAGGACGGACGACTATGTTCTGTTTGCCGCGTGGGTGAGGACTCTACATCAAAGTCCTACAGTCTCTTGATTTGTCTAACATGGTCTTTAGGTTCTCTTCACGGGCATGATATTCCTCCGCGTCGCGCTTCTCAGTGCGTCGACGTTTGCTGGGATATTGACGGTCCCCAAGTACAGCAGAATCAGCGGAGCAGCCGGGGTAATGTCAAATATGGCTTGGGCTCTCAGCAAGACATCATTCGTGTTCACGCTCTTGCGCCTGATGACGGGGAAGCTTCGATGGATGCTGTGGTTTATCATCTTCTCCATGAACCTCTTCATTGTGCTCTGGCTGCCGTTGTTTCTCAGCCCGTGTGTCCCCGGCGGATCGGGACCGTGCTGGCCTCGCGAGACAACAGTACCGTTTGGGATTTTTGTTTGCGGTAAGGACAGGGCTCTTCTACGTTGGAATACCCAAAGTCACTCCTCCTTCAAACATAACGCACGCGGCCCGCTGACTTTCTTTCTAGCATATTCGGCTTTCTTGGACATTTTTCTTTCACTGCTACCGTGGAAAATCATATGGCCTCTTCATCTTAGCACCCGGGAACGGGTAGGCATCTGCGTGGCAATGAGTATGGGAGTTTTGTAAGTAATATTGTTTTTCCGTCCTCATCATGCCACGTTGAGCCTTGGTCGGCTGACGTCATTCTTTGCAGCGCTGGAGTTACTGGAATAATTAAGGTTTTGTATCTTTTTGGGCCGCAATCACGCAGTATATTCGACTCAGGAAACATATGTAAGTCTCAGTGCTGCTGGTCATGGTCCAAACCCCCACGAGCTCATACCACGGTCATATGCTCATGTGAGCCCTGACAATGACTCCTTAGACACGTTAAGCAACCTCTTCATATGGGAAAGCGCCGAAACATCAGCAACGATCATGGCCGCCTCGATTCCCGTGCTGCGGAAGCTCGCTCTAAACGTAACGATGGGGCATTCCTCCCACGAGAGTAGCGAAGCTACGATGCTATCCGTCTTTCAGCGCCAGTTACGCATCGCTGGCATCAGTGCCGATGATGACAACCAACATGCGGACCAACCCACGAATCATACCGGTGCTTCTTCTGCGAACTGTGCTCGGGCATAGAGAAAAGGTCTCCAAGTCTCATAATTGTTTTAGCCAACAGGCGCAAAGTCTAGGCGTCTTTTTGGCGGCTTTCTCACAATGTTGATACCCACTTTAGATTACGAATAGGCTCGAGGTCTCATGAGCCGCGTTGGGCGGGTTAAAGTTGCAACGAATTCGTTGCGGTCATTCATGGAGTAAAGCATTTTGAATCCGATCTGTGGTGTAATTGTTACGGGCCTCTTCAACGTTTACGACCACTCATGAAAGCCCAAATTCCGGTGACCAAAAACGGGAGAATAACAAAGTATGATCGTGGCTCTCTAGAAAGGCTTGGTGTATTGCGCTCTCTATAAACTATGGAGGCCACTGGCGGACGGGGTAATCTGGCTTATCAACCCCCATGTCCATTCCCACTCGCTGTCACTTGACTTATATATCTTCGACCAAGTTCTCCACCCACAGAAAGACCAAGTATGCAGAAGATCCGAAGGACCTAATCAAGAGGCTCGGGAGGAGGTTCTGGTTGTATAGTTTTGCCACAAAAGCCGCAACGACCTCGCTCGAGAGCGAGGCGCTTGCAGCTGGGGCAGATTTTCTTTTGGCCCACCATTTTTGAGACTTTGGGGTTCTGCGCTGTTGATTGATTAGAATCAGAATGATGGTTTGGTAATTGAAAACTTTCTGGCTGTCGGGTTGTGTTTGAATGTTTGTTGCTTGTCTGAGTATTTGTTGCTTCGTTTGTCGTTTTACATGCATTCTATGGGCAATAGGCACCAATGGCGTCTTTTATACTAGCAATATGGTGCACCATCTTACAGAGACATTCATATGTGAACTTCTTCACCGACTTTGGCGTGTTCTGGAGCCTTGACTGAGTTTGTGAGCCAGAGAAACCACGGTGATTGCAGTTGTCATCAGTCGGGCGGCAAACAACACTGGAGTAAACTCATCGATGGAAAACAACGGCGCGACTCTTGTGAATGTAGCCAAGTCATTGAGAAAAATTAATCCTTGAATGTAGACTGATCCACCCATCTCGGAAAAGGGTGACAGGCTCTTTGAAATGACTTGGAAACTTGAAATTGTCTGTGTGGTTGCTTTGCCCCTGCAAAAGTGTTGACTCCGTTGATGAGTAATGGTAGTCAAGAGTCACGAACTTCACTCACGAGGCTTTGGAGTATGACCTACAAAAGCCGCAGCTACCCCTCTTCCTACGTTGGTGAATCTGATTATTTCACAGGACCGATCACTCGGAAACCCCGGCGGACTCGGAAGCGGAGTGGGCCTCCCATCGGAAGAAGGGTGGCGCCCCGTTTCCAGTTTAGTGAACAGTGAGAGAGAGAAAAAAAAGAGCCACCAGACTTCACCGTGCGCTCTCAAGTCCGAAGGCCGAAGGCGCGAGAGCCCCCGTTTTCCTGAGAGAACGCAAATCACATGCTGCCGAAAGAAATCGTCATCCGAAGTTCCGGGACGGATTGACCCGGAGAAATGGCGCTGATTTCTTACCGCGTTCCTGGATCGTGAAAATTAGCTTTTGCGGCAGAACCTTCAGCTCCCCATCCAAACTATCTTGCTCTTGCATCCTCGTTTTGCGTCCAATCAGTTTTTCAACTTTTCCTTCTTCATTTTTTCCCAACCGGTTTGTTCGCGATGGCTTCCTTCTTCTCCCGGGCCCGGTTAGCGACCTTATCCAAGTACCTTGCAGGTACCGCCGTCACAGGCACCGCCGGCTTCAACCTCTGGACGCGTCAATGCGCGTTCGACGACGGCTTCACCCCGGCCCACGACCGCTTGTTCCAGCATCCGATTCTCAAAAAGGTCAATCCGAGGAACAATCCCGACTTTCACGATTGCTGCTTCCGCACGGTCCCGTTTGACAAGTTGCGGCCGGATCTTGTCGAGGACGCGCTGGGTGGGGGCTCGAAGCTCGTCGAGACATATTCGGCTGGCGTTTGGGGACGATATGGTGATTCATGTCTTCATTTGACAAGCCCGAAACGACGAGGAACTGACTTGATGGCCCCAGGTTTCAACATTCAACGCAAGATCATGGAAAGGGCTCGTAAAAATGAGTCGAATGCAGGGGACCTCTGGGAGAAAGAGGAGCTGTTGAAAAGTACTTACCAAGTCGGTACGCAGCATCCAACTTCATTCTCTGTTATTTTTGATTTCTTGTTGAATTTGATGTTGACCCACACTCTTACGTTTTCGTGTCGCTCTTCCGTATCGCTCTGACTAATCGGAACAGGTACAATATTAGCTGATGACTTCATCGTCATCGAAAAGTCTCCAAACAGCATCTTGCTGCGCGGCGGGCTCTCTCCCAGAGTAGCGCCCGAAGGCCCCCGCGAGAAGGACAGCATCATCGCCCTCGATGCAGAGCTCGACACCCAGAATCGCGTCGTCAAGTTCAATCTCAAGTCGATATTGGTCGACGGGGTGAGCGAAAGTAAAGATGTTCCATTCTCTGGGACGGTGGTCTTCTTACACCAGCAGTATGCCAAATTGTTGGTGACGGCCGGTGTAGACTACTGTATTGCATAAAAGCAGCGGATACGGTGCTGGCTAAATTTTCTCTCATGATGTATTATATGTGTATTACTACTACAGACTATGGACTGGCAGCGACCGAGTGCCATCTTTCGAGGGGTACTCGCCTGACGACATTTTCTCTCTGGTATCATAAAGCAGCAAAGATCACGAGGCGTAGCTAAGGTTAGATGACGTCGGCAATGAATTTGGGCACAACAAACTCCGCAGGACCTCCGGTGAAGGCCTCGGTTCCGAGTTGATAGACTACAGACTTTGTTAGCCGACAGCTCAAGTGATCAGACGGGTTGACTGGGGTGAGTGGGTTGGGACTTACCGAGCATGTACTGGTTGTGCTGCGGGAACTGGAACTGGTGGCTCAAAAAGTTGAAAAACTGCTTCACGTCGGCGTTGAAGTGCTGAATCGGGCCGTTGACGGGCAAGAAGCTGTACACCTTCATCGCGCCGCCGTGGTTGTAGCCAAAGTGAACCTCCCACTGGTGCCCGCAGATCTCAACGTGCGCGACGGGCGCCTTGGACTCGCTGATGGGCCACACACCGCCCAGCTTTGCCAGCCTAGATGGAATCCTTGTAAGCGCGGTGGAGGATATTGACATGCCATTCATCAAAACTCACCAGATCATGACCTCGAATTCTCCGCTGCTGTTGGCGTGGTCTTTATCGGGGTCCGTAAAGATGTCATAGGCGACATTGGCCCTCACATCCCACGTGCTGTAATACCACTCGGCCTCCGTCGGCAGCGCCTGAATCTCGCTCAAAAGCCGGCGCTGAAACTGCCTCGCGCCGTAGACGTACGACTTGACATTGTGCTCGCCGCCCTGCCACTCCCAGTCCGTCGACCACGAGATGCCCTGAGCGCCCGACGCGGCGCCGGGCGAGCTGGGCCCGTCGTAGTAGGTGCGCTGGGAACCCGAGGTCGCGCTCTCGAGGCCCCAGGTGTTGTTGTTCAGCTCGTACCCGTCGACGGCGTGGTAGGCCCACTTCTTCTCGAGGGTGACGATGTGGTTGCGCGGCGGCGGCATGTTGTTCTGGTTTTGAGGCGGCGGGGCGGGGCGTGCTTGTTGGAGTTCGTGCTGTGACGAGTCGTCGGAGGTCGAGCAGCAGGATCCCATGGAAGGCGACTGAATGACTTCGCTTCAGCTGTTCACCCTTGACAAGACGTTGAGAAAACCTGAGAGTCTATCGGTGGATGAGACGAGTTAAGGTGAGGTGAGGTGAGATATGAGATGGTGTGAGGGGTAGTTGGAGACGGCGCGTGTTTAGCACAGCGGGCGGGACGGGAAGCGTTAAAGTTGGAGAACACGGAGCCGCTGGTGTTTGGATTAGTTGATAACAAGACGACGCTCAGGGGTCCATGGGTGGCCTCGCGGCAGTGCGGGACCAGCCTACTCCACTGCGTGCGTCAGCTCTGGTCCCTACCAAGACTTTACGGCAGCTGGGCCGGTTGGCTGACGTCAATGTTTTCTATGGGACCTGTCTTCCGCGATGATGGGAGAAGAAGAAAGCAAAATAAAGAATGAGACATAAATAAGCAATGGATCTTGGTTGAAATACGGCAACTATTATGGAACACAATGGGCTTTGTGGTTGGTTCTCGCTAGATGTAGGGTTCCCAACGTCCAAGAACGTTTTCAGATGACCCGTTGCGAATGGGTCCAAAGACGATTCTTTGGCAATGGGTTCTTGTGTCTCAAGTATTGGGACGGGAGACCTGATTCGCCCCGTATAAAGAGGCCCAGAACTTTTGATTTCAGACAGCGCGTAGTTCCTCTGCAGTACGGGTTACCAGAGGATCGTCTCCAAAGTCTACAGTACACCGGAGCTTCTTCATTGCCATCTATTACCCCGAGTGATGAGTAGGAAATGGTGAGTGGTTCACATGTCTCCGAAAAGTCCAGGCATGAACAAACACGTGTCAAAGACCGCAGATGGCAATCGATATAGTCAGAAACGTCATCTCTGTGGGTGCATTTCCATGCCAAGCCTGGCGTATTGGGAAAGGATGTCGACAAGGTAATGAGTGATGCGGACGGTCCTTTCAATGTCCATGAAGCCAAGTGCATTCTCAAGGTCTTCGAGCAGCCCTAGCTGGAAACGAACAATGCGTCTGGCTTGGCCGGAAATCAGGGTTCGGGTCCGAATTATATACTACGCACTTGGACCCCGCGATTTCGGATCCTCTTTGATCGAGCATGTGGAACTACCAATTCCGGACAATGCTAATCAACATGATGACCGAAAACAGTAACCACCTCATCTCATCAGCTTAAGAGCGCTAGACCCTCTCCGGCTCTCTACCATTGCTTTCTCTCAAAGAATGGCGCGATGATCCAGCGCCTCTCATATCACTAAGACATGCTCTTGGTCTGGCCAGCATTTAGAGGCGACGGGCGTCGAAGAGGTCGCGCGGCCTGGTCATCGACTTCTCCCAGCCAGCCAGCCACCCATCACTGACAAGGATGACTCTGCAAGCCGCATTTAAAACCATTGCAATCTTCATACACGGCCGAACAAATTCACGTCATCGCTCTGTTGAAGACCTCCCTCTTTGCTTGACCGACGGCTTCCGTCGCCCGACCGGAGCTTTCAGGCCAAAGAGATCCCGTTCATCGCGATGCGTTCTCTGAGCATTCTGACGTGGCTTCTTCTTCTTCTTCCCGCCGTCGAAGTCGTGGTCGCTGAGACACCACCAGGAGATATTCCAACATGTGCTGTATGCCAGGCCAATCCGACACTTCTTAGAGACCCTCTGGACTAACCGGACGCCAAATGGTAGCAACCATGCTTCGTCGAAGGCTTGACGAGGACATCCTGTCCCACGGCGAACCAGTCATGTCTATGTCATGACACAGTATACCTGGATTTCATGCAAGAATGCGTTTTCGATAGTTGCTTGTCAATCGATGCCCTAGGTAAGAGAGTCTTCCTCCCACAGCAGCTGCAGGTTGTTAACCAGGCCCGGATAGCTTCGCAGAACTACACGTGGACTGTGTGTGGATTCCCAGCGGTTAACAACTTCGATTCAACACAAGTCCCTACCTTGGTAGTGCTCTTCACGTTGGCTTCTCTATCAATAATTATGCGGATGGCAGTCAAGGCTGCAGGCGCCTCTGGATGGGAAGCTGACGACTGGACGATCCTGTTAGCCTATGTGAGCCACGCTTGAATCTAGTGGTTTGATCATGTCTGACTTTTGCGACGCAGGGTTTCCTTATCGCTTTCGTGCCGATGATCGCGTATGGTAAACACAGCCAACCTTTCCAACTTGTACGAGTGTTCCTGATAGAGCTGATTTTGTGTTTCCAGAGGGAAGGAATGGCTCTGGTCAGAACATGTGGTCTCTGTCAGCAGATCAAATCACCAGCTATTTCATCGTGAGTCCATAACCTACTTTAGCAGTATTCCATTATCTCTAGTAGCATCTGACAGTCTGTCTGCAGGGATACTACGTCATGCAAGCTCTTTACCATTGCGCGATAACGTTGATAAAAACATCCATCCTCTTCCTGTATCTGCGAATCTTTCCTTTCGAACGGTTTCGAGTCGCACTTTGGGGAACGCAAGTATTCAACTTGGTCGTCGGTGTCATGTTTTTCTTCCTCGGCATTTTTCAGTGTAACCCCGTCCACCTTGCTTGGACGGTGTGGAGACACGACTCTGAAAGCGAGGGGACATGCCTAGATATTATCTATATTGGGGTAGGTCACGGGGCAATCCAAGTTGCACTGGACATTTGGATGCTCGTCCTAGCTCTGATGCAGATCCGCGGCCTGAATATGGAGTGGAAGAAGAAGTCTAGCCTGGTGTTCATGTTCAGCCTAGGGCTTTTGTGAGTCCAATTCCCTTTTTTGAGCTCACCCTTTTTTTTTTTTCTTTCTTTCTTTTCTTTCTCGTTTTGTCTAAATCTTTTGGACATGGCTAACTAAAGCTCACCCCGCCGTAGTCTCACTGCTGTCAGCTTAGCTAGGATGGTACTCCTCATCGACTACCATCGAGGATCAAACAAGTTCATAGGCAAGTCTCTCTCACATCAACATCTGGCTATTGGCATTTACTTACACGCGCGGCTACCAGTGGACTCGCAGCCTATTTCTACTTGGTCGCTCGTCGAGATTGGTGTAGGTATCTTCACGGCCTGTACGCCTAGTATTCGACAGTTTTTCCGAGTCTTCATCTTCAGACGCCAAGATGGAAGGGTCAGTTTGCATTCGCACATCCATGGCAGGAATTCTGAGGGCGCCGTTGAGGAAGTCCACTCTTCATAGACAAGGTGCAAACGCGGTGGTACGAGAGAACGTAGACGACCTGCGTACATCACGAGGAGCGAGCAGATGTAGAATGATCCCTGCTGTTCATCGGAGAAAAGTTGACATGATATTAATGACGCTGTATTTGTAAGCGTATTCTGCGCTATATCACGGTGATAAGTCACTTAATGGATCATTTGATACTTCCCCCTGTGCATTAGAGTCTGGTCTAAGTGTAGGCCATACTGCAGTCTGCTGCAAAAGCTATTGCTACCTGCGAGACCAAGAAATGCCCGAGTAGGCGCGGAATGTGAAGATTCTTGGGGGAATTGTCGTCCTGATGTGAGTACTATAAGTAAGTTTGTGAATTGGATGTCGATGCCTCTTCCAAGCTCGCAAGGCATTCCCAGTAGAAAGTGGAAAAAGGATGGCCATTGAGCTGGGGGAGAAGTATCGGCAAACGGAAATTTTCGATTCGGCTCGGTCACTGCGATGCCAAGAAATCGACACGGCCAAGGACATAATTAAATAAAAAAAAGTTTCAAAAAAAAAAAAAAAGATTGGTACCCTCCAGTGCACTCGACGGATGCCAAGCCGCCATGTGGCCGATTTGGCCGCGACGATTACTGCGCGTGCGTGCCCAGCGCTGGTATCTGGATACATGTTCAGTCAGTGTCACTCCGTTTCCCTTTTTTCCCCTTGCGTGGGACGAGTAGCCTTGGCCGAAGCACCGCCAATGCTCTGGGCAAGGCGAACAATGTAGCGGTGCGCAAAGCGGGATTCATGCGATACCGAGGCGAGTTTGCTCCAAGAAAAACACCAAGGAAACACCAAGAAAGCCCGCCCGCCCCTTTGATCGAGAATTCGCAGGACTGATGGTGGCTCGGTCAAGAAGAAGCCCAGCCGGGGCATCAGCAGTATGCCGCCGTGACCGTATAGCAAGGCCTCTCGGGTCCTATCGAACGCTTTTGAAGATTGTTGGAGTCACTGAGCATCGTCGTACGGGCCCAGCCGCTGATCGCTCTTAGTATTGGACGACCGACGTCGAGCAGACTACGACAATCCCCTGGAGCCCCTGGAGCACCTGGAGAAGCTGAGTCACCATGTCTCACTCTTGGGCCATCGCAATTCTGGACAGGCTTGAATATTGGTCAGGTGAGCGCGCACGCGGCAAAGTGGTGGACGTTCATGGAGACGATCCCCAATCTCAGACGCATTTTGGGGAAGGCTTCAAGCTCGTCATCTCCTGGCATGTCCTGCTTGCCGAGCCGTGCCGATCAGCGCTGGCACGGGCAGAGGGACATGGCCTCAACGGGGCGAACAGCCTGAGTGGGAGTGACTGGCTGAGTGACTGGCTTGAGTCACGGTTTGCCGCGATTGCTTGGCACGCCAAGATTGCATACCTCATGCTTTCTTGGAGTCTGGGCACAGTCAGTTGGCTGGCGAAACAGAGGTGTGAGGGAGCAGTAATTCGGGCAAGGTTTGGGGACAGGAAATGAGGGACTGAGCGAATGCCCCGGTGCTAATCGTCCAAAATCTCCCCGAAATGGACCCTGTGAATTTAGACGAGAGATTCTGGGGGAACCTTTGCCTTTGTTGACTTCATCACTGTTCTTTTTTCTTTCTTTTTGTGTTATACTTTTCCATCCGGCAGCGACTTGGCTGAGAATTCATACGCGTGATAATTGCTTCTTCTCCTTAGGCATGGCATTTGACCAACGCACACCCTCTGCCACCCCAGGAAAGATGAGAGAAGTTGGCGAATGACGCGGCGACATGGGCCCTCGGCCTCGGTCTCACTCTGGGCAATTCAGTGACTCCAGTCTCGAATGTCCGCGTCGTTCATTGAACCGTTGCTGCAAACAGGCGCGAGAAAGTCTCGGTACTTGTACGCGCTGAGATGGAGCAGTCTCCAGGACGATTGCAGGAGCATAGTTCATCGATGACGGGCCAGCACTTGATGACGGGCCAGCAAGATGCAAAGAAAGAAACATGCATGGGATGGGTTTTCCCAAGGCCGAGCCGTTTGCGCCGCCAAAAGTGCCCGCCCAGAACTGTTGATGATCCCATCACTGATCAACCCCATGCGATCCGTGACTAAACGCCAATTTCCCTAGGGCTCCACGAACTTTGTCTTGTAGCTTCGTCACACTCGAGAGCCTAGAGAAGAGTTGATATGGCAATTGGACACGACGGATGGGAAATTGGACGAGCACGGCAGTGTTGTGGTATGCCGAGTCGGACAGGCGCAACGCTAAAAGGCATGGCGAATCTCACCCACTCTACATGTAATCACTGAACAAGCCAGACAAACGCGTCCGAGACAGATATTTCCCACGTCTCTTGGCAGCTCAGCTCCATGTTGCACACCTTCTCAGCAGTAGCAGCAGTCTTCCTGCGGCCGAAACGGCACCGCCATGGCCAGCGTGATGGGGGAAAAGCTCGTGCTACGGCGGTCTGGTCCTACATGTACTGATAACCTCAACTCACAAGGCACCACAAGACCTGTAGCACCGGCGCAGCGAATGCCCAGGAGGCTAGGCGGCTGGGCCAGCGCATGTCACCCCTTCACCGTTCCCCCTCGGCGCCTACGGACATGGAGTCTTGGGGGCCATGGTCTGAGAGTCTGTTTGGTGGGAGGGCAGCAGGCCGCAACCTTCTTGGCGGGTTTGGCTGTACCCATCTTCCAAGCGGGCGTACAACATCCATCCCCCCCCTTACCCGCCAGTCATGACCGAACAACCCAACAAACAGCGTCTACCTCTCTGAAGTCGTGCTGCTGTCGCTCGCCGCTCGTCTGCTGGCGGTTCCTTGGCAACACGCTTTGCTGCCACGGCTGCCAAGGGATGGACTGGGACCAGTGATCCCAAGCTGGACCAGCGTGCCCAGGCTTGCCAGGACCACCCCCAAGCCCGCCAAGACAACATCATCGTGGAATATGAATGGGCATATCTCCCCCCCATTCGAGGCTAGGCGGGCCAAGACGGCCTCTGTGGCCAATTCTGGAGTCAGTGAGCTGATAGCGCGACTTGGCAGGCAGCACCTTTGAGACCTCTCCAGTCTCTCACAGAGTGTAAAATGCCAAGATCTCATGTGCTTGGGTTTTTTGGTACTCCGTACAGACAAATTCTATTTCTCCTTGTTCCTCTCCTGCCCAGGCCGAATGCCCAGTAAGTTCGCCCACGCCATTTGCTATGCTTTTTCTTCCCTTTTTCTGCCGCCACCCCCCCCTTCCACAGCACATCTTGTCCTGGAGTCTTTCGCCTCGTGTTTTGAGTTTTTCTCGTTCGTTTCTTGGGAGAGAGATTCAGGCGCAAGTAGAGCAGCTCGGCGGTCTCTGGGCTTTTTCTCATTCATATCTCTCACACCACGCTTGGAAGACTAAAAGGGTCGCTGAAGCCCGCCGTACATGATCCATCTTATGGGCCCTTTTTGGTATCCTCACCTTTTCGCCCTTCTTCCGTGCCCACTCGGAGCCTTTTTCAGACAACCACTCACGCACCCATCCGCTCGTTCACTCACGTCCCCATATTAAAAGTCACTCATGCCTAGACTTGGGTCTGCGCCAACGAGCTTCTGCATGTGGTTTTGATTCCGCGCTCAGAGCTTCATACTGAAGAAGATATTGAAAGAGACTTGGAAGCACGACGGAGTAAAAAGGAGAAAAATAGGCATTCTGTGAAGAAAAGGGGAAAAGGCTACAAAGTATTTACTACCGGCCGCATCACACCCACCATGTCCCTCCAAAACGGCGCATACACCCACCAAGGCTACTCCGCGCCGCCCTACAGCCAGGGCTACAACCAAGCACGAGGAGGCCAAAGGTACGCCGACGACCAAGAGGTCACGCAAATATACTACTACAACAATGATGCCGCATCCTCGTCGACGCGCAGCATCTCGCACCATCGGCAGCAGTACTGGTACGGCCAACAACCCGGCGCCGGCGCCGGTGCCGGCGGCCGTGGTTGTCGGTCCAGCGGCGGCAGCGCCAAATCGCCCGAGACGGAACGCTTCAACCGCAAGAGGAGGCGGTGCACCTATATGTACTACGTCCTGCGCCAGATCGCCATCATCGTGCCTCTGGTTGTCATCTTTTTGAATATCAACATTTATTGCTCGCGCAGGGGCAAGTACCTCAACGACTCGACGAGCCCGGCGGATCCCATCTTTTACAGCTTGTGGTTATCTATACCCATTGTACGTATCTGCTTTTGAGCATATTCGCTCTCTGAGCATGCCGGCCCCTCTGAGTCTGAGATGTCGGTTCTATGAGACGTGGTGTGCGGTTGCTGACCTTTGTTACAGTCATGTATTCTACTCATCTGGTCGCTCATCACCGTCATCTGGCGCAAGAGAGACGCGTACCGGGGCGGCATCCCGAAGCATTTCCACTTTGGCATGGAGTTGTGCTTCACGCTCGGCACCACCATCTGCTGGATCCTGCTCGTCATCCAGATTGAGTCGAAGAAGTCCAACGGGTATTATGCGTATCCGTACATACAGTACGAGGCCGCCCTAGCGTTCCTGCTGGGCCTCATCATGTAAGTTGAGCTAGTTCACTGATACCCTCGCTCTCACCCTCTCTCCCGCTCCCACTCCCACTCACTCTCACTCATTCTCATCACATCGCCCATCGATATTAACGTTCCTCCCCCAACTAGGATGTCCGAGTTTGGTCTGTTTGCGCGAGCCTGGTTCGAGTTCACCAACGACAGGACGCGTTACGAGAATGAGGCCATGGTGCAGGTGTAATGCATCAAAGCGTCTCGCAACGGTCTATTGTACGATTTTCAGGATTCATCTGGCAAGGCGTTGAGAGGACTGGACTGCATTTTTTTTTTTTTTTTTTTGGTACCGGGTAGAGAGGTACTGACTTCTGGCGCCCGTTGCATTCTTGTTTGAGAAAATCCACATGAGAGATACCCATCAGCGAAAAAAAGATACCATTCATCAAGAATATCAAAATTGACCTTACTTACCCAAGTCGCACACGGAATGCTCCTCTCTCTCAACCCCTCCTCTGTCATCATTTTCAAAACAATGACCCAAGCTGCTGATTCTCTACCGCACCCGACGGACCCCGCCCCTGCTTGCGCCGACGAGGCTCCCTCGCGAAAGGGAACAGCAAACCACCGTGAACAACAAGGCCCCCCGCCGGCTCCTCCGACGCCGTCGCCGGCGTGACAAGCGCAGCACCCAGGTACTTTTGCGTCTTGTAGTCATGGTCATTATAGCTCGACGTCGGCGTAGGCGTCTCGAAAACGCCGCTGCAGGATGGCTCATAGAATCATACGCTACTGGGCTTCCCGTCTAGCATGTACGACTTGTCGAAGATGCATAGCCTCTTGACGTACTCCACGGACTCGCGCACGGCTATGGAGGCCTTTACGCCGTAGGCGTGGATCGGGGAAGAGGAGGAGAAAGTTTCTATGGTCGTTGGCGCGGGGCGAGAAGCGAGGAAGCCGGCTGTAGTGGTGAGGATACAGTTTGTTGCCCAGGTGTCAAGGTTGGTGGACGACCAGGGCAACGAGTTGAGACGTCATGTTAGCGAGGCACGCTGGCGTATTTCTGCGAAGTCTGTCTCACACTGGACAGCATATCAGGCGATAGTGACTCGCCATCCATGTCTGTTTACTTGAGTTCGTCGCCGTTGGGACACTAATTGTCACGGTCAAAGTGACGGGCGTGCCGGTCTCCACGGCCTCGATCCTTGACAGTTTATGGTGCTCGCGGTCTTTAATGGCTTGGTTTGGGAGCCGGGGGTGGAAATCAGGAACAACGATTCCACCGGGCTCATCTTAATCGCGGGCTTTGATATTGTATCCGTATATAGGGCACACAAGTTCTACGTCGAGTCTTTGAGGCTTCTTCTGCAATCTCATGGCGCAGCCGAGCCTTGGCGTGCTCGGGTACATGAACCCAGGTTTTGGTCATGTGTGTTCAATTGTAAACTCTCCTCCGAAAAGTCTCTCCATCCCATGACGCTCAGAAAGTGAAATGGGAAGCGTGTATGACGTTGGGAACGCGGTTCTCGACCAATCACCTAAGCTCGGTGTATCGGTGAAGAAGATCTACACCTGACCAGAGTGGAGACTGAGACTGCGAGGCTCGGTGAAGAGACCCGCTCTGTGTGGCGGGGCGACCATCGGAGAGACGTATCGGGGAAGGCCGCTGACGAAAGTGCGAGCAGTGGGGCGGGTAGAGTGATGGAGGGCCGCGATTGGGCTAGTGAACTGTAATGCGGATCCTGATTCGCTCATGGGACGTCTCAGGCGCGTCACAGTTGGCCTTAGGGCGGAAAATTAGCAGAGGAGGTGCTGAAGAGTGGGGTCCGGTCCCGCGAGTCCCGACTTTCCCGACCCGGCCGAAGCCGTCCAGGCGCACCTCAGGCGCAGGTCACCTCACAATGGTCAGTCGCAAGCGCACATAGTACGGTAGGAAGCGCGCAAGGCTCAAGCAGACACAGAACACAGACGCAGAGAGACGAGAGGCCCAGCCCGATCTCGCTATTCCTTCTCCACCATTCCCCCCCCCCCCCAAAGGGCACCAGTTCAACTTTCTTTCGTCCCGCATCAACTCCGGCAATCAGGCGAACAGACTGAGAGAGAGGCAGAAAATTAGCCCATGGAACATCACCATGTCCTCCACGAGGGCCATCAAGAAGAGCGCCTTTTCGTGCGAACCATGTCGCCGGCGCAAGGTACGTTGGCAAGAGAGTCTCCCTCCTTTTCACTCTGAATCTCTGTTTCGCGCGCTCGTTTTTCCTTATCTCGCTCCTCCCCCACCCTTTGGCCCCCCCGTTGTCTCTCTTCGGCAAACCCCTCCGCCATGCGCCTCATTTCCCGCAGTCCGCGCCACAACCCGCACCCCTGCCACCTCCCGGGCCGCGGGGGAACGGCGGAGGCGCGGTCGGTCAAAAGTTTGATGATCCTGCCTGAGGTAATCAGGCTTGGAGACATGGCCTCGTGAGAAAGGGGGTAGGATGGCAGAGACGGCGGCGGCGGAGGCGGCGGCATCACGGCACGGAAGGGGCGGGGAGCGAACCGGAGTGACCGGCATCACGGACAGCTTCCGGCACGGCGGCTTCGCAGACGGATCGGGGGAAACGACGGCGTGTGCTGACCCGGGATCGGCGGCAGGTAAAATGCGGCGGAGAGCAGCCGACGTGTAACCGGTGCGCTGCCCGCGCGGATGAGTGCGTCTACAAACTGTGAGTGTTCCCCTTTTGCCTTCGGCCCCTTCGACCCCTCGCCTTCCCCCCCCTTGATCTCACCTGCAGCCTGATTCCATCATGTGCCCCCCTAACCCCCCGGATCGGTCTTGTGTAACATGAGAGACGGGCTAACCATGTCGGACAAAAAAGTAACCCGACGTTGTCATACACGTCGCGACTGGAGCATCGCATCAAGGAACTAGAGGCACAGCTCACCGCTGCCAGGGCTCAGGCGCCGGCGGCAGCGGGACCCTCCGAGCCGTCCCGGACGTCGTCGCCCAGCATCGGGCCGTCGGCGGGCCAGTCGCCCATGACGGACCCTCACCACTTTGAGTCTCAGGATGAGGAGTCGGTGAGCGAGAGCTTCAAGGGCCTCAAGGTCGACGACAAGGGCGCCATCACGTATCACGGCTCGACGAGCTTCTTCCAGCTGCCGAGTGATAGGCCATCCGGCTCGAGGGACCAGCAGTCGACGTCTGACCAGGCCATGCAGAGGCGCGAGAGGCTTGTTGCCAATGCTTGGCAGCAGAGAGCGCTCGAGAACATGTCCGACATACCGGTACGGTTCCTTCTCCCAAGTCCAAACCAGCCTGCCAAAGTGATGTGTGGCGTGAGCTGAGCTGAGCTGAGCTGATCCTCGACCCTCGTCTAGGAGCCTTTCCAATACTTACTCAACGTCCACTGGTGTTGGATCCAACCTCTCTTCAACTTCATCTACAGGCCGGCCTTTACTCGTGAGCGATACCGCTTTCCACTGGATCCCCGATCCTCGGCGCCGCAACCTACTGACCCATCTCCCAGGCGATATGCAAACACTAGGACCATACTACTCCCACACACTCATGAACGCCGTCCTCTCACACTCCATCCGCTGGGGCCGCAGCGACCCGGCCACAAAGGACAGACTAGACGAGTTCTACGACGGCGGCGCCCTCTTCGGCAAGCACGCGCGCAGCATGGTCTTTGAGGAGCTCAGCCAGGGCATCTGCTCCATCCCCACCGTCCAGACGCTGCTGCTGCTCAGCGCGCAGGAGTGCAGCGTCGGCAACAGCGCCCAGGCGTGGACGTACAGCGGCCTCGCCTTCCGCATCATTGACCACCTCGGCATCTGCGTCGACGGGCAGCGGTACCCCGGCTCGGTGCAGCTCGCTGACGAGGACGTCGAGATCCGCCACCGCTTGTTTTGGAGCTGTTATTTCTGGGACAAGATGATTAGTCTGTACCTCGGGCGCTCGCCTTCGCTGCAGCAGACGTCTGTGTCGCCGCCGCAAATCATGTGTACGGCCGTTCCTTTTTTTCCCCATGAGTTCGTTTTTTTTTTTTCAAAATACCCCTGGCGTAGGCTGACTGTAGCATATGATGGTATATATAGTTGACGATTCGGCCGAGAACGAGTCCTGGACGCCCTTTGGCGTCGTGCCAGGGGGCGGCTGGAAGTACCCGCCCTCGGCGGCGCACTCCACGTCGTGCTTTATGCAGATGTGCCGCCTCTCCATCACTTTCAACGAGATCCTCGTCCACATGTACGACCCCGTGCGGCCCAACGGCCAGGCCGAGATGCAGGATTGTCTCGCCAAGCAAGAGGTCGCGCTGCGGCAGTGGTGGGACGAGCTCCCTTCGCATCTCAAGATCGAGCCGACGGCCCTCCCGGCCCTGGCGCCGCCGTCACACATCATTACGCTGAAGTAAGTCGCATCCGATCTCCCTTTTTCTGGCTTGCTTCCACATCCTCCCAAGTTACTGTCCCGCCCCCCCGCTTTTGTGTGAATTTGAACACTGATCCGATCTTCAAGTGTGCTCTACCGCACCTTCAAGATCCTCCTCTACCGTCCGATGCTGTCGCAACGGGGCCGCGTGGGCGACAACCTGCAGCCGGTACAGCGGTATTTGGGCGAGTGCGTGACCTCGGCCACGGGCATCATCGCCATCTTTGACCTCTTCTGTCGCTCCTTTGGCATCAGCCACTGCGTGCTCTCTCTCTCGTATAGCGTGTACATTGCCGCGTCCATCTTTCTGCTCCAGGTGCAGTCCAGCGTCGAGGATGCGCAGGCGCTGCGTAGGTTGGAGTACTGCGTTCGTATCCTGGCGTCCGTGAAGCGCATCAACCCAGGTGAGTTTGAAATACTGAAGCTTCCCCGACGTGTTCCAGACCCGGGGGGGGGGGGTGCAGATCCAGTCGACTAACCCACCCGGCGCAGTCATCAGCAGCGCCCTGAACCTCATCACCCGCGAGCTCGTCGGCCTGGGCATCGACATTGGCACCCTCGGCCTGCCCAAGACGGCTGCGACGCCACCTATGGCGACGTACGGCATCCCGCAGACCCGGCACGGCGCTGGCGCCGCCGCCGGCGCCGATATGCCGCCCACGTCCGTACCACCCGGCCCGGAAGCCACCAACTCCCCCGAACAGATTTACAACTTCCCCTTTGTTGACACACTCGGCCCCGAGGCCTTTGCCATCGACCCGCAGGTCTTCCAGACAATGTCGTCTATAGAACCGTTGAGCGTCAGAGTCGGCGCGATAGATGAATAGCAGCAAGCCACATCGGATTATGCCTCCAAAAAAAAAAAAGACTTGCCAGAAGTGACCCAAGAGAGAGAAGAAGAAGAAAAAGAATGAAAAGAAAGAAAGAAAACCCTGGCTCCCCCCCTCCATTTTCGCGACGTTTTTTTCTTAGTTTCCTCACACGCGCTGTAGGTCGCTGGCTTTCTGATCCGTCTGCGACGACTGTATCAGACGCACCACTTGATCATAGACCGTAAAGGTGATGCCACTCGAGAGCTATTCATGTTTGTTGTTAGCCAGATCTGCTCCGCCTTCCACTCGCCTCGTCTTCTCTCCCCCTTTTTTTCGGTGCAGCAAAACTCACAGTCAGCCGGACAAGTCTCGGTGATGTGCCCCTCCAGAACGCAGAGATACCATCGCTCCGCAGAATCTGCGCGGCGCAGTCTAGCATGCCCTTATACCGCGCGTCGACGCTCTGCATCCTCGTCTTGATGTTATCAAACGGCATCGACGCATACCTGTTACCACGCATTCACCATCATCAATCAGCCAAAATTGCGTTCCCGCACATCACATAGTCAACCAGGAGTTTCGGAAAAAACGTACACGGTAAAGACACCGCTGATGCCGCCCAAGACAAGCGTACTCCCGACGCCGCCCTCCAATGCGGGCCACCGAGCCGCCACCCGCTCCTGGAGCATCGCAAAGGTCGTGAACCGCACCGCGCTGTTGGTCCCTTGCTTGCACAGCACTGGCGTCAAACCGCTCCACAGCCCCCTCACGCCCTCTTGTCGAACGAGGACCCCGACGGCGCCTGCGAGCCCGCGGTTCGCGAAGCGGCCTGGGTTGGACTCGGCCCCGGCCCCGGCCCCGGACGAGGAGGAAGCGGCGTCGTGGATCATCTTGGTCTTGATGGCCTCGCCTGGCGTCACGACCGCGATGCTCTCTGCCACGCCGGCGCTTAGACCACTTACAACATTGATCCACGCCGCGCGCGGCTTTCTTGCCGACCCGTTGCCGGCGGTTGCCGTGGCTGTCGGTGTCCCGGCTAATGCATCGAGCTTGGCGCGCGTCGTCTCGAAAGCGAGGAATCGGATGCCGGATTTCGCTGCGTTGGAGGCCGCGAGGGCCTGGACGCCCGAGTAGATTCCCTTTACGCCCGAGGTGCGGACCGTGTCCCGGATGATGGCGAGGGAGCTGGGCGCAGGGCTGGCGGGTGCGGTTGCGGATGCGTGTGCGGCATCGGCGGTGGCTTTGAAGTGTAGCTGGCGGCGCGTCTTTACGAACTCGGCTGGGTACTACATTGCGTTGGAAAGATTTTCTGTTAGAGACTTGAATGTATGCATGTGAACCTTGTACATTGTGTTTGATGTGAGATGGAGAGTGAGATGGAGGGTGAGATGAAGAATTGAGTGACTGTAAGTGAGAGCCGTGAGAGCGGGTGAGTGAGAGCATGGACGAGAGATAGACGTGTTCTATGTTTAGGTCCCGGGCGAACATGGATGATGAGACCTCGACTCACAGTGACGAGCGTTTCTGAAACCCCCGCAACACCACCCGCCACGATCTTGGTCAAGACGCCGGATTGCTCCATCGTGTGGGTTTCCCTCCTGCTGACTTTTGAGGAACGAGCAATGATCTGATTTGATAGGGGGTGGGTGTGGCTTGTCCCACAGACCGAACGAACCTCGGCGATTGTCGGCAAATCTCGTGGTGTTGGTTTCGTCACGTCACCCCGATTCCCTTCTTTGCCGGAATGCCGTCATGATATAACGAACAATGAACCCTCTTTTCGTTTTCCAATCGTCTGCGCAAAGAACAAGACCCCCGGTTTTTCGGTACCGACCTTGATCGGCCCATTTCGTGCGTGCGTCTCCATTCTTTTTCACCCCCCGAAGGCCGGAGAGTGACCGTTGGAAATCGTTTGGCGTCCTGCACGGTCACCGGTCACCGGGCCCTGGAGAGAGGGTTGAGAAAGAGAATGGGGGGGCTCCACTCGGCCATGTTCCGAGCTGCCTGGGCAGTTTTGGGGCGGCCGGAGGTGAGCTAGAGGTATACGTGGGAGGGGGTATGTATGATTGCGACGGCGATGCCTTTTTTTTTTTGGGGCATTGATGTCCAAGGCCCTCGGGTATCGTCCGTTTTGAGCCAAGATAGAGTCGACATCTTGGAAATGGAAATCTTGTTTCATGGTTTCTTATCAATGGGCCATGAGTAAGACGGAGGGCGTAAGAGACCGTATCCGTGGGGATCGGTCACTTTTCCGTCCGTGAGCACGACCTGCGTGGTTTTTTTCCCATTCCGCTCTTGAAGCAGCACCGGTGACTGGGGACAGGGGACTGGAGTCCAGAGGTAGGTAGTGCCAAGAGGGCTGTGTAAGTTGGGCCCGGCTCGGCGCGTCCTCCGCAACGTGGACGATGATCACCGGAGTTTGATCATCAGTGAGGTTAGTCTCGGCGGATTGGACTAGGGCGAGGCGGTGATCTGACGATACGCTTAGTCACGTACAAGATCCTCCCTCCTGGTTCCGGCACGACGGACACAGTCTCTCCAGGTTCGCGGTGCTCTCGGTCAACTTCCGAAGTGTCCTAGCCCACGGAGGATGACCTACAGACCTTTGATGATGGCGGGCTGTAGTTCAGAGTTTCTCGAGGGGGGGAGGGGTGTGAGAGAGAGGCATGAGCGAGCGGAGGAGGGGGAGGAAATGATTAGGAGAGGGTTTTGGATTCGTTCATGGGAAAATCTGGGGGGACTAGCGCGTATATGCAAGATGCGTCCGGAGGTTACATGGGGAGCCAGTCAAGCTGGGAACCGAACAGCCTGGGGACCAATGTGGCATTGCGGCGTGGCGGTATGGATGATGGACGATTGGGCGAGCGGATGTCGTTCGGGTTATCATAACAGCCAGAATGCCGAATAGGACGCAAGGCCGTGTTGTGCGCATGTGCTTCTCTCTGTTTCTCTCCGTCTCTCTCTTTCTCTGCCCCTCCACCTCTCCCATACCGTCTTAACCTCCCCAGCAGCGAGTACGTTACCATTTGAAGGTGATAGGTACTCGGACACGTCTGGGGCTGGGAAGGGAGCGAGGTAGATCGAGCGGTAGCCGTACTGATGGTGCCCGTTGGATCAGATGGTTCCGTACGACCAGGGCCCGAGGTGAACAAGTCGGAAAGATGTTCCGACGTTGTTGGAGCTTGATGCTCCATAGGGGTGGGGGTTTACGGGACGTTCCCGACGGCGGTGTTTCGGGCTCCCGGCCGTTTGAAGGTTTGGAAGCTGCGTGACTTGTGATGACAGGATAAAAATGGAAACAAATAATTTTTTCCCCCTCTTTGGCTAAGAATTGTCAAGGGTGGGAAACAAGATTTGCGCGCGGAACCGGGGCGTTTATTCCATGTACAGAAAAGAGAAATTCTCGCTGTTAGTCTCGCTGTAAACGTCCAAGAGCGAGCTTGGCGCAACTTGTTGAATGATTAGACGGTGACTAACACGCGGAAAGAGGACCACGAAGTAGACGAAGTGGGCACTCTGGGTGCTTCTCCTGCTTCTGGCCGAGACGCCCGTGTGCGGATGGATATTTGACGTGCGCGCCATGGTCGATGGTGCTGGGTGGATACCTCCTCCGGTTTACCGGCACGCTACGGGGGATGGCCGAGGTTGCTATCGCGGACGTGGACCGAGGGATGAGGCTATTCGTGCGGATGGAAAGATGAAAGCTTGTTTTGCTGTGCTCGTTTCGGAGAAAATGTCGGCGATGGTCCGGGGCTGGGATGGATGGAAACTGAAGGACCGAGGGGACGGTGAGTACGGCGCTTGGTGGCCTGTCTTTTAGTTGCGGAAGATGATGTTGAATGACTCTTGAAACTGGCTGACTAGGGACTCAGATTGCGTGCCAAGTGGATGGAGGGACAGAACGCCGGTTTTAGGGATCAATCAAGCTGTATTACATAATCTCCAAGAAGCCCCTTTGGCTCAGTGGTAGAGCGTCGCACTCGTACCTAGGCACATTATGCGAAGGTCCACGGTTCAATCCCGTGAGGGGGCACTTCTCTTTTGCTAGATGAGCTAGTGTAATTGGAAATCCGAATCTCGATCATCTTTTTACATGTGGCAAAGATATTAAGCGTGGTTGGAATGATTGGTTAACGAGCTTGTGCTGTCAGCCTGTTCGGTGGCTAGGAAACTTTCAATATCTCTGAGTTACTTTGCTATCCGTCCGAAAATGGAACGTGACTCGAGACTTGCGGATGATAACAACCTAGCTGCACAGACCAAACATACGAGGCACATGTAGTCAGAAAGCTTGTTTGTCTCTTTGGGTCCCTACGTCGTAAGCATATGCGCTTCGGGTGACAACGCTTATTCTACAAGCTTTATATCCTATATACGCCAGACGTCGATTGGAAACCATGAGCAGGCTATAAATCTGGCTCGCAGCATGCCCTGGAGAGCCCCCACCCAAACTCAACAAACGGCAAACCAAGACGCATCAGCTCCCTGCATGCGGTCAAGACCCCTTTTGCGGCCCTGCTAATCACTATGATCAATGGTCCAGCGATGCTGTAGCCTGTGCCCGCGTGCAGTCCCAGTCCGTGCTTACAGATGGCCTCTCAGCGATAAGCAGCTGCAAGGCCGAGGTATCAACGATTCGCTTGTGCCTCAGATGGAGAGGAAGTGAGACTGCGCTGCAGGTTGTGAGGGTCACAGGATCTACCAAAGGTTTGTGGGGACGAGGGGAAGCAATTTGTAGACCCATTTGGCCGGGGTGTCTAGCAGTTGTGGGAGATGGTTCAGAATGAGCAGAGGGTGAAAGTTCAACCGCGGGGATACGATACTCGTGGCGGATGCCAACTCGAGGAAGAACATTCTGCTTGATTTTAGTACTGAACATTTGATTGTGGTCTGTCGCTAACTTTGTCCAAATTCAATTTCATGTTTGAAACGTACCTATGTGGGGCAAACCTCATACCCGTCGTCCCCCAGGCACGTGGAGAGACACACAGTTTATCAAGGTTCAAAAGTAGCGAGGCCAAGGACACGCTTCTCCCCGTCCCCAGGCTGGGGAAAGGGAGAACGTGCTGTCCTTGTCATCCAGAGACTATTCTTTCCTGATTCGGCCGCCTTTGATAGTTGCGATGCCTACTCTTTCTTTACAAGAAACCGGAACTCGGAGAATCCCTGTCAGATGGTACGGAAGTCGGTATTGAGGGCGGGCCAAGTTGGTGAAAGCTGGGGGACGTTACAGTAGGTTGACAATTCTGACCAGCTATTTGAAATCCGGGGGTTGCTTGCCTCTTTGGAGAGTCCCCATGGGACTCATTGTGGGGTTTATAGCAAGTGGGTTTATCCGTGATTTATTCTGTCTGAATATCCGTACAGTTGTGTGTTTTACTGGGAAGTCGGTTAAGATGTATTGCTAGGCATTTGGGTGCGTATGGACATGATTTCTGCCCGAATAACTTCGAATTCCGCGCCAAGTAAGAAGCAGGCAACAAAACTATGATCAAGCTAGCTTATCTGGAAGACCACTAGTGACACTACCTCTCGCATGCCCACCGCGAGCCGTGATATCCGTGACTTATACGTCCTCGGTGTAAATAGTCCCGCCTCGATATTGCGCGAGGAAAAACAAAAAAAACACCGCACGTTCGGTCGTCACCCAATTTCAGCTGCATGCGCTTCTGGACCATGATAAGACTGCTCCCACCAAAGACATGCTTCCGGACTCCATCCCCCCTTCCAACTCTAGTAGGCTTGAGAGTCGGACTTGTACCAAATCGGTCCCACGTCCGCCTCCTGCGAGTGGACCCCCCCTGTCCTCCTCGTTACGACCAGACCCTCCCCCCAAGACGGGCAACTTTTTCGACCTTGCGGTCCGAGAGATGCGTCCTCGCCGGCGGTGACGGGCATGCAAGCAGTCATCACCCCGATCTCTTCGAATGGGTGCAAGGCCGCCAGTTGCCGAGCTACTTGAACATTGCGATAATTGTGTGACTCGTTAGTCTCATGGAATTCTGCTGAAAATAAGCAGACGAGATATGGAGAAAACAAAAATTCTTTTTTTGGAATACCAAACCGTTTGAGACTTTTCGAGGTTTCTTTGCTCAAAATCTTGAACAATTATTTTTCAACACCGTCCTCCAGACCCCAAGAACGCGGCCCCACCACCACCCCAGGACCGAGGGGTGTGGACACAACACCGAGCTGTGCGGCCGTCCGTTGCCAAAGCTGAGTTTCGGAAGTGCTCCGACGGCCAGTAATGTCGTCTACACACGTCTTTAGCAACAGGGATCGCGTTTTTTTTTTCTTTGTGAGTGGTTGGCCAGTGCTTCATGACGTGGAAGAAGGACGACTACCTAGGTCATTACGCTAATGTATACGTCGTTGTAAACAGAGTTGCAGGGGTAGGGCAGAGTTGCGGTAGTACACGTGGGAAAAGCTTATTCCAGAGTTGCTGCCGTTGCCGCTTTATTAGTTTGGGCTGTTACAGCCACACACACTTACACGGAGAGTTGGGCCACCCCGACCTAAAAGATGCTACCAGAGTTGCCTTTACATACCAACGAAACGCGGTATCACCGGGTGGCGAGAGTTTGTATACGGGCTCAGAAGTTGACATTTGGCTAAAATTTGTTATTATAATTTATTCTATTTCTTTATGGTCATAAATCGTGTCGCGTCAGAATCTGACGTAATTGTTGCTCTGTAGTGAACCGCTCCAAAAAAGGAAATACCACCAACCCCATGCAGCAACGCTATGCTAGTAAACAAAATGCAGGCTATGCTAGATATGCGAGCCAAGCAAGAAACACATCGCTGGTGTGTGCATCATCTACTGCGACGGGCATTCCATAAGTCCTCCGCGTTGCCTCTGAATAACCTGTCGACCAACACGTCGTCCTTGCCGCACCAGTCGAGCACAGTCTCCATCCATGGACGAATATCCAGACCCTCGAACCGCGTATGCGGCCAGTCCGTTGCGAAGATGACTCTGTCCTTGCCCCGGAGGTGAAGCACCTCTCGCGCAATCGGTTCCAAATCGCTGTGGTCGGCCATGGAGCTCAGCCGGTACGGCGCCGATAGCTTGACGTAGGTGTTTCCGGCCCGGAGAAGCTTGGCCAGGGACTTGAAGCCCTTCATGTCGTACGGGTTGTGTGACGGCATGTCCTTGACGCAAGGGTGTCCGAGGTGGTCGATGCATACTCGCACGCCGAGAGTCGGGACGATGGGCTCCAGGAGCTCGATCATGGACATGGGCATGTACACCTGTATAACCCAGTCCAGGGGCTTGCAGTCGTGGGCGTATCGACGTAGTAGTGCGTCGAGCTCGGCGGCGTTGAGAGACTTGCCCACCGAGGAGAGGTTGATCCGGACGCCTCTTACACCGAGCCTGTGCCACTCGGCAAGTGTGCCCTGCGGCACGCTGCCGGGTTCAAAGGCCACCACCGCCCTGCCGCGGCGGGGGCCGAGGGCGCGGAGAGCGTCGAGGAGGCAGGTGTTGTCGTTTCCGTAGATGGAGGGTTGGACGAGGACGATGTTGTCGATGCCGACGGAGGACTCGAAGGCGAGGGCGTGGTCGAGGCGGTGCGTCTTGGGGCAGTAGACGGCATCCTTTGCCAAGGGGTAGGCGGCCGGGTCAACGACGTGCATGTGGGAGTCCCACGCGCCGTGGGGGATCCGCTCCGGGAGAGTTAACCTCCGTCGTGCGGTGGCGGCGACGACTCTGGGTATCACCCTGTCGTCGTTACGCCGTGTTGTTGGGGCCATGATGGGCTGGAGAAGGGCCATGATGTTTTTGATGTGATGGAGGAGAATGGAACGGGCCTGGAGGATGGGTTTCGTGTGTAGCATGGTGAGGGCGACCCTATGTGTAAGAGATGAGAAGACCCGGGTGGAGGCGAAGAGGTGAGAGACGCTGCTGCTGCTGCTGCTGCTGCGGGCGTTGCTGCTGAGGAGGAGTTGTCGAAACTCTAGACGACAAGGGGTGGTTGAGGGCTGAGAAAGGTATGGAAGGGATGAATCCTTCTCCTCACGGGAATAATCTGGCGGCAGGACTGACGACACGGGGTGTCTGCTATCCACAGGTGTTACCACGACGGAGAGAGGCAACGGCATGGGAGGAGTAGTAGTAGCAGCTGCAGGAGTACGATGGTGGCGGCGGTGCGCCTGCACATATGGACGTCGGCCCATTGCACTTGGTGAGATTCCGCCGAAGGCCCGGCTTGTCGTTGTGTGGATCATTGAGTTGTAGCATCGCTCAGGAAGATGTCCGTATACTATGGAGAGATGGGCGGAGAGTGGTGTCTCCAGTCCTCCGCCTCCGGTCTCCAGCAGGAAGCATGCAAGAGGTAGCAAGCAGTAGGAACGATAGTGGAGAGTGACCCCGTAGATGAGGATTTGGGAGAGGAGACTGGAGGGGGGAAAAAAAAAAACCAAAAAAGAGGCAGGCTGCTTGTGTGGTGTTTTGGTGGTTGAGTTTGGTGGTGCGTGAGCTCGGAGGATGACCGATGCCAAGTAGCGCAGATGCGGGCTTTGCGTGTAGTTGCGGCCGGTGATGGGCGGTTTTCTCAGTGTACAGAGTGTGAATGAATGTTAACTCTAAAATACGCATACATTATTTCACCTATTTTCAGCACACGCCATGGAACCTGTCCGACGGCCATGCAGCGGTGCCAAGTTCAAGTGGAGGAATGATTGGCCTCCAAGCCCTCGGGTTATTGGACAGCAGCCCGTTGCTCACCACGGACGTGGAGAGAGGGCAGAGACTACGGGTACTTACCGTGCCTAGGGCGTACTTAGTAGTGGGAAAGAGAGCAAGCAAGCAAACAAGCAGCGCCAATTTGCTCGCTGTTCGCCACGAGTCAGTGCTCGGACCACCGACCTACGGGTGCGAGGGCCGTCGGAAGTTGACCGAGGGGTGAGAGAAAGAGAGAGAGAGGTAGCAGAGAGATCAGCAATAGATGGGACGGACGAGTGAAGAGTTGGGCCTGGAACGATCTCGGCCGGAAACCACCCCCGGAAATACCGTCTCGACGCCAATGTAGCTCTACTGCGAACTTGACGTTATGGGATACCTTGGTCCCTTGCCTTAGCCCTAGTCCGGCACTTGGGCGGCGCAGCGGGAGGGAGGGTGTGAAGGTGTCACGGTGTGATGGGATTGGAGAGTTGGGAACTGGATGAACGCAACTCCCGACCGATTGTGGAGTGACATTACTAAGAAGGCTTTCTGCAGACTGCGGCTGCTTTGGATCCCCCCCCCCCCCTCTCCTCCATCGTCTCCTCCAGGCTATTCCTTCACCCTCCCACTCCGATCCTTTTTGCTCGGTCAACGTCCGATGTCTTCCTGCGAAGAGATCTGAAGTTGTCTGAACCCATACCGTACACCCCCACTCTGTTTCTGCACGAGATCTCCTCTCTCCTTACCCGCTCGATCGCCCGCCGAACGAAATCGTGGGGTTCGAGACTTGTCGAACCAGGGCCCCAACCGAAATCCGGAGAAAGTCGAGAAGGCTTCCCACATCATCGAGACCCAGGGCCGTGTGGCCGTCTTACCCCGTGGGAGAGACTTCCTTCCCCTCACCCACCCCCCGCGTTTTGTCTTGGACAGACGACGACGGTTTTCCGCGTCAAAGGGAACGGGAAACGGGGGACGCGAGTGTCTACTCTATAGGGCGAACCCGAGGAGAGAAGTGAGGCGAGGATCGGAGGGGTGTCGGTGCGAGCTCTCCCCGTCTGAGATTGCGTGTCGGAAATAGGGGGCAAAAAAAACGACTGCAACAAAAGAGAGTAAAAATTTCTTTTTGCATTTCCCACCAGCTCTTTTCTTGGTTTGCGCCCGCAACCATACTTTGCACATCCGCCAACGACGAGATATCGACGCAAAGACGGGAGCCGCGGGGGTGTTAAAATGGTCCAATTCAATACGTATTATCTCCTCACCATCATTATTATCTCGTGCGGGTCTATTCCCAAGGGTAAGTAGTCAAGTCCTGTTGGATCTTCCAGTCAACCAACTCCCGTCCGTCCGAATTTTGACAGCGATCCGTCCCTTTTTTTTTTTTTTTTTTTTTTTTTAAAAAAAAAACTCCACCTCCCACAAACAACCAAAAACCCCCCCGCCCACTACCTCCCCCCCCTCGCCCAGCCTGAGGGCGGATTCAGGCCTGCGACGGGCCGGGCGCCTTCCAAGGTGACTTTGGTCATCGCTCCGGCCCTGTGGCAGGGCACGGCGCTGGGTCCCCCCCCGCGCCCCCGCCCCCGTAGGCTACGATGAAGGCGGATTCAGCGCTGCGACGGGCCTGGCGTCCTTCAAGGATGACTTTGGCCTCGTCTCGAGCCTGTGGAAGGGCAACGCGTCTGGTCTCGCCGACCGCAAGGCCAACATCTCGTCCTTTGGCGTCCTCGGCGCCGCGTTCGGTTCCATAATTGCCCTCGCCGTCAATGATCGGCTCGGACGACTGAGGGCGTGGCAGCTGTTCATCGCCGTCTGGATGACGGGCTGTCTGATGCAGGTCTTCTCGTCCGGGATACTGGGGTTGATGCTCTTCGCCCGTATATGGGGCGGGCTCGGCGCCGGTGGGCTTACCGTCGTTGCGCCACTATACCTCTCCGAGATTGCGCCAGCGAGGTCGCGCGGCATGGTCGTCAGTATATACATGGTCGTGTTGCTGTCGTTTCTCACCCTTGGTAAGGCGCCCTACTCAGAATCAACCCTGATATCAAAACCGTTGATCCAGTGTTACTCACCCACAATGCTCCAGGCTTCTTCATCAACTACGCCGCCAACGCGACGCTCGCAGCGACGAGGATGCAGTACCGCCTCGTCATAGCCATCCCCCTTATACCCGTGGGCCTAGCTTTCATCGCCTCCTTCTTCCTCGACGACACCCCGCGATGGCTCGCATCCCGTGACCGCGGCGACGAGGCCCTCGCCGTCCTCGCAAAGCTCCGGCACGCCGACCCGAGCGATCACGCCCTCGCCACCGAATACGACGAGATCCACGAACAGATCCGCACACGGCAGCAGATCCTCGCCGACTCCTCCACCTGGGCCATCATCAAGGACATTGCCACCATCCCCACCTACCGCACGCGCTTCCTCCTCGGCGCCGTCATGCAGACCGTCGCGCAGTGGTCCGGTGGCAACGGCATCACCTACTATATACCCGAGATCTTCCGCTACGCCGGCGTCGTCGGCGACAACACGTCCCTCATTACTAGCGGCGCGTACGGCGCCGTCAAGCTCGTCTTTACCATGATCTTTACGTGGGGTCTCGTCGACGTCTTTGGGCGCCGGCGGTGCTTTATGACGGGCTTATTTTTGCAGTGCATCACGCACGTGTACATGGCAATCTACATGGCCATCTGGATTGACGGCACCAACAAGCCTGCGTCCGATGCCGCCATCGCTTCCGTATTCATCTACGCCGTTGGCTGGTCCATTGGCTTATGCACGGTGCAGTACCTGTACGGCACGGAAATCTACCCCACCCGCATCCGCAGCGTCTCCTACGCGAGCAACATGGCCCTGCACTGGTTCTTCCAATTCGCCGTGGTGCGGGTGACACCCAACATGTTTGTCAGCCTTAACGTGTGGGGCGCATACGTCTTCTGGGCGTGCGTCTGCGGCGCGGGCCTCGTCATCCTCGGGCTGTGGGCGCCGGAGACGAAGGGCATCCCCATGGAGAAGATGGAAGAGCTCTTCAGCGGCCGGTGGTGGATGGGATGGAGGGCGAGCGTGGATCTGGCTTCGAGCGAGACGAAGCCTTTTGGCAGAGGCGACTCGTCGGGCGAGGAATCAAAAGAAGGCGCTTTTACGCATGACCGGAAGACGGATGTATGAGTTGGGGATGGAGCACGTTATTCTTCCAAAGTTCTGAGTCCATATTTTGATTTAAATGATCACCAAATACCACATGGACTTGTTGAAGTTCATTGCCTAAACCGGTGCACGCTTTGGCGAATCTGTGAATGAGGCCGAGTTTCCCTCTCGGGTCGACCCGGCCGAGTCTTCGGAGCCGAGACCGGCAAATGAGGGGCGCTTCGGCCGATAGGTGAGAACGCCAAGATGGGAAGGTGAGAACGTAATTGTCGCCTGAAGGATCGGGACCCCTCACAGGGCAACGTCGTTGCGAACGTCATCAATGTCCTCGGCAAATTTTCTTTCGCGTCTTCTTCTTCTCTTTACTATAAATCATTCAATGCGTCTGCTTGGATGTGTGTGTGCTTGAATTCGTTCTGTACAACGAAAGCAAACATGGAGAAGAAACAGGTCGCAGAGACGCGCCCGCCGCCATCCCCGCCGCCGCCTCGACGGACCGGAATGCGCGGACGTCTCATGCTCGCCGGCGCCGTCTTGTTGGTTGGTTTGTGTAACATTTACCTCAGAAAAAATTTCCGGCTGGAGCAGATTCGTCGAGGGGATCTTGCGTCACACCCAGTCCCCGTCCGAGAATCTCCCTTTGGCCGGTTCCCTCTGCCCAAGGACCCTTTCCGGCTCATCCCTTGCACAAATGCAACCATCCCGCCGGCCCTTGACGATGCCCACCCTGAAAAGACGTGGGCGAGCTCCTTTGACCCAGACCCATCCAATTGGAGCTGGGGAAACAAGACCGTCTCGGTTGATGGCGATGATGGTGACCCCTTCTCCGGCCGAGGCATCTACCTCTGCGGCTACCTGGAGGTGCCGCTAGACTACACCAACAAATCAGACGACCGGATCGTCCGACTCGCTATCATCAAGTACCAGGTCTCGGGCCTAGCTCGCGTAGGCGAGCCCGACAACGGCACCAGAAACCCGCCCCCCGGCGGCCGAAGCGAGCGCACCATTGTCCTTGAGCCGGGCGGACCAGGCGGAAGCGGAACTTCCTACGGCTGGAGAGTCTCGGAACAAGTTACCAAGAGGCTCAGTGACGGCAAGTTCGACGTGCTAGCCTGGGACCCGAGAGGCGTGAACATCACACGCCCCTCCATCTCCTGCTTCCCCTACGACGTCGACCGAGACCACTGGTCCATGCTGACCGGGCAGTACCTCGAGGTCTCCGCCAACGTGACGCGCCAGCTCGAAATCAGCGACGCCATGAACGATGCCATCTTCCAGGCCTGCTGGGAAACCCACGGCGACCTCGGTCGCTTCATGGGCACGGCCATTGTCTCGCGCGACCTGGAGGAGATCCGCAAGGCTCTCGGCGAGGACGAGTTGACGGGATACCTCGTCAGCTACGGCACCGGTATCGGGCAGACCTATGCCAACATGTTCCCGGACAGCGTCGGTCGGATCATCCTGGACGGGACGGAATACGTGCGCGACCACCGTGAACTGGGCGGTTTCGGATGGACTGCGCTCGACAACGGCACCGACGCCTGGTACGACGGCTTCCTCGGCGAATGCCTCAATGCCGGCCCGGATCACTGCGTGCTGGCAAAACCTGATAGCAGCAGCAGCACCGAGCCCATCGTGCTAAAAGATCTGGATAAGCGCATGATGTCCCTATTCACATCCCTCATCGACCGCCCCGTCGTCGGGTACACGAAAGAGAGCGGCCCGTCCCTCGTGACGTACTCGGTCCTCGTGGCCGCAATCTACTCTGCACTCTACAATGCCCAAAGCTGGCCGGCCCTCGCCCAGATGCTATACGAACTCGAGCAGGGCAACTCGACCCTCGCCGCCGCGTTCCTGGAACGCCAGGCCTGGCAGTACGACCCGACCCTCCCCGCGACGCCCAACAAGCGGCCCTCATCGTCTGAACTTACCTTTATCGTTATCTGCGCAGACTCCTACGACGCACCGCTGCCGCCCGGCGACGGGTTGGCCTACTGGGAATCCCTCTGGATCAACATGACGGCCCAATCCTGGGTCGCGGGCAACCCCCGCTTCTCCGACGTGTTTCCCTGCCAGCATTTCACAAAGTACTGGCCAGAGCCGGCGGATGTGTACCGCGGGGACCTGAACCACACTCTCAAGAACCCGATTTTGCTCATCGCGGAGACGTACGATCCGGCTACGCCGCTGCGCAACGGCCGCAGGTTGCTGGACGAGATGGGAAGGAACGCGAGGTTGATTGCGCATCATGGGTACGGACACTCGTCGAGGGACACGTCTGATTGCACGGATAGTATAGCAAAGAGGTATATTCTCGAGGGAACGTTGCCTGAGGAGGCGGAGACGGCATGCTATGCTAATGAGAAGCCGTATTTGTATGGTGTCAAGGAGAAGGGGGTGAGGGCTACGGGTGCTGATGGGGGCTGGGATCCTGTCGGTGCTTGGCGGGAGCATCAGCGGGAGGTGGCTTACTTGCGTCTTTGAAATAGCTTGAGTCCGTTTTGATATTTGGTCAATGTAATATAGTTTTGATATGTAGATCGTGTACGTACACGGTCACTCAGGGTGGGAGGAAAGTTCTCAATTTCAAGTCGATTCAGGTTTACCCAGAGTCTCGGCTCCGCAGGCCGCTGTGGAGCAAGGTCCTGCATAACGCCGATGCGAAACTCGGATTGATAAAACTAACGAGAGCTCCTCTATGGTGTCCGTGATACGGGATTTTCTTTCAGATGGTTTTGATTTCATGGCTCATTGTCGTGTACCTTAGGTGTCGGTTTTGTCAAAGCCAACACATGCCGCAATAAATATCACGAAACCTCCTTACTTTGGCTTCAGTCTACCACGTGCATTTTCAAGCAGTGTCCTCGGATATTGAGTGTACGTACTGTGACTTTTCTTTCCTTTCTTTGGAGGGGATTCCATGTTACGTTCAGCCTACTTCATAGATCTCATGCTGGCTGAAACAAGACCTCGTGATTGATTCATCTTATAAAATTACTATAGTAGCCATGACCTAAACCCGTGGTCAGTTTCTTTGACGCCTAGAGGATGGTAACTTACTCTATCTTCAGAAAATTTCTGAGGAAGGGAACCACCCAAGTATCCTCGAAACATCACGACAAAAGCAGACGAAGGGCTTCCTCCCACTTCCAGTGATACCGATGCACTCCCCCTTTCCGCTTGAACATGGAAATTCCACTTATAAGTGATGAATTCGCGAGAAATTTCAAGAGCACAGTACGGGACGCCGATGAAGAGAGAAACAATCAGTGGCTGCTGGTTTTGATCTTTGATAACATCAGGTATCTGGGGGACTTTTTTTTCGAGCGCGAGAAAATCTTCATGGGCTTTTTACGTTTCTTTTTTTTTCACTCCTAAAGACCCCGCACTTGGGACTGATGTTGATACCAAAAGGTGGTGCTGAGTTTTCCCCTCATAGATAGCTTGGTTGATAAGTGTGCATAGGTGGCTTCAGAGAGAGACTGGGCCTGGTTCTCTGGGGTCGAAATATTGCGTATTTTCAATTGGCAATGGAGCCTCCAGCCAACTAGTGCCCGTCGTCGTATCCGTGAGTAGTTAGTTGAGTGCAGTCTTCTCAGCAAGTCACCGGGCTTTTGATTTCCCCGATGGGCCCAATGGGTGTCTCAGGCTTCTGAGTCACAATATCGACAATCCAATTTTACCGCCTAGTTTTCAGCGTTGCCTATTGTTGACTTTTAAGTGCTCTTTACTCCCGCCACGTCGCATCGAAGCAGATGAACTCTTATTTCGTCAGGATGGTTGAAAAAGTTTCTACGTATCCAAAATCAAGCGCATTCAACATTACTTGTCTTGCGACATGCCTACCTCAATTGAATTTCCCCCAGATGACGAAGGAATCGAAGACGTGAGGTTAGTCGCAGATTGATCCGATGTTCACTCAACGAAAAGTCGGCGAGGATTGGACGTTCAATAACGAACAATGACTGATTAGTAAACTCTCATGACAAAGAAGTAGGATGACTGAAACAGTCCAACGCTGAACCGATAATCTGGTCTGTTGTATAGAGGAGGTGAGCCTCTCCAAACCCACAGCGGCCCGACAAAAAAGGCTGCATCTACTCATAGAGCAAACATGTCCAACTAATCTCTTCTCCGGGACCTATAAGCGATGTGCTCGACACGCAGGTAGAGGAGCTTTTGAGAGAGCTCTTTATGAAGCCTATTATCATAGCTATCGGGGTAGCATAGCGAGGTGCTTCATCTGCTGCAAAGGAGTAAATTGTAAGAAAACCTGCCATCCTAAGGAGACGCCGTTGACGCATGAGCTGGCTCCAGACATACACGTAGACAGCTTGAGAAGCCACTGCTGGAGTCTCCGAGGCTATGTTACATCGCTAGGTAACATCCGCTAGCAATTGAACTTACGGTCGCATTCAGCAAGCATTGATAATGCGAGGCATTCATAATGAAATCCCCGTAATGGCCCCTTTTGCCACAGTCAAGACGGCTTAAATCGGCTGGCAAATGATCTAGGATCATCATGCACGTTGGGCGAGACACTCCAACGCAGTGTTGAATGTGGTCACTCTGGCGTCGTCTGAATATTCTGCGTAGCTATTGGTGAAAAAACGTCGGAGCTGGCAGCGGACAAATACGTTTGGACCCGTTGAGATCCCACGCCGGCTGGGCGGTTTGCATTCCTTGAACACGTGGATGCGTGGACATCCTACGGCTTATGGGGGGGTGGGAGGAAGACACGGTGATCCAAGTGAGACCGGTTTGATGACCCGCTGCCCAGGTCAAGGTATACAACAGCTGGAAACCACTTGAAAGAATTAACGACTCTCATTGAACTTGGTTACCCGGTCACCAACCTCAAGAGTCGAGGTTTGGACGCTGAGGGGGATACAAAATGTGCCCTCGTACCACCTGACCACACCATCTGAGGGAGGGGATCCCACCATGTGCTCCAAGAATTTGCGTGGCTAGTTTTTATTATCTTATGTACCTGTTTCTTATTGTGAATTTATCAACTTGGCCGATCTCAGGCCACTTAGTGGGTTCAGGGGATGCCAGGCGTGAAGCAAGCAAACTCCTGAAGCTGAACGCACGTATTTTTGAGATTTACCCTGCAGTGACCAGCGAACTCTCACCGGGGCCATCCATCGCAGAGTAGTTTCATGAACGGAGACCCTCTCTTCAAAGTGCCATGCTTTCTGGCACTCACAGATTATTCTAGATTCAAGAGAGAAAAAATGTAAGATTCTGGCTTGAACTCTACTTGGGTGGGACAGGACAAGCCTCAGGTTGATTCCTCGCCTGATGACATGGGAGAGAGGCCTTCAATTGGTTGACCAGAATTTTTCTTCCATGCTCACAAAATGCCGATGGCGCATTCGTGGGCGCCCCCATCGAAATGCATATTGATCCCAACCACATTTAGACCTGTGAGACAAGGGAAATGGCTGGTGGGCATCCAGCCAGCCACCGACCGATGACCACGTTTCTCCCACGGCCCAGTATTGTAGGTTTCAAGGGACGGTGAGTATTTCGTGCATTTACTATAGGTCATTCACAGGAAGTATGGCTGAGACAGCAGAATTTCCAGTGTGACATTGTGGGAGACGGATTGAAAGGGCTGGATCTTGAGGATTTTCAGGAAACTTCCTTCTGCAGTAGACAAGGTGTATGTAGGTCTGGAGTAAGTACCTAAATTGAAAAGCACCGAGTAAGGAAGTCAAGGTCTGTATACACATCAAATCCCAATCCCCGGTAGATTGTGTGCTCCGACTATGACCACATAATTTCATTGACCACTGGAGCTCTGCCAGGCCGACTTGCCGCCGAACACTGGCCATTATACAGGAAGTCCAAAATGATCAGAGTGACCTGTTCAAATACACATTTCAAGTAAGATAGCTCGTGTTTTGTTAAAGTACCTTATTGAGCGTATCATGATGGTATTTCGTAGTGCGGCTTTGACTGATCACGCAACGATGCTGACGCAATGTCCGTCACCGAGGTGGTGAATAGCACATTGACCCCTCATCTCACCCGCTAATAGCAAATCAACAATGTACTTGCTTCTTGTGCGACACTATTACTTGACCGAAAGCAAAGACAATCTCAATGTATCTATCCCTCCCAACCAAGGAAATCTCACCATCCCCCGGACCTTCAACCAAGTAATGCGGCCAATGGTTAGCATCGGAGGTCATCCGGAATGGAAGATCATGGTAATCTTCCTCGGGTATATGCATGTACATACGAGTGTTTCGGAAATCTAAGGGTCTTATTGTATCTCGAGTATGAGATGATAAGACGGGAGCAATCTGTCATTGGTACCTTTCAGTACATGTAGAGGAAGGCACAACTAAAAGCCCTCGCACGCAAATATGAATGCGACTAGCCTCAAGATCATGAATGAAGGTCTAGACCCTTTGGAATTCATATCGCCCTCGAGGCTGCGCCAATCACGTTGAATACGCAACGCAGATCACCGCCCCCCTCTTCGAGCGCGGTCCTAAGGCAAGACCTCCCTATCGGACTTCGTTCCCGTGCCTCCCAAGTCGCCGTTTGTTCTTCTTTCGTCCATGCATTCTCTCTAGGTAAGTAGCCACTTGAAGTTGTGATACCCTTCCCCCTCTCCAGCCCGGTGAATGAGCCCCGCTAGAGCAAGGGTAACCTGCTCTGGTGGTCTGGTGCGGTGGGAATGCAGCCGATCTGCCGCGCAAACTTCTTTTCCAGAGAGACATGGTCAAATTTATCCGCCAAGACCTACAAGGCTGCCTTGTATCCTCTTTCCGCCGCTTCGCTTTGGAGGCGCGTCTTGATAGAGGCGAGGTACGTAAAATATGCAATCTGTAAGTAACCTGTAGCTCTTATATACGACCCAATAGATGGCTGCAGGGTTGTCCACCTGCGGCCGCATTCGCGTTGGGGAGCCAAGGACTTCCGACCTGCTCTCGCTGCTGCGGGGAAAGCTTGTGAACCAGGGGAAGCAATGCGTACATATCAAGTAGCGGTTGCTTCGGATAACCACAGCAATCGGCTCCAAATTAGACAGCCTTCATTCTCGACAAGGTACCCATTCGAATTTCTCAGGGTTCATATCCACGGGCCACGCGATTCCGGCCTTGATCTATCTCGCAACCACGATGCCGTTTGAGCCTTGTTGGAGTTGATAGGACGCTGCCGAGCTGTCGGATCACTGCAAGAACGGATAAAGCGATACTACGGACTTTCTGAGGCGACGACTCAATTTTATCGACACCCAAAGCTGTCGAAAAGAGCTAACCCCTCAAGGTGAGTCATTGCTCGTTCTTGAGAAGACTCATGTGAACGCACCAGAACGCACCCTAAGATAACCATTTGATGTCAGGACATGGCAAGCTTGAATCCAATTGAACCAATACCAAATATAAGAAGCCACAGCAAATCCAGAGTCTGGGACAGAGGGGCTTGCGAAGTTTGCCGGCAGAAGAAGGCCAAGGTAAGCCTACAAGTGAAGCTTCAACGTTCACTCTCGGGCATCATCTAACACATCGTGCAGTGTGATGGTGGAAGACCTTGCTCAAGATGTACCTCTCGAGGAGAAGTATGCGAATACGAGACCAGATCGCTTCAGAAAAGGCCCAGTCTCCAGACTGGACTTGGAGAACAGATGGGCGTTCAACATCAAGATCAGGCTGTGCTGAAAGCCCCCCCGTCTGCGAGCCAGAAGCGCGATCTGTTTGCTTGCCAGCAGAACGACGGACATCTAACCCAGCACCATGCGGACATTGACTACGGTGACATATCAATGTCCTCCTCATGCTTCAGACTTGTCCCAGAGAATCTGGGACAGCGCCTCGGGGAAAGAGACGAACTATCGATTACACCGCACTACATCCCGCCGAGCACCCCAACCGATGTAGAAATCGAGTCCCCTATAACTTCACTCTTTGAACAAGCGCAAGATACTCTAGATCAATTTCAAGGGTGCATTGACTACCATAGTGCGAAACGGTGCGAAGCGCGATTACATGATCCGATGGTACGACGGTCCTCCACGAGCCTGTTCGAAATGCCAATACCGCCAAGGGACTTGATTTACTGCGAAGACGTAGCCACCGCCCCCTCCACTCCGCAATTTATCGATCAGAACGGCTATAGACAGACACGAGATGGCAATGGAATTTATGAAAATCCCATTAGCAATCAGCCCGCCATAGAATTCGGTCGAGTCATCTGGTGGGCCTCAACTGATCTCCAACCTACAGCACGGTACTTCCCTGCCGACTCTGGCATGGACTCAGCTGCCTGGATGTATTATCAAACATCTACTCTGGCACATCCTCTGATACCCAGCGTATATACACTTCCATCTTCCACGCCGTCTCCCAGGACTATCGACTTGCCTCCAGGCTCTCCATCCCCTGCCAGTGGACAGACCGGTCACAGCATTTCTTCGAATGACGATGGGCTGGGGGAAAGCCAGTGCCGTCCATCTTCTCAGAAGAGGAGGAAATCCAGCACCGAGACCGTCGCTCACAATGACCAACCACAGAGCAACACAGTTTCACAGAAACGCGAGAGCAACGTCCCAGACCCGCGGCCGCCATTTCGCGGCCGCGATCGTCACCGGCGAGCTTCGGCCCGCAACTGGCAGAAGCAGAAGCAGCAGAGCGCCGACCTCGAGTCAGCAAAAGACACCGCCGAGGCGCTCAATAGCCAACTACACCGCGAGCATGCGCGAGTTTCGAGCCAAGTCATGGACCTCAAGAACGCTCTCATGGACCACGCCATGTGCAATCACCCCGCGATCAACGGGTGGCTGCGCTGCCAGGCGGCGAATTATGTTTTCAACAGTGGCGGAGGAGTCGATGTGGGATGGGAAAGCGAGGAAGAATCCGGTGCGGGCGAGATACCAGTGACGGCTTGCACTGCTGGCTGGGCTAGTACTACTTGCATTTGAAGGCCATGGCGACGAACCCTCAAGGAGTTTTTTTAGCAATGGAAGCGGTCGATATCGCCAGGATGAAGTTTCTCTTTTGTGCATTTTGTATTTGCCCTTTGTGAGGTGTTGTGACTGGTCAGCGGTGGTTGGCGCATTTCAGACCAAGGTTTTCCTCTCCATTATTGTGGCCATATCAAAACCAACCAATATGATAATACGAAGAGGAAAGCGGAGAAACGTTCGCTGGAACATCTGGCCGACTCAATAACCTAACAGAGATCTTTTCCCTAGACAGCAATACTTGTTGTGTCCCCTGTAAGCTAAGCTCAAGACTGCCAAATACAACATATCCTTGATTATTTCAGAGAACAATTACCGACCTGTGGTGCCGTAGTCATTGGGTCATCCCTGTTCAAGCAACTGGAGAGAAGAGAACTCTATTATTATCATCTCCGTCTGACCAATGCAGTAGTTGAGCCGATTGATAGACTCTCACCGGGCCTGAATCCGCGCACCCTGAGTTTGATTCCTAGCATCGCCATCCAGGCAAGCTGCTCAGAGCCAGAGGTTCTGAGATAGAGTTTAATTGGAATGTAATTCTCGGCATAGGTAGAAATTCGACCGTCGGGGCGATGTCTGAAAAAGCGGACGCTAACCTAGACTACGAAGTCAAGACCATGAAGGTAGCAGCGGCAGCGAGGCTCATCGCTGATGATTTACCTTGATTATCTGCTTCATCAAGATCATCGATTTAGTCGGCTTTATTCAGGGGCAACCGACCAACATTTGAACACTGTCCTTTTACGACTGTGGGGCGACTCAAGATGTCGACGATGTTGGTGACAACATCATTGCTGGCAAGTGGTGGGGGGAAATCCAACGCGCGGGAACATGCGAGATAACATCAAGTTTGGAAAAAACCCAGAACTCCTGGTATCCATTACCCGTCATGAATATGTACCTAAATAAACATAAATCTCGTGGCCCTTCATGTGTCGGCAACGAGGGAGCTTTTCGTTGTTCTCCTGCATGCCTCCAGTATTTTTGCTTGGCAGATTCTCTTACCTTTACTTCTTGCCGACCCCGTTGGCGAGCCGGTTCACCAGCAAGCCTCCCAGTGTGGCCTGGATCGTATTATTCTTGATCCCACCCCCGTCTTTAGATCCGTGCTGCCCATTGGTATTGTTATTGAACGCCGCGATAGCCGCAGCACCCGCTGCGGCCGTCGCCATCCTGGTCCCCTTTCTCGACCACGACGTCTTCTCTTTCCTCATCCTCCAGGCCTCACTCGCGCCCGCCACGACGGCCGCCGTAGCAGCAGCTTGTATAATCGCAACCTTGTCAGCATCGTTCCGGTCAGGCCCCCTCGACGACCCCGACGCCTTGCTGTCCTTCCGGCGGCTGCTGCTCTGCCCGTGGCTTCGTCGACGAGGCCTCTCGTCCCCGCTGTCAGAGTACTCGGAATATGTCTCGTGCCTTCGACCAGGAGGCCGGCCGTAGCTTTCGGGTCGGGCGCGAACGGGGCCGACGGGGCTGTAGGAATCGTGCCGGCGGCTGCTGCGACGGTGGCCCCCGCCGCCCGTATCATGATCGTGGATATTACGAGAGACGCGGCGGGAGGCTTTGGGGCGCTCGTTTGCATAATCGTCATAGTGCGGATCGTCGTCGTAGACGACACGCTCCTTGTGGTGACGTTCCTGACGAGGCATAGTGTTGGAGGAATCGAGGAGGATCACGATCACCACGTGGGATTGTGCCTAAACTTCCTTTTGACAGCGCCAAAAAAGGAAAGGCTAGGGACGCGGGGGCGTTGCGGACACGTAGGCTACCGATGAAGCCGTTCGCTTTGGTCCCTTGCTAGTCCGGGACAGTGACGACTTGACTTCTGGCGGTGATTGCGCCCGGGAGCCGAAATACTCAATCAGATCGGTAAAAACAACGGAGGAACTAGTGTGAAAAGAAGAACAGTTGTGAAACGTCGGAATTTATGGTAATATTGTCGTGGATCATCCAAGTGTTTGGTGTGAATAAGGAAGAAATCAAAACGCAGAAGTAAACGCAGCATTGTCAGTGGGAAATTATCTGATTATGAGAGGACAATTTTGATTGTCTGGTAGACTCTGGAACAAACATACGGGGGGAACCTTGTATCACTGGGCATTCGCTCTGCTGGCACTTGGTACCCGACTCGGCAGGTTGACTCTTGCTTTCGAGGCTTGTACCAGAGTTTCCCGGTTGCTTTTTGGTAAAGGGGGGTGATGTAAGAGTTTGAGACGGACGGGGATCATTGCTGTTTCGGTGCGGTACTGAGGCGAGGTGGGCGGACGGGAGACGTCAATATGATGCGGCCCGCGCACCCGTTTCTGTTGCCCATTCGAGCGAAACACGACATGATGTCAGACCGATCGTGCGCAGGGAGTTTATCTCGGTGAGATCTGACGGCTGTTCTAGGCCCTCTTCAATCTCGGTGACTTGAAAGGAGCTCGGTTATCAGCTATGAATACAGCTCAAGGTAATGCCATTTAATGCTACTGGAAAGAGCTGATTGGCAACTAAGAGAAGCCAGAGGTGGCATCTTAATGTATTTGATTCCTCCTGCATCTTTAGGTCCAAAAAGAATCAAAGACAATGCCGTAATTCAACATTCAGACCGATGGGAATGATAGTGCGCTATCAGCCTTACTTCATCAATTCTTCCTCTCACCGAAAATAAAGCCTGTGGCTGTGCGTTCCGCCGAGCCTAGAGGATATCATGAATTATGCCCATTGTCCAATCGGGTTTCACGCGATCGATCAGGGACGATCGCTGGGGTTCAAGATTGGGGAACGAGGCTTAGGGGACGATGGTTCCTTTTGTTCCCAACTCATAGTCGCGCACTACTTCATTGAGGTGGCTGGCACTGGTTGCTATGGACTCTGGGAGACTAGCCTCATCGACGCGCGCCAGGCGCTTTAAGATGGTCGCTGCAATCGAATGTGGCGCCGTTAGATCAAGGGGCATCGGACATTTTGCTCCACGTCGCGTACTGGTCGTTCCTCAATTGATGCTGCACGGTGATTATGCGCCAGGGAGGTCGGAGCCCCTTTGATGCGCGTTTCCACGCGTAAATGACAGCGTCATAGATATACAGACAACCTGTGAACACGACAATGATATCAACACTTCTAACTATGGTGTTTTCAGCTTAGAGTGCAATGATGGGTTTTCGACAACAAAGATGAGAGTTCTATATGAACTGAGTGAACTCCCACCCAAAGTTGCTCACCCTGTCAATATTACCAATACGACCAGCATTAACACCTTTCTACAGATAATTCCATTCTGATTCTCAATTTAAATCCAATTTCTTGATCTCGTTATTCATCTCTTAATTTCACCTATCTCACACCATGTCTTCCGAGGCCCCCACTGGAGATGTTCAGGACAATGAGTACGTGTCCCGTCAAGGTGACCGTGAGCCCATCGATGTCCTCGGTGACGACGCCAAGGTCGAGGATCCAATCGATGCTGAGACCGCCGACTCCGACGCCCAGCTTGGTCAGTAGTAAATCGAGTTTAATACCACTACGTTAAGTGTCTAACTTTCCCCCTCTAGAGCGTGACGATAAGGAGGCTATCGACAAGAGCAATATTGTGGAAGAGCGCACCCGTGGCGCCAAGCCCACCGGCGAGTACCGCGAGCCTGGTGACACCGAGGGCCTGGAGGACAAGCGCCTCGAGTAAACTTATTACAAATTATGGTTGAGCGGATGGCGAGGCGTTGGGATCAGTTTTGTATGAAGCCTTGAATTAATAAAAAATTCCGACAAAACAACACGGTCATTGCCATTATCTTAAAACTTAACACCCGCCATTGGCACACAATGTTATGGAGAATTGAGCAAGGTTCAATTGGTGACATATTAATCGTCTCCAAAGTTCAGTGAATTGTACGATCGGACCTGACCAAGCGGCTGATGAAGGCAAAGTCTGGTATTCAGATCCAATATATCCAAACTATAGCAGGCTCACTTGAGATTTGAACACTCAAATCAACTTGGGTCTTGCTCTTTCGTTTCTTCTTTTCTGATATGCTTCATGTTTAGGTATGCCGTGACACGGATACATCGTGTCCTGGGGCCATCGATACAGTCCGAGCATTTTAATTCCAAAATTCCGAGTAGGTCTTAATCGATGGGCCCTGAGTGGCCATGCTTCGTGCTGACCTTGCGATATCGGATAACTTCGTGACCTTCCTGGTCGTACGTCCTCTCAGCCACGATTTTATAGCCGCCAATCGCAGGGAAAAATTTGGTCCAAAATCCCCAGTACACGGCACCGAGAAGGAGCACGCCGACGCCGACAATGGGGAATACGTAGTACGGGTACCCTTCCGCGGTCCACGATCCCGTAGGTGGGATAAAGGGAACAATGCACAGAAAGACATTGGCCAGGACGTAAAGGATCGTGATGGGGAAGTACGTGTGCCAAGGCGATGTCCAATTCTCCCTCTTGCTCCATTGGAGATAAAGGAGGCCACTAGTTTCAATGTCAGCCAGTGTATATAAATATCAAGTGAGTCAATGGGGAAAACTTACATCCCAACAAATGCGTTGATCCAGGCGCCAGGATAGCTGTTGACAAGTCAGCACAGATTCATATGGAAACTCAAGAAAAGATGAGACTGACGTGTAGAGGTCGGTAATGAAATTGTAAGCTGGTCCGGCCGGAGGCGCGACTAGAACAATGACGGTGACAATCCAGTGTAAGAAGAGCTATGAGAATGTCAGCCTAAGAAAACGAGTTACGCAGTTCAGGCACGTACGGCTGCAGCCGGAGCATTAAAGGGTTTGTTGGATGCCCAGAATGTGCTGAATGGCAGCAGGCCTTCCTTTGCCAGCTCTTGGTTTAGACGAGCGTGGGCGAAGCTGACAGCAAGCACATTTCCCAAGTTGCTAATGGCCACGAAAGCTGGGAGAGCTCTGGCGCCGGCACTGTTACCGAAGACGTTGCGGAAGAAGACACCTGCAACAATGACTTCAGAGGTTGCAAGCTGAGTTTTGGGAATGGCGGCAAAGTAAGCGACTAGAAACATGGGTTAGATGATGAGTTGGGCGGACAGAGTTTGTCCCTAATAATAAGAACTGACCATTGGCAAGGACGTAGAGAATCGTTACACCACCGATGGCCAGGGGTGCGGCAAGGGCTAGAGTCTTGCGCGGGTTCTTCAGCTCGCCGACGACGTAGTTGGCGTTCTCCCAGCCCTTGTAGCTGTAGATGATGCGAAGCAGAGCAGTCGCGTATCCGTAGACACCCCCGTTGCCGTAGCCTTCTCCCTCTTCGATGCGGAAAGCATTATCAAAGTTGTGGGGGTTCGGCACGCGACGTCGGCCGGCCAAAGCAGCAAATCCGGAAAAGACGATGAACAGCAGGACGATAACTTTGAAGACGCCCAGGACGTTGAATAGCCGGATGCCCCATTTGGGTGTAATCGCGTGGATGCCGACGGCGAAGGTGGCGCCAGCGATGCCGATGCCACGAGCAGTCCAACCGTCCGGGGACTCGGACCCTGATGCGAAGAGGATGTATCGGCCAAAGGCGAGGGAGTTTCCGGACGAGAAGCCGAGGAGGATCATCTGCGAGGCGAGGACACAGGTCGCGAGGTATTTGGGGTGCTTGTAGGCGCGCTCGAGGTAGTTCTTCTCGCCGCCGGAGCGGGGGATGGCGAGGCCGAACTCGAGAAAGACGCTCATGCCGCAGAAGGTCAGGACGCCGCCGATGACCCATAGCATGAGGGCGACGCCGACGGAGCCGGTGGACTGGAAGATTCCGGAGGGGGTCGAGAAGACTGGGCAAGGGGGTGTGAGACCTACATACGTCGCGATGGATGGTGTGGTTTATGACTTACTTCCGGTACCGATCATCTTGTTCAGGATGAGAAAGACTGCCCCGGTGACACCAATCTTGCGCGACTCATCAAAGGCGTACGTCTCCTGCTGTCTAACCACCCCTACTTCTTCCGCCGAGGCATCATCCTGCACAATGTGCCTGTCCTCCCCTATATGATGATCTTGTTTGAGTGGTGAACTCATCGCTCGGCATCGGCGAAGGAAACTGGGGTATCGGCCGAACTCGAGTTTCTGTGATTTGCACGGCGTTCACGTGCTGGAAAGCACTGCCAGGAGAGTTCTAATGAGGGGATGTATAGAGCCTCGAAACCAAGATGAGAAGATCGGCAAGCGGGTGGCTCCGTGAGAGGCCAACGGGAGCTATATATCTGTTCCTTCCCTACATATAGGTACCTGCTGCAATGCTGCCTTGCCGTGTCACAACCCAGGACAAAACGGTGAAGGTGATCATCCCATGCCAGGCCTTGCTGCTGAGAGATCCCCGCACGTCATGGCATTGCAACGTCACGCCAGCTTCGATCTGCCAACCGACTCGCCGCCTGGTACCACGAGGGTGGATTCCATGGAGTAGACGGACGAACGAGAAGAAAAGTTGAGTGAAAGTGACTTCTCGAGATTCACAATATTGATGAAGCTTGGGGGTGTAACTGTGGCTCCGACGAACCAGATGTCGCCGAGACCATAAAATAGCCTCAGGAGCCAATATACGGACCCCACACCGACCAGCCAAATCTTAAAAACTTTGCGTGCTTCCAGAAGGAATCGAGCATTGGCGTGTCGGGTGTATGTACCACCTGAGGCTGACACGCATACGAGGCGACAGGCGCCCCTGGGCTGCGGTTGTAGCTTCTCGAGGTGCTGGAGCTGCCTCTTGAAGCTGAATCGTCATAAATGCCGGCAAGCTCGCGAGGATGACTTCCAAGTTCCTAACCAGTGATTCCTCGTGTCTCATATCAGATGGTCTTGGAGTGCCCAGGTCAAGTGAGATGAACATCTTCGCCAAGAGTGCGTCAGCAGGCTGGGTCGTCTCGGCGGCGGCGAGGCCAACCAGAGGTTTAGTGACTGCAGTCCATAGGCCTTCCAATTACGGAAGGTCGTTTGGGGCTTTTGACACGGCCCTTATGTTGAGTTGACTTGGCGGTCCTCTCGCTCTGGGGTTGATTGGCAGTCCGGGGACCCCAACTAAAACAACAGTGGAGTGACCGAGGGGGCTGGTTGTTTGCCTTGCGGTGCGGCGTCGTTGCAATGCCAAGTAAGTCGGTGGTGAGAAAGAGGAAAACAAAAGGAATTGTGTTGATGTCGTGCTCGCTGGGGTGAGATGGCGAAAGATGTTGGACCGAGGCGTGCCGACTGGTGTCCTTTCTTGGTTTGTTTTGTGCGCTAAAACCTCGAATACCCGCTTATGTGCAGTGTCTGCCCCAGCTGAGCTCAACTCTAAATAAGTGCCTTCAAGTTATTTTCATCTATAGAAACTGACTTGAGTTATTAACTTCCTGGTTCTGGTTTGTACATAGTCTGTGTTCTTCGATCTATCAACCCGTGAAATTTTACAGAACCATTGCGCATCAATGCAACAGACAGAGTTCCAACATGTATTAGCCTGTCTCAATAGACTTAAAGGTGATATGGAATTAACGCTGGAACGGGGAAGGGTGGGGGGGAGGGGGGGGCGGGCTCCAGACAAACACCTAGTGCTATACTTTTCAACCGAGATCCATTCCTCAGCACTATACTTAGTACCGTTTCATTCAAATGTTGAAAGCTGGTTTGAAGTACCTATGCAATGGTTCATGCTTTCTCTCCTGATATAATCTAAAGGACTTGCCAAACTTGGTCTCCCTGTCGATGCTTCATCTTGAATTGGTAACTACGTGATCAATCATCTGGTCTATCGTTTCGCTCACAGCGTCCAAATGTCTTGATTTCCCCCCTTAACTAAATGATCCGCACCAAGTGTCGACCATGTTTGTACGTGACGCATGGCAAGGTTTCCTCTTCTCCATTGCGCGCGAGGAAGTTCGCCCTCACATCCTTGCCCCAACCACGGGCAATTCCAACTCGACGGAAGACACCTTCTTTCCTGTCTTGGAGCTCCAGCAATAGCACGTAGATACTTCCATGATCGTCTGGTCTTTTCCTCGCCGGCATGCAGAACAAGTCTGGTTGAAGGTTTTGCATACCGGTCCACTCCTGGCTGGTATCAAGCGCCACATGCGGCTGATATTCCTTCATGACAGAATCTGCGCGGACACTGACGGGAACACCGTTGACAACCATTTTCAAAAAGTCGTGGTTGTTGTCATGACTGCTGAGCGAGATGTCGGGAAGAAGCTCGAGCTTCTTGAGTACACCCCAGAGCTGCAGCCATCCGCCGCTGACCAGGCCCGTTGTATCGCTCGTCACGTAGTCAAGATGCAGATTCTGCACCTCAATCAGCATCTCCACCGCTTCAATGTCCATGATACCCGGAGTCACATGTCCATCTACTGCCGCCCACGACCAGCTAGGGGCCCGGTAGACCGATGGCCTGGCTTGCGTCTGTCCAACGGCGACGGACCACATGAGTTCTCGCTCCAGATAGCGTCGCCACATCCCCGCGACATAATCATCTCCGAGTAAGTCTCTCGCCGTCTTTGCAACAGCCGAAAGGGCAATCAGCTTATCCCCGGGAAACGTCAGCTTAGCCCTTGTGTAGGCGTTCACAATGTTGCACCAGTATTGGTATTTTGAGAGATCGCCATGGCCCTGGGGCTTCCACCCGATCTGATTGTAGCTAAAGCCCTTGAATCGGCTCGGAAACCGGGATAGGTCGATGAGCATTGCTTCTGGATAAATCTCGGCGGCCTCCTTTTGTTGGCATTCCCACAGGATCTGTCGTTGGCCAAAGTACAGCACCCTCGGAGAAAGTAGTCTCTCCTGGAGAACCCAGGCTCTTGTGTTGATCACTGCGTTGGAGACCTCTGTTCTCCAAAGATTGTAGTCCAACACTAAGAATCGCGTACTCTGAGAACCGACGGGGAGGTATAGAGTTTGTGCACACTGAGCATCCGGATTACGGCTGCAGAACATAGAATAATGCGCGTCTGGTGCATCGGCCGCTGCAATATTGCAAAAGGAACGCGAGTATATCTTGTCCATGTGCGTTGACTCATGTCTCCAGTCAGCGAGGTCGTCGCCCTGTTGTATGATGCAAAGCGAGTCGATCCACAGGTACCGGATATTGAGACGGCGGGTAATTTCAACGGCATCACGAAATAACTGCGGAAGGGTATCGAGAGGTATGTCCTGTAGTAGTTGGGCGTAGTTGTTCAATGTCAGATTGAAAGACTCGGTTATACCCCAGCAATGGCTAAGTGTCGTGTATGGACCTTGAATAGGTGTGATGTTCGGGAGCACCAGTCGACAGCTGAAGCTCTCCTGATCCAGTGGTCCAGTATCGAGAAGGCGACTGGGACACCACTGCGTAATTGTAGATGCTTTGGCACCGCAGTGCGAGTGTTCGGCCAGGCATTCTGCAATCCATTTCTGCGCAACATGGAAAGTGCTGTCGGACCTTGTAGTGTGGGAGTGCGATGCGATTTTGTATTGGGGTGCGTAGGCTTTGCAGACAGTATCAGATGATTGTATTTTCACAGTCTTGTGGTGCTTTTCACCAGAAGATGGACGTACAATCTTGTGGAAGAAGCAGGATAGAAGCCCGCATGAATCCTTTGCTGGGGTTTCTTTCCAATTGAACGACCTTGCTTCGGTCAAAAGCTATCTGTAGTAGAAGTGCGCTGGGATAAGCAAATGCTGCGCCGTCGTCCAGAAACACCGAGGTGAGGGTTGAGTTGACGAAGTCTGCAGACTCTTGTCCCGCTGGCTCGATACTCGACTGTCTCACTTTTTGTCGCTCATCCGTGTCCAGGGTAGCCCAGAGTCGATTGCATATGTAACAACCGGCGTCCACGGAGGCCGTGAGACTCCCGCAATCGCGGTGATGTGGCTCCAATGGGTTTTCCCCGTTTATCTTGCTGCTAACCAAAGCGTAGTCTTTCTGTGCCCCGAGGACGAGATGACAAGGGGAGCAAATCATCTTGATGTTCCGGTTCCTTGGAGGGTAATTCCCAAAATCACTGATGAGAGTGGCTAAAGGGGTGCGAATTGTGAATTCTTGCTGGTTTGGCGCGAGGAGAAGGCAAACTCATTATTTCTCAGATTTCTGTTTTCTCTTAGATTGCCACGTCGTCGCCTCCGTCTCCAAATCAGGTGGCCTTAGCCGCCTGGTTTGGGCGAAAAGGACTGAACTTTGAGCGAATCACGTTGCTAGCACGATTACCAGCAACATCAGGTGAATCAGGTAGGCGTCTGATAAGTTAGTCTTATTCATCATCCTTCAGGGGAGCAGGACCCCTGTGCGTGCATGAACTAGCGGAGAATCCTGTAGGAACCCTATGAGAGGAGCTACGGCGCTGAGGAGTATTTAGCTGAAGTAATTGTTCTCAAGTTAAGACATTGAGGTGCATAATCTAGTACCTATAATACAGGAAATTGGTCGTCGTTGACATGACTTGCTGAATGGGAATACCTGGCGCCAAACCAAGCATCGGCAATGTGTCGTTCAGAGACGCCGGCCGGGTGTCGGCTTCACCAGAGGGCAGGTTCCTCCGTCCCGAAAAGTCAAACGTCCGGTTCCCGAGGTCAATCTGTTGCCATAGCCACCAAAGTCTGTCAATCTGCACATGATGCAGGAAAAACAAGGGATCTGTACTCGCTGTCAGTTGATCTGACACCCTTTACGTGGCTGGTCGGAGCATACCGTTTGGAGATGTCGAGGGAAACAAGTCTCCGCCCACAGCTGAATGAATCGCACCGTGAGGCCCATTCTCCAGGGCAGTCGCGAATGTGGAAAAGTTGCCGGAGTTCTCGACGATGCCCGATACTTTTGCGGGCGAGTACAAGCCGCCTTGGTAACGACCGGCGTTGACCCCGACGCCGTCGTTGAATCCGCGGTTCAGACAATGCGAGAGCGCATTCGTTGTGTAGTACGACACGGTGAAGTTGGCAAAAGCCCCGTCAAGCACGCACATGGTCAGCGGGTTTGGTCTCGTCGGTGCCACCCACCCGCCGTTTAGGCCGTTTCCCCCCAACCCGGAGGTTGTGTCGTTGGAGAAGACGGGGCTCTTGGACATGTCGTCTGAGTCAAGTGTCCAGTCCCAGTAGGTCATTGGACCTGTGTACTTGCATTCATCCCTCAAGGCCTTCTCGTAGACGTACACGAAGTACCGATGCCAGGGGAGGAACTGAGCCACAAAGTGAACTGAATCGTTTGATCAGCACGAGTACGCGAGTCGACGTCGCATGATGAGAGGACTCACTTTCGTTGTTGAGCAGCGCGTGGACATAGGGAAAGTCGTTGTAAAGCGATGTCTCGAGACCAATCTTTGACGGCAACCCATCCAAGCATTTTACTGCGCTGATATAGTCTGCCTTTGCGGCACTTGACAGGGTTCGCCACTCAACTCTCAATGGCGCATCCTGGACTGGAAGAGCGATGGTCTCGCTGACAAGCGCAGCCAGCGATGCAAGGCATCCGGCGGTTGTAAGAAAACCTCTCATTATGGAGAGTTTCTTGATTATCAGACTGGTGTACGACGCAAAGAGTTGTTAACGCTTGCGTTGCGGCAATCAACCTATCTATCTAAATAAATATGAAGTGTTAATCTTCTCGTATCGCTCATTTCAACCACTTTTAGCGCACGCTGCTATTTCGGTATTGCCTTCGTATAAGGGGGGCCACCGTGCTAAAAATGGCGACTTTGCGGATGATCCCTCCTCCTCCACCCACCCACCCTTAAGCCGACGGGATATGCAACACCATTAAATCACTGCCTTAGGTGCCGTGAATAATGAACAAGGCTCAAGGACAGGTGGAGGCTCGAATAGTGTGATGCTTTCTCATACATATCGTTCCGGTTCACCTCATTGTACAAATTCAAATGTATCACGCATTAGGAATCTTCCCGGGTATGCTCCCTTCTAGGATGACTGTAGGGTTCTTCGCAGCTAGCGCAATTTCAGCCCCGGTCAACTCATGAATCAGTTCCACATGCCTAAGCTCAAGGCCCGAGATTCCCGAGAACTTCTCTCTGGGGCAAGAGTTTCCACCGGAGGTGCCGTGCGCTCCAGACCGGCTCGGGGAGTCCGGGATTTCTACCCAGCCGAATTCTCCGGGGCGATGAAGCAGCACACTGGACATCCATGAGCGTACCTAAGACTGTCTCCAAGTATTACTATAGAAATGCATTTATTTATGATGGAGTAGATAATGATAATACTAATCAAGTTACTTGATAATGCAAGAACGTGGAGGCAGCCGAAGTTCAAGGAAATAAAAAAGATAAAGAAAAAAAAGTGAAGAGAACAAATATCAAGCGGTCCCCATGGCTGAGCTGCGTCGCATCGTCAATGCACCATCATCCGCCGAGGTTCTAGCCGCGCTACGAGAATGAGAGTCTCTTCCGCAATCCATTTCGCCCTCCAGAGTCTTCTCAAGATGAATCTCCTTAGCCCCACCCTCGCCCGGAGCTAACGAGTTCGTCACGCTCTGAACCAGGGTGGACTGAGAGAAGGATTTCGTTACGCCGCCGTCGCCCGTCCCGATAGACGAACATGCCCGGCTCCGCGGTCGCGATGGACTCAGGGTATTCTCGTCAGCCTCGACCCCTGAAGGGTCATGGGCGTACTCTCTTGCAACTGTAGTCCTCGAGATATCACCATTCGGTCCGGAAATGAGAAACGGGCCTTCCAAGTTGGGATATCGTTCCTTTATGTCGTCGAATATGTCCCAGTGATGCGTGAAGTATGTCACCCTGGAGACTTGCTGATCACCTCCGTAAACATTTCGACCCCAAATCTGCCCGAGGAGTTTTCCCGTTTCGTCGTGCACCACGGCAGCGCCCGAGTCACCAGATACCCCGGGGCCCTCGGAATTCCACTCTTCGACCGTCAAGAGACCTTCAAGATTCTCAAGATACCATTCTCTGGTCGGCATATGGGGATATTGACGGACCTCGGCCGGTGTGTCGCATACCACTGCATACCGGAACCCACTGCTCCGGCCAGTTGTCTGTATGATTTGCAATTGAGGGCGTTGCTCATACACCCCTCGAATCGGGTCCGAGGAATCGTCGACTTCAATACCGCGCGGTACATAGCGCAGACGATTCTTCGCTTCATCCCCGCAAGCCCTGCAGAAAGCCCAATCCGTAACTACTTGCATGCCTTGCTTGCATTCTCCTGGAACACCTGGCACGTGATGTTGTAGAGATCTTGACGGACGAGTTGTTCTGTACATCTGTCCTGAGTATGCTTTCAGCTCCCCGATCCGGGACGGTTTTTCATTCTTGCCACAGTCGATGTATGCTGGGTGGAATAGACTGTGATGAGGGACCTCGGACGGATCGTGAACATGTTCCCCGTTCGGTATACCATCGAAAAGGTGCCAATTGACAATCCATCCTTCACACCCACCGAGTTTGATTGCTGGACCGAGAGTTGCGGCACTGTCGCTCTCTTCAAAGCTGACAGAATCTCCAAGCATTCTCTCATCATACTTGCCAGAGTTTCTAGGCCTCTTCGATTTGTTATCTGCGTCCTGACTGGAAGTCACTGCATCGGCAGCATGCTCGACAATTCCGACGAGGAATTCGACAGTGACAAGAAGCCGTTCAGAATCCGCAAAGCACGATGAGACGGTGCTAAGGATCTCGTCCTTGACGCCTGCGGAAAGCTCCTCGGGTGTCGTGACGTCTACAGACCTGGTATTGCTTTGGTACTTGAACCGAATCGTGATGCTGTAATCGCCATCATATTCGCTTCTCAGAGTCTCCCGCAGTAGCTGAAGTCCCTCTTTCTCCCAAATCTCATTGAACTCTTTAGAAGTTGACTCCCGTTGCTTGAGACGCTCGCGAAGCTCCTTGACGTCGACAGGCTTTTGCGACATGGTGTGAGGGGGGGATCTCGAGGCTTCCAGGTCCGGGGCAATAGATCTTGCGATGACTCCTTCTGCTCGAGGAGGCACGATGTCTTGGCGGCTTTCTTCTGTAATCTGTCTGGGGAAGATGGACGAGAGACCCGGTACAGAGTTCCGCTTTTCCTGTTGCCGTGACAGTGGCGATGATCTTGATAGTCCGGTGTCCGAATGTCGACGACGGAAGAGGAATTTTATTTTCGATGTCGCAGAACTCAAAGAGGTTCCACTGCTGCTCAAGATTGAACTCAAGGTAGGAGACCGAGTTGGGTTTGGCGAAGGATGGTTGGAGGGCGGAATTCCCGAATCTCGCTGACTGAATGCAGATGAATGAATCTGGAACGCGTCGTCCGGATGAAATGGCCTTTTCCACGGGAGCGGCTGTGCAACGGCTTCTGGTAAAATGCTTGCTGGGTTACAAGCCAAGAATGTCTTTGGAGACTGCCACCCTGATGTTGGATTAAATATTTGATGCTGGGCCCCATGTTGGTTTTTGGGCTCGAATTTTTTCTCCCTAAGTTGCACGCGTCAAAAGTCGGCCTGATTCTGAATATAAATCGCTCCAGTCTTTGTCGGGTGAACATGGACTCGGGCACATGCATGGACTGGGTAATACAAACTTGGTTCTTTTGTTTTTCCTCGCCTTGTTCCGCTTCAGCTTCTTTGGATGACGCTTGGATTTCTGTTTGCCATGTTTGGATCGAAAAACCTCTTTGATTGATTTAAAAGAGGTGAGCTTTTTGAGATGCATCTCGGCTGGAGGAACAGCGCCACAATATGGCTGTTTTCGTCTCAGTCTCACTATTCAAGGTCAAAGACAGTTGGGAGTGCCGAGTCGACAAGCATGGGATGGCACTCCTGCATCGAAGCCCACGTCTCCTCAGACCCATTTTATCCCAGGTCGATATATCTCATCCTCAGCTCAGCCTGATCTGGCAATCTGCCTGGTATTCTTGTTGCGTAGGGCGACGATGGAAATGCCCCGGCTGCCTCGTGGCGTTGGGGCTGTGCTCCGCAGGATTTGGATGTGGAAAAAGCCCATCTACAACCCAAAGCGTTCCGGTGTAAGCTGGTGTAGGGCGAGGAGGTTGACTAGGCCCGTACCCTCTAGCTGCAGCTTCCGCACGCTTACCATGCAAATCCAGGCGGCCTGTCATCTTCTCGGTGACAGGAGGCGGAGATGATTGGCCAGGAACGGAACGCGTCTCCCTTGAAGTATGTTTGGTGATGCTTCGTATTCCCATTCTTCATTGAGTATGACTGGATCAAAGAGCCGCCTTCTAGTTTTGATGAACTGCTGGCGTTAGCATTCGAAGCTAGCCCACGATATTGATATTGATACCTTGTCATATCCAATTTTGGTGAGATCCCCTCTAGAAGATGATGGGGATTTCTAGGTACTTGGAAATCCACAATGGCCAATGGTCGCACCTGTTAGCTCTATGGAAGACGCTTCCGTGAAAGGCTTGGATCGTGACCTTTGCAGGCCCTGCGCTCAATGCACAGTGATTCACTTGCCTACATTACAGCGACTAAGCAGATGCCTTGAGCAGGCGGTCAAACATGGAGCCAATCATAAAAAAAACCTTTCCTTGTTCAAGCCTCGAGGTCGATCTCCAGAGTCAAGACAATACGATAAATCCACGTCGATCAATTATCCTCGCCCGCATTTCAATCATTCTATTCAAACAAAGACTCGAAACATCAAGATGGTTGCCAGCCGTGTTCTTCTCCTGTTTGTGGTTGCCGCGGCCATGGCGCAGCAGACAAACCTCGGCTACGAGCGCCTTGCAGAGAGGCGTGATGCTCTCCCTCCCATTCCTGGAGTGGGTGTTGTAAGTTGATCCTGGGTACATACACTGTTCAGAAACAGTCTCTAACAAGCTCGGGTGACAGGTCGCCACATTCTTCGACGACACAGTCAACATCATCAACGAGATCAGTCACTGGCTGTCGTCCAATATCACTGCCGGATTGTGAATCAGTGCTGAATAGGCTGAGATTGAAGGGGGTTGAAGGAGCGAGGAATGAGACGCAGAGAAACCAATTCTTTTTAGTATGATCAAACGGTTCCAATTCAAAGTACCGTCAGACCCCTACTGAGCCCCCCGCCGCCGAGGATGTACCACCACGACCAGCGTGAATCATGCGTGGCTGCCACAGTGACTGTAGACACAATAGACATTTATTTACAGTGCTAGCCATAGCTTGTACCGCATGACCCCTATATCCAATACTCCAGTCTCATCGTTGCTAGAGAAGCGGGTCATCTCAGTATTGAGACTGGTCCTGACCCATCTAGGCCTGAACTCCCTGCTCAACCTCCATCTCCTCAATCTCATTGGTGTTCTCAAGCGAGCGGCCGCCCTTCTGGTTCTTTGATGCCTTGGACGCTTTGGAGTTCTTCGAATCCTTGGAGGCTTGGGAGTGGTATGAGGCAAGCGATTGCTCGCAGCCTTTGCCACAGTTGTTGTTAGCCTTTTTCAAGTGGTTGTCGTCATGCTTCTTGACATCAGCCGGGGTATTAGGACCTCTGGCTTCGCGGTTCTCGATGGTGGTCTCAATCTCGAGGGACACAGCTCCGACTCCGTCTCCAGAGACGGCGGCCAGATCGTGAGGCAAGGCAGTGACGACGCCGCTGGCGGTCAAAGTGGCAAGGACGATAGTGCTGAGGAAGCGCATTTTGATATTTTGTTGGTTTGGATGTGGAAATGTTTGAATGAACGAATTAGTGCTTATTGCAAGAGATCACAGCAGAGAGGGTATTCAGAGGCGGACTGAAGAAGCTGGGATACCGGAAACGGAAGTCAAGTGGGCTGGTGAGAAGTTCTGGAGGCAGGTATGAAGGGGACTCCTTTTTCATTTTATATCTGAAAATGAGCCACAGCTTGTCCTACCGCCACGCCTGACCTCAAAAGCTTGAGGCGATGGTTGAATGGTTCAGGGCAAGGCGACTCGTGAGAGTTCAGTGCTGTGCTACATCCTCGGCTAGGTGAATCCCCATCAACAGCCTCATGCATCGCAAGCAAACGGCCATCATTAGATGACGCAGTAATTCACTTAAGCTTTGGGGCTGCTAGTCTGCCCCATTTTTGTTGCGACTAATGATCAAGGTTAAAATAATATTGTAGCAACAAACGTCTTCAGCCAAGATCCGTGGAACAAAACGGTTTTGGTGAAACGAAGAACTTTAATTGCCGGTGCAGAATGTAGCGCAGGCCTGCTATGGATCGAGCTGCCGCAGGAAGGGGACTCGTGCAACACCGAGCCGTCGACTCATGTCCTCTCCGACTGTCCGGGAGGTGATCACAGCGTGATCGCTCGGTTGATCTGCAGCCCCTCGAATTGGTAAGTGTCCGGACGAGGGAGACCCTGTATAAGCGCTTTGTCGAGGTGCCAAACAACCTTTCGGCATAACCTCATTCTACACCACAAGTCATATTCCGGACCGATTTCAGCGCAATGTTCTGCCCAACTCGAACACCAATTCGTGGTGGAGGTTGATTTTGTCGTTCTCGCCTTGTGGTTCCTAGCTTTCCGTTATTGCGAGCAGGTTCTAGCCAGAGAGCTCATTTTCAGTACAGCAATGTGACTGAACCTCTGGGTTTGGACTGAGTCTCCACGCCCGCCAACAGGGTTGGTAGGAAAAGTTGTGAAAACTTGCCCATCTCGCATCTCCTCGTAGACGGTGCGGCAGTGTCATCTCTTCCTACTTGGTCAGGGCAGTTGAGACGCCAAGATGAGAGCCCGAAGACGATGATTTGTGAACGTCCCGCCGATTTGCGCTGCTGACCGACTGACAGCGTCTGTGCAAACATCAGTCCTAGCACGCTTCAATTCGACGAATCTCGTCCGAGGATACGCCACTTACCGGACATTATTGACCTGCTTTCGCTATATTAGATGAGTCGAGTTATGTAGTCGAACAAGCTTCCGTTTCTGGAGCTGTAAGGTACGAATTCTACCCCAGGAAAGTTTTAGCCACAACCAGCTCTATGGGTAATTAGAATGCGAGAGAGGCAATAAGGTACGAGGACCTACATGCAACCAGCCGCACTATCCGTGAGGTCTAGCAACTTAGGGCCAGAGTTCACGCGACTGTACAAGCTTGAATCTGCCTGGCAGTTCAGACGGTCGCACCATTAAATTCCACCAATTTCGCCCAAAAAAAGTTCAAGCGACACACAATCCAGGATGGCAAAACACATGCAGAAACCCTTTCGGAATCTTAATCACTAGCCAGGTACCGACTCCACAGATGCAAGTTCTCGGCCGATGCGGATTTCCATGTCTATCAGAAAACGTGGAAAGCGAGGGAGTCCGAAGGCCGCAGACTAGCCAATGCTGAAAAACAAACCCCACGTCCTTCTCCTCCTTGATAAACTGGAGGAAGCGCATGCATTGCGCCAAGTCTCATGACGGGCGCCAATTCAGAACCAACATTACGCGGCATATAGTGCCATGAAACACGGTAGTGAGCGAGAGCAAGTTGGACTGTGAACAGAACGACAGGCTTGGCGAGCAAATCGAATCGTCGATACTGAGAGACGGTCAGTGCGATCGATGATGGACGCCCCGGCGGCTAGGGAAACCTTGTCACGTCCGGCCTCGAGCGAGCACTGTTTCTCCGGAGCACGGATGACGCGAGGATCTTGAATCAGAGATTCACCAATGCCGAATGGGAGCGGCCAATTAACGCGCACGGAGGAACTCTCTTTCGCCGTCTCATTCGAGCCCGTACGAACGGAATTCTAGGATCACACGCGGGGCCGAGCTTTCGGGTAGTCGCCTCGTCCGAGGCGAGCTGATATCATGGCCGACGGTGTTTCACGGAGGGCTTGATTTTCATTCTTGGTTCATTTCGGAATCTTGAGCAGAGGATTTCAATTTCTTTGACTCGATAATTATACGACATCTCGGAATCTGAATCCTGGTCGGGTGTTGCAGCTTGATGCTGGGGAGCATGAAGGTGCCGTCACACTTTTCTGCAATTAAAATTGCTGCCCGCAGTCGCAGCATCCAGTAAAGGAATTTCGGGTTTAGCTTCTTTGCGTAGTGCTTGCCGTTACTACAGAGTTTGTGACACGCAAGACTCTGGTGGAAAAGATCGAATTCCTTTGGATAGTGTGAAGACTTGAAAAGTAGGCAAATCATGAAACATATCCCCTGACTTTTTTCAATGATCTGCATACAATGTCAGGGATAGCCGTGCCTCTACCTGAAGTTTTGTATTGAAAGTGATGACTTGCTGAAGAATGAAGGCTTCTACTCCGGATGATACATCTTCTGATGAAAACGTGATCGCTCGCAACCACGTGCAAACACACTTTACACACACACACACACACACAAGCTGGCGAATGTAATTTCTTTGCTCTGTTACTTAATTCAAATATTTGCCTGTAAATGTACCATTTCACTAGCACTCGAAAGATCATTCCAAACCTGTGAGAAGCTTATGAACATCACCTTCGAAAATGGGCTTCTGGCCTAATATGCTCATTAGGCCGCACTCTGTGGAATTGTTGATGTTTTTGGCGCAGAAGAAAAAAAGAATATGAATGACGTCTTGATTTTAAGAGTTGTGGAATATCAGTAGTGATACATCACCGAAGAGAAGAGATAAGCGTCCTCACTTTGGTTCTCTAAAGTGAGAGAACGACAGGCTGCAAGCATGATGGTCGTGCTGGGGTCCTGAGTCCCGGAATTTGTCGTTTCGAGCCGAATTTTTGCCCGCCAGCCTCGGATTGAGAGATGGCCTGCGGTAGTATGATTACTCTCCGTGTTTCAAGATGAAAAGGCCCACTGCGTAACAATAGTGTGACAGGTAAACTGTATGTCCAGACTCCGCAAGACTGAGAGCAGGAGCATGTCTTGGGTGTAGATGCTTCGTTGCTCTCCTGCCGGAAAATTCGGCGTCCAGTGAACCTTGTGGACAAATCCGAAGCACCACAGATGCCTCGTACCTGAGTAAAATGAGCACCACCTGGCTTAAATATTCGTATCTTTTGAAATCCCAGCCTTGATTGGATGCCCTCGGCAGTAGAATTTTCCAGGCACCTAGCAAGAGGCTAAGAAGACAACGATGCGAAAGTGCCTTATATTAAGCTTAAATGGATAAGAAACACGGTAATTCCATATACATGATGAGAGTGAGGGCCATGTGAGAAAGTACAGGTGAAGCTATCTACCTTTTACTAGTACTGGGCACATGCAGTTTTCGTCACGAAAGAGGCTTAAAAGAAAGTTGGAGACGAGTAGCTTGATTTAACTCAGGTAATGCGGGTACAGCTGGTATGTTCCCATGGGCACTAGCCTGTAACAGCCTTTTCGGTATCCGGAGAGTTCAACTGTAACGGGTCGCGACCTTAGGACTGTATGGGGGTGTCGTGTGAAGCGGGGGTACGCTTAGTAGGTTAAGTTGGGTTCGATTCCCATCGGCGTCAGCTGGTGTTTTGGCCGAATAACATACTTTAGGACTACAAAGGGGTCAAACACCTCTACTCTAAGTAAGGTATTTCCAAGAGAACAACAGGGGGACTCATTGGTGCTCTTCGCTCTGCCCTACGCCCTACGGCTTACGGGGAGAGGAAACCCAAAAACCAACTCTGAAGTTTCCATCTACGTGTGTATTCGGACGGTCTCCACTCTATTTATGTGAGTTTGAACTTTGCAAACCCATAATCGACCAATCTGCTGGTGTCTGGCTCAAGAAGAACCATGATACGTAGACTCGAGTCTTGATAGCTCACAGAATTCATCACCCCCTTGGACCCCTCATGCTTATTTGGTGTTGGAGCCAGAGATCGCCAGATAATGAGGATGATGAGGCGAGTGCATGCGCCGTTCCTATGTTCGAGTTCATCGTTTGGTCAACTTTTTTAATCCTAGGTCGGATTGTCTCGAAGAATGATGTTATCGTACTCTGGAAAGAAATAACTGTTTTGCCTGCGGTATGTACTTATTCACACTCCAGTCTAGATTCCATTTTACAATCACCTTTTCTGTCAATTCTCGGTGCGCCTGACCGCTGTCTTTTGTTGGCTCCCGAGTGAGATTGCCCCACCTAATGAGCAAAAGGAATGAGGCAAATACTCAGCTTCTCATGTTCCTGCTTGTTTGGCTGTTTGTTGAAGCCTGAAGAGGATCCGGGGGGGGGGGGGTTGCCATGTGACCACCTGGTGCATCAAGGAAAAGAAAAATGAGTCTCTGTGACCACATGGCATCCAAGATGAGACGTGTCGCGGCCCAATAGAGTGTCATTAATTTCCCTGGACAGTACAAAGCGTTGGTTGTGAGTTGCCACTGCAGCCCACACTTCTCTCCCCGCAGACATCATTTCCATCGTCTGTGATTATGCCAAGAAGTGATCGACATACCCAAAAGTTAGTCTTGGGCTGAAACTTTGCGTTGGTTTTCTTTCAAGGCGTCTGGATGATTCTACACGTGATTGAGAGGCAGTCTTGTCGTGAGCTCATCATAAGCAGCCCATCAGCTCGGCGGTTGATGATTGATAGAGGAAATTGGACAGTTGAGATTAAGGACATTTGCGTGTCTCAGTCGGGACTCGGCGCAGATTACGACACCGAAAAACTCAAAGAATTCATGTCCAAGACAGAGAGCAAAAAAGAATTCTAGCTGGAACCCCCCACGTCTGTATCCGTCATCTTGCAGAACATGGAGACATATTGGGGCTTGTTTACAGGGTGCCATGCCACTTCCGGGGGGGGCTGGATGTTGCGGTGTAGAACCAACAGCACAACGTGTTGGAGATTTGGGTAGAGAGAACAAAGAAGGGCACTGTGACGAGGGTTCGCGATGCGATCAGTGGCTGCGGCACAGCCACCGCTGACTGCGCCGTCGGCGGGTACGTACCGACATGCCGTGCAGAGACTCCCGCGGCCTTGGCCAAGTCGGGAAGGCAGAAGCACCGGGGCATTTTGCGCATTTTGCGCATTTCGCGGTGGATGTTACCTTAGCAGCTTACAGATTACCTTAGGTGCTTACCTAGGTACCTAGGTACCTTCCCACCTTCCCACCTTCCCACCTTCCCTTATCGCGCGGAGGAGGAGGAGGAGGAGGAAACAACCAGCGGGCCTTCCCTCCCAAAGATCTTTCCCTGCCAGCCTGCCAGAAACGTCAAAGGAGAAACACGTACCGTCTTAGTCAGGCTCACCATGTTTGCTCCCTTCTGTTGCTGCTGGCTGTCTCCTTCGGGCCTTTGCGCCTTTGGGCGGCTCCCCTCCCCCGCTACCCTCTCGGCCGTGTCAATTTCAACCTCGATCCGCCCGTGTCTTCTCCTCATCTCATTCCATGTTCCCAATCCCTTCTTGGACGCAAAGAAGACCAAGGAAGAAAGAGTCCCGACAAAGCTTGCTCCATCCAGCTCACTCCAGCCTCGAGGTCGCACAGAGACAGCATCCTGAATCCCCCCCGCCGGTTGTGCTACTCCGGACCGCTTTCATCTACCGCCCCGGAGATCGGAACTGCGTTTCTTCAACGCATACACGCATCCCTCCAGTTCATCGGCCAGTAAGCCAGACGGTGGATCTGCACATCCGTCGGCTGTACAGAGTACCAGGGAGGAGACGGGAGAGAAGGATTGCTTGAGGCGCGCGGCCCCTCACTGTGGCTCAGACAGTAGGAAAACTTACTCGGGTTTCCCGGCCCTGTCTCCCCTCGTGCGAGTCGAGGTATCCGTACGGAGACGAGATTGTATCCACCGCCAAAACTCTCGATTGCCCATTGTCCTTCGCCATCGCGCCGCTGGATGGGACTCCCGCGTGACCCGATTCGACGCGTCCGACGCTCGCTCGAATCATGGGCCAGAACCAGGACGACAGCAATCTGCCAAATGGAGAGAGCAGACGGCACAGCGAGCCCAGCATAAAGCGCCGCCGCATCACAAAGGCCTGCGACTTTTGCCATCGTCGAGGGCGGAAATGCAAGCCCGTGCCCGACGGAGGCGGGGTCGCCTCCGCCAGCCCCGGCGGCACCCCCAGCTGCCTGACCTGCATCGAACACGGCGCGACCTGCACCTGGACCCGTGTCGCAGCCAAGCGAGGCGTCAAATCAAAGACGTCGCCTTCCTCTTCGCTGCACAATAACAAGTCTCATTCGTGCGACGATGCCGATGCCGATAGGTGGTTCTACGATGAGAGCCGCCACGGCAGCCGTACCCTAATCTACCGCCTCATTGTCATCTTTTTCGACACAGTATACCCAGTGTGCGTTCTTCTCACTCCCATCCCTTTCGCTTGGCATCTTGTTCTGTACTACCTTCGATGAGCTAATCCCGGCTGAAGATTTCCATTCTTCGACGAGGTGTCCCTCCACAAGGAATGGGAGGCCACCAGTCTGTCATCTAGCAGGGCTTCATTCGCCCGGCTGATGGCCATTTGCGCATTAAGTTCATGCCACGTCAGAGATGGCGCCTTGTTCAACCCGGATACGCCCTCTTACCTTCGCCCCGAGCATCATGAAGCCTACATGCAGGATGCAGAGAGGGCCATTCCAGAAAGGAACCGTGATATTCGCAGTTCCGAGGCCTTTGAGTATCTCCAGGTTCTCGGCACGTTATCCTTGGCCGCCACCCAGCTCAAGGACGATCCCCTCTTCCACGAATGCATGGGCCGTTATCATACATTAGTAGCTCAGCACACCTTTCATTTCGAAGCCCGCTGGCCCTCGCATCTCACGTATCCCGAGAAGCATGTGAGGCGGCAGTTCTTCTGGTCAATGTACCGCTTGGAGGTTCACGCGGCTCTCATCGACGGCCACGTCGTACGGTGCCCAGAGCTGCAGTGCGCCGTTGCCTATCCGCAGCAAGTCGACGGCCTTGCCGGCATCGTTGACGCGTCCGGGCAGACCGAGAAGACGCGGTTCAGTCATGGCAGCTGGCTCACCGGCTGGAACTACATCACCGATCTGTATCGCGTTCTGGAGCATGTCATTGTCCGAATGCGCAAAGATAGGCTAAAGACGCTCGACAGAGGTCCGATCCAACACGAACCCCTGATGCCAACCATTGACGACATGCTGCATCTGGTTTTGGGAAAGAAGAGCAACCTCCCTGCCTATGCCACACGCGCTTATCCCGCGTCAAAAGATGTAGAGGCAAACCTGTGTGGATTTCAAGTAGCCAATATTGCTTGTACTTTCCAGGTAGGCTCGCTTGGATGCAGGCAAGATGTCCTATTTACTCACTTCTGTTCCGCAGCTTCTCCGAATGGCAGCATTCGCATGCCACAACAAGTTTGAAGATGCTTGCGGCGCTGCGCTTGAGTTGATACAGGAGATCACTCTGGTGCCAGTTGAATACTTGCGGGCAATCGGATACCCCATGGTATGCTCTTCACCTGCTTGGCATGACGATGTGCTGACATTTTCACCCAGCTGCAAGAGTTAGCCGGAGTTGCCCATTTACTTAGCAGCTTCATTGCCCGCCAGTTGGTCGACTGGCAGTACTATAAACTTCGTGAAGTCATGTGAGTGGTGTTCCGTACACTTCCTGTACAAGCTGTCCATACTGAATCGTCAGGACCACCATGGCGACATTTCTCCAGAGTCTCGCACCGTCTCTTCCTTCAGCAAGTCAAGCGGGTGCACGCATCTTTCAGTATATTCACAAATTAGAAGAGATACTTCTTCGGCAGAGTCAAGCAATACCAACAGTGACAGCAGTATCGGCAGTAACGGTAGCCCCAGTCATGCATCAACAGCCTGAGATGGCGAACGACCCGCGGGTCATGGACTTGATGCCTCAGCCACAGCCGCAGCCGCAACCGCACCAAGGGATTCTGGAGCAATACGCGTTACCAAATACTGCATTTTATAATTTTCAGACAGATTTTATTGAGAACATGTGGACAAATGCCTTGAACGACGGAGCGGAGATTGACTGGGCTGGCGCAATTGAGAGCTGGGGGACGACTTGACTCCGTATCGACTCGTGCCTGATTTAACAACATCTATACATGAATACTATACGTTTTCTCAAGGCCATTGGTATCTGATCGTACAAGCCGAGAATTTTTTCGGTCTTACACCACTTGTTCCGCGTTGCCTGCCACTTCCGTGCTTCTCACGGCAATGTTGGTTTTTGTATCGTCCCTCGGAAAAAACGCTGATTCAGTAGACGCCGTTTCCTCGTCACGTCGTCGTGACAGAAAGCGAATCCCTGCCCGGACCCCGTCAATCGTCTTCATGCTAGGCGGAAGAGCAGAGAGTACATCCTCTTCCAACGCAGTCATGCCCGCACATCCCAAGATGATGCTCTCTGCGCCAGCATCAATCAAAGGTTTCGAATAGGCGGCGATACGATGGACGACCACACCCCGATCCAGGCTCTCCAGCTCCAGCGGACTCAACCCCGTCGCCGCGACGCCGGCAGAAAACCGCCCATAGCCGAGATGGTGGACAGACTCCGTCAGCGGCGTCTCCCACGCGGCCGCCGTCGTCACGATGCCGAACTTGCCGCCGTCCGCGGTAGCCTCCTGCAGCGCGGCTTGGAATATCCCCGTGATGGGGATCTCGTCTGACGCGAAGCGTTCGCGGAGGGCGTACACGAGCGGGTGGTCTGAGAAGCAGCAGACCAGGACGGCGTCTGGGCGGTGGGTGGTGATGTGCTCTACGGCGCGGGGGAGAAGTGCGTTGGTTGAGGATATGGCTTGTGCGTGGTTTTCGATGCAGGGGGGACAGTTTTTGAGGTCGCGGCCGTCGATGAATGTGATTTGGAGGGATGGGGTGGAGGGATATATGCGCGTGAGGTCCTCTGTCATGCCTGTTGTTGATATGGGGATGATGCAGAGGAGCGTTGTGGGCTTGTCTGTGGGCGGCGCCATGTTCTTTGTTTCATTTGGTCTCGGTCTCGAAGACAAGGGAGGGGAGTTGACCCGGGTATATCGCAGATTTCTCTATAATAATGAAGCGCATGAATGGGATGAAATTCAAGCTTTTATCAACCTTATTATTGATTCTTATTCGTGAAGAGGCGCGATCGTGAAGGCCTTGATGGAACCGGTTCCAAGGATTCCGCCGTTTTCGGCGGCGATCCAAGCGGAGGGGTTCCGCTGGGGTGGTGCCGCGAGTTCTGGCTTGGATTCAACAGCTCACCCGCTTCTCCCCCCGCCTTTGTGCGTGGTGGACGGTGGAACACGTCCTTTGCTGCTTGTCTCCCGCATCGGCAGTTGGAGATGATCTGCCATGCAGGGCTCGTACAATGTGGAACCCTCTCCCCCCTTGACTCATGTTTTGGGTCATTTTGCCCTCTTGACGGATACAGCATCCACGTTGATGGTGTCTGAGCAGGGGGGTCCCTTTGGAGGTGGATTTTGGCGCCGGGGGACGGGGAGTAGAGGTGGAGAGGCTGCCATGATTCACGAGGGCGAGAAGATGAGCTGGCGCCGTGTGGATGGATTGACGGCTTAGGGCTTGGTGGTGGTGGTTGCTAGGGTTGTTGATAGGAGGGATGGACTCGGCGGGTGAATCAAATAAGTGCGCATGATGGCCACCCACCCTCCTTTTTCCATCTCCTTATCCAGTTGTTGGTGTTTTGAGTTGTGTCTCTCCGGTCTGCGGTGAAGCCACCACCAGCGACGCTAGGAAGACTTGCAGAGCAACCAGCACGTGTAGCAAGGATGTTACTTCCATCTTCCATGTATCTGGTCTTGATGGGCCAAGGGGAACATGCACATTTGGCCAACGGCAGACTACTGCTTTGTCACCTTGACGAACATGTCACATTTCACACTCCTCGCATTTGAAGATCATGACAGGTCTGATAGTAAGTGATTAATGCCATTCTAGCATATTCTATCTGAGAAGACTGTGCCCAAAGACAAGGTAATCCGCGCGCTAAAATAGGGAAAAAAGGCAAGAGCTGGCTCGTTGAAAACATCATTACACACCATTCCACAGACCGATCCTTCACACGCTCTTCTCGTCGGGCGCCTCGCGGATCTTGGTGGTGGAACCATGCCCCTCCGCAGACACCTTGGACGACGACGACGGGAGCTGCTCACCGTCGAGCACCGGCCCCTCGGCCGGCCCAAACGTACCAAAGTAGTCCGCATCGTCGACGGCGTGAGCATCCCGGATCGGGAACGCAAGGTGCAGCAGACAATACGAAGCCACGGCCAGGGCACACCCCAACGGCCAGGCGAGGTAATACAGGTGCGACCAGCCCGCCTTTTCGACGGCGGGATCCTGCACCCGCTGCACGAAGCCCGGCAGCAGGGAAAAGGTGCCCACGATCCACGAGACGCCCGCCCGCCAGTTGACGCCGCCGCGGTACCAGTACACGCTCAGGCGGCTCGCCTCGTACAGGTGCGTCAGCTTGAGGCGGCGGGCGCGGACGAGGTAGTAGTCTGCAAACATGACGCCCGTCATGGAGCCCAGGAAGACGCCGTAGCCGCCCATGACGGTGAGGAACTTGCTGGCGCCGTTGAGGAGCTGCCACGGCTGCATGATGAAGGCGACGGCGGCGGTGAGGTAGCCGCCGCGGCGGAGGTTGAAGTAGCGCGGCAGCAGGGCGGCGAGGTCGATGCCGTTGGAGAGGGCGTTTTCTGCGACGGCGATGCCGAACTGGGCAAAGATGAAGGCGAGGCTGGCAAAGAAGACGGCGGCGCGGGCGCCGGCGCTGTTGTCGTAGTGGGCTTGGAGGGCGTCGAGGAAGCGGTAGGGTTCCCAGACGAGGGTGCCCTGGGTCTTTGGGAAGAGCTGGGCGGCGCACGAGGTGCAGATGATGCCGACGAGGGCGACGAGGATGGTGTTGAGGGGCACGAAGACGAGCTGGGAGGCGAGCTGGTCGCGGGGCCGGCGGGCGAAGCGGGTGAAGTCGGACTGGCTAAAGATGTGGGTGCTGATGCCGCCAATGTTTGTGCAGATGCCGAGGGCGAGCATCCAGCCCAGGTGGGCGCCGGTGGCTTGCTGGACGCCGGCCGTGGCGGTGATGTCGTGGAGCATCGGGCCGGCGCCGCGGGCCGTGGCGAGGCACCAGATGAGGAGGACGAAGACGGTGGGGATGACGGTGGCGGCGGCGATGGCAAAGGGGATGTGGTAGCGTTCCGGGCGGATGTAGATGAGGGGCAGGCAGAGGAGGGAGAAGAGGAGGAAGCCGACAAAGTCGGCGACGGTCATTGTGCCGTTGGCGAGGGGGGTGTCGAGGTTGTTGAAGGAGGGGGCCATGGAGGCGATGAAGGTGCGGACGCACTGCCCGCCCCAGTAGACTTGGGTAGAGTACCAGATAAAGGACAGGAGGATGCGCTGGACGAGGGGGAAGAGGGCGCCGCGCATGCCCCACGAGGCCTTTTGCAGGATGGAGAAGCCAATGTGCCACTTTGCGCCGGGTCCGCCGGCGAGGACGCAGATGAGGCCGACGAGGCAGTGGCCGATGATGACGGTCAGCATGGCCTGCCAGACGTTGAGGCCGAGGGCGATGAGGGAGGAGCCCGTGGTCCAGCCGCCAATGTTGAAGGAGCCCGTGACGACCCAGAGGCCGATGAACTGCCAGGGTCCGTAGGTGCGGCGGGAGGGCGGTAGGGGTCTGGTGTCGCGGTTCATGTAGGCCGTCGTTGCCACGTCCGTCTCGCGCGGGACTTGGACGCGGCGGAGGAGGGCCGCTGCCGCCGTCATCTTGGGGGCGGCGGGCGGGATCGGCGCCGGGAAGGGAGGGGGACGGGGTTTAGCCCGACACAAGGCCGCGGGGGGTGCCTCTTATCTTGTGTTTGTGACTCGTATGGATGGAGAGACCGGCACTTGGTGCTGGTCCTCCTAGTTACTCCCGCTGCTGAGCGGTTGGTGCGAGGTGCCGGTGGTGTCGACTTGAGGAATGTGGTGATGGACACTCGACGCCGGTCTGTGGACTACTGCGGTGTATGCCCACCCGTTTTAGCGAGGGGACGGGTCCAAGGTGCGTGAATGTGGAGGATGAGGGGGAGCCGCTCAAGAGGGAACGGGATGGGATGAGGGCAGCACAGGTATGGGGAGGCCACCTCTTCAATGAGATATGAGACGATGTGAGGGCGAAGCGGTAGAGATCTTGAAAGGGGAGACGGGGGGGGGGAGGAAGAGCGCTAGACCAGGCCGTAAGCGGACCGGACGATTCTGAAGTGGCTTTTTTTCTCTTTTAGCGTTTAGCTTGTCAGAGTTTCGTACGAAAAGCTTAGCAGCGTCGCACAGATCGTGGAGTGTTCAAGGACAAGTAGCGTCGCGGAACGAATCGTGGAAGGGGGCCCGAAAGGTTAAAAAGTAGGAGGGGAGGGGATGGAGGCAAATGGGCACGTCAAGGACACAAGTGTGGTGGAGATCTGGATGTCCCTCCCAGATATTTGTATCTCGAGCGTTCCCTTTCCATGATTACGGGATTTCATAGTACCGGGAGTCTGGATCTGGAGAATCGGAACTATAGCTGCATGTTGAGCCGCGGAATTGTCCCGAGGAAGGGTCTGGTATGGACGGGCGAGACAGGAATCTATCCCAGAGGCGTGGTTTACAAACGGGCCACCGATAGGACCCGACTGACAGGGGAAAAGAAATAGAAAAGGGAAAATGGTCTTACTGCGTAGGGAATTTCGTACATGATGGGTGGTGCTGCTTGGCTGACAAAGTGCAGGGTCAGCTTACCGATAGCCGGGGTTCAATGGCGAACGCTCCAGTCGAAGCAAGATATCAATCAGCACGTAGTCTAGCGGGACTTTGAGCTGACGGAGGCTACGGAATACGGATAGATTCCGGGACATGGTTCGTAGAAGCTAGAGAAGCGCCATGTAGTGTAGTAAGCTGAGTGTCCAGGTTCCGCTAGGACAACTCCACGTTTGGTATCGTGCAATTTGAGGAGCCCGTCCCTCTGGACCCCTTTCTCGTGGGATGCGCGGTCAATTTCACGATCCACGACGGGCCCGCGACCCTCTCCACTGCCATGCAGAGCCTGCAGCGGTGACGATGAACCCGGCCCCAAGTGTGGATAGGGCAGAAGGGTGCGGACCAGGCTCTCGGTAGGGAGGGGGGGATCGAGATGGGCAAGGGTCTTTAGGTTCTGGCTCACACCGGGGGTCTGTTTCTACTTCGTGTTGGGTCTTGGAAGGGATTTGTTTGCTCTTCAATCTCGCTTACCATGTTGGAGCAGGACGGACCAAGGCGGACCAATTACAGGAGGCATCGAAGACAGGGTCGCCGACTTGGTTCCCTCACAGATTCTAGTCTTCAAACTCAGTCCAGGTTGCGTGGTTGCATGTTTGCTCCTCCACCGTTGCCATCGCCTCGCCAGATATCGACTGCATACCTACATGTTTACTCTGAACAGATACCAGTCAGGGTTCATCCCACGGCGCGTATGCCGCAAACACGTCCTCGCAAGGAAACAGGACAGTTGAAGAGGGGCTATTGCATTCAGCATTCTACAGCTCTACAGCTCAACAGCCACTGTCTCGCAGTTCTCGGCCGCAGTTCAAGTGGCTCGGGGTTGGCAACGAACCGCGATTGGCTCGAGCAAGACCGTCGCCCGCCCATGATAGACCCCCTCTTTGAGTTGGTGACTAGGTAAGGTACTTTGACGGCTTCAGTCGATCGATCAGAAGCTTCTGATTCTTCCTTCTCCGCATTCTGTCTCGTCCATTCTGCGGAGACTTCCTCTGCATGGGAATCGGATGGTCATGGGGCCACGCGGGCACTGCCGTTTCCTCGCCACACCTACCGATCACCAACCACGGCCGTACCCCCCGGAACCCCCCCGTTCATCTTCCGAAGACAATTAACCCGGTTTAGGGTCGCGTCTGGCGTCTAGCCGTCCGTCACATCTCTTCCTCTCTGTTAGCCCCCTCCCCCTCCCCTCGAGACCTCAAGACCCTGAGACTCGGGCAGCCCACGTGCTCCGTTGCGGGTCTGATGGGCAAAATGCAAAGGCAAATGGGCGGGCACACTCTGTCCCCGTCCCGTTTGGAATAGACAATCTGCCGCTGTTTCTTCCATTCTGCAGCTTTACCCGCCTCCGAGACCCGGAACCCCGATTCCCCACGAGGTTATCTCAAGGTCGGTCCGTTGGAAGAGGGGTTCAAGTGCCTAATAAGAGAGAGGGAAAAGCAATCCAGAGTGCTACTTAACTCGAGGAGCTTGGACATTTCTTTGCCGCTTTGAAGTGGCGTCCCCAGCCGCATGCATCGTTATCATTGTCCTTTTACATACTTTACTACCCGCGCTTCTTTGCCTCTGTGGGCACAATTCGGATCGGACGAAAATTCGAGCCTTATTACGCGCGATAGTACAAGAACCCGATTATTTGCTTATTGTGTCAATCATTATCCACTTCTGAACCCCCCGTGTATTCTTTACTCTTTGTTCTAGAAGCAAGAAAGAGGTTGCCATCAGCCCTCCCGTTCCCCCGTCTCCCCCCCTGGCCCGGTTTGCGCATCTGCGCGGTGCGCCAAACCAACCCCCTGCCAACCATGACTGCGGCCACGGCGCTACCAGTCATTGACTTGCGCTCATTCGACTCGCTCGAGGACTTGGCAGCCGACCTCATGCGCGTCGGCAAAGATCCTGGTTTCTTCTACGTCGTTGGACATGAGCTGCGCGACGACGTTGCAGCCGACATGTTTGCTGTTGCCGAGACGTTCTTCAGCTCACCCCTTGAAGAGAAAGTGGCGTATGCCAACGGCAGCGGCGATTTGGTGAGTGACTTGTTTTTCTCCTTTTCTTCTTTCTTGCATCTCGCCCAACCCGTCTTTTCCCCTTCCTTCCCCGTTTCCTCTCTTCTGCGTCCAACGGAGAATGAGAGGGGCGTGGAATCTTCATCATCTTTGTTGGATGACGGGGGATCGGCGATCAGGATAATTGCGGTGCTGACTGCGTGGTTTGATCTCGCTTAGGGTTACACCGGAATGAGAGAAGAAACGTACGTTTTGCCCCCAGCCCGAAAATACCTTGCTCATGTCCTCCCCATTTCGTTGGTAAAAGATTGTGACATTCCCGCTAAGACGTTGATGTTTGTGTGGATGAACCAGTCTTTCTGGAGCAGGGCCGGGCGATGTAAAAGAGTCGTTTTATCTATCAGACCCCGGATATACGACGCAGCTGCTTCCAGCCGAGTTGGAGTCCCATCGAGAGACAATGGCGGACTTCTTTGCGAGTTGCGATAGTCTTGCAAAGACTCTTTTGGAAGGGCTTGCCGTTGGTTTAGGCGTGAGTGCTGCACCTGACTTGCATGAGATTCATCCATCCTGCAAGGATTCAAACAATTGAGGAAACTCAAACAAATGTGGGTGTGATTTCAACTAAAACCATTTTCCAGATGCCAAAAGACTTTCTATCAAAAGCCCATACTGGCGAAAGTTGTCGTATGCGTCTCATAAACTACCCCCCGGTATCCCAGGTCTCATCATCCACCACCACCACCACCACCTCTTCCTCCCCAGTTGACACCCCCACCTCCCACGCGGAGGATATCCGAGCGGGCGCCCACTCCGACTACGGCTCGCTCACCCTCCTTTTCCGCCAGCCCTCGGACCAGGGCGGGCTGCAAGTCCTACGAGGAACAGACGGCGCCGCCGCCGCCGCATGGGCCGATGTGCCCTGCCTCTCCGACGCCGTCGTCGTCAACATTGGCGACGCCCTCGAGTTCTGGACCGCGGGACGGCTGCGGTCCACGGTGCACAGAGTCGCGTTCCCCCGGTCTGCGAGCGAGAATGTGGCGAGGTTGAGTATACCCGTCTTCATCCAGCCTGACCGGCATGTGGTGCTGGCGCCGATCAAGGCGTGGCGGCGGGACGGCGGTGGGCTGCTGCAGGCGGCCGATGACCAGAGGGATGGGGAGGCTGAGGCCGAGTTTTTGGAGGTTTTGAGGAGAAAGGGGTACGAGAGTGCTGAGCCTGTTACGAGTCGGGAGCATTTGGAAAGGCGGATACGAGCTACGTACGGCAAGGTTTGATGGACGTTATTTCCTTCGGATTCATTGGGCGATGTTGGCGCGCATGGCATGAAAGCGGGCATATTTCTCTTTCGACACGTCTCGTTACTACTCCAAGTTGGAAACTCTCTTGGCAGCTGGCTAGTGTACGTTGCAAAGATGTGTACATACTTACATGGGCGGCACTGGTTGGTGTACACCAAGGAAATGTACGAGAGGAAATAGCACATCTCTATATCCCTCATCTCGCTAGCCATGCACATAACATTGGCATGGCTGCGGAGTATCACAGTCCTTATTTCCCCTATTTCCCTTGGCCAAAGATATTCTGCAGAACAAGATGAAGATGATACACTTTCGCCGAAGCACCCCCCACGCTTACGATTTTCTCGGCGAGAATACCACATTGAGCGGAGCGACGGTTAGGGTACCCGTGTCCTTGTTGCCCTCCAGAAAGCTCTCCACTGTCTGCCCCTGTGCGTATCTCAGGTTGTATTTGTGTACGATGGCGCTGGTCACAAATCGCGTCTCCAGGAGACCAAGCTGCTTGCCAATACACACGTCGTGTCCTGTCGGGTGGGAAGATATGGTCAGTAAAAGATTTCAAGGGCTTCGCGTCAGGTAGCTGGCGACCTACCGGTTGAGAATGGCACGTAGACTGCGGCGTTCTTGACGAGTTCCGGCCGGTCGATCCATCTCTCGGGGATGAAATCGTCTGGTCTGTCAAAAAACCTAGGGTCTATCAGGTGGAACAATGTCACGTCAGTAGACCACCTCGGACCATAACTTATGAATAGCTTCACAAGCAGACCTACCTCTGTACTGCGTGTATGATGGTACAAACACAATGGTATCCCCAGGAAGCCAGACGTCGTCGACCTGGAGTCCCTCGGGCGGCGTCATCCTTTGGACGCCCGAAGGCACAGGCGGGTGCAGACGCAGCGATTCGTCGATACAAGCCTGGAGGTATCGCAACTTGGAAAGGGGAGCGTGCTCAGGCTTGTCGTGTTCCCTAAAGTACTCATCTAGTTCTTCCTGGAGCTTGCTGTATTCTCTCGGATGGCGTGCTAGCTCCATGAAAAGACATGACAGGACAGCTGCTACCGTGTCGCTAAACATCGTCGTGGCGAGTCAGTACCCTAGCGCCAGGTGTGAAGGGTGATCTATCATTTCAAGTATATTTACCTTCCAGCAACTGTAATCAAGATACAGTCTCCGTACAAGTTGAGCATATCCTGAAAGGAGTGGTCCGCCTTGGCCTCGTGATCTTCTAGCACCCACGTGAAGATGTCGGGACTCTCGGGCTTGTTTTGGATGCGCTGCTGCACCTGGCCCGAGATCCACGTCTTGAACTTCTTCACGCCGGCGTTCCAGATCGCCGTCTTGCGATACAGCGGTAGAGCCCACATGGCGTGCGTGAACCGCCCGACGGCCATGGTCTCGTCGTGCAGCGAGTTCATGTAAAAGTGCGCGACGCCGTCCTCGAGCATGCGGAACCCGTGGCCGAGGGAGAACTCGCCCATGACGTCGAAGCTGTAAAAGTTGAACCAGAGCGACGCGTTGAATCTCGTGCCGGCGCTGGCTTGGATGCCGGCGAGGAGTTGGTCGGTGTACTTGAGGACGCGGGGTTCGTAGTCGCGAAGTGCTGCGTTTTTATCCACCCATCAGTCTACTACACCCGCAGTTACGTGGTGGCAAGACTTTGGAGAGTGCTTACCTTTCGAGGTGAAGCCGTATTCCCATGCTTTCCGCCGCCTCGAATGCGCCTCTTTATCACGAACCATCTGCATAGAGACCATAGGATGAAGCAGGTTATACCACGGGCCCTTCATGCAATCCGTGTCCAAGAAAATGGCGTTGATGGCGCCGGGCTTGTTGATTGAGAGCTCCGTCGGGCCAACCCGCACGATGTCGCCGTACTTCTCATGCAGTTTTCTCACATCTTCGTGGAGATGCATTCGGTTCCAGATCTTGAACGTCACGTAGAGGTTCGTGAACTTGGCGAGGAACGGACCAGGGAATCGGCGTAGCCGGTGGAACAGACCTCGATAGAGCAGGATGCTCGTGTAGATGCCCGCTATAAGCGAAGAGAACAGGATCCCCGCAGCTTTAGCAACTTGAGCGAAGCCGGCCGCTTCCATCGGTGATATAGAAACCACGGGCGCGAGGAACGGCGCGGCCACGGCCGCTCCCACAGTCGCTGCGTAAGCGAGCGTGAAGTTTGTGACGATGCGCTGTGCCGAGAGGTCCCATTCGCCGAGCCGGAAGACGAAGAGATGGAGTACAACTCCTACGAGAAAGGACAGCCCGCAGGCTTCTGGGGTTTTCAAAACGTCGCTTGCATTCATTTTTGAAGCGATTACAATTAGCTCGCTAGACAAGTTTGATGGTTTCGAAATCTTGGAGGCATGGTGTAAACTAGGCGCGGCTTATTTCATAAAGCACTGCGGGATTCATCTGAAGTCAATAGTATCAGTAACCTAAAGCTGGCAGAATACCGTACTTCCCGTCGTACTTCCCCATCCGTGATAAAACTCTACAGCTTCCTACAAGAGGGATTCTTCGGTCAAGGAGGGACGACGAAAGGCACGGGTCTAATCTTACAGTATCAACATGTCACACAGAAGTCTCAGCTGAAGTTCGCAGTAAGCGTGTATTGTTTCGCTCAGAAACACCGAATACGTTCGACAAACTATCTGCGTCATGTGGTCACGGACATCCGCATTCCGGCTGGTTTGTTAGTCGGAGCTCCGGGGCGAATGTCACAACTGCTCTGGAAATGACGTTCAGAATAACAACGAGGGCAGTCAGAATGAAGACGACATCTTCGCCATAGTCTATGCAAGGTGGATCCAGATAAGAGTAAAGAGTCCAAATAATGCTAGCTGTGCCTTGTTGTAATCAAAAACCAGACCAAGCTTGCCTTGGAAAACAAGGGGTTCCAAAGTCAAAAGTTATTAGCACCATCTCCACCACAACTATCACGACTGCCAAAATGTAGAGGTCCATCCAGGATTCGAACCTGGGCTTACGGAAGGAACTGACTTCAAGATCAGAATCCGACGTCCTAACCAACTAGACTAATAGACCAATTCAACTGGAATTTCTTCCTTGACGTCGGCAGTGCGACAGGACGATTATGTGGGCTGGTAGTGGGCGGTTTGAAGCCCTCGTGTGGATACTAGATGCGAGAGTTGGACACCCACGACCCGCAACCGACCACATCAGTTCTCGGAGGTGAGTTGATCTCGGTCATTGCTGCAAATCGACTAAGTGAAGGGTCTTGGTATATGAGGTTCCTAGATGGCTGAACTTTTGGGATGAGTAGACTTCCAAGGCAAAGCTTCACAGACTTTAACAAAGCCTCTCCCACATGGAAATCCCTGCGATTACGGCTCCGCCCGTCGGTCATCAATGATACGCAGAATCTCGGAAGCAAGTCGGGTTGAGCTCTTTGAAGACCCAGTAGCGGTGTCCCCCAGTCTGAATCTAAGAAAAAAGAGATACGCAAACCCGGAGTATATGACTGGAATATATCGCGCACCAGTGCGAATCCACTAGAATGTCACCGAGCATGCAGCAGAGATAGGGCGGACGGGGTTGCTGCCTAAACGGATATGAAGTGAGGGGTATTAGTGTGTGAGGCTCTTCAACAAAATTTGTTGACATCGAAACGACATCGACAATATCTGAGCCTTTTCCTTTCTAACTGCCTGTTGAATCGACAGTCTAGCCAGACTAAATCAAGTCAACAGTATCCTCCGTTCCCGCTCAAGGTCCTCGGGTCGTAAGTTGACACAGTCTAGCTACACACTCCCATATCCAGACTGAGTACTCCTGCTTACCGGCTTACAGTATTTTTCCAACATTGCCAGGGGCTTGACAGAGCTCGTTTATGAAATTAAAGCAGAAAGGCTACTGAATACTCGGTGCAATTGCCTGTCTGTCCAAGTCAGAAATGCCGGCCTTAACCGGCAGATCGAGGTTATGTGCTAAATGCCAGGCAATCGTGTTGCCCGCACATCTGTATGACACCAGCTGGTTGCACATCATTCGCCTAGCCGATACTTTGGAATCGAGAAGCAGCTGTAGTCTTTGTATGATAGCGCATAGAGCGTTTGGCTCCATAGCAACCAGGGGAAGTGAAGGATGCTCGAGCAGCATCGTAATCGAGCTCGTGGAACGGCTAGATGAAGCAAAAGGCCAATCTAAAAAGAATCTGCCAAAGCGATTGAATTTGAGAGATTATGACCAGTACTTTTTGCGCCTTTCGAACTCGGTTGACGCACCCAGGGCGATGCTGGCGGAGCGAGAGTTGCAAGCGGAAGAAACGCAGACGTCGCAGAATGTAACTTACAAGCTTTTGGATGAGAACAGTGAGTCAACTGCGACTACCCTGGTACACAGTATCTGGATTCATTCATCAATTACAGACAGATTGGTGTTTTATCAATGGAAAGGGGCTCAAAAAGAGGTCCTGGAATGCGAAAAGAATCATTCCTGCTTCACTGTTGAAGACGTGGAACTTCCGACGCGCCTTGTCAACCTGAGCAACTACACCAACAATTTAATCACGATTATGACGACCGCTGAGTTGAAGAAAGGCAATAAATACGCAGCCTTGTCGTATTGCTGGGGTAGATCAAATACTTTCACAACCACTTCAGCGACACTAGCCGACCGGCAGCAAGGATTCTCTCCGTCGGAGCTACCCCGGAGTCTGCAGGATGCCCTTCGAGTCGCGCATGATCTCAGCATTCGATACATCTGGATCGACGCACTTTGCATCATCCAGGGCTCAGAAGAAGATTGGCTGCATGAGTCGGCCAGAATGGCCAGCATCTACAAGAACGCCTTCATCACAATAGTCGCAGCAAATGCCCCGGACACCAGCCATGGCTTCTTCTCCATGGCCGAGCATCCATGTCAGCTTCCAGTCGAACCCTCACACGAGGAGCATCAAACGAGATTCGTCACCGTAGATACTGCAGTTCCCTTCAAAGATGAGCCAACTAATCGCCGGGCCTGGACTCTCCAAGAATGGGAATTGGCTCGCCGCCGGCTGGTCTTTACTTCCTCTGGTATACATTACATTTGTCCACAACATATGCTCGATAAGGGGAAGAATAAGCCTTTCGGCGCCATGTATGCCCCTCACCTCGAAGTAAACTCGAATTGGGGCGGCCTTGTGCAGAATTATACGTCTCGAAGCCTCACCAATCCGCAAGACAAACTGTCCGCCATAGAAGGAATGGCTCAGACTTTTGTCCTACTCACAAAGGGTGAGAACGGTCGCTGCTTGGCGGGTCTATGGGAGAAGCAGCTAGAGAAGAGTCTGCTCTGGCGGCAAGGGGGAATCGCAAATGCTTTCTTCCCCGAGTCTCACAACACTCGGCCAGATGATTGGATAGCGCCATCGTGGTCATGGGCATCCATCAAAGGATCCGTCGATTTCACTCTTGGGACGTCTGGGACAAGCCTTGTGGAGATCATCGGTGCCGAAACCACGTTGGCGTCACCTGATAATCCTTACGGGAGAATTGTTTCGGGGTCTTTGACAATCTCAGGTCCATGTATGGCTATTGAAGTTGTGGACGGCGCAAAATTCAGCCGGAGAAGAGAATCTGACGGGTCTAGATGGTTCAAGCTCAGGGGCAAAAAGGTCGGATACCTGTATCTTGATGCCGACGCCAACATCCAGGAGCAGCATGAGGCGTTGGAGAACCAAGGAGAGTTGTATTTCCTTGCGTTTAGGACCTCACCTAATGAACAAAAAGGGGGCGAGATCATTTGCGGGCTAGTGTTGGTGGAAAGATCACCAGCGGTGTTCTCTCGGATTGGTGCTTTTCTCAAATCGACAGAGTCGCCATGGTTCGAAAGGGCAGAGAAACGAGAGTTGATAATTGTCTAATGTTGTCGAGAAGAATACCCTCTCTCATAAGGGGACACAATCTATCAGTTACAGTGAATACAAATCGCGTCAGTCAATGAAGTGATTAATAATTCCTGGGTCGTTGGTGTCCGAAATCGAGTTCCCGCTAGCTCAAGAACCGCCCGGCGATAACCGTCTCCACGAGGCCGAAAATTAACCGAGGCGAACACCGGGCCGGGCCGATCATTCACATCTCAACTCTCACAACTCAACGTCGTATCTGAAGAAGTTGCAATCGTGACTATCCTATCTTTTAATTCTCTACACTTTGACTTTCAAGCACATCACTTCGAAGCGCTGTATAACGTCACTTCGCCGCAGCGGCAGTCTGCGTTCACAATGGTCGCCCCAGCAGACGGCAAGACATCGCCGCTGCTCTCACTCGCCGCGGGAGGCATCGCCGGCGGTGTGGAAGCCGCATGCACGTACCCCTTCGAATTCGCCAAGACGAGAGTCCAACTCTACGGACACCAGAAAGGCACGCGGAATCCCTTTGCGATTGTTCTGCGCGTTGCGCGCGATGAAGGGTTGCCGGCGCTGTACAAGGGATGCAGCACCATGATCGTGGGGTCCGTCGGGAAAGACGCGGTGCGGTTCCTCGCGTTCGACAGCATTCGCTCCGTGTTTGAGGACAAGAAGACGCATACACTCGGTCCCATGCAGAGTATTGCGTCGGGCATGGTGGCTGGGATCGTCAGCAGCACAGTCATTGTCACGCCGAGCGAGCGCATCAAGACGGCCCTCATTGACGATGCCAAGACGACGCGGCGGTTCAAGGGCGCGGTAGATTGCATTGCGACATTGACGCGAGAGCAGGGAGTCTTGAAGGCTCTTTGGCGCGGCTACATCACAACGACGCTGAAACAGATCGGCACCACGGGATTTCGCCTGGGAAGCTACAGTATTATCAAGGACTTTGAGCGTAGCAAGGGGATTAGTCCCGAGGGGCCGGTCATGAGCTTCGCCAATGGCGCGCTTGCTGGAACCGTCACCACTGTGGCGACGCAACCGTTTGATACCGTCAAAACCAAGGCTCAACAGGCCAAGGCCGTGGGCACAATGGAGTCCTTCCGAGCCATCATGGCCGAGGATGGAGTCAAGGGCCTTTGGAGAGGAACGGTAATGAGGCTGGGACGAACTGTCTTGGCCGGTGGCATCCTTTTCACGGCTAATGAGCAAGCATTGAAGGGACTGAAGTTACTGTTGAGCAAATGATATTGTAAACGAATGTGAAAGAAACGCGAAACGCGACACCACAGGTAGACCGTAGACATGACGACCCCTCGGCAAGCTAGCTACTTACTTATCCAGATATAGACAGGAGATAGACCGACGGCGCTGATGAAGTGCACGTACAACGAGGCAGATAACCTGACCTTCACAAAGTGGCCTCTTCCGCCAAAGTTTCTGCGATTTTGTCCCAAAGACCTGCTCGCAAAGCGCCACCCCACCAAACGTTGCCGTCCAAGTCCCTGCCAGCGACAAGACCCGCGAGTCTGAGAGGGAACCCGCTCACATGGCTGGCGTTGAGAATGAGCGAGGGTCTGCCGAGTTTGTGCGGTTGAGCCTTGGAAGTCTCTCCAGCTTTCAATACGGCGGCAGAGAAATCCGTTTCAAAAAACCTGGCCTTGCTCCAGTTTGAGAGTAGGATTAGATGCATGTCCTTGTCACCAAAAAAAGCTATGGAGTGCTCCTTCTCGAGAGCTTTGCGGGCTTCAAGTTGTGCCCTTGTACCTTGCTCTTGGATCGATCGTCGAACCGCGGCAGCCGTGTAGCTGAGTGGCTTCGTCTGGAGGTCTTTGGCGGTGACGCGGGCCATGACTATTGACGTGGCGTTTGAGATGAATGCTGTGTCCGCCGGCAGATGATCCTGAGCGAGTGCAGGACGGAGGTTGATGACGTTTCCGAGGGCAACTGTTCTGTCGGAGCCTTTGGGCAGATGTTGCGACCACAGCCGGCCGATGTAGGCCGTAAGAACGTCACCCTCGCTGGCGAACAGCTTGTCTGAGCCGGTGCTCTCTGCTCTCAACTCTTGGTTTGCCTGTGACTTGAGGGCTTTGATATCTGCTGCTGGTATACAAGCAATGCGGCCTTCTATGCCGGGATAACGGATTATTTCCCAAATATATCCTAGGCCGAATCGAATCAGTCCCCAGGTTGAAAGTCGCTCATCGGCCATCACAAAGGGCTCCGTAGGGTTCTTGCCCAGCTCGGCCAGGGGATCTATGTCGAACCCATGAAAAGGTTTGACGTCAATGTCGCGACCCTCAAGGATGGCAATCCATGCAGTCAGAAGCTCATGCCTCCCCATCCCGTCGAAGAAGGTGTGCAACCATGTCAGACTGACAAGCGTCGCGTCATCGAATGATACGATATGCAGGCTCAGCTGAGGCTCGTCGCGATAGATGTAGTCCTGCAAAGACCTGGGCCCATCTGGCCTTCGCATCAATTCTTGGAACTCTTCCGGAGGAGTCCCTGCCACTGCTGGTCTTGAAGTTGCTTTCGGCAGCCGCGAAGCGAGCGGGTGTTCCTCGATGCTACAATTGTACTTCTTGTGCGAATACGCAACAGATGGTCTTTTCAGATCGTATTGCTCAGGGACATGATACTCGAGCTTATTATGAGACTACCGCGCCTGTCAGCGGATAATTTGGAATGGAGCTAGGAAAAGGTGCTGAAGCTTACGTTCAATCTCAGCCTGGCACCGAGCTTTCGCCATCCCTCACGGTCTAGCAGCTTCGTAAGTGACGAGTGCAGTCTTTCCGGGTCCAACACATCGTCAAAACGCATCATGAAGGCCATCGCTATGGCTCTGTTGAAGACATTGTCATCATTAGCATTCAAGGGAATGACAGTGTCCGTAGCTACTGTTGCTGGTGCCTTGGGCTTGACTCTCGAGAACCAGCTGCCCATCTTGACGAGTATTGACGATTCAAGAGACCAGAATCACATTCTGAACAAGATCTGAATAGGGCGAAATGATCCTCATATTTACAGCTGTTTGGAAAGTACATGTAAGCAAGGGCTGAGCAATCAGTATTTGTTTTATCTCCTTGGCCTGCATGAAGGCGGTTGGAACGGGAGACCTCTGTACTTCCAGACCTCTGGCACAGACTTACAGTCTTGTTAGTTCAGCACCTACATCCGCATTTCTGCAATCTTGAAGAGCTGGCGGCCGACCTTGCTGTTTTGGGCTGCTGCCCGCATCGTATCTACCTGTCGGTTGGAGCCCGCTAGCCCGGGTGAAGGTCGTTTCCATTGTCGAAAGGGCACATGCATTCATGAATGTATGTGCGAACGCCACCTAGAGTCCAGAGCACAATATCATGCAATGCAGCAGATCCCTGTGACTACATTCGATTTGGAGAAGGTTATTACAGGTACATGCAAGCACCTCGCTTCAATGTTCCAAGTCTCCTCTATCCCAAGATTGTGACACGACAGCGTTTCCCCGCAGGTTTCTCTGTGCCTTTTCCAAGCACGACAGCCACCTCAACCTCGAATCCCCCCATTGCCGAGCGAAGCTGACTGATAGTGGAAACTTGCCAAGACGATAACCGCTCCAGGGGCGAATCACGCTCTGGCAGTCTGTCATTCAGTCGGGCGCGGGCCTCCTCAATCTTGCCTTGCTCTGTAAATCTCCCAACTAACAGCCAGCTGGCGATTTCCGGGAAATCTTTGGCTGCAGCAACTGTGCTCTTAACTAGACCATTCCTTATGAACCATATTCTTGCCCCTGCATAGACGAACATCTTGACTACGTTCATCCGGTCATCGTTTGCTGCAGCCATCGGCGTAGTACCAGTCAAACAACCCTCAAACTCGACGTTGCAGCCCAAGTCTAGCAGCAACTTAACCTCGTCAACAAGTACAAATTGAGGAAAGAAGCACAAAATGCTAAAAAAATGTATCGCTTTCTTTTCCATCAAACTCAGTCATGTCTCGCATGGACCCGCGTCCACGTCGTCGGTACATCAGACGAAGGGGGCCCCGGGCCCGACCGCTCCCTTCACTCATGTCAACGAATAAGAAAATCTTCCAGAATATTTTTTCACTTATCTCAGCCGCCGTTGAATAGCCACAATCGGAGTTGAAGAAAGATGTCGCGAGCCGGCTGTCGAAACATGCTGGTGCCCAGAGGGGAATGCTAAACCTTCCTGTCGCCTGGAGCTGTACGCCCAACTTCAGCATCAGAACTAACGCTAACGTCGACTCGCACAACTTGGGTGTGTCGCCGTAATGGTCATATCTAACGTTTTTCCCATGCTCTAGGAAAAGGTCTACCATCTCAGCGACGGGGTGTTGAATCGCTACTTCGAGAGGGGAATATCCGCGATAATCTCTGATGGTAAGCGAGGCCCCATATTCCAAAGGAAGTCGTGCAATATGAATGCTCTGCGTGCCAGCTACCGTGTGGATTGCAGTTTCCCTCATAGCCGTCTGTCGACTGACAGCTGCTCCGTACTCAAGGAGTAGGCGCACAAGCTCCAAATCGCCAGATCCCACTGCAGCCTGTAAGGGCGAAACTGAGTTGAATTGAGCATACGATCCAGTCCTGTTCACTAGGTCTCAAACTAAGGCTCTGTGCGAAACACCGCCAATCCTAGCAGCGTGTGACAAGAGGACTTTCAAGGCCTTGGGGCACTCGCGATCTACAGCTACATGAACGGCAATGGAATTGTCCAGCAACCAAATCATGTCTTCATCGTAGATGGACCAAAGCCAGACCGCGATCTTTTCTACTAGATCGTCTTCCCACATTGAGCATTTCAAGGCAGGCGGATCCAATAGATGGCCACGAACGTTGTCTGACTTTCTTGTCGTCGTCACTATCGGACGATGAGCAAGATGAGGATTTGTTGGTAGAGTCATCTTCAAAATGGCGGATCCCGTATCGTCTGAAACCACCGCACGTGTGCTTAGCACAGGTAGTTCCTTGGAAACTTGCTCCTTTGGTGACTAGGCTCACTAGAGCATCGATGATTTCCGCAGATAGGTTGTTACGTGCTAAGGCAAATATGGGCGCTGTACAAGTACGGCAAGATCGCATATTAATGTCCAACGGGCACTCGTCCTTGAGTAACATGACGCAAGTTCTGCCGTCACCGTCATTGATGGCCCTCTCCATGGCTTGGGATAGAGCAGACAGCCAATACTTATCAGAACCATTTCCTGCTACAGTTGCTACTGCCCCCCTGACTCCAAGCCGTTAGATATATAAATCTCGTCTCGTGACTGTAAGGCAGGGTTCGAGGCCCGTCCTCTTTGAAACAATACTTCTATTCGTTTTGTTTAGGTATTATAATTAACTCGCTGACAATGATACTGCCCTTCTGCTCTAGTTTATCGTTAAGCAGCTCTACGGCCATAAATCGGTAAATGCCGACATCCGGATGCTGCTAAGGAGACGCCGGTGCGCCGGCGCTGGCCCTCCCTAGTCTCACGGTTCTCACCCAATTAGAAAGTTTAAGATTCGATTATCCAATGCGCGTTGACGAGAAGTGAGAGACGTATAAAAGACCAGTCCAGCATAGGTGTGTACTGACCTCTCTAGTCTGTGACCCTATATCTGTTTATACTAGCAGGGCCCTGTTGGACCCCCTTAGTCAGACTATCAGGCTGGGCACCTGACAAGAGCCCCCGACTGGAAATACAACGCCGTGCGGTACTAGCACCAGGCGATCTGGTGTCTCAGGCATTCTATCGCCCATGGCGGATGCGACGAAGACGCTTGGGACCATGACGGAGCCGGCGCCGGCGCCGGCGGCCCACACATGACACCTTCGCTACAGTCGCCATCCTCTGCATGTACAAGCTGATGATTGCGCCCGGAAACGCGTGGAAGGTGCACCTCACGGCGCTGCTGCTGTATGACTCCGCCTTAGATAGTGTTCTCAGCGCATGCTCGCTAGTGTTGATCTTAAGTTCTCTAATTATGGGGCTGACGTTCTGGAGCTTAGCTATGTAGAACTTTCTACAGGCTTCTAAGTTTGGAAAGCTGTGGGATTTAAAGGAGAAACTGGGGAAACTGATGGAACCTATATGTTTCCGTGATAGAGTTATTAGTGAGACATAGGTTTGCTTAAATCTACCTAGCCCATGTTTAGCTATAGTAGAACTTGAGGATTGCTATAGATAAGAACAGCCTCCTCCTCTCGTTTAGCCCTTTTAGAATGGCCGATATACGCGCTTCTACTAACATTGAAGAAGGTGCGACGAACAACAAGCTGCTCTAGCTCTTAGGTAAGACTATGAACTATATCAGTTCAGGTGATAATATCTGCTCTGAAGACTTTTTGAGGCCAGTAAGCTAGCGTTTATAAGTCAGCATGACTTAGAAGCTCCTCTTCTAGCGGTAGACTTAGCTTGAGATGGAGTTTCAAAGCTGGTGTGACAGCCTACTGCTGGAGTTCTAGCCTACCGTTTAGATAGAGCTTACAAGCTTATATAATAGGCTCTATAATAGGCTGCTGGAGTATTGAGTTTCTAGAATGGGAAGTATTTAATATAATACGCCTATTGCGCAGCGACAATATAGAGCTACTGTATAGCGCGCATCCTGCTGCCGGTGATCCAGCCGCAGGAGTTTATCGCTATCTGGTCGATAGTCCTAGCGCACTTGAGGTTGTATTAATATAATTAGAAGGAGGTTTTGCAGTACGCCTGGGAGATCTTTGGGATTAGTCTTGCGTATCCCCCCGATGCGGTGTCTTTTTACTCCGTTTAGCTGCTTGTTGTGGCTGGCTAGTCGTTCTATGAGCTGCTAGAGCAGAAGCTGGTGCTCGCTCTGCTTTCTGGGGTTGATACGTAGCTGGTCTGGGTGATAAGCTATTACATTCCCATTACATTCGCAAGTTGACCGATGAATGGCAGGTTGAATAACTGTGGAGGGAAAATCGTGCTGCAACTCATGACATGGTTTTATCAATCCATCCATGGCGTATCTCAAATCACATACTGACAGCCTCGCTGCTCTTGTCGAATTTAGCATGGGAGACTTTAGCGTGGATCGCGAAAGCTGAACTGCTTGTCCCAGTCTGTTCATCCAATCAAGCACAACGTCCATTCATGCTACCAATGCCCCAACCAGCCCACGCGCAATACCTGAGTTCCTGTTGTCCCCTGCCAATTATCCTAGCTGTGCTCTCACTCTGCCGTGTGTTAGACAACAGTACGGCAGCCAACGGTCGGAAGCACGTGGGCTGGGGGCAAGCGATTACAGAAAGCGATGTGTCAAAAGGACCACTCCGGTCTCGAAACCTGTCTTCAGAGACCGAATGCACAACCATCTAATTCAAGGGGGATTTACTCATGGATTGAATACAAGAGGCCATCTTTGATACCTCAGTTATTAATGGATCCCGCAGTTAATAACCCTGAACTGACTGCGAATCAAGCAACTCTGATATCTATCAAGATGCCGAGTTCCGGAGATGCGGAGAGAGTTCCCGGTTAAACATATGGATGGGCCTCTCCGGTTACAGCGTGTGCTCCATAAACATGCACCAACTTCCCTCGCCAGCCCACAATTTGACCGACATCCGAAGCATCACGACAAGAGAGCATATCCAGCCGCCTGCAACTCAATCGCCGTGTGAACTCTGTAACAGTATGTAAAGGGGTGTGCCAGCAGTCCGCGACAGTAGCTAGCGACACAATAGGCTCGGTTTTTCAGAGCCTGGGCACAACTGTATGTATGTCGCTGAAAGCAGTCAATTCGCGGACATGGCGGCCGGCATAGAACGGGGCGGGTTAACAGGGGGCGAAAGCTTGATCAAGGATTGTTTTGACAATGCCTTCCTATTTTGCTCCAACAGAAATAACTTTCATACTTCGCAGTAAGACAATGCCTTCTCGTTTCGCTCCAACAGAAGTAACCTTCATAATTCGCAGTAAACCGAAGATAGTGTTCGTATCGCATCTTCCCTCTCCCCCGCTCCTCGACAGGCAGATTGGGAATTATTTAACACCTTTCCATGGCCATACAGATGGCCAATCGACTCAACTCGCGAGAATGAGCCCATGCCACTTCACACTACGAAATCACTTGACATATCCATCGATCAAACCCATGGCGGGAGCAGCTACTGGCGATCATGGCGCTAGCCAATTACTTCAAGACCTGAACAAGAGAGAACGAAAGCGGCAGCAGAATCGTACCGCGCAGCGCACGTACAGTAAGCATGATCAAGCTTAACCATTGCACCCTCCCCTTACATGTACATGGACACTACTTACCACGCCCTCCAGTAGAACGTTGCAGCGTTGCAGCTTGAAAGTTGAGAAATAAGTGGCTTACATCGATTGGCAGGACGCAACCAAAAACACCGAATTCAGGCTCTTGAGGCAGCCGTTGCACAGTCTGTCGAGGGGCTGACGCCCCCACGAGAGGCCATGCTTCTGGACGACATACTCCACGAGCAGGAGCCCACAGCCGCTCCCGGCGATAACCAAATCTGGGCCATCGACCCTGTCCTGACGGACAGCTCGCCCCCGCTATTAGCGGACATGGCCCGCACAGCGCTTCACCGCGCGGTGTGCAGTGGCAACGAGTCAATGGTTCGCCTTCTGTTGGAGCGAGGGGCGGACGTTGCGAAGCAGGACGGCAACGGGAGCACCGCCCTTCATCTTGCAGCTGAGAGCGGAAGCGGAGAACTTTTGCAGCTCTTGCTTGAGAAGTCCGCCGACCCCAATGCTACGGACTACCTAGGCCGTACCGCCCTATTCGCCGCGGTTTTGGGAGAGAACGAGACGACGACCGAGCTGCTTTTAAAGTCACTAACAATTGACGTGAATGCGAAGGACTCGATGGGCAACGTTGCGCTTCATATGGCTGTCGAATGCGGGTCTGAGCCCCTGGCTCTTCTTCTGCTTGCACACGGTGCCGACATCAATGCTTAATTTGGCGTGTGAGGTGGAAGGTTAAATACAATCAGCCGAACAAATCCGTGGTTAGAGAATATAACCCATCATCATAGTCAATTTTTGGAACCCTACTGCGCGAACGTACTTCTTGGCGTTCATGATGATAACTTGGCCGCTAATAATCAAGGTTGTCCTGAGGCCCTAGAGCCTTAAAAATACATAAATGGATTTACTCATCACCACCACGGCTATCTAAATAGGCCCAGTCACTCAGCTTCTTCCTATCTGCACCGCCTCTCTCCCAAAGCCGCCACAGGCAACCCCACTGTCTAATCTCTGACCCAGCACCCAGCATGACCCACCCACGTCTTGATCGGCATGTTCCTGTAGTCGGGGCCTTTGTCCGACATGTCTATCAGAAACTGGGAACAGTGCATCGTATGCTCAACGCTCGTAATGATGGTGTCCAAAGCCGCCCGCTCCTCGTAGAAGGCCCAGAACTGCTTGCGCCACAACATGGCGCAATGCACAATATGGTCCCGCTCAGATGTGTAATAGAACTCCATCTCAGACATGGTGTCGATGGTGAGAAGCTCTGTCCGATTTTCGTCCGCGAACCCAAACCACGATCCGTCCGTCTTGTATTCATTAATCGCGTTTTGGTCTATGCAAACCTCTGGGATCCAGTGGTTAGCCAGGATGTCGTAATGACAATTTAGGCTCTTCGCCTCGGCGGTTGAATCACCGCACGTCAACAGCCGGGATTTGGTGGTTATGTTGTCGTGCTGTCTGGTGGTCTCGGTATGCTCCGGACGGTCGTGGCTATGTTGATGATTACATTGAATGAAGAGAGAGGCGCGTGTGGCGAGAAATAGCCCTCCCCACACCAGTGATGTGAGGAGGAAAATCACGAAGTGGGTGACAAAAGGATGCCAAAAAGCGGCGGACCAGCGCTTCAAAACATCTTTATGGCCAAGGAAACGGGAATGCAGAATGTTGTGTTTCCGACCAGGAGAGCGTAGTTCCGTCTCTTTCAGGAACGGTTCACTCTCGCCTTCCGGCAGCATGATTCGAGTTGTGTCTGGGGTTGGTACGGATGTCCGTTGTGAGTACTCAAGCTTTGCAGAGCGGAATTCGTTTGTGCTAGAGTCTAATACTGAACTCCTTTAATGTATTAGTGTGAGCTCCTTGGGATGTATCTTTGAGATCTCTGGCTTACGTGGTCCACGCTGATATGAAAGAGCCAACGTAAGCTCGCAGACGCCTGAAATACTGACTGGCTTACGGATGTAGCGCTTTTGGATCCTAACCTCGGCCCGCCTACTGAAGCGCACACACTTCCTTCTTACTTGACCACATCGAGGTGAAAATAATGGTGATTGTGATAATAAGATTGTTAACTGACCGGACAGTGGATAATCAGTGCACCTGACTATTACCCTTGCTAGAAATCAAAAATGGAAAACGCAGTTAACAAGCAGGTCGCAAATAACGTAATATTTTGCAACCCCTTTGATTGGAAATTCATTGGCTACCCAATCAGTTTTCGGGCTCCAGAGTGGAGGTTACCACATCAATCACTTATCATCATGAGCAAGCACTACGTAACCAGGCTCACACTTTCTTCAAATCTCTGCCTCTCCTTCTTCCCTTTACCGTTCATGTGAAAAGACCCCCTGCTCGTAAATGCAATGAGCCCTGAGCACCGTCTAAATACAGTGGCGGTCACGCCGGGGCCGCCCAGGCCGCGGTTGGGCTGGGGCGGACGTGTTACGAGTATCATAAACCTTTATCTACGTGGAAACGCAAGTTTTAGTATTTTTGAATGATAGAAAGATGCTATACCTTTCCTCCTGTGAGGTCAAGGTCGGTGAAGACGAGAATTCGATCATGTTGGAAATATATTTATTTCCGGTCAAGGGCCCGGTAGATGATCCTTGCTAATCAACAGTTCCCCCGAACTTTGAAAAGAGATTTTGTCGCCGGTCAAAGCCATGTTGCCTTTGCATCCGTCATTCACCTCGTGCTTTCCAGGCCCCAAGATGCCAAGGAACCCATGAGCTAGCCATGAACTGCTCTCCGTCAAAAAATTCCGAGTGATTTAGTTGTCCTTTTTCTCGGTCGTCTTATGTCTTTGCATATAGCGGCCCGTAGAGCGGTTATCTGCCATTCAACTACAACCAAAATCTTTCTTGAGGCCTCGTCTAGTCTTACAGCTCTTCTCGTTTCAACCACACGAGATTTCAAGCTTATCTTTCCCCTTGAATGAGCTTGAGTCACCTGATGGTTTCAAAGCATTCCCAAACCGTAATAGATCGTGTCACTATTCCTACTCTCTCGGAATTTGCTTTGGCACATCTTTCCCTGGCGATGTAACATGAATTGCGTCACAGCAGTATATTAAGAATGCAGTTGTCAATCATGTGTTGCTATGATAGTATCTGACATTTTGCTGTTGCTCCGTAGCGCCTGATGCAAATGAATCCAAAAAAGCTTTCAGAGGCAAGACCACACCACCGGAAGCAATATCATCGCACGTCATAGACATGGAGCTTATGTGGCGGACATCCTCCTCCCTCTCCGTGAGCCTTCACTGTGTCTTGGGTACTCTGACGGATCCTTGTCCATCATAGACACAGAATCAGTAGTTATCTTCGGAGTCACCATGAGGCTCGCGCTGTTCGATGCTTTTCTTGTAATCGGCTTAGGCGTTGCGTTGGGATTCACGCTGCTCGACAGTCTTATGGTAGTCGGCTTGGGCGATACGCTGCGGCTCACGCTGCTCGACAGTCTTATGGTAGTCGGCTTGGGCGATGCGCTGCGGCTCACGCTGCTCGACAGTCTTATGATAGTCGGCTTGGGCGATGCGCTGCGGCTCACGCTGCTCGATAGTCTTATGGTAGTCGGCTTGGGCGATACGTTGAGGGGTGCGCTCTGAAATCTATGAGCCAGACTCTAGTAGCATCTGAAAATGGAACTCACGCAGAATCAAATCGTGGGGCGCGGCCAAGGCCGTGCCGAGCAGAGCAGTAATGAGGGGGGTGGAGAAGCGCATGGTCGGAGAGGTTGATACTATAGCTAGTCTAGCCTTTGCAGAGGGATGAATACTCGTTAAACGTCAGGAGACAGAAGGTTGGTTCAGGAGAATGAAGTGTCCGGCTCATGTTCCATTGTAGACTCAGAGAGGCAGTTGCATGTCGTATTAAAGACCAGTCGGGCGTACTGAATATCCACCCACCTCTCTTGAGAAAAGGTCATCAATAAGGTCATCAATGGGTTATCGTGATACTGCAATGCAAGATTGCCCAATCTCAGCCAACAAACCACGTCAGCATCTCTTTGATTCGAATTTGAGCTGCTGCAACGCAAAACACAGGCTCATTATCCTGTCATTTCTGTCAACTTGACCGCCAATGATGTGATACATGCATGTTGTTCACACTACTCCATAAGCCTAGAATTTCAGCTTGACATAAGCCATTGACGAATGCTGAATCTCAAATGAGCTAATTTGCCCTGAGACATATTTCTATCCAGCATAACGTAATGTGAAGCGATGGCAAGAGATGTGAGGGCTCACGTAAGCCGGCATTGTCAAAATGCTGTTAGGCAATCTAACTTTGATAGATGTAACTCTCTTATCATATGTTACGTGGCCACATGCTTAAGTGAGAACTTTTTAAAGCCAGTAGAGTGCATTAACAGTCATTTAGATGGAAATTCATCCATCAAAACACTGGATTGCGACTTTTGAACTACGTAGGACAGATTCAAGAGTATGGATAGCGTCAATGTCTCGCGCGCTGTTGTTCTACCTGGTCCGGTTTAGCCAAGCGCTGTCCCAATCCAGATGAAAGGACTCGAACTGCATGTCAAAGAGTAAAGTAGGGAAGAAACAAGCAGCTATGCATAATAATGTAGCCTTGATATGCGTCCCTGGCCTCGCAAGTTTGCTCCGTCTCCCAGGCTATCTTCCCTGACCGACATAACGAAGGGCTAGTAGCTGACGCCATCGTGTCGGCGATTGCACGCTCGGGTTTATGCTGCCATGCGTAGCGGGCGCCTCAAATCCAATTTGCTGTATATCATGGTAAAAGTGTGACCGCAATCCTGCTACAGACGACACGCTACCTGCCATCTTGAGACCATATTTGGAAGCATTTCACTCTATCAAGCTGGTCTTCAGGTCACTTTTGGTAGTTGCATATTCATTGTAGTTTACTGGATACTTTATACGCCAGTTGCGACTCTCTGGGGCCCTAACAGGACTCCTCGTAAGAAACCCTTCCTACGGACGTCTCCATCGTATTCCAGTTTTTGTCCTGCCTCATGGACTCCAGGATAATATTCGCGCAGTGGTGCAGATGCTCGTACGCTACAAGCTTGGGAGGATATGACGTGCCATCCCGTATGATTTGGCCCAAGCTGAGGAAGACATAGACGCAGTGGGTCAGATGCTCTCTCCGCTCGCCCCAGAGATCCTTGTGATTGTCCAACGCCTTCGCCCAATTCTCGCCCACGGCCTGCTCATTGCCGAAAGGATCGACGTAGTACTTCCATTCTTCGGCAGTCAAAAACTCGTCGTTCGCGTAGTGAGGGCAGCCTGGGGGAAGCCACGCCCATAGCAGCTGGTCGAAACTGCATCCAAGAGATAGAGCCTCGGCGGACGAGTTCCCACACAAGCGAACGGGATTCTGGCTCTGTGACTTGCTCTTGGTCGAATGGGCTCCAAAGTGCATGCCCAGTGCTATCAGAACGCCCATGGAAACGATGGCAGCAGTGGCGCATATTGCTGTTCTCCGAAAGGTCCAGAGAAACCACTGTTGTGTCGCTAGGGTTTGCCGTTGTTTATCTTCTTCCTCCGAATGGGAGCTGCTTGGTCGCTTCTCGTCCAAGCTGTTTGTTCCGAGCTGCTTATATGACCAGTTCCACCAAGGCAACACCGTTTGGGCCATAGATTCGACACGTGGGAGAGACCAGATATGCATGGCGAAAATGGTGACTCTAAGAAGCTTTGCTCTGAACGATATCGCGTGGAACTTTCGGCATCAACTGTGTCCAGCCTGGCCGTCGCAACAGCCGAGAATTAGCCACGTTTTGAGAACAAATTATACTAGACGGTGGCCTTGTAGTTGATTTTGAGTTGGCTTTACCAATCAGCAATCGAGTGGACTAACGTTAGCGATGGAAATCTGACACACGTAAGGTAAGGAAAGTAATGCATAACGTCAGAATAGACTTCGTAATGGAGGTGCTACCTCTTCAATCTCCTGTCAAATGCAACCCCTTTGAACAATTATCAAATCCAAATGAATATGTTATAATTGCGTGTAATCGCCCCAAATAACGATAAATACGCTTGTGCGCATATTGCAGGTAATTCTCGTGTCAAGAATTTGCGGTAGGATATCTTGGCGAACTACGCATGGACGGTCAATGAACACACCTCAGCCGAATCTCTGTGACTTCTTCCTCCCAGCTGACGTTACGATCTCGTAAGACATTTTAAAAGCTCTCAACTCGTGAGCAGGATTGCAATCAGCTCTAGAGCCCTCGAAGTGAGCTGACGTGATAGCAAGGCCAGGCGGAAGACTGCTGCAATTTAACGTTTGCCTCCCCCCATTTCGAAAATAACTTCGGGGTCCTATGACCGTTTTTGTATGACACTCTGTTAGTACAACATTAGGCGACAATGGATCGGCCGTCGAGACTCAGTATCAGCCTTCGCGACGAGTCGAAAGACAGCCTACTTGGAGGTGACAGCGCCCCAGCCGAAAGAACAACATGCAGTAAATGCCATTTGAGGAGAAGGGCGAGTTTTTCAACCCTCTTACCATGGATTTTATCCATGATACTTCTCGCTTGTCTCATCACCCTGACCGTGAGGTCGTCTCAGAGCTGTGTCAAGGCGGCATTTTGGCGCAATAGCGAGTTTAGTGAGTCTGCACCCAGGATATACTGGCAGAACGCAACGCGCCACAAAAAAGCTGACGTTGCCAAGCGACCGTAAAAAGAGAGCTAGCACCGAATTTCAGAGAGTTGCAGTTCGATGCGACACTGAAGTTTAATGAGAGTCATGAAGTCTATCGTCCTGTCACATACCCACCTTACGTTGGGGCGCCGAGCCCAGACATTGATGCTGCCTGGAAGAACCTTCTCGGAGGTAACTCAAACAACCTATGACCATGCTATCCAGATCCCAGCTAACGTAGAGATATAGCTGTTAACGTGTTTGTAACCCCTGAAGAGCAAAAGTTGCTAGGGGGTGGATTATGGCTCGATCCTGAGACAGGCCTGCACATGGCACAGTGAGTTTGCTCCATACTCTGCCCCAAGAAATACTCTGACATGGCTCAAAGAGTCTCTCTCTTTCATGATCTTCATTGCGTTGTAAGTCCAGTCTCCAGAGCCGAATCACCGCTTTCCTCTAAAGCTGACGTACAAAGAACATGATGAGAAAAGCCCTGAATTTGGACTACTACTCGGATCTGAGGGATCCGACATTGCAGGCCCATATGGGTGCGATACTATTGCCCTCCTCTCCCTTTTGAACAGAAGTGGACTTTGCTAATAGTAGGCAGAACATTGCATCGACGCCATCCGTTTGAGTATCATGTGCAATGGGGACATGACACTCATCCCCATCAAGTGGTCTGAAAATAGGAGTTGGATCGTGCCCGAGTTCGAAACGGTCCACACCTGCCGGGACTACGATGCACTGCGGATATGGTCGATAGATCGGGATGCTGCAGACCCAGATCTTCTTTATAAGAATGCAGAGAGATTGCGGGAGAAGGAGCGTGTTTTGTGGCCGTAATCAATGCCGTAATCTCCATGTTCATGTCCCACATACGCTAAACAGCGTGACTTTACCTCCGTGAAATCGCTAGATTTTATACCTACGTATGTAAGATTACCAAAGGCCTAGGCATATGAAATATTATTATAGCTCGTAGCTGTTAAAGGGAGGTTTTCCCTCACCCTCACCAGTCTCAACACTGATACCCCATGGCCTAAAGAGTTCTTTGTATCTTACTGGATGTTGGTCGCAGCATGGCCATCTAGCCCATGGGACATTGAATGTTGTAAGTTCCAGAAAGGGATGATGTGTTTTTGCTTTTTTTTTTACTCCAGACTCCCTAATTATGTTATTAACCATTTCTTTAATAACCAATTTCTCGCGATTGTTTCATGGCCGAGTGGTCCCGAGATCGTGGGAGTGGAACCGATTCACAAGTGCCCTAGAGCTAATACACACTACTACTCCTGCCTGGCTACTCCAAAGTCATCAAGAGAAGGGATTCATCTTACACCTCGATTTCAATGGCCGCATTTTCTTTGTCTGACTTTTGGAATACGTTGACTACTTCTAACTAATATCTATAGCAAAGCAAGTCCGACTCGGTACTCATCACATCAGAGACGTGGATATCAGGTGCCATGATTCCCCCAATTGATATCGCATCACTTAGGGAAGCCTGTGTCACAACCTTGTCTTTTTTGGTTTCCCCGTAGTCACTGAGCCGTGCGCGCAGATTGCGCTGCTGCCACATCCACCATAATCTGTCCAGTTGGCTGTTGCCGCGCACAGGGTTAGCCATCAGTCCAAGATTATTAGTTCAGGCCTCAGGAAATTTAGTCAATACCTGTGATGCAGGAAGAAAAGCGGATCATTGGGAGCCGTGAACTTGATGAAATCGCCCTGGATGCCATTCGGGATCTGGTTGTGAGGGCCGTCCTCAAGCTTTCCGAAAAAGCTGGCATAGTCTGGCTGTCGAAGAATCTCCTCAATCACAGCGGGCTTTACCTTGTCCCCATTCAGACGGCCCATGACATTGCCATCAGCAAAGCCACGCGAGAGACAGTGTCTGTCTTCTTCCAAACCGAAAATGGCGAGCTTCAGATCGTAGAAAGGCCCATCTGTAACACAGTGACCGCCACCGACAGATTCGGGCGCGGATGAATCACCATTACCGCCAAACCCCGTGGTGTTCGAAAATACGGGAGAATCGGCGAGAGATTCCCTAAGGCATATCAGCTGACGCGATCATGAAAATTCAGGTATAGTCAACCAGTTTAATACCAGTCCAGGCTCCAGTCCCAGTACCTAACGAATCCATTTTAGCTCCAACGTGATACAAATTTGTGGTTCAGACTTACGTTAAGCTTCCGTTGTAGCTGCACGTGCTTCTCAACTCGGTCTCGTAGACATGGAGCAGATAGCGGTGCCAGGGGAGAAAGAGGGCAGTATTGTGAGCTACAAGGCCGCAGCAGTCAGCAAAGAGTAGATCTCTACCACGATGTGAATTGCGGGGGAGAGCTCGGTTGGGCCTGGCCCTCACATTGTGCATCGCAGCGCCCAGAAACCAGAACCTGAGAGTCGGTTGAGACTTACAAACACCACCCACTACAGAATGTAGAAGAGGGAAGTCATGATACAACGAGCTGCCTGCCGTCACTTTTGACGGCCTTGACAGTAGACATCTCACAGCACTAATGTAATCGGCCTTTTCATCGCTCCCGAGACTGCGCCATTCGCGGCGGATTGAAGGAGCTTGGCACCTTGAATTCTGTGGTTGGTTGAGCTTGGCGATAAGGCCTCTGTCCTGGATAAACTCGCCGCTCAAGAAGCCGATTGCAAAGAGAAAGATGCCAAAGATGATAATTACGAAAAGAGAAGGCCTTTTCGTTATATTCGTCCTTTTCTCGGCCGTACTCTCCGGATCGTCGATGTCACTGTCCGGGCCGTGAGGAGGCCGCAGAGAGACATAACGTGCTTGGTTGTAACTCAACAAGAACATGATATAAATGTTTTTATGTCGAAAACCGGGGATTTCGTGTTCGGCATGTAGAGAAAGCTGCCCTAGGAGAGCTGACAACGACAGTTTACGTGTAAGAGAGTCGCAAGGACGATATCGATGCTGCGATAGAGCAAGGCGGCAGTGGAGGTTCTCGTTGTGCTGACGCTGCTTATTACACACCAAGCCTTAACTGGGGATATTCAAAACTTCGCAGCTGAATTGCCCAACGTGGAGGATTTGGCAGAATTGGCTCACTGATGAGTGAACTTACTGGCTTACTATGCGACTTACGTGATTCTCCCATGCATTGGACATGTTGGCATAAGCAAGGAAGTAATTGCGGATCAACGGAAGAACGGAAGAGAAACGCTCCACATGTTTCTATCCCCTGGGCTCCTACTGCATATAACTTGACCTTGATGCAATAACCAGGTTCTAAAATGAAAGAAATACAGGCCATTGCAATTTAGCTGATTCTGCGGTGCAGGAGTGACCAAACCGCTTCCCCTCCTACGTCCCTCGACGCGAACCAGTTCATAAAAACCTCAATAATTGCCAGAATCTGAACTGTTAGCCATCTCACGGAACCATATATTTTGGACTGGAACTTTAGAACTCAAATCATGAGCCTTCAACAGCCCCTCCAACCGCCTCAGGCGCCTCCCCTTTTCACCGCGACGCCCACCTCGGTTCTCCAAGCCACCGAACGTCTCATTCAGCATCTTCGTTTGGTGCAGAGCCAGATAATCGATCAGATTCGGTCAGATAACGCGACGTTTGCTAATGTTATTCTGCCGCTTGTGCACGCCGAGAATTCCTTGGCTCGTGAAGCCCACGTGCTTATTTTCTTCAAGTCCGTATCCCCCGACCTGGAGCTGCGCGACGCTTCGAGAAAAGCTCAGACGCTGCTTGACGACTTCATGGTGGAGACGGCCATGGACAAAGCCATGTTTAGGCTGATCGATGCCGTGCTGCGGAAAAACGAGGATCTAGATCCGGAGTCTCTGCGACTGCTGAAGAAGAAGCACAGTGAGCGTGTCCGGAACGGCTTGAACCTGCCGCCTGGGCCGCAGAGGGAGCGCTTCGCTGAAATCAAAAGCCAACTGAGCCGACTGACTGTTGAGTTCCGGGAGAATTTGGACGATGCAGATGGCGGGATGTGGCTTACCCCTGAGGAGCTGGATGGGTTGCCCGAAAATGTTGTTTCACAGCTGGAAAATGGGCAAGGGGAGAACAAGGGAAAGTTATTGGTATCTTTTGGCCCCCCGTCCTTCTACCCGACCCTCAGGTTTTTGAAGAGGGCCGATGTTCGCAGGCGCTTCCACATTGCCGGCCACAACGAGTGTAACCAGAATGTGGCGATTTTCCGGGAGATTGTGGTTCTTCGCGATGAAGCCGCTCGTCTTCTTGGGTATCCTAGCCATGCGGCATTTCGCCTGGAGGAAAAAATGGCCAAAACCCCCGAAATTGTTAATGCCTTCTTGGATGACCTGCGATTGAGACTAGCAGCCGGTGGCCAGCAAGAGACCGAAGCCTTGCGGCAGCTCAAAAAGCGGGATGTCGAATCTCGAGGAGAATCGTTCGACGGCCGATTCTTCGATTGGGACTTTTCATATTACAAGCGGGTGATGCTAGAGACGCAGTACTCGGTCGATCAGCATAAAATTGCGGAATATTTCCCCTTGCAGGCTACTATTTCCGGCATGCTGTCTATGTTTGAGAAACTGTTTGGTCTTGTTTTCCACGAGAGCGCAAAGGTCCTTTCTGGAAATGGTCAAGAATATGTATGGCATGAGGATGTTCAGCTGTTCAGCGTCTGGGACGATGCGAAGCAAGGTGGTGGGTTTGTCGGCTATCTGTACTTGGACCTTTTCCCTCGTGACGGGAAAAACAGAAGTCCGGCCAACTTCAATGTGATACCAGTATGTCCTCGAAATACAACCGCTGCTTGCTGGCTTGAGATGCTGACATTCCCTGCAGGGCTTCAGTCGGGAGGACGGTACTCGCCAGTATCCTGCAACGGCGATGGTATGCAGCTTTGCCAAACCTACGCCCCAGAGTCCCAGCCTACTGAGGCACGATGAATTGGTCACCCTTTTCCACGAGCTGGGCCACGGCATCCACGATCTTGTATCGAAGACCACATACGCTTGCTTTCATGGCACAGAGACTGCCTTAGATTTCGGTGAAGCTCCCAGTCAGATGCTCGAGAATTGGTGCTGGGTGCCATCTCAGTTGAAGGCCCTGAGCAAACATTACTCGTCCCTTTCACCGGAATATTTACAATTTTGGCAGTCGAATTCAAACGGAGGTCAGATACCACCGCCCGAGCAGATGCCGGACGACATGATCGAGAGCCTGACCAGGTCAAGGTACGTGAATGGCGCTTTGTTTCATCTGAATCAGCTCAGCATCTGCATTTTCGACATGGCGGTCCACAACCCCGAGAGCCACGCCGCGATAGAAAAAATGAATATTTCCGCGATGTACAACAGGATACATAGCGAAATATACCCGCCAGATGGCCCCGAGGCTGTGGGCCACGGCGACGAATGGGGCCACAATTATGTCCGCTTTGGACACTTGGTCAATGACTACGACGCGGGATATTACAGCTATTTATTGTAAGACTGGAATGGCCCAGCTAAAACATGTTTTTCGGTTATTTGCTAATACAGTTGTCGCGCAGTTCAAAGGTGTACTCGGCGGATATGTTCCACACTGTCTTCAAGGCGGATTCAATGGACGCAGAGGAGGGTCGGAGATATCGATATGCCGTCCTGGAAAAGGGAGGCAAACAAGATGAGATGAAGACCTTGACAGAATTTCTAGGCCGGCAGCCCAAGACGGACGCATTTCAATTGGAGCTCGGTCTAGCGTGACGGGAGCTGTCCAAGCAGGCGTCTCACCAAGCGAAGGCGTCCCAGTCTGGCAATCTAAAATACTGCTTTAACGGGTTCCATGATTCATCTACCTCACAAGTAGTTTTTTAATGGGTGAATAGTGTTTTCTAAACTAAGTAGGTAGTGGGTCAAATAAAGGTCAGCTGAACGTAGTAGAGTACCAGTTATGCTGTTCCGAACGGCAGGGAACGATCAAGGTCTGTGACATTGCACACAAGCGGTTCCCATGCAGCTAGCTGTTCATTTGATACCCCGATTGCCTCAAATCACGTCAATCACGATGGCTATTAGATTAGCCACCCGTATTAGTTGAGAAATTTCATGCAAGCTCCCCAATGCGCCCCCTGTGTCTGTGTCAGACAAATCGCTGATATATTCCCCTGTCGTTACTATCGGATAGACTACACTGCTCATGAAGCCCATGTTTGATATTTAGATTAACATAATTATAATATTCAACAAAGCATCTTTCCTACACATCATTGTCTGTATCCGCTATTAAGACTTTCTCGCTCCTTGGATTGAGATGGCTACGGGCACAGGGCGTGTTGCAAGATAACACATCGAATTTCGCGAAGCTCCCGCTGGCGGCTCCTGAATCGTGCTAAAATGGCGGGCATATGATCCTCAAGATGCTTGATAGCATCCGGTTTCTTCATCAGAAGAATCTTTTTCACATAATAGTTCCTATGCCCCTGCTTGATTATCTCAGTGTCCGTCACCGGCCAAAAGCCAAAGAGAATGAATGAGCGAAATAATAATTCTAACAATGGCAGTGATAGAGAGTTTGTTGCCTTCACATTTCCTATCCCAGCTCAAGTTCTATTAATGTCCCAAAATCCGAAGAACATGGGCCCCAGCATCATCCAAGCCAGCCCAAGAAATGGGAACGCCAAAGAAAAGATAAATAGCTACAACGAGGTTAGCAGGATAAATCTAGGGCATATCATAGTGATAATCTACAAGTCCTTAGTCTAACAGAAACTTACCCAATGAATCAGAGTATGACGCCAGCTCATTTCAGAAAGTCTTTCTTGTCTGATGTAAGTCGGCACCAAGTCGAAAGCGTCGTCGCTCAATTTAAAAAGAATGAAGGATCCAATTGAGATCAAAGGTGCAGTGAGGAAAAAGAACAGGTAAGAAGAACTTATTTTGCTGAAAACCATCGTTGTGATAATTGGTACCGAGCTTATTATGAAACTGACGATGATTGAGACAGTAATGGCTGGGCGGATCATTGCCGCTGATCTACGAGAATTGTGCTCGTGAGATAGCACGTACTTCTCGTCAAAGCGCGCAACACATTCCTTTGCTAGCAATTCACAATTATTCAAGAGTTTGTGGTATTTAGTTTCGTCCCATTTACTAAGGACCGACGTGACTATTGCATCTTAAGTACAGCACGAGAAAAAGCATGGAGATGTTTGGAACTGACCTGTTTCATGGATATTTGTCATGGAAGTCTTGACTGTTCCGGCTTTCCTGTACTGTCGAAACTTGTGGTAAAATTCCGGGTCCCCTAGGTCCATTCCACTGAAGAGATTTTCCCAGTCTTCCGGCATCTTGGTCCGGGATATCTTGTTATGAGTGAAATAAGATACCATTGGTGTGATGTTGACCCCCTTTTCGTCTCCGCCGGTTTCGGTGCCCAGTTCCCAGACGATGCCAATGCTATTTACGTCATTAGGGTGCTCTGATACAGTAAGAAAGGCTGCATGTTTGAAAACGGTCTGTCCCAGAAGCTGTGAAATCCATCGCAAGATCAAGTGCTGCAGGTGAACAAGTAGCTCGAAGATGGAGTGCCATTTGAAGAGGTTCTTTTCAATGGGAGCAGCTGGCTTCGACCATGTATATTCAACGAACAGGTCCCAGTCCCGGACTTCGTCAACTGACGGGATGGAAGGTGACCTTTGGCTAGATGACCCTCCCAAACCCTGATCGTCTAGCGGCATTCTGCTTGTTGTGAGAGTGTAATAGTGGATGGGATATTCCTGATCACGAAGATTGTGGCCAAATACAGCTACTAATGATTGAGGCGGACGTATGGAAATAAGAAATTGTGCAAGCGTAGTGGAGATTTGGCAAGGGACAAGAACGGAGCTTGGATCTGAGTTGTGAGACTGGAGCCAAAGCTGGGCAGTATGAGAGAATTTATACTAAGGAAATCTATCTATCATTGAATTGGGACTCATAAGAATCTACCTGCTTCATTTCATAATGGCGCAACGCAGCCCTATTGATCTCAGCCGCGATCACCCTGACTTCAGCCGCAGCCCTCTGTGTCCTCAGGCTAACTTGAAAAGGCACAAAGCTGGCGCAAGTAGCTGCAGCTGATTTGTGCTGCTTTCATTCTATAGGTAGATATTAGTGGTGTGTTGGCCCATCCTTGTGTATATGTATGGTCGACAACGAGTGGGTGTGGCCACGATGCATGGTTGTTAGCGTTAACTACCCAAGATGTCATATTCAGGAAGCAGCGGACGTTCCACAGCATATGTTAGCCTTGTAAGATGTCCCGTGGTGTCAAATGATACGCGACAGGAGGTTTACTTGGATATGATATCTCATCTTTTGGTAGGTCTCACAAAACGCCAATACCAGGTTAATACCGAGACATGCATAGTAAACCCTTTCGATCACCCGTCCATGCTCCATGCTGCTATTGGGCATACCGACAAGGCTGCTTATATGCCAAGCCTGCAGAGACCAATTGACCTCAATTTCACATTTTATGTTTCAGCTGGCCTGTGGGTGTGACCGAAAGTGCACATTTGTGGAGGATGCCGCTACATGGCCATCATGATACGCCCGATGGGTAGCTAGTCGAGGAAGATGGGCTTTCATACAGTCAGTAGATGATTGCGGTCGCCGTAGTCACGCGTAAAGTCACTAGCCCTCTGGAAGCCCTGTCAGAACTCTCTGTAGAACACCGGCATGAACTTGATTCGACTCGATTCGAGTTCACCGTCCATAGATTGTGAGCAGATGCAAATCCATTGCTTTGTCATGACGGACTCTGACAAAAACAGACCTGTTTTTCATGGCAAGAAATCGATCATCTGGGACACTACTACTCGGTCGCTTGGTCCTGCAAGCGACATGAACCCCTTCCTTCATCATAATCGATTTAAGTGAAATGTAATCTTGTCATTCAAAGCATTTGTCGCTTGCTCAGCTCAGAACTCTCAGTAATTTGATTGGATGTCACTTGAATAACAGAGTCTACCACCACAATATGTACACTGAATTATCTAATCGTCAAAAATGCTCCCATAATCTCATCTACTCGCTCAAAACTTCAATGAATATCCTTCGTTCCACTAAGCATCTCCATCACACTCAAATCCATCGCCTGAATCGTGCGTCTAAACGGGCACAGCGGTGAAACCACAGGCAGCAGCTGCAGCAGTGACAGAGTTTCCGTAGTACCGCCAGACGTTCTGGGCGTTGGCGCACTGCAGGCAAGCATCGTAACGAGCGATCCACTGGTAGTTTGTACAGTAGTCAGCCTCGCGGGACAGAGTGATTGAAGTACCTAAATGGCCATCATCGTCAGCATTCTTTGCGTTCATTGTGTAGTTGATCAGGCTCCCTTACCGCAGTTTTCGTGGCAGAGGTAGGCGGGAGTGCCGGGCGCCGGGACGTCCTGGCGAGTGACGAGGGGCATCGACTCGTGGAACGCCCAGCCGCCCTGGTCGCGGTTGATGAGAGGGTTGGCGGAGGCCAGGGAGGTGACAAAGGCCACGGAGCAGGCAACAGAGAAGCGCATCTTGGAAGTTCGAGAGGGAGATTTTGTGGGGTTGAGAAGCTTGGTGAGGCTTGAAGCTGAGGATGCTGGTTATCGAGAAACTTGTTTCCGTTTGCTTCAGGGTAATGACGAGTCTTTATATCCAGCTTCACGTTTGGCCATGCTATTTTCCTTTTCAGCCTACTCAATTTCCCTCTTCACTCCCCTTCCAGTCCCTCGGAACGCCCAGACCCTTCATCCGAATGAAAATGTCAATGGCATCCCACGGCGCAACGGCACACCGATATCGCCGGCGCTATTGAAAGGAGCAGATCTTGGCGAGCGATTTCCAAATTCCAAGAACAACCTTGGCCCCAATGATGCTCGGAAAGAAGCGGGTTCTCCGAGCATATTCAGCGGGGCCGACTTCCGTCCGAAGGTCCCCTGCGTCGTACCTCATGCCATCTAATCTAATCAGATCATCTGATAATCAGTATCCCTGCTGGTGACTGGGACGAAGCTGCTTAATGGGGCTTTTCATGTCCGAGAATCCCCCACATGACTGCGACCCACAAGGTTGATATACGAGTTTGTTATGTAAATGGCGAGTTTGAAGTCTTGGCTTCGGAACTGCCCCAGCTCACATGTGAGAGAAGGTCTTCAGGGCTCGGGGTGACGCAAAGTTGTCGTTGAGCTTAGATTTCCCTGCAGTGCAGGTCAAAGAAGGTGATGTTTGAACTTGGTACGAAGTTAGGTCTCGTAGTGAGAAGAAATTGTAACAAATCAGAGGTTAAATGTCGAGTGAATTAGAACTATCAAATGTCTAAGAAATAAACAGAGTTGGAAGAATCAAATGTTCAGGCCCTCTCGCCAGTAAAGGCATCAAACGACGCAGTCCTCAAGCGCGGGTTCTTCTCAAATTCGAGCGTCCTTTGATCATATAACACCAACGTTCCGTTGGAAAGTTGAACATCCAGTAGGTAGACGACGCTCAGTGTCCATTGCTCGCGGCTGCCCTGAATGCTGCCCACACTGAAACGAAGCACATCATCTCCTGTCAGAGTCTCATTGTACAACGCCCTGTAGCTCTTGACATTGCAAACTTCCGTAGCCGCGGCGGTAACATCTGTGAACGTCTTGATGCGATTCTCCGCGTCAAGGGTGTTACCAATCACTACGCTAGAGTTGGCGCAGATGAATCCGTCAGAGTCAGCCGAGTGAGACGTGGTGAAACGGACAAAGTCCCACGGTCCCAACGCGGCGGGAACTTCTACCTCGGCAGTGAACAGCGACGTGCCATCGTATGGGGCGGTAGAGAGTCGCTCGTAGACGACGGAGCGGTCCACGGCGGTGTAGTACACGGGTGCTTCGTAAACCTTGCCGACGGTAGGGAACTGCACGACGTAGGTACCCTGCTCCATGGCTGCGGCGAACTCGGGGGTGAAGCGGCACATGAGGAAGAAGTCGCCAACCATGTTCTTGTTCCAGGTCGTCCAGTCCGCGAGCGCGATTGTGTACAGCCGGGTCTCTGGGTCGAAGGATGTATCGCCGGCTTGGGCGCCTGCTGCCGAGAGCTGATCTCCCTCTGCGATGTCGGTGATTTCGGAGGGGACGGCGAATGTCAGGACGGAGTCGGCCGCAACAGGCGACGGCAGCGAGATTTGGACGTGGAGCTCCATCCACGCTGCCGGATCAATGACGAATGCGGTGTCCTCTTTCAGCCTCTGGAGCTTGAGGGAGGTGAAGGCATTCTCGAGGCCGGTAGGTGTAGCAGTAGCTGTGAGCGTTGTGGTGGTCCCTGGTACGGAGATGGGGGCAGTCGTAGTCGGGGCGGAAGTCGTAGTGGGCGAAGCGGTGACAGTAGCCGCGGCCGTTGTCGACGATGGAACGCTAGAAGTCCAGGTGGCGTTCTGCCCGGGAATCGGGTCGCTGCCGAATTGAATGGAGAATGGATCGGAAAGGAATAGCTGCCAATCCTCCTGCTTGGAGGCGTCGCCAAAGATTCGCAAGGCACGCGTGAAGATGCGGTATCGCCCAGACGGGATATCGGTTCCGTTGGCAAAAGATCGGAAAGTGACGTAGCTTCCCAAGCTGAAGCGGACGACTTCTCTCATGGGAAAGTCCATGTAGCTTCCAGGAACAACGGGCTGAGACCTGACGGAGCCAAGCCACGCTTTCGAACCTGAACCGTGTTGCGGGGGATACGCAAACTGCTCCGTCTTCCAGTCAACACCGACCAGGTCGACGGAGAACTCGTAGGTACCGTAACGGAATGCGAAGTAGGTCTCGGGGGAGTCGCCGTCAGCAGGGTGGTATGCTTGGCCTTGGTAGTCGACAGGATACAGATAGCCTTCGGTAGCATCATAGCGATATGACTCTGGTCCGTGATGCAGCGGGGTCCAATTGTACGTGGAAGCCTCGATGCCAATATAAGGTACGGCCAGCAGCTCGTCGTTGGAACCCGCAAGAATAACCTTTCCACTCCACAAAGCACCGCTTTCAGGGGCACCAGCGGGGGCGGAGAGGGTGATTTCAATGTCCTGAGTTGCACCTGCGGCAACTGTGACAATCTTACCCTCGGTCAAAGACCCAGCAGCTGACACCAAAGGCGGGTAGTAGGCGTTGGGGTACAAAAGGCTATCCCTTGATGAAACGGTCGAAGCAGCGACGTGAGAGATGTTGTAACTCACTTCCTCTGATCCAGTATTCTGGATACGAATAGTATGCGTGCTAATGCGATTATCCGTATCATTCAGGGACAGAGTTGGCTCAGAAAGCAGCACGGTAGTGAAGTCGAACAACTTGACGGCATCAACGAGACCCGCGCCCTGCTGAGCCAACGACGCGACCTCGCCGAGGACCTTGCCATCGATGGATTCGAAAGCAGGCAGGGCCAGAGCAGTAGACGTCAACCTGCGTACAAACTCTGCGCGGTCCTTCTTCGCATGCGCAAACCACAACGCAGCCACACCTGAGATGTAGGGGGTCGCAAACGACGTTCCGGAAGCAATGGCAAATTCACCGTCCGGGAAAGCACCGTACACTACGCCGCCGGGTGCGGAGATGATGGGCGAGAAGTCGTTCTCGTAAGTCGGGCCCCATGAGGTAAAGGTTGAGAGCTGACCGGCGCTGGGGACTTCAGCAGCAAAGGCGGCCGGCTGGGCATCAGCCTGAATCTGCAAATGAAGGGTGTAGTTCTTGCTGATCTGGGTGTTCGCCCAGTCTCCAACTGAAGCAGTGGTAACAGCCATGAGCTTGAGGTTGTCAGACCAAGCAGAAACTTCATCCATGTAATAGGCACCCTGATTGTAAGAGTCATACAGGATCCCGTAGCCGAATCCGGCGCTGGCGATGGAGGAATAAGACCCGGCCGACTCGCAGACGCCGCGTTTGGTGAGGACGGCAGTCGAGTCGGAGCCAGAGCCAGCGATGTTGCACGAGTCTCCACTGTCGAGAACGATGGGCACGTCGATGGTGTCGTTGAACTTGTTGCCGTCGGACGTGACGTAGGAAATATTCAGGGACTGGCCGCCAGACGAGACGATCGTGGCAGGCCATCCCAAGGTCTGCGCCGCTTCCACCGAGCCGACGGAGACGACACCGCGGCCGGCAGCGGGGGAACTGGCAAAATAGGGTCCCATGTCACCCGAGTTGCCAGCAGCAATGACTATGAGTCTGTCCTGGGCAATCTCGCTGGCAACGCGCGAGAGAACCGAGTTGACATAGCCAGTGTTGCTGCCAATCGAAACGGAAATGATGTCGCAGTCGTCGGAATCAGCCGCGAGCATGCCCTTGAGAACCAAGTCGTTTGACGTCGAATCCTCGCAGTCAAAGACCTTGTACATGTAAATCTCCGAGTCGGGTGCGACGCCGGCAAAGTCCTTGTGAGATGCGGCGATGACGGACGATACAAAAGTGCCGTGCCCAACACAATCTGTAATGGCGGTCGAGTTCTCTTCAACGAGATTCTTCCCGCCGGCAATCTTGCCGATCAGGGCTGGGTGCGAAACATCTACACCGCTGTCAACTACACAGACTCGCTGGCCGGCGCCGGTGATGTTGCGGTCGTGGAGCTCGCTGACGCGAGTGGCGATGTGGGGGTTCCATTTCTGCGTGCCCGTGGTGACTTCGAAGGAGACATTCAGGTTGATGGGCTGCACTGGCCATGCGTTTGCGATGCCCGGGAGGCTCTTGATATCATCGACGACGCCGGACGAATCGTCGTTTGCAATCTCGACGGAGACGCCCTTGAAGCGGCCAGAGATGGTGGAAAAGTCCTCCTTGATCGTGGCCTCGTAGCCGAGGGATGAGATTTGACCAACGATGGAGTCTCCGACGGAAGAGTCCTGGCGGGTGTGGGAGCCCGTTGAGTCTTGGATCTCAACGATATAACGACCCGATACACCTTGGGAGGCCGGGGTTGCCAGGCGGGTGCGGCCGCTCGCGAAGCCACCCTCGGCTGCCGTCGCCGGTGTGACGGCGGCAGCTGCAACGAGAGCCGCTTGGAGGATGCCAGAAATCCGAGCCATTATAGCGAGCTCGACTAAGATCGGCAAGTTGGCAATCAATCTCGGAGTTTAGCGATGGAGAAGCAGATGGGGGGCTGTTGCTTGAGCTTCTCTTCAAAGCCAAGACCCCAAAGGCCCATTCCCTCCTATTTATTCTACTCATCATCGTGCAGCATTCCGGTAGTATACGGGACGCAGCTTCGAAGCAGTAGCAGGGTCACACGATACGAGTTGGAACCGCACCCATCAGATCCAAGATCACCATGTCTAACCAAATTGCCTCTTAATTACAGATTTATGGGCCAGTCAACCGATAACCGGAACGCAACGGCAAGCGTTCAGGGGGTTCGCAGAGTCGGATGTAACTCCGAGGACTTGGCAGGCACCAAGGGTTCTGCCCGGTATTCCCAGAAGCGGCAGGTCGTTGAAAAAGACTCATCCGTTTAGAGGGCAGGGGTATGAACAGTATCAGCTCATCTAATCAATCCCTGTGGAGCTCAGCATGCAGGCACGCCGCAACATTGCAATGCAGCCGTTGCTAAGAGCTTGGTGAGATTGAAACTTTCCCGTTTCTGCGCGCTACGGCGGGAGCTCGTGGAGATTTGCCTCGATTCGCTTAGCCCTGTGGTGAAATAAGCTCAACTCGGAGGGCCGATGTTACTCTGGTTTGTCACTATCGGCGATGTTCAGGAGCTCCGAGAGAGGACTTCGCCTGAGAAGTCCGAGGTGGACAAAGTGTCTAGGCTTCACGAAGTCACTTGCTCAAGTGAGCGATATGCGTCCGTCGTGGAGGAGCAGATGCCGTGGGGTTCAACTTTGAGTTCCGGGAGTGAGCAGGGTCAAGCCACATCGGACATTGAAGTCAAAACTTCGCTTCAACGTCAAGCATTCAGACGCAATTAAAGAATGATTAGCCTCACTGTATGTCAGCCTTCCTATCATCTACCACACATGGTCTACCAACTGTAAGCTCTAGTAGGTACACTGGAAGCTGGCCGGAGCTCAGAAGGAGGTCCCTTGGACCCCATGACCCATCGTCCAAGCCCATCCACAGCCTAGCTTCAAATGATCAGATCAAGGAGTCAAAGTCAAAGAGATTATCCCAGTCTCACTCCAAGGCTTCCAATAGATACACACCATCGCTTCAGATATGAGCCGATCGCGTGGTCCGCATGAAAAATGATGCAAGACGAAGAGCATGGGTGGCAATCTGGAATTCAGCAACCAGCTTATGCAGAGTCATTTCAATTTAGAGTTTGTGCTTAGCTCTCATCATCAAATATCTTTCACTGCGTAAATCCGAATGCGCTCAAAGCTGTGGAGCAGGTGAGTTTACCTAGGCAAAAAGTTGAGGGAACGGATGAAGAGGAGACTGTGAGATGACGGAGCCCGAGCGCGCATTCTACCCGGACTAGCCTATACGTACTTACAGCTTGCAAGACCGTTTGAATCTCCGTATAGAGCTTTGTAAGTGATAGCAGGCAAGGCTTCTGCGTCGTTGAGAATTTCGCCTGTTTTCAACTTTTCTCATTGTCTTTTTGGTCCGGATCACTCAGAGAGTGAGACATCAGCAAGAAGCTATTTCGACTTTGTGAGAATAAGAGACCACATAGTTGTACTTGCCGTGGTATGAACACGGGTTATAATTCCATGGAATAACTACATCACGAGCAAAGCTCATGAGTCTTTGTCGATGATGTTCAGTGAGGGATGAATGTTCGCCATCAATGTGAGGGGTGCCAGCCCAGTTGCTATATCCACATAGTGCTGAAAACCGTGCACACTGTTACACCACCCCAATTGTCTACCTGAGTACAGTACGAGGTCTGGATGTTACTACGGTGGTCAGTTGAGGCAACCACACCAAGAGCTGTGCCGCACCCGCCTGCCGCCGCGTCCCGGAGGCCGTGTCCCCCGCGGCCGTCACCTTCTCGCTCTCGGCGTTTTATTTTTCTGCCTCAATATCGTCTTCCACACCGAAGGTCCACGGATTGGTCCCGCCGAGTCCATCCCCGGTAGTTCATTTATAACATACCCTGGGTCGGACACCGGTATAAGCCAGCAAGAGACGCTACAACCAAGACACCCCTCACTACGCGTCCCCTTCCCCGACCCGAGAAGCCTTCAACCTACCGCCACCGAAGATGGTTTGTCGGTCGTCACAAAGTCGCCATGGAGCTTTGTTCCCAAGGGCCAGCGCCCCGTCAGATGCGAACAGCTTTGCCTTACTTCCGCCCTACTGGACGCCTATCGAGGACTCCTCCTTCGCGGACGTCTACCGTGGGCCTACCATATACGGCGAAAACGCCTGGTCCCAGGGCCATGAAATCAGTCAGGTAGATCAGCGTCTTGGAAAGCCTTTTCTCTTGGGTGACCAAGTGGGGTTCAACATCTCCCAGTTGGCCTCGTCACTTGCGGGTGGCCGACAACAAAGACCGCTCCCACGGGCCCATGAACAACTTAGGGTCCCAAGAAAAGGTCTCCCGATTCTACCGGCAGGGCTCAAAGCCACTTTATCTACTCGGTCCACTCGTGCGACGAAACTTGTGAACAAGAAAAGGACTTGGCTTCTCACTTCAAAACGGTCCAGACTTACACCTGCAACTGGGCTGGCTGCGAACAAGCCAACTTTTCTTCAAAGGACGGCCTTACGTGGCACGTCAAGCCAGAATACTTGCTCATCTGCCCGGCCCTTGGATGTACCGAGAGCTCATTCCAGACCAAACATATTCTGGAAGTCATATAAGATGTGCCCATTCGGATTCGGATGGCAACAGCAAGGGCAAATCCAAGGAGCCAATTTCGAGGCCTGAATCTCCCGTCCAGACCATGGCTACGCCGTCCTCATTTCAAGAGCCCAACAATGAGCTACCACCACCCCAGGAAAGCGGCACGGAGGAAGATGCCGTTGCACTATCCAAAAATGAGTGTCGAAAAAAGTTGATTGAGGCTGTCGAAAAGAAGCATTGCGGAGAGAAGGGTAAGTGGAGCGAGGTTCGACTCCTAGGGCCGCTTTTCTGACGTTACTAGGTATCGCCAACGCAGATTTCCCTACTTTGTGGGAGCATGGAGTTATGCCCTTCCTCAAGAAGTTCATCCTAAAGTGGTGCGGCCCTAGTCACCAAATCATTCTCACCCAGGGTACGACACCGGGTACACGACGAATCGGCATCGTGACCAAAGAAGAGCTCCCCAAAGATCGCCATAAAACCATAGTAGAGCACATCATAGATCTGCTGCCCGAAAGCCATCGAGCCGACCTAACGTTTGACGTTTTCATTGGCTCTATTGAACGATCTGTCTCGGCAAGAGGGCTGAGCAGGGGGATGCCTGACGACATGTCCATAGCCAAGAACCCGTCTTACTTCAAAAACCCGCGCATGCGCGACAGTATCGATATCGACGGCGATGCCAACTTCGATGTAACCACATCCACCTTGGGATCCTGCCTGCTTGTTGGTGGCCGCAGTTACTGGCTTGCCACCTTCCATCCCGTTGTGGAAGCATACCAGCACCTCCCATCGATCAGCGTTCAACAACCATCTCCGAGCGACCGGGCACGCTCTTTAGAAAAAGGGCACGAAGAAGGGCATGACACGCTGCCCGAGACAGGACTCCCTCTAGGTAACCTCACTGCGACGTCGGGCATCGACCTGAAAAAGACTTGCATATCCCACCATCCGTACTGGAAGGACTGCGAAAAGGAGCCCCCCCATGTCGTGACCGATTGGGCTCCCATTGACTCCAAGACGGGTCAGGCGAACATACTCCGCCGTGAACCCTCCGATACCCTACTGCCTCTCAAGCAGATTCTACTCAAGACGACAAGTGACGTTGTGCCAAGGGCAACCGTGGTATCGACAGGCCGCATGTCTGACCAGCAGAGGGGCAAGGTCTGCGAAATCCCAGCATACATTAGCGCCGATCAGAACGGCGCGGGAACGGCTACGCGCGAGTGGTTCATTGAGCCTTGCCCTTACGACGACATAGAGGGCTGGATCCCCGGTGGCATTGGTGGGGAGGGCGACAACGGCCCCGCCATTGTCGACGCTAAGACCAACGCCCTGGTAGGCCAGGTTTGGGGCCGGAACAAATACTTTGGCTCCGGTCCTCGTCTCACCTTCTTTACTCCCATTGGCGATCTATTCGACGATATTCAGGAGAGACGTGACCAAGAAGCCTGGCCTCAGCTCCCGCAGGACAGGAATGAATCAGAAGGTTACACCGGGACCAACCTCCATAGCCAATGGAGTACCCGAAAGTCGCTCCGCTCAATGACTGAACGCAACGAGAGCATTCGCGGAGACTTGACCTCGGACGGAGGGACATCAGAGCACGCAACGCCAAAGGACCATGCACTCTGGGTCGTCGGAGAAGCCGGCGCCTCGTTCACCAGTATCACGTCACCGTCCCCCGCCCATCCGTCCTGCTTCACACCACAAACTGGTACCCCGGGCATTGTAGACGTCAAAACCCCGTACGCCTCGACCCTGAGCGCAGAGGATCTCTGCGACGACGCCCCCACGCGAGCAACCGAATGCAGCTCCGGCATGCGAGCGGCTGCAATCTCAATCTAACGGAGTTCAAGTCAGAATGCCAAGAGGTAAAGGTTGCATTAAGCCATGCTATTCCTAGGCTGAGAAGTCCCACATCAGCCAGGGAATCCACCTCTCGCCATCTTCTTTGCTCTCTGATCGCGGCGGTTGTGGTTCGCCCGGGAGCTCTTGCTGGCTTCCTTTCTCCTCCGCGCGGCCTCAGTCTCCTTTTCTCCGGTAGGGCCGGCCACATTACCGCCGCCCCGGCCTCCACCCCCTCTGCCACCACGCCCGCGACCTCCGCGTCCACGACCGCCTCCGCCGCCTCTGAACGAACTACCGCCGCCGGATTCAGGTTCTTCAGCACCCGAGCCAGCCGGGCTGGCTCGCCATGCTGTTGACAGAATCTCGGTCTGGGTCCCGGTGAATGCAGCGTTGCCGCTATACTTGGCCTCAAGCCGTCGATTCTGACCAGGGTTCCTCGCCAGCATCACCGCCCAGCCCTCGATGGCCTCGTCCGTCATGCCCGTCTCTTCTCTCAGTTTGCCTCTCGCTTGCCCTCTCCTCGTCGTGGCCTGCCTGTCAAATACGCTGGGGTCGGCCTGGAACGCCTTGTATAGCGTCTCCTCACCAGCATCCTTTTGGCCGTCCGCCTCCTCGTTGGCATTGTCGACCGTGCCTCCGACATCGTCTGCATCGTAGGTGTCGTCGCGTTCGTCGTCGTCCGAATCGAACGCGGCGAGCGCCGACAAGATCGCCGCCTTGTTTGGTGCGGTTGACCTGTCTTTGAGGACGTCATCGGCCGTCTTTTCGGGGCCTTTCTTTCCGAAATGGAGTTTTGAAACGTCCAGGTCCAGTCTGTCGAGTTCATCATCATCAAAAACGTTGTGGCGCTCTGGTAATTGCGGGGGTGTTGGTCTGGGTTCCAGCTGGCTTTTCCTTCTTTCCAACGTGGGAGATCTGTGATATTGTTAGCTTTTGCAGAGTACATTTTATAGGAAAGAGAACACTTACAACGGAGCAGCGCGGTCCGCCGTCGCGAGGTACGGAGGCAGCGAATCCTCTAGTAAATGAGCCGTGACGATTTCCGTATTGTCGCCGTATTCGTCAAACAGCTTCGAGATGAAACCCGACCCCAGATCCGGAAACAGATCCTGAATAAGTGAAATCTGACTCTGCCGGTGTATGTGCAACTCCGCCTGAACCTGTCCCTCGTCCGCGACATCCTTCCCCTTACCCTTGTCCACCTTTCTCCTGATGAGCCTCTTTGGCCGCATCATCCCGCCCCCGGGCTTCTTGAACCCTTCCAGCGCCGAAATGCGTGACCGTAGGGCAGTCGACGCCGCGCCCTTCTCCTCGGCTCTCTTGGATAGCTGCCTGAGCACCGGCGTGACGGTGACCAGCTCGGCCACGAGCGAATCGTTGACATTCAACGGGCCGGCCCTGTGCGTCTCCGCAGCGGACTTTAGGGAAAACAGCACGTCGGCCAGCATCCCGAAGCGCGGCTGCTCGCCCTCGGTCAGGCCTACGAGGCAGAGGTACATTGTCGCGACGAGGACCTTGCGGAGGGGCGGGTTGGTGATCTTGAAGGCCGTCACGAGGCCGTCGAAAAAGTCTGAGCCCGCGAGGAAGAAGGCTGCCGCGTGGGGGGAGGCGTGGAGGAGGTGGTTGAGGTTTGCGAGGCGGGCCTCGAGGGATTTGAGGTCTGCTTTTAGGCCTGCTTCCATTGATTGCGCCAGGGACTTTTTGAGCCCCGCGAGGGGTTGTTCGAGGTGGCTGGCGTGGAGGTGGAAGGATTTCGAGAGGGTGGGCGGTGCGTTCTTGCGGTAGAGTTTGGTGAAGGCGCAGAGGAAGGGCGGTATTGTTAGCTGGGTTGGCGGTGGTGTTGAGGGGTTTGTGAGGAGGCGGGATGTGAGTGTGAATGCGGTCCTCAGGAGGGCCTTGGAGGTCACCGACGAGGAAGAGGATCCTAAGGTGGGAGAGGGCCCTGCTTCGGCGACTTGAGTTGTAAAGGATGTGAGGAAGACCGGGATGGACGAGTCTTCTTTTGTCGCGGCGCGGGAGAGGTCCTTATCTGAGAGGGCGAGGTAGGCTTGCGTGAGGGTTGTCCAGGCTTCGAGGAGGGCGTCCCATTCTGGTGATGTGAGTTTCGCGCGCCATGATGGCGAGGGAAAGGGGGCCAACGGCGGGAGGGAGGCCGACATGATCGCCGGGTTGAGTGAGAGTGAGTGAGATGCGCTGGAACTGGCGGGGTAGAACGTCGGGTTTCTATCGCGAGATGTCCTAGGACATAGGGAGGGCGCTCTTAGGGAGAGCTCGTCGTGGGGTCTTTGTTGCGCATCCGGAGAAGTTCTGGCAATGCGTTTTGAGGTGTCGATGAGGCGAGGTGAGGTGAGGGCGTGTCCTCATGAGATGTCCTTCTCTCGCCGGATGATTCATTGACGTCGGTACCTCCCAGCCCGGCGCAGGCAGTGAGTGAGTGAGCTTTCGGCGGAGCTCCAATGAGCAAGCGGGTACCTCATGGTGGGGTTCGTCTTTTTCTGTGCCTGTCTGCTGCTGCCGCAAATGGTCAGCACGGCAGGTACGTACCTTTTCCAGACATCCCAGTTCAGCACTAAACCTACCCGGGATTAGTCACAACATTCGGTAAAGCCCTACTTTCCAAACCCCACGAAAAAAAGTTCGCGATCGCAATTTCCTCCGACTGCAAGCTCTCCGATAGCCCAGATCATCAGCCTTCATCACTTTGCCGCAACCAAGCCGTTCGAGTCGTGAAGGAATCCAACCTCTCCCTCCTTACCTTACCAACCCGTACCTTTAACACCGAACCTCTTTCGTTCAACAACTTCAAAATGTCTTACAACAAGGACAAGGATTTTGGCGAGGCGCCCAAGACGCACAAGATCCGCATCACCCTCTCCTCCCGCAAGGTTCAGTCCCTCGAGAAGGTCTCTGCCGAGCTCATTGAGCGCGCCAAGTCAAAGGACCTTCGCGTCTCCGGCCCCGTCCGCCTTCCCACCAAGACCCTCAAGGTCACCACCCGCAAGACCCCTTGCGGTGAGGGTTCCAAGACCTGGGACTGCTTCGAGATGCGCATCCACAAGCGTCTCATTGAGTGAGTTTTCCTCTCCCGTTGGTAGCTGTGCTAGTCTCGCGCAATTGCGCATGGCTACGAGTAAGCGAGATGGAACGAAATGCTGACGTGTATAATAGCCTCAACGCCCCCACCGAGATCGTCAAGCAGATCATCATCAACATCGAGGCCGGTGTCGAGGTCGAGGTCACCATTGCCGCATAAGCGATTGGATCACGTCCGAATGTTGTAAAAAAGTTGTTGTTGCAAGAGGGACGACGGTATGGGCTTCGGCTTGGGAATGCTGCATCGCGCGCGGCGAGGAGGCCGAAAGGTCACCTTGCGGCGGCCATGCGAAGGCGGCGGGACGAGTGAGGCGGTCTAGATACCACCCGAATCAACTGATGACCCCCCCATTTACCCCACTGGCACCTCGTATCACGTGAATGTGCTCCATTTGTGAAGCCCAATTGAGGTTGAGACTCCCGAGTCTTGGTTATACATGAAGTCAGAAAACGCCAATTGCTTGGAGAAGGAAGGGACAATTATGGTGGTGGACAGCGGAAAATGTCTTGGAGAAGTATTCAATATTTTGGCACTCAAACGCATCTTGAGCGCGGTAGCACCGTTACATCACATGCCCAACATGCTACCAGCCAGATACCCAATCTCCCTAGTCACCAACTGACCCCTTTTTTTGAATCAACGCCATGCAATGCCAGTTCCTTTACACCAGTACAGAGAGACAGACCCCCGTTAGCCCTCGCCTCATCTCTGTTTGTCCTCGCCCTCGTATTCCCCCTCTCACAGATCCCAAAGGCAAAACTCTCTCTTGGGCGGCACCTCGGGCATCAGGCCCTCAAACTTGCCCGTCTGCGTAAACGCCTGCCACTGCTGTTTCGACTTGTCGTCATACAACTCGTCGGGTAGCTCCGTATCTTTATAGTAATTTGGTGGGCCGTCGGGGAACCATATCCTCGTCCACGCTCCGTTGAAGGCCCGGATGCCGGGCAAGTTGCCCTGGTAGGTGACGGGCTTGCCCTTCCAGTTGGACAGTCGCCCGTCCATGCCCTTGGAGCTATAGCTCGACACGGGCGGGTGCTGTCTCGAGCTCCCCGGCGGGTACGGTCCGCTCCCAGGCGCCGCCGCTTGTTGCGCGACAGGCGCCGCTGGCGCAGCGGTCTGACTTCCGAATGGGTTTGGTGCTGATCCACCCGCACCAAGGCCGCCAGCCGGCTGACTGAACGGTGACGCGTTGTTTTGTCCAAAAGGATTCGGCTTCTGGCCAAGCTGGGCCGGTTGGCCGAAAGCGCTTGCGGGTTGCGCGGATTGTGTGGGTTGAGCACCCATCGACGGCTGGCCGAACGCGCTTGGCTGTGCATCAGGTTTCGCACCAAAGGGGTTGCTCGCCGCCGGTTGCGCCTGAGAAGGCTGGCCGAAGGGATTCGAGGACGCCGTTTGGGATGCTTGTCCAAATGCGCTTGTTGTCGCAGGCTGTGCTGGCTGACCAAACGGGCTTGCAGTAGGCTGGGCTGGGGCGCCAAAAGGGTTGGCATTCTGCGTCGCATTTTGCGCGGGCTGAGCAAAGGGACTGGAGCTGGCGGTATTCTGCGAAGCTTGGCCAAATGAACTGGTGATATTCCCACTGCCGCCGGCGCTGGCAAAGGGGCTTGCTCCGCTCGCCGCTCCCCCAAAGGGATTGGGCTTCTGTCCTAGAGCACTTGCTTGGCCGAACGCGCTTCCACCTCCGCCAAGCTGTGATGGCTGACCAAATGCACTACCGCCGCCTCCCGTAGCTGGTTGTGCTGGTTGCCCGAATGCAGGCGCGCCGAATGGGTTCGGCTTCTGTCCCAGCGCCGAAGCCTGGCCAAAAGCTGATGTTCCGCCTCCCAGCGCGCTGGCTTGTCCAAACGCAGACGTGGGTTGCGAGGTCTGGCCAAAGGCTGGTGCTGAGCTACTCGGGGCACCAAAAGCTGACGTAGGTTTTGATGGTTGGCCAAACGTTGAACTCGGCTGCGAGGGTTGCGAGGTCTGACCAAACGCTGGCGTGCCAAAGGGATTCGGACGTTGGCCCAGGGCCGCTGGCTGGCCAAAGGCGCTTCCTGAGGAAAGCCCGCCACCACCGAAGGCCGAGGTTTGCTGGTTGTTGGAGGAGAACGGGTTTGAAGTTGCTGCGGGTGTGTTTGACGAAAAGGGATTCTGCTGCCCTAGGGAAGAAGCCGCCCGTTTTCCAACGGCAAACTCTCCTGTGGTCCCGCCTGGCAAGGTACCTTGCTTGCAAAGGTCTATCCTGTTGGGATGCGTCTGTTCGGCTGAAATGATGAATTGTATAGCTCCGTCGAGATTGCCCACCGCCGTCTTCATTTGTTGCTGGGCTTGCTGGTACAGCTCTTGGGCTTGGTTGAGCTTTGGGCTCTGTTAGCCGATTGTCATCAAGAACCTTCAAAGGAGACTCACCGCTTGCTGGGGATTGCCAGAAGCTGCCGCCATCATATGAACGAGCCTCATCTCCTCAAAACTCTGCTCACGCAGGTTACCTCCAAAGAGCTGTTCCGGAGCATCCCTGCCGGGGCCGTAAGCGGACAGGATCCATTGCGGCGCCTCCGTTGTCAGATCCTTCTCAATGGCCTCCTTTGCTAGTGAATATGGGAGAGCTACTTCCGTGTGAGTAAGCCGAGTTGTTCAAATCTCCTTGGAGCCACGATTGCTAGACAAACCATCGTTGCCGCCGCGATTGAAACCTCCCCCCGTGTTTTGACCAAAGGCTGCGAAGCGGTTGTTCGACTGCGACCGGGGGTGCTCGAATCGGCAATTCTCTGTAATAATACCTGTTAGCCTTGCCCATCTGATTTCCCGATCGAAGTCACTCGGGAGAGTAATGATGGGTGCGCAACGCGTGACGTACGTCCATACCTGCAGTTCCCCTGCTCGTAGAACTTGCAGACCACCATTCTGGTTGTTATTCGGGCGATTTCGCGGTGAGAATGGCGCAGAGACAGCGGCTATGTCATTTCGGAAGCGTAGAGAGTTCGAGGTAGACCAGGGATTCGACGGTAAACAAAGGGCCAAGGGGTTGATTGTCAAAAAGGCGCAGAGATCAGGCGTAGAGAAAGAAATCGTTGACAGCCTTTCTCAGCCTTGCCTGCGCGTGGCTCTAGCGCGCCGCGGTGAGCCAATAGGAAATTGACCGTGCGCATACCGTGTGACAAGCGCAAGCACTGTCCATGCGTCTTGTTCTTGGGAAACACCACTAACCTAACCCAACAATATCTTTTTACCTATTCTTCAAGGTAAGGTACCTCGGATACATCAATTCTACCAGACTTGTCGACAAGATTTGCAGCCCTCATTCGAGCCAAATTAGCCCATCAAAAACGATTCGTCGACTTCTCTCATATACCACTGTCTCGCTTCGGTGGATATTAACTAATACCTTACCCAAACCAATAATCGATAATTAGACTTTTACCCTGACTAACACGGGCTTATATTATACTTTCGATCTACTCTGTCGAGTTCACCAGTCTAGTTCTACGTGTCACACGCCTGACGGCGAATTGAGATATTCAGATCATGATTTCATTACTCTTGTTCGTGTACGACTACTCTTTTGAATACGAAACACCTACCCAATGACGCCAGCAACCATGGGCTTCAGCTGCTCCTCGACATAGTTGGGATTTCTCCAGTCAGACCAGTCCGCAGTCAACAAACCCCACGACTCCTCATAGTTCTGCGTTCCCTGGCGGATGTAGTAGCTCCCCACGAGGACCCAGATGAAGAAGCTGGCCTTGGCCTCGGGCAGGTACGACGCCAGGCACGTCGAGTATGTGCTGAGGTACGAGTCGTCATTCATGTTGAAACCATACTCGGTCAGCGCCACGGGGAAGACATTGACCGTCGCCGGGTCCGTCTTGTTCATGGCCTGGAAGCCCTTTGTGTACAGGTTGTAGCTCAGGCTGGAGCAGCTGCCGATGGAATTCTCGTAGTTGTGGATCTCGAGCACGAGCTTGTCTGCGAAGCCCTGGAAATCGGCGAGCTGGAAGGTGCCGTTGCCCGGCGTCAGCGCCGTGCCGCGGAAGGCTGGCGCGACGGTCGTGTCGTAGTTGAGGCCCGAGAGGAGGATGAGGACGGCCGGGTTGGCGCCGTTGATGGCGTGGGTGCCCTCCTGGACGTACTTGTACCAGTCCTGCCAGTTGTATGAGGCGGCAACCAGCTCGGCGTTGTCTGTGGCCTCGCGGGGCTCGTTGCGGAGAGACATGGCGACGAGGGCCGTCCACGATTTGCCCTGGTGAGGGTGGTGGTGGTCAGCAGGAGTTTGATGGCATTGCGCATTCTTTTGGTTCACTTACATGGTTGGCCATGTAGGTCAGGCCGCGCACCCACTTGGTGGGGTCAAACTCGCGGTCTCCCCACCAAGTGTTACCATCGTCTCCAGAGCAGCACCACTTGCCGGTAGACATGTGGTTGTCGAGGAGGATGTAGACCTCCTGCTTGGCGCATTCAGCAGCAATAGCGTCGTAGACCTTTTGTTTCGCAAGTTAGAGGATGTCGAGCAGCAGGTGGGCGGCCCTTGGGCACTTACCTCCAGACGGGTGGTCGTCTCCGTGAAGGAAGGGTTGTTGGCCAGGACCTTGGCGAGGATGGCAGTGCCGTTGGTCTCGCCGAGACCATTGACAAAGGCCGTCTTCAAGTCAATATCCTTGCCGTCGTTGGCGTAGATCTGGTCAACGAGCTCAATGGCGTAGGTGAGGCGGATGGCGTTCATGCCGATGCTCTTGATCTTGGACACAACGCCCTCGACAGAGAGGAACTGCAGACCCTCGGGGACCATGACCTCACCGTGGCCGGGCCAATTGGTGCCGGCAAATTGGACATGGTTGCCGGCAGCATCCTGGGCCCAGCGGCCGTTCGTCACGAGCGGGCCGTTGGGCCAGCTGGCCTCTCTGGCTTGGGGGAGGGCGGCGCAAAGAGGCGCGACGGAGCCGGCGACGGCCAGGAGGGAGGTGAAGAACTTCATTGTATCGGCAAGCTTTGACTGGGAAAACGACGCGTTCGGAGTGGGAGCTGTCACTACAGAGAAGGACGAAATGGCATCATCCCGTGGCAACCCTTCGGCTCTTATACGATCCTGGGAATTCACAGAGTCTGCAGTTCGGAGGCATTCCCGATCCAATCGAGCACTCGCCATTGCCGCTCATCCCACGGACCGAGAGCGGGACCTGCAGCCAGACCAGGAACACGACACTGACATCACGAGCGTTGGCACCGTTAGCGGTGCCTGGGGAAGAATCCAATCTTCCTTGAATCAAAGCTCGCCAATGTCATGACCATTCTAGTTGTCGACCATATCCCTCCACCCGCAGCGGGGCATCTCTCGGACCCCCGCCTCAGGTCATGATTCCAAGCTGCTAGGGCAGAGACGAACCTCGGGGGCGGCTTTCGCCCGAGAAAACGAGCACAGCCGGGACCCGCCATCCCCGCGTCCTCTTGGGGATGGAAGCCAAGGATCCAAGATAAACCACCAAGTGGACACTGGACGGTCAGGCGATGATGGTCGACGGGAATAAAAGGGTTGCGCCGAACGGTGTGAGTGAGAGACCACGCTGAAGTCTGGAGTCTGAACATTTGACGAGGTTCTAGCGTCCCGGCCCCGGATTGCTTGTCGAATCTGCCGATGGAGGAGATGATGGATCCCGGCTCCCTAGCTCCCATGGCTTTATCTTTAGTGTTACCCACATTCTTATCCCCCCCTTGCCCCCTCTCCTCATCGAACCGTCAAACGGCCCAAAGATCCCCAAACCGGGTGGTTCTGCGCGATCACAAGATGCTAGCCTGGGTGGTTGACGTTGCATGAGAGTGGAGACGAGAGCCTTCCCCGACCCGGCTCCGTGATCCCCGCGAGCCGAACGATAGAAAGTCTTGAGAGTTACGAAAGAAGACGGACAACAGTGGGGCCGGCGTGCCTGACAGGGAAATGCCCGCTGCCGATCAAGGGCCGAACCATAGAGACTTAAAACTTGGCATTTGGGGAAATGGACGAGCGGGGAGAAGGTTTGGAACGATCTGAATGGTGCGCAAGTCAAGTTCGGATGGACGAGTCCTCGCGAGGAGCTTACACCAGCTGCATGGCATCACCCGCTGTACCTTGGAAAGAGTTTGCATTCTGTTCCCTCATTGGTTCTCATGACAAACGAATATCAATCAACATGTGCTACCTACAAGTTCCGTCAACGCCCAATGACGAAAACCTCACACACGACTCAGAATCTGTGTCTCCGCTCCGAGGGTTCAGCCGGGGTGATATGTATCTCCCAGCTTCACGCCAATCATACTTGGTAGAGAGACAGCACCACCATCATCCCTCTAGCATCGCCCTCACGCCCTCGCCCTAAACTCCACCACCGGCCCGTCCTTCATGCTCGTAAACGTGTCATACAGCTGCATCTCCGAAACCCGCTTCCGGCCCTCGTCGAAATCAGCCCGCCCCTCCGCCGGATCAACCACGCCCACCGCCTTGCGCACATCATACAAGAACAGCGTCCTCGCCAACGCGGTCGACATCTCGGCATACGCGAGCCCTTTACCGATACACCCCCTAGCCCCAATCGAAAACGGACAAAACGCGCTCAGCGCCCTCGCCGTGTCCGCCTCCGTCGTCACCTTTCCCTCAACCAGCGGGTTCGCCGCGCCCACGATCCATCGCTCGGGGATGTACTCGTACGCCGACGGGAAGTAGTTCTCGTTGTGGTGGATCGTGTAGTGCGGCGTTCCGACGATGGTGCCGGCCGGCACGAAGGTGCCGTCAATGGTCATGCCGCCCGCGAGGACCTCGCGCGGGAGGAGGCCGCCGACCGAGGGGGACAGACGCATCGCCTCGTCGATGCAGGCGCGGAGGTAGGTGCACGTGTTGATCGTCGCGCCCTGCCGGATCTCCTCGACGTCGGAGAACTTGCTGCGGACCTCGGCGGTCACGCGCTCGAGGGCCGCGGGGTTGCGGGTTAGGTAGAAGAAAGTTGCCGCCATGGCTGTGGACGTGGTGTCGGCGCCGGCGATGATGCTGATTCGATTGTTAGTCTGGCAAATGTCTCAAAGCTGGCCTGGCCAAAAAAAAAAAAAAAAAAGGTGCTTACAGTAGATTCGACTCGCCCCAGAGCTCGGGCGTGGAGAAGCCCAGTCCCGTCTCCGGGTCGCGAGCCTTGAGGAGGTAGTAGAAGAAGTCGCGTCGGTCCGTATCCTCGCCCAGCTTCGTCCGCTCCGTCAGCTGCGCCTTGCTGTAGGCCAAGTACCGCGCGCGTCCGGCAGCGATGGTCGGGAAGAGGAACTTGTCGAGCTTGAGCTTGTCGACGATGGGCATGGTGCCGCACTGGTGTCCGTCAGTCACATTTCCCTCCAATCACCTCTCCGTGGCTGCATCCCATGGGTTTCGTTCGTATACTCACAAGAAGATGCCTCTTGGTCGCTGCGGCAATCAGATCCAGCGCAAATCGATTATCCGGCGCCTCAAGCATATGAAACGCCTTGCCAAACGACAAGTCTCCCAAAATGTCCATGGCGAGGTAATTGCACCAATCCGTCATGTTCTTGGGCGTTGACCAGCCCTTCATCTCGGGGGATACCCCACGACCGATCTCAGCGGTGAAGGACCGCACGTTGCCAATGATGTAGCGCTCCATCTCCTTCATGGCCGAGTCGGAGAAGCTGTGGGCGAGGACGCGGCGCTTGCGGGCGTGAACGTCCTTGTCGCGGGTGTTGTGGGTGTTGGGCGCCGGGTGGACGAAGGCGTTGTAGAATTCTGCTTTGGCGACGTTGGAGCGCAAGCCGTAGATTTCTTTGAGGGCTACGGCTGAGTTGAAGGAGATCGAGTCGGGACCGAAGCGGACGACGTTGCCTGGGATGTGTTAGTGGTTCTGTTTAGATTTCTTCCCCCCTCTCTCTCTGTCATGGCACACTCGCCGGCCTCGAAGAGCAGCAGAGACGAACCAGATGAGTTGGCTGGAGCTTCCTGTGACGAGTGATTGACATACCGTATTGGCTGTGAAGCTTGTGAAAGTCGAGGTGCCTATCGCCCTTCCAGGCGTGATAGAGCTGGTAGCCATCCGTGATCTTTGCCAGAAGCGGTCCTGGATACTTGGCCAGAGGATGGAAGAAGATGCGGTACACGAGAATACCGGCAACCTAGTATCGTTGGCGGTCAGTTTGGGCCTTCTTGACTGCCAGACGCGGTCCCAAGTTGCCGGGTTCTCGGTGACACTGGTGAGGAACTTACGTAGAGCACGCCTCCCGCGGCGGCGAGGCCAAGCCAGGCCCAGATATGATTCGTCTCCATTGTCGACGTTCTTTCTTTCCTTTCGCTTCTTGAAGATTTAGAGACGTCAAGATGTACTTTCAATCTTGCTTTTGAGGGTGACTGCCACGCAATAGTGTGTGGCTCGAAACGAAGAAGCCGAGGATGTAATCTCGTTAAAGTAGTAAACCGCACACCGCAGTCAATGATGTCTTGAATGAAGCTTCAGTTTCCCAGCAGTCAGACCAGACCTTTTTAATAACCACCGACTCTCTTCTTTCCCGTACATCCCGGCAAAGAGGGGTGGGTGAGCTCTCTTCTTATTCCTCTTTGCATGTCCCTTTCCCGGAGCCACCGGCTTTCCACGGTCCAAGAGGGGAATGAAGGGCGGTGTTGCTAACCCCACGCCCGCAAGGGAATAAAGGCTAACTGAGCGGGACACATTTGGAGAAGTGAGTGTGCAATGACAAGAGTCAGTTGCGTAGCATGAGTTCAGCTGTAACAAAGGTGACAAAGTCCCCGAGCGAGCGCTGCACGCATTACGTTACTAGGTACGCTGTATAAAAAAAAAAAAGGCGCGGATCCGTCGCTACCTTGCTGTTTCGGGAAGTCCCTTGAAAGGGAACGCCGCGGCGCCGCGGCGGCTACTCGCGGGGGGGGAGAGAGAGAGAGAGAAGAAGGGTTGAGAACGGACGGATTTTGTGCTGGTTTCTTTACACTTGGTGACGCCGCTATGCATGAGTGCTTACCCCAGACTCCCCCTTTCGGATGCTCAAACCATAGTACGTACTGCGTACTACCCCGAGATCTTGCGTATCTTAAACCCCACCCCATCCAAGCTTTCCCCACGCCCCAATCCGCACCGCCAACCGCCGGACGAATGCAAGATGCGAGGATGCGCGTCCTCCTCTTAGTCTCCTTCCCCCTCTCCACCCCATAGCAGCAAGGTTTCGCAAAGTTGTGCATGTGAGCCAACCAGAGACGAGGCAATTACACACGGCATGCGCGAGGTGAGTAGAGGGACCAAAGGATTCAGCCCCCCTTTCAGTCTAATTCCTGTCTCAATCCCGAGGCCGCCAAGTACTCTTTTCCGTCCGTCTCTTTCCCGACTCCTTCTTGCTATTTTCCCGATCTGTCTATCCCGATCTGTCTTTCCCGAGTTTTCTCTTCTTTCCCGAGAACTTTGGAGAAATTGGAGAACCTTGGACGGACTGATGGACGACGACAGCAGAGGACGGGGATCGGGTTTCGGCTACAAAGTGGAGTCCCTCTCCCCGCTTCCCACCGTTTCATCGTTCTGCGGGTCCTGCGGAGAAGACGGGGAACAAGGACCTGGAGAGCGGAGGGAAATTCCGCTCGAGGTCCGCGTTCAGTTGTGTTGGACTGGTTTGGCATTGGCTCGAGGGCTTGATATTGTGTTGAAAGTGGTAGACTCGTATGCGGACAAGGGACGGGGGGGTTGGCTGTCATAGTTTGGAAATGAGGTGTCGTGTACGTACGTACAAGCGTTCCTCTTCTGTATAGAAGAGAAAGGCAAGCGTCCCCTGTCAACGGGTAGAAGGGAATGCCGTATGCCGTCTGCCGCAAGTCGTCTTGACTCGTTATCGCGGAACTCCGTTATAGTGACCCCTCCCCGAAATACACAAGCTTTAGGTGCTCTACTTGACTTTATTGCAAGACGAAAATCAAACCAATGAAGTAGGGGGGTACTATGATGGCGGAATCGAGTCTACCCGACCCCATTTCGACCTCGCATTCGAAAACAATGCCTGCCCCATTAACGATTCATGGGATCATACTCCCAAATCTCTCCTAGCGGAAACATTATTTGTATATATGCGGGGTGAAATCTTAGCTGTACAGCTACCATTAGCTGGAAATCAAGGTGAAAAGGCACTTCCCCAACTGCCGGAACCTTATTGAGTTTACAGCAGAAGTCACAACAAGGTTGAGATAGCCGAGTTTATGAGATGGTAAGGCGGTAACGGTATATTAATACCGAGGGTAAAGACGCATCCTCGTTCCTCGGCATAGAGAGCACAGCGGTATCCTCACATTGAAGCAAAGGAATACTAATATAGGACGGCGGCAATGGTGAGAACCGAACTTAGGAAATGGTAAGATGGAATCGGCATTTTAATGCCGAGGATAAAGACGCATCCTCGTTCCTCGGCATAAAGAGCTAAACAGTATCCTAATATCAAAGTAATAAAAAAATATTGATATCAGAGAGCAGTATTAATGAAAGGCGAATTTATACGATTGTCCGACGGAAATAGTATATCAATACCGAGGGTAAAAACGCATCCTCGTTCCTCGGTGAAAAGGGAGAAAAGCGGTGTACAAACGGCGAAGCAGAGGAATACCAACATAGGACAACGGCAACGGTAACAACTACAACGAAACCTCGTCGACAAGTCTGGAGCGCCAAGATTCTCATTCAACAGGTACAATCATTGTATTCACTCTATACGCCTTCACCTTCCTCTCCGACAAAAGAAAATGACATTACACCCTCATCCCATCCTAACCCCCGTAAGCTCATTTCCATAAATCAATGATTGTAGTATCTTGGCTCGTCAAAGACGTGGTAGCGGTGATCGCGCACGCCCTCGCCCCGGAACATGGCCGGGAACCTCCAGCCCTGCGGCACCTCCTCCTCCGTGACGCGCTTATTGCGCGTCTTGTCGTCCACCGCCTCGATCTGCAGCGCCTCGTCCTTGGACTTGGGGATGACAAACTTGGCCACCTGCAGCTCCGTGTCGGTGATGGTGCTGCGGCTGACGCGGGCGTAGCCCGTGCGCTTGAGGCCCTTGTAGAGGATGTATTCACACCAGCGGTCCCAGTCGCTCGGGTCGACGTCGTGCATGCCAGACGTGCTGCTGACGTAGGTGTTGTAGTTGCCTTCCAGGGGCTTGGTGACGAGGTAGGACAGCAGAACCGAGGGGTTCTTTGATTCGCCCATGAGCTTCGAGAGGTACTCGGTCTGCAGACGACGGTCCTCGGGGTCCTCCTCTTGTCCAGAGTGGAAGACGAAAACATCAACCTCTTGCCCGTAGACGTCGAGGGTGGCGGCGATGGCGGGCGCGAGCTCTCCCACGGGACTGGGTAGCAGGTGGTGTGTCGACTTGAGAATGGGGAACTTGGAGAGCAGCGCAGAGCCCCAGGTGTGCTTGTTGGGGCCTGGGCCGTAGTCGACGTACATACCAAGGTCCTCGGCCAAGAACTGCGTGGTATCACGGTTGCCCATGATGACGCGCTGAAGATCGGACTCGAGGAGACCCACAACATCCAGCTCAAGCTCCTTGATGAGGTCGCGCATGCGGTACTCAGACGACCACATGTCATTGTCGAGCGAAAAGTGGATGGTCCAGATACCCGCTGTCAAGATGCGGTCCTCAGGGTGGTAGGGCTTGTAGTCATTGGTAGGGAAGCGCATGAAGGCTGCGGCAAGGAAAACGACGTTGATAAAGGCGGCTGCAATCGTGTTGTACTTCTTGTGTTGCGAAGGAGATGCACGACGGGTATCGCGGCGGCGGGCTTGCGAGGAGGTGAGGTCAAAGACACCAGCGCCGATCAGAATAAATGTGGTCATCATGACCCAGTCAGTGTGCTCGCGAACAAGGGGGCCACCAGGCACGAATGCGTATGCGACGACCCAGACGTGGAACAGGACCATGATGTTGTAGATGAAAAACCCAAGACCGAACGTCGTACCAGGGCTTCTCTTGGCGGCGGATGAAAGGAACGGCACGGACAGGCCCATGAGGTAGAAGGCCGTGGTGAGAGCACCATAGTAACCGAACCAGTGGTGGTACGATGTCAAGACGGCCGCGCCAACACAGCCAACCCCATAGGTGGTCCACGAGCTCATGACTGAGGGGCGGTAGAGGCCGACCAAGAGACCAGCAGTCATGGCAACAATGGTCATCCAGCCGTACGTGTTTGCGGTAGGTCCCCTGATCGGATAACCGTCCCAGACCCAGAGGATCATGGTACTCGTATCAGAGAGCAGCGAATGAATGCCAAAGAACAGACCACCAACGCCAAAGGCGGCGAGGATCGAGGAACCGCCCTTTTTGGAGTCCTCTGGGATATCTCCACTTGTCAGGGGCGCCCTCCGGGTGAATCGTAGAGCAGCTACAACAGCGATGGCGAAGCCTGTCGCGTTCCAGCCTCCATTGGCGGCGTGCATGACAGGCCACAGCGGGTTGTTGGTCCACCACATGAACTTGGCCGTGGAAGAGGCGACGAGGCCAAGGGTCCAAGCCAGGATCCTGGACTCGAGGCGGGTCTGGTGTGCTCTCTCGGACCAAAACGTCGCGGTCCAGGCAAGGCAAGACGTGGCTACGGCGAAGCCGACTGTGAAGAGACGGTAGGCAGGGTCAAGCACCTGGTAAGCCAGCAGTCCAACAAGCGAGATGAGGTGTATAGCGCGCTGGTTGTTGACGACGAGAGAGCGAACACTGCGAATGCCCAAAGTTGCAGGCAAGATGGTTGACATGACGAAGGCCTCGTAGCCAGAGATGCCCATGTGCCAGAGCGGGAAGTACCACACCAAGACACCCAAGCTGGTCAACATGGACCAAAATACGAAGCCGTGGTACACATCGGCGGCGGTGTCGAGAGCTTCGGTCCACGTGAAACGGCCAGTCAGCAGGTTTGCGCTCGCCTTTTCTTTCCTTGAAGCAAGTCAGCTACTAGGCTTTAGATCACGACGATTTTTAGACTTACTCCTTCTCAAGGACGGCGGACGAAACAGATGACCGTTTTTCACTATAACAAGACTTAGATTGTGCTCTTCAACTGGATCTATTTTGCCTGATGTACAGTATGTACAAGACTACTTTGGGAGCCATTGGACGTACCCCTTGCTTGCTCCCTTGACATCCTTGATCACCACTTCGAATGTGTTGAAGTCGAGGGCCGTCACAGCGTCGAAGGCGACATCGAAGAGGATGAGGGCCCATTCGAAAAAGGCATAGATTGTGTAAGCTGCGTGCGGTTAGCTACTACACTCTTGCGCAAGACTTTGAGACCAAAGGACCTACCTCCCGCAATGCGGTGGACTTTGTGCTGGATGAAGAAGTAGATCAAGGGCACCAGAGTACCAAAGAAGGAGCTGGCAATCAGCTTGCGGTACTTGATGGCCTGAGGGTTCGGCGGGCTGAGCACGACGCATCCGATTGTCCACGGGAGCGATGCGACAATGTAGGAGATCATGAAAATGTCGTGCCAGTCGTGATCGTCCGTCGAAGTGACGTAGGTAAAGCCACCGCACATGCATGTCCGCAAGATGCCCATCGCCAGGGTAAACTTTGGCAGTGCGTGTCCCGGTCTCCTTGTCAAGAGATACCACAGTCCGACGAGAGCGAATCGCGGGCCCGAAGTGATGGCGATGAAGAACATGAAGAAGGACCGCTCGGGGTATCGGTCGCCAATTGTCGCGGAAACGGAGGGGAACCACTCTTCCGGGTATCCGTACCACTCATTCTGAACAATCTTGTGGTAGTGCAATGATACGCCGACAATGAATGCGCTGATGAAGGCACCTATCGTGCAAAAGTCAGTTCTGGGAGTTTTCCGGTAGTCGTACGACCGCAAAGGTGCCCCGCGACAGCATCGCGACAAGCGGCGGCAATAACCCCGGTTTTTGGGCGCAACAAACTTACTGTAAGCTGTGGCAGTATGCAGGTAGCTGACCCATTGGCCATTGAAGACCAGCGCGACGCCGCCATCCTTGTCTTTGTACCTTGACGACATCGTGAACCTCTGCTCTGAACCTCTCGGGATACCTTGGGGGCTCTCAGCTCGAACGACAAAAACAAAGAGAAGAGAAGCTCATCCGCGGGATCCGGGGAGACAATGACACGAGTTGGCGAGGGGGAAGAAGGATGGATGGAGGGGAGGACCGAGAGAGAAGGGCGGATATAAGAAGAATTGTGCTAAGCAATTGCACAACTAATTAACCAGCATGCCTCGGCGGCCCGCGGATGGGGATCGATTGGATCGAAGGGAATCGCGTGGTTGGGTGTCCAGTTCTTTGCAACAGTGCGGCCCCTGACCGTGGAGAAACCGAGAAAGTCGCAAGGTAAAGAAAGTTGTTAAAATGTTTGGCGCCGACAGGGAAGATGACAGAAGCATCACCCGTAGCCTGTAGGGCCGTAGGACACGAGCTTGGAGCCTGCCGCTGACGCCACGCCTGACTGCGATGCACGCAAGGGCAAGCTCTTTGGGGTTAAAGCTGTCGGGGGGGTAGTCCCTATTGGGACAGGGCGCGACCGGGGGAGCTTGGCACAAGGCTGAGTCTCTCGGACACTTATTTTTTTCTTGGGTTTTTTCAGCCACAGCTCCACGGGCCACTCAGAGTCCACTCTCGGTAAGGAAAGCCACACCTTTCTCAATGCCCCGCTTTAGGCGTCCGTCGCCTCTCTCAGCCTTGCCAACTTTTTTTCGGTACCTTTTTTTTTTTCCCCGTCCAGCAGCCTCTGGGAAGAGAAAAGACAGTACGTCTCAGCTAGGCGACTCGATCCGACTCGAATCCCGTGCTCAACCCCACGATTCTGCAACAATGTCGGTCGCCGAAAAGGCCCGCTTCTACTTGGAGCGCTCTGTTCCTCAATTGCGAGAATGGGAGGAGAAGGAGATCTTCACAAAGGTATGCCTAAGTTGAACCACAACCCCACGACGCCGCCATCCTAACCATCTTGCAGGATGAGATCCGTACAATCGTTCAAAAGCGCAGCGACTACGAGCACCGCATCCTCGCCCCTCGCTCCAACCCCGACGACTTCAGCGCCTACGCGAAGTGGGAACAATCTCTCGAGTCCCTCCGCCAGAAACGGTGCAAGAGGATGAAGATTGGGCATGTGACGTCCCAGCACACCAGTCAGTCGCGCGTTCTCGCCATCTACGACCGCGCCGTCAGCAGACACCCTGGAAGGAAGGATTTGTGGCTGGAGTACCTCGCGTACACCGCCGAGGTCAAGGCCACGAAGCGCTGGCGACGCACCATGGCCAGCGCTCTCCGCATGATGCCCACCGATGCCGACCTGTGGATATTCGCCGGCCGACGCTCGGCTTCCAATGGAGACATGGGCGGCGCGAGAGGATACTTTATGCGCGGGTGCCGCTTCTGCACGACCGAGGGCATCCTCTGGATCGAGTACGCGCGGTGCGAGATGGAGTGGTTGGCCAAGATGCAGGCCAAGAAGGGCAGCAGCAAGAAGAAGGCCGAGCAGGAGAACCCCCTGGCAGGCGAGAAGATGGACGACGACGACGAAATCAAGCTCATCGACGAGGACGAGGATGAGGAGGACGACGACGACGTCCTGAGCCTGCCGGTGCCCGGCAAGGAGAAGAAGGCGATCAATGAGGAAGAGAGCAAGGCACTCAAGCACAATCCGGCCCTGGACGGCGCCATACCGATGGCCATTTTCGACATCTCGAGAAAACAGCCCTTCTTCAACCTAGAGGTTGCCGAAAAGTTCTTCGACATGTTTGCCTCCTTTAGCAAGGTTTCATCCACTTCCAAGGTCATCCAGCACATCGTCGACACGATGAGAGAGCAGGATGCCGCCCACCCGGCTACGTGGAACTGCTACATCCGCCTGCCCCTCATCGGCATCAGCCCCGACACGCCCGAGTTCCCTCTCGGCCTTCGCGAGGTTCTGTCCCGTCTGGGCAAGGGCCTGGACGAGACGTCCGACAGGCCCGCCCTGGAGAGAAAGTCTCTGGTGTGGATCGAGCTGGTGCTCCTCTTCAAGGGTCTCGACGAGGGTATCAGAACGGTTTTGGAGCATACGAGGGGCAAGTTGCAGTCATAGCCTGCTATCTGCTGTCGATATGCGGCTGGTGCTGTAGACGGACTTTTGGGTACAGAAAGGGTTGGAGGATACATGGATATTAAAAAAAAGTTTTTTTTCGGCGCAACAAAATGGGAATTAGAAGCGGCCCCCGGCGGGATGTATCCGGTGTCCCGAATCCTTGATACCACTTGCAGAGTCAGTCAGCCTACCTTAATCAAACTGGTCAAAAAGAAAAAGCGTTTCTTCCGCTTCCCGCAACCCCGCTACGCTGCAGAGTAATTGGGGAACTTCTTCGACTCTTCAACAGTCTTGTCCCATTCCTTGTCCTCGTCGAGCTCCTTGGCCATGCGGATGACTTCGTCCCACTCCTCCCGCGTAACCTTGTTGACGCTGAGACGGGACTGCTTAAGGAGCTCCATGTTCTGCAACGGGCCGTTGCCCCGCGACTCCTTGAGGAGGCTCAGCGGCACGATCCGCGGAAACTTGTGCTCAATCTTGACGTGTACGAGGCTCCATTTGCTACCGTCGTGCGGAGCGCCGTCATCGTAGTAAGGATTATCATTGATGCAGGCGTTCCCTAAGCCACGGGTCAGAAAAACAGACGATTGCGGGTTCCAGGGGGAGGGTGGGGAGGACACACAGTCGGGCGAGTGCTCCTTGGCTATACTCATGATACCAACGACGCCCGGCTCCTTGCAATTGGAGTGGTAAAAGAAGGCCTTGTCGCCCTTTCGCATGCCTCGTAGGTTGTTGCGCGCGACATAATTCCGGATCCCTGCGCCTTCGTCAATGGATTGATTTCACCTCACAGAACCACGAGGCATGTCACATACCCTCCCAGCCCTCGGGTGTCTTCTTGGCAGCCAGGTCATCGATGGAGAATTTGATCTCATACCCGTCCTCGATGCGCACATCCGGCTCCGACTTCATCAGCCAGTACTTTTGGCCCGGCGGGTCCCGGGGCTCAGCCTCGGGGTTGACATCCGGGACGGGCGCCTCGCGGAGGGCTTTGAGTTCCTCCTTGGTCTTCTTTGGCGGCGTCTCCTTCTTCCCTGTCGCCGGCTTCTACATGCGCATAAGCGAATGAACAATACTCATCAAGATAGTCGCGCATTTTCACTTGGCCTACCTTGGCCTTCTTGGCAGGCTTCGGTTTGGGCTCGTCCTCAACCGCCTCGCGCTTGGTCTCCTCTTCCTTTTCAACTGCTTCCTCGGCTACTTTTCTCTTGCGGCCAGCTGCAGCGGCCTTGGGCGGAGGCGTGGTTTCCGAAAGTTGCTTCTTATTCTTCTCTGTCTTGGCGCCGATCTTGGGTTTCCCAGCCGATGGCTCCTTCCCATCCGCTGCCGGGACCGTGTTCAGGCGCGTCGATGACCGGAGACTGCGGGTGACAGCCGGCATTGTGATAATAGCCACGCGCGGTTGAAAGGAATATTGAATAGCCCCAATTTCCGGTTTGCAGTCAATGAAGCACCCAAACCGATGAATTCTTCAGCTTGTAAGTGAAGGTCGTCTATCCTGTAATGCGTGTTGGTCAGACTTATGCAGCAAGCTCATCCCGGAGACGCGCTGTGATGGGGACTTGGGAGCACAGTGCAGCAGGGGGATCGAAACGTTGGGCGCACGGGCTTCCAATCGATCACGTAATAATCGCCGCCTTCGAGAACGTCCCCCGGTGATCAGTCACTTTTGCATCGCTTATTAGCCCTGGAAAGACAGGGAGTTGCGAAATCTCCTCAGCAACCCACTCCCAAATGGTATTTAACTCCATGCGCATCGAGATCACGCAGTTATTCGTTGGTTTGCATAAGTTTTAGCATTAAATTATGTTTATGAAGTCAAGAGTTGTCCCACAGTTCGTGCGAAGCGTCGTTGGTTATGAATCCAAGTGTCAACATTGTCTTAGTACATTGGAAAACGCATATTCCCAAGACCTAAATTATTCATTAGACCTTGTCAAGACGATTTCATGAGACTAGAGCATTATGAAAGACACGATTCGAACTCCGATGATGGCCATTCTACCAAAGGCATAGGGAGCAGAGGTTGACCCTCACAGCTGTGTCCTTCGAAGCTGAGACCGCTCCAGCACCCGACGCCGTAGCAAAACCAGTCCTCTGGGAGGTCATCACCCAAAAGGCGGAAAGGAGGGGCAGCCTCAAGCTAGAAATGAAAGCCGTCGAGGCCACCAGCTAGAGCACGGGCTCTTGAGTCTTCGCTCGTCTTGGTTTGCGCGTTCGAGGGGCTACATGTTGCAACCGGCTAGCTCCAACGCCTGCGCGGTCGAGAAGCTTAGAACTGTGGCGGCGTTTGGATCCAAGGTCGATGTTATGGGCAGCCTAACGGGACACATAACTGCTGATTTTAATCCCTTCCATGATTCGTCGTGCTCACGAGGTCGCTCAGGAGGGTGATGTGTACCCTACGGACCAGTTCAGCAACCTGGATGCTTTGGTTAGGTTTGAAGGTCTCTGGGTGTGAAATCATTGAGCAGATTCTGGAGGGCATCACCGCTTTTTGCGCTATTGTTGGTATGGCCAGGTTGGCTGTGGGGGTTCTCGACGTTCTTGAGGGCGGCGAGGCCGTAGACTCGCGCGATTGACCTGGAGCCTGCATCGACGCCCGTCCCTACAGAATGTCTAGCTGCCTCTCATGGTTTTGAGGGTCTGGACATCGGTTTCCTCCCTATTCTCCTGGATAAGGAGTTGTATAATGAGGCGCGGACCGTCTCGGAGGATGAAATGCGTGCCACATGCCGGCGTCTAGCCAACGAGGAAGGCATCTCTGCGGCTGTATACACGGGTTTGAACGTAGTTGCTTCGATTCAGACTGCAAGTGAGATGGAATCCGGGACAATGATCGTTGCTATCGCATGCGACTCATGTTTGAAGTACTTGAAAAGGAATCCCTTCCCTACTCGCTAGTAAGTTGTCTGCTAGCCGGCGAGGGAGATGATTGTAACTAACCCCAGGTTGAGACTTCATGCTGAAAGCGGTTCAGTACATATCAAACGCTTTGAGACTGTCACCTGGGAGGAGTTCAGCGGTTCAGCTGACTGCTAGACAGGTTAGGCGCAACATAGACAGGATCTCGTAAATGAACTGACGATCAGCATTAGTAAATAGGAGTAACTGATAAAGTGAGATTTTCGTTGTTGAATACGGAGCTACGTAGAGTTAAGGAGCCTTCTGGAAGGCAAAAGAAACAAAATCTTCCCCTCTTCAACATTCGCTTTTGAAAGCCTCGGCGAATTCCACCAAACAAACCGAAGGACATCTCGGATGGCCGCGGTGCTGAAGTATGCAAACAAGTGACCGGCGATCTACGACACCCATCCCAGTGATCCCAGTGATCTTTTACTCCTTGAGCAGGACGAAGTGAATAATATAGCCCTGAACAACACTGCTGGTTTTGGCGGCAGGACCGACCAGATCATTGTAGGTGGTGGTAGTGATGTTGATAAGCTGGGGGTTCTGGCCCTGCCCGGTGGGAAGCTGGGCCCAGCGGAAGGTGTAGGAAATGACGCCGTTGTGAACAGTGGCGTTGACGAGTCTCAGGAACTCTTCGTTGAAGGTGGGTACAACAGAAACCTTCGAGTCGCCCTCGGCCTTGGGGACAACGGCAGTGATGGTGGTCTCGAGGCTGGCGGGGAGGAAGACGTTGATGGGAGTCAGGACGCTGCCGGCGATGGGGGTGCTCTCGATCTTGAGGCCGGCGGTGAAGTCCACGCCGGTAGCGGGGGCAACGCCGTCGAATCCGGTGTACTTGATTTCGACAGTTTTGGTGCCGTCGGCGGTGTCAATGAGGACGCTTTTGTTGTTGAAGTGAGGGGCCGGAAGACTGATGGGGAACTTGGTCGTGACATCCTGGAAGTCTTGGGTCCCCGGGGGCAGGACGCCGCCGAAGAAGCCCTGCAGGGTGAACTTGAGGCCACCGACGAAGGCCTCGACACGCACGAAATCGGCGCCGAGAACGACGGCGGGGACCTGGGCTGTGAGGACGAGCTGGCGGGTCTTGCTGTCATAGAGAGCCGCCAGTTTGGAAGCGGAAAGGAGGTGAGCCATTGTAGAGGTTTGAAGTTTTGATTTGAGGAATGAAATCTAAAGGAAGTGAGGAGTTGAGACTTGTTATAGCTGAAAGTAGAAAAGTGAAGAAGCTGAGGGTGATGATGAGGACAAGATAATAACTTCACTGGGAACATCTACGGCTTTTATACAACAAAATCCGAAGCGTACAAGTGACTGGCCTCTTACTCATTCAACCAAGTTCATTCAGCCCCTTCCGAACTTGGATTGGGACATCACGGAAGAACCATCAACATGCCAAAGCAGCCCGCCGCCACTGCTGCGGCTGAGGATGAACATATCGGTTGGCACCTTGACTGGCAGACTACCCAGCCAAAAATAGCAAAAGTAGTTTCGTAAAGACGCTCTAGACTGGCCAGTGATCCATGATGGCTCTTGGGTTGGAAATCCAAAACACGGCATACCGTAAAGATTGCAATGTCTGGCACACGTCTCCTGGCCATCACCTCGAGAGATTCTAGAACAATCCCTTCATATTGTAAACTTGCAACTAGCTCCTGTAACTAGATTCTACATCGAATCTACCCCCAAACCTTTGTAAATGGTTCACCTCGGAGGCCATCGTGACCGGTTGGCGGCACAGTTCTTCTGGAATCAAATTGACGTGGCACACGTGACAGTATTCGCCGATTGTGACTTTGCTGCTTTCACCGCACATCATTCTGGAATTACGTGGCTGGCTCAAAAATTTGAAAAGGGAACTACCGCGGCGTTCAACAGCCAATAGCCAGCATACGTGGCTTAGCCGCGAGCATGAAGTTCAAGCCATGAGCAGCGTTCCCAGAACATTCATTCCATCACGGACTATCAATTGCGAGAGAACCGCGGCCCGAAAACCTCACATCACCGGGTGGTGGCGCTTGGAGTAAAAAAAAAAAAAAACAACCCACCAGACGGACCACGATGGCGTTCTGAGGCGCCTCGTCCATGGCACGACATTCCTCCAACTGTCGCCATCTTTCCCCACGCCAGGGCGGGCTACTAGGGTGGCCCGCTTCAGCTGCCGTCATTAGCGTATTGCTCTTGTGGCCACTAGTGCCACCTTTCGGTCCAGAACATTTCGAACATCCTGAACGGGTTCAGTCTGTGTAACAGCTTTTGGCCATGTGCGCTGGCGGAGGAATGGGGATGGGTGCTCCCGCGGTAGCTTGGCTGGCATGGTCCAGAATGAGTGCGGAATAACAGGGTTTGAGACATTGTCACTGGCGTCATCCAGCCGCAAAATTGCTCTCGGCTATACGAGCGTCCAAAACTTATGATGAAGAGACATGTTTGAAACGGGAATAAGTCGCCATCATTGGCGCCATCAAAGTGGAAATGTGCGGGCACAGCTTCACGCATGGTTATGTCTGAAAAGGCTGCTTTGTCACCCCACTTCAGTTTTGGCCAGCCCACAAATGGCTGTATGGTCAGGGAGGACAATTTCTTCAATACATACCTGGTTGTTTCGTATTGGAGGGCCGCAGATCCTCCGGTTGGAAAATGCTATGATGCTTCTGTATTCCGATGTATATGCCGCCGAGACCGACAACGAGGCGGAAAGTTGTCTTCGGTGTCGCGATGGTCGTTACAAGAATGGTGGGAACTGGATAGAGTATGTGAGAACGCAGTCTTTGTAATCTTGGAGTCTAATATCAGACGAGTGATGTAAATAGCCATGAATTGACATTGCTAACGCCAGAAGTATAGTATGAGCACGGTCGCCAATGGATTTTAAACGTAAGATATATTTTCAGCTGGCTGATCCGTTATATTTTTCATCAAGCAGATACCAAATCTTTCAACAATTTAAAGTTTGTCTAAGCATTTCAGTTGCTCTGGAATTAGTTTAATTAAAACTCTTAGCTACTAGTACTACAACGTCCCAAGCAGAAGTTCAATAGAGCAACTAAAAACCCTTGAAACAATTAGGGCTTGTCCGCCTTGTTCAATTCGATAGTGACAGTAAACGCATCCGTTCGTACGATCTTTCCATCAGGGTCTTGCTGCTCAAGGATGCTCTCTTGACTGCCCCTTCCAACAACAGTCGTCTTGGCAATGCTGTTGAAACTGTCCGCGTCGAATTTCTCTCGAGAAACCTTCTCGACGGGAGTTCGGAATAGTCCCCTATTCGAACCCACCCAGCCACTGAGTCTCGATCTGGAGCTTCCAGACAGGTATTTGCCGCCGCCCGAGGAGAAGATGCGTTTGCCGAACAAGAGTTCGCCGAGGGGTTGCAGGACGGGTATGCATGCGGCTATGATGATGATACTGCCTTCAACACTGTAGAAATCAAGTCAGTCTTGGTAAACTTTTGTCGAGAGATTTGTTGTGCGTCTTACATTGTCCATATCACAAGCTCTACGGTGTCATCTGCGTTAAGGGTTAGATTGTGCGCTGGGTCCGCTCAGGCGAGATCGAATACGTACATGTGTAATCCGAACTAGTGAGGCTTGGAAGCTTGAGACACTTGTAGATGACTACGATTGCTGAACTTTCAGAGAGTCAGTTGCTTGTATCCAAAGTGCGGAGTAAGGCAGTGTTCCTCACAGTGACCCAAATCCGAGTGCTATGCTGAGCGCAATCTTTTTCCTTCGGTTCATTTGTAGTTTCGATAATACAACAGCGGGGTACACCGAAAGATAGACGTCGGCAAAGGCACAGAAAGCTGGATTCATTAGCTGATCAATGTACTTTTCTCACATTGTGATCTGGACAACTCACCTCCCGAGTAAGTGGCAAAGGATACAAGAATCCATTTGCTCCAACATGTACCGGCCACGGAAGAGTCCCATTGGGAGCGCGCCGGTGAACACTGAGCAAAGATGATTGTGATGAACCCAACCAAGTTGATCACACAGACTATAGACAAGGCCCAAAGAAACCTCTTGTGCCATCTACTAGGGTTGAGGATTCGTGTGAGCAAGGCGACAACGGCGAGTTTCGGAATGCCGAATGACAGTAGTCCGGGCGGGTAACCGGCGATGCTCCAGAGTATGGCACCTGACTTTTGTTCGGCGGTAAGGGTATCGGCATGGCGTCCATATCCATAAGAAACAGCGACTGCTACAGTTGCTACGTTTATCCAACCGCAAACCTAGAGGTACAACAGTCAGTTATACAAAACTCTAAGGTCTGACTGTACATTGACAGGTCTAGAGTTGATTCTCAAAGCCAACATGTGACGCCTAGGAAAGCGTGCCAACAGTGCAAAGGCAGACAATAGTTGACGATAGACCACATCCCATTCGGCATATACTCATTGCAGACGGAATGCAGTTATAGAACTTACCACAGACGCGACGATGAAGTAGTCATCCAGACCGATTTTTCCGAGAACCTTCCCCCTGGTGAAAAGCCTTGCCGCGGTGAAAATAGTGCTAAGCGCTGACACGCAAATGACGACTGCGAGAGCAGTCGGCCCCTTATCCTCGGCGTCCCGAGCTGACAAACTAGTCGACGACATTGGAAAAGGAAGTCAACTGCGCGCCAAGAAGCGCACAAGGAGGTGCAAGAACAGATGGTGATCCAGACGGAGAGAGTGGCTATCCAACGAATAATGAAAGAACTGAACCTGATGACATGGAGAAGATATGACATGCCGAGAGGGACGGACAGACGGACAAAGGGCCGATCAAGGCATCCGAGTGCCTCAATCGCACAACCGCGCGCATGTCCCAGTCCATCGCTGCAGTCATCAACTTACTCGGTCCTTGCCTCGGGAAGGAAGCGCAAAGAAAACTCAATTATATTGATCAACAAGATTAAAAGAGCAAAATGGGATGAACGCAAGGATCAGAGACGCCAAGTTAGGGTCGCAGCAATCGCAGCCCCTGGCTAGCTTGGCCTGATTCGTCGTGGTGCAGGTGGAGGTACCACGTTTATGATTCAAGCATCGTGCTGTATCCGACTGCCAAGGGCCGGCAAAACAGGTGTGGAAGCAATACCAATTCCTCCACGAGATTCGGACTCGAGTCAAATGGCATGTCAATGTCGGCTTCTGCGGCGGAGCGTCTGACGTTATCTCCCCACACACGTGGCCTTGCGGGCGATCTGCAGGCCTGCCCTTTTCTGACAGGTGTGGTTCGAGGCGCTTGTCTCAGCCGTACGATCTTTTTTCGGACTTATCGACAAGGGAAGGGAGGAACAATGTGGCTGGTTCCAAGATGTGCCGTACAACCTACACGTGTACATCCCTCCCCGCTCGACGATGGGACTGAATGGTGATCCTATCCCAATCACTTTCCACCGGCGCTTCAAGAACAAGCTTTGTTGAACTTTGTTTCTATAACTTAAGACCATATTACATTGTCTATTCGTCAGATTTTAGCATTACGCTTGATTTTAACTGAAACTCGCGTTCTAGTGATTGGTAAAAAAAGTCCCCGGTTGTCCGGCAGAACGGACGGCAAACGAACCGCGAGCGGTACGGAGATATTGGGCCTGAAATTACTTGCCTACCGTTTACCAGGCTTGCTAACTCCCCTTTTGGAAACCCGCTTTAGGCCACGTGTGGCAGAAATCGGCTATTAACTACTGCTCCGCGCACTGGTGAGAACAGTGAGCCGGCGGGCTGTTATGGATACGAAGCTCGCTCATCGAGTCGCGGTAGTAGGATTCACTCCTCTCTGGGGACAAACTAGCACGTACTGGAACTGAAGGCCGAGTTCACCTCGGCTAAGTGGGATGCTGAGGAGAAACCACTTACAACAAGGGCCGAACATTAATTGTTCTTTACCGAAAAGGTCAATCATTGGCGCATCGTGGGACACAAAAGAACCTATTGCTCAGCGAGTTGTAAGTCTACCGATGTGGCCTAACTCTGTCGAGCAGCACGGTCAAAGCGCAGGAATAGATTAAGCCGTTCAGCGTGACCATTGACGTAATTCCAGCCGTAGGGAAAACCGGGAACAGCGATGGTCTTAGTGTAACTCTACTCCACGCTCAATACCTAATCGACTTCGCGCCCTATCGCCGACGGGCGCTCTTCCCGAGGGAACATGCCAGTATTTTGGGAACCGGCAGCTTGCCTAGGCCCGATATCCCTTGCGAGTTTAGAAGCTGTCAGCTGCGAAAAAAAATTACAGGTCAGCGCTTATCGTGGACTCGGAGCAGCGTGTGGCCCGCGGCGATTTCCGACTCCAAGCGCGAGATCAGCCCCTCTAATTAGCATGGCACTCGCTTTTTGAGGTTTATTTTGACACCTTCTGAAAGCGATCTGTGAGAGATGAGGCGGTCGAGATCACCCTGAATGGCAAAGCGCAGGGGTTCGACTTGGCTGATTTGGCGATCGAGTCAAAGATTGATGAATGTCCTCATCCGGAGGGACCGAAAGCCCCACTGCATGTTCTCAGATTGACAGACTTAAAGAGACAGAACACATTTCCTCTGTACTGAGAAGGCTCTCCTTGCAAATGGATGCCATTTTCTAATCATATCGACGAAGTGTATTGAGCTCAACTGAGGTGTGCTGTATAAAGGCCATGTGGGAGTGTGAGGACCGGCTCTAGGGTATGTCATGGTGCCTTCTGAGGCGGTGGATACCCCTACGCCACGCTTTTTTGAGTGCCGGCCGCTGTCGGCAGTGGGCCAGGGGAAACTCGCGGTGAACATGTTTTCATCCCCGCTTTCTTGCAGCAAGAAATCACATCATTCTTCACAGTCAAAACGACTAGCTACCAACCCTTATCTTTTTCCTTTATACTTCTGGGTGTGTCGTTCCGAAAGTCGCCATCTCTCTGGCAACTGTTGAGCGCCCCGCGGGCGGCCGCCTACCGAGGCTCCAGCCACCTCTTCGATGCCGAGTCCGCGTCTATTACTAATGCCAGACCGGTTTGTGCCCGCGGGTACGAATGACCCAATCAGTACTCGATATATCTGATGAACACGCAAAGAATGGTGGGATGCTGCAACAGTAGGAAGAGTTAGCCAGGACTCCCTCATATTGAGATAGTCTTGAAGGCGTACAGAGTCCACTGTGTTGGGGTGTCATGGTCGAGCTCCATCATCCGTGCGGTCTGGGTGGTGGAAGGAGAATTTCATGTCGGGGGATCAGACGTGTGGAACGTGTTCCGGTGTTCGAGCCGCATCCCTGCTGACTGGAGAGGTGTTTCACGACTCCGCATGCTTCATGGTGATATAAGACGACAGTCTACTCAGCTTCCTTTCAGCCTTTTCAATTTTCGGCGCAATAAGAATTTTCAAAGTAATCGCTATTCCGATGCATCGCCCTACCCTCGCGTTCTTGTTGAGCAATGCCCTGGTGGCATGGGCGAAGACTCCCGAGGGCTTCGAGCCCGCCTCCAACGTCGATCTCATTGTTGCCTACGGTGACCAGTCTGGGCTCAACGGCGTGGACCTGGCCAAAAGCTGTAAGCGGCTCTTTTGCCGTGAAGAAACACAAAGGACGCAGGCTAACTCATTCTTTCAGTGACACAACAGGAGCCTACAGTCGGCACGACCGAACCTCTGACCGGCAAAAGCTACGCCATCATCATGGTCGACATCGATATTCCTACCGCGAGCCCTCCCACCACCGGCACCTTCTTGCACTGGGCCCAGGCCGACCTGACGCCGAACGCGCAGACCACCACAGTCAAGCTGAACGACGGCGAGCGCACTATCCACACTCTGAGCACCAACTCGAACGCCATCGCGCCCTACAAAGGCCCCGCGCCGCCAGCGAGAGTCCCCCTCACGCACCGGTACATCGAGCTGCTCGTCGACACCAGCGACATCACGGCGGACGGGACGGCAGCTCTGCAGACGTTGTCAAATCGTCAGGGCGTTCAGGTCAACGATGTGCTCACCACCGCCGGACTGGCCAACAAGGTGGTGGCCGGCAACTTCTTCACCGTCACCAACCCTGGACCCGCAGCGAACGCGAAGAACAGCAACTCCACCACGGCTCCCACTGGTGCTGTGACGCCCTCCTCGGTTTCATCCAGCCCTTCTTCAGGACAGAGGTCGACAACTCTATCAAACACAGCAGTGCTGGGTGCCATGGCTGTTGGTCTTTTCGGCGCAATCGCAGCCTCATTCTAAGGAAAGTGTCGTCAAGTGTCGAGTGCCAGAAGCTGTGGCTTTCCTGACATCGGGGTTTCCCCAGACGTGAAAGCGCGGCGCAGGAATCCGCATCTTGTCTCTGAACAGTTTGTCGTCTCAAGTAATGTAATACTACAAGCTCAGTTTCATCTCGTCGCCGAGGACGTATCCCCTGTTTCACAATGGTCATGACATTGACACTGCAACCACGTAAGCACGGGCTGCCGAAGTGGGGCCGGGGTTGACCGGAAATGCCGGACGGACACGGCCCGATCTCGGGTGTTTCTTTTTTCTTGTCAAAGGCTTTGTCATGGTTCTTGTAGTACCCTCCACATACCTAAAATACTACATAGGTACCCATGTGTTTGAGACATGATCTGCCGAGGAAAGTCCGTTAATGATTCCTTCCCACGGATGGAATTTCGCGACTTGAGGTCTAGTCATGGCTTCTGGGAAGCAGCCTTGGTTGGGCCGAAGGGCTATACCTGTGACTTCTAGAAGCCTATCTAGGCTGACTCGCATTATTCGTGCATACTCAATCCCACATGAAGCTGTGTCTTGGGGGTCAAAGTCGTTGGCTTGTAAGCCATGCCCTCTCGAACCATTCCGAATGGCATGAAGGAGAGACATCAAAAGTACAGCAATCTGGCGCCTAGATCGCGTACCAATACCATGCTGTAGCTCTCAGACGATCTAAGATCTCAAGTTCAAAAGAAGAAAATAAATCGTTTTTGTTGTACATAGAAGTCAAAACAAAAGTGGTGGTGTCGTTGCCCCCGCTGTAGCTGCTAGACTGATGTCAACTGGCAAGTGGCTCGCATAAGGGTTGCTGCGTGTCGTCACCTGCATGATATTACTGGGTCATGGTTATTAATCAGAATACCTTTTGCATGGCAGTATGTATGTCTCAGAAGATCACATCGCTGAGAATACCCGAAGTGGACTTTACTGCAGCTTATGCGGGTGCCACGGTTCCGGATGAAGCCAATGGAGTTGACATCAATTATGGCTGCTGCAGTCAGCGTGACTCTCAATGGCCACCCCACGTTACTTCAAAGGTTGGCGATCTGTCGACTCAGATGTAATCTACCAATGGCTTCATTCGGTTCTGTGCCGAAGAAAAGCGCTTGACTTTGAGGGCACAACAATCGTATCGAACCAAAAGATGACACCGGTTGAAAGAAAGCCACACATTTGAAGCCAGTTGCAGTGCATGCAGTCCGCTTTGCTTACACCTTTCACCGTATACCATCGAACCACAAGAGATGTGTAACCCTCCAGAACGTTCATGCTCCCTTCTCGGCAAATTGTCTTCAAAACATGTCTGTCACCTCGCAGACAAAAGCTTCTGCAAGTGATCTCTTACGGCAATACAACTACACTCATTTCCGTCTATCCATTGCCACAATAGGAAGGCCGCTAGCCACTTGGCATAGAAATGGCAAGTGCATATTGCGCGGCCTGCTTCCACTTTTCTCGGACCGGCGGAGACCACGCATCACATTTGTACGATTCGGTTCCCGAGCACGGCAACATGAAGACCGACTCACCTGGAGATGCACCCAGCGTTACACAATCACACGCCAATCTTGCTCAGTTCTAGCAAGATACGCGATGGGCTAAAGCCATGTACGGGACGGAACGCGATTTAGGGGGGAGGAAACTGTCTCAATGCCCCACTCCTTGGCAGAGCTACAAGTGGGCTGTCTAGAATAGTAGGGAACGCCGGTTCAATACCTATGTGAAGAAAGATGATCTGTCGGAAATTAGTATCAGGTTTTCCATGTGAATATGTTACTGCCCACGCGTCTCTCTCTGCTTCGAAGAAATACTTAATAGCTAGAATGAAGTCTTCACAGTCCCTCACCAGCCATCCTGATCACCTCATGTCATAACAATCGCAATGGCAGTGATAATGACCGACTTGCCCGTGCTGGGCAGCCATCTCTCACTTATTTGGATCATTCCAGCTGTACTTCTTTCGTACAAGATTCTTACCTTTGGCAGGAGGGAGAAGTATCTTCCGCCCGGCCCGCCAACTCTTCCTGTCCTTGGCAACGCTCACCTGATTCCCTCGAGGGGCTTGTACGCCAAGTAAGTAGCCGGATCTAAAAGCACTGTTTTTGTTGTTCTTGTCTCTAAGCCAACACAGATTCAAAGAGTGGGCTGATCAGTATGGATCGATCTACTCCCTCAAAGTCGGGCAAAGCACCATGATTGTACTCAATGACAGACATGCCGTGCACGAACTGTTGACATCGAAGGGGGCCTACTACAACGATAGGCCCGTTGATCAGCAATTTCAACTCGTTATGCGTGGTGAGAACACTTCTCTGATGCATGACGGCCCTCTTTGGAGAGCAGAACGGAAAATCGCGGCTTCGTACTTCTCTCCAAAGAATTTGGACACGGCCTTGAGGGGGGTTCAAGAGTCTGAGTAGGTTTACGTTACCATTCGGAAATGAAACAATAACTAGCTATGAAAGACACAACTTCTGATATGACGCAGGTTTGCTTACTTGATGCACGATCTACTGGAGAAGCCCGATGAATTTATGGAGAATGTGAAACGAACCACTGCCTCAATCGCAAGTATCACGATCTTTGGCCAGCGCGCCACCGATTGGAATAGCTTCTGGGCATATGTAGGTTGTCACTGCCTGTGTGGAAAACCTGATGAAGACTAACTCAATCCAGGCCGTTTACATTACCATGGATGCGGTGAGCTTGGCACTCTCACATTTCCCAAAAGCCAGGACGAACTGACATTTCAAAGGTTTCGCTCATTCTAGAGCCTGGATCCTACCTTCCGGAAGAGCAATTTCCCATTCTGAAACTTATCCCAGATCGGTTGGCCAAGTCAAGGCAACAAGGGAAAGAACTGTACCACACCATCACAAACGTCTGGAATAAAGCTCGCGAAGGTGTAGATCTGCGGCGTAGCAAGGGTCTCATGAGGGAGTCTCTTATTGACAAGCTACTCGACGAAAAAATCAAGTGCGATGTGCCCCTTACTTACACAGGGCTCAACAATTTCCTCGGAGGTCTACAAATGGCAGCTGCCGACACAACGGCCACAGCAACGCTCACGAATATCATGCTCCTTGCGAAACATCCCGAAGTCCAAGAAAAAGCAAGAGTTGAAATCGACAGGGTTTGCGGCGTGGAGAGATTCCCCAACTGGACTGACTTCAAGGACTTGCCGTACATCAATTGCATCATCAAAGAGGGGTTACGGATGAAGCCTGTGTAAGCATCCCAATGAATTCGTCCAAGACTTTTTCTAATCTCACTGGCTTTTGCATCAGGGTACCCACTGGTGTAGCTCATGCATCCAAGCAAGACCGGTGGTACGGCGACATGTTCATCCCAGCCGGCTCCACCATCTTCATCCCGGCCTACGCCCTCAACCACAACAGCGACTCATCACCGGACCCTTTCACCTACAATCCAGAACGCTACCTCTCTGTCGCCGACAAACTCGCACCAGAACTCGCTGCTTCGCCCAAGTATGAGGAGCGAGATCACTATTCATACGGGGCAGGACGGCGTATGTGCGTCGGTCTACATCTTGCAGAGCGCTCTCAGTGGCGCATGGTAGCTCAGATGCTTTGGGCCTTCAAGATTGAGCCGGCGCTTGGTCCCGACGGAAAGCAGATTGAACTCGATTCAAGCCCCGACGGGTACGTAGAAGGACTCCTGCACACACCTAAGAAGTTCAAGGTGCGTTTTGTGCCGAGAAGCGAGAAGCATGTGGAGGTTATACGTAATGGCTTCGGTGAGGTCGTGGAGTTTTTGAAGCAATGGGAGTGAGTTTATAGGTTTTCGCCGTCGCGGATCCGTGGTACGATCTAGGATATCATATGAGATTGAACGAGGGTTGGTCGATGGTTGTGGACGAAGGCGACGGGAACGTAAACCTTGTGTGAAAGCTTTGTTATCAGAGACTGATCTCACCATGGATCTCTCGCTTATCTCTTTCATCGCTTCTAGTATCTTTTTCCTTCCTTGAAGGCCAGCACTTTCCAATTCTTTTATATGATTCAATGAAACCCACCGTGACCTCATCAGTTCCCCCTTGGCTCCCGACTGATAGGAATAGGCTTCTCCATGTATTTCAACCATTTTGGCCGCGTTCTCTTGAGCTCCGTACCCGAGGTCAGCTGCAAGTCTTCAATGGCGCTGGCCCATCGTACAAGTTCCTCTTCCGCAAACGCACTCTGCATTATTCCCAGCCCGAAAGGCATGCCGGTGCCAGGATCTACTCCCGCTGGAATTGTGATCATTGGGTACCCAGCCTGTGCCGCGATCTGATACGTCTGGGCTACGGAGACAGGCACGAGCAAGCCTGAAAGTCGTGTCCCATTGTAGCTCAGCGCGCCGTCGATACCGACACGTGTGGTGTTCTGCATGTAGTCGAGTGCCCTCCAATAGACGTCGTTTTGAATGCCTTGCGTCTGGTCAGACATTAAGAAACCATCTTGCCCGGTCCGAAAAGCTGGGAGGCCATGATACACGTTGTAACGTCCGGAGACGGTGAAGCTCCCATTGTAAGGATGCCCCCCTTCGACTCCGTCGTTGTCATAGTTGAACTGAATAATATCCTTGAGCGACCGAATCTTTGTGTTCTGGAGTTCGGAGAGGTATTTCTTGATGTTGTTGTAGAAGTCGACCTTGACGACGGTATACTCTGACTTTTCAGGGTGGCCTTTTTTGCCTTGCCAGTCCCAGTCCCAGCCTGCCTTATTCACGACGTTCTCGTGATCGGTAATCTCGGTGAGATTAACAATCTTACCGCCCGCCCTCTCGATCAACGTTATTAATGCACGAAGCTGGGATTGGTTTTCAGCGTTGGCGAGAGCCCAAAAGCTGTTCCACGGGATACCAAACGTTGCATTGTTCAAGCTGGCCTTTGTGGTGAGAAATTGAGCATAGCCTCCCGGCGGAGGCGTCCTTCCGCGTTGAGCATCGGTGTAGTTGTCTCTTGGATCGACACCGTAGATAGCGTCAAGGGCGTACACGGCGTCCCTGACAGTTCGACCAAAGGTACCGACTGTGTCTTGGTGTTCGCACTCCGGTATGACACTGCGTAAGTCATGTCAGCCGAGTCTCGTGTACACGTGAGCCCAATCACCCGGTGATTCGAGATGAACATACCCGTCCCGTGAAGTCAGTCCGACTGTCGGCTTGATGCCTACCACCGCATTCTTGTGAGCAGGACTAATGACTATTCCCATGTCAGCAAACTGATCGTTATGGAACTGGCAACTAGCAAGAAGTGCCTCACCACTACCGTCCGTCTCTGTGCCGAGAGAGAAGGCGATCGCATTAGCAGCCACTCCTACTGCACTGCCAGAGCTACTGCCCATGGGATTGTATATCAGGCTGTAAGGACTTCGCGGCTGTCCACCTCTCGGTGAATAGCCTTCTGAGTACCCGGTACTCCGCATATCAGCCCATTCGCTCATCGTCGCTTTACCAAATAGTACAGCTCCTGCTGCCCTCAAACGAGCAACAACGAAGGCATCGCGAGGTACGATACTTCCCAGTAGTGCATAGCTCCCGGCAGTTGTTTCCATGCTGTCTTTTGTCGCAATATTGTCTTTGACAGTGAAAGGGATTCCATGGAGAGGGCCGAGAACTTGGCCTACTTTTCGTAGTTCATCCATTTTAGCCGCAATGGTTAGGACGTCCGGGTTCAATTGCATGACGGAGCTATTAGGATGGAATCCTTGTCAGTAGACCACATCTGGAAAGTCAGCTAAAGATATCTCACCTGATGTACTCCTGAGTTTGGAATGTCCGCTGCATGTAGCACATCACTAGTTGCTGAGATGTTAGGATGCCATTCTCCATGGCCTTCTGCATCTGGTCGATGGTTGCTTCTTCCAGCTTGAAGGTTCCAGCGCACGCTGGCATTGGGAAGAGATCCGTTGTGTTCTCATTTTGTTGGAGTGGAAATAAAGGGGTCAACAAGCTAGGACTGGCCACAAGTTGACTAACAGCGGGAAACACAAGATTTGCAAGTATCAGCGATAACGACAAGTGATGCCATAACGGTGCTATCGAGGATGAGAAACGCATGACTGGGAAGTTGTATGTTGGCAACATAAATGTTGGCTAAAATGAAAAGCCAAGTCTAACGAATTATCAACGATTCCTACAAGAGGGCTCGATTCATCTTGTAGGCAGACTGATTCATCCTCCAAAAGGAAATCGCTAAATTTCAAATTGTATCGGACTTAGCCCACAAGTTGCAGGGACAAAAGCTAAAAGTACTGGGACTGGTTAAATGTCCGTATTGTAGTAGCATGAGGAGGACCATAATTCTCAAAGGCCTAGAACATCAATTTTGAGGTCCTGCTTTCGGATTCATCACATTCTTGCCCTGTTTTCTTATTGGAGAGTTTGCGATATGTCAGTACCTATGCTACTCTTTTTCCAGCACCTTACCACTAGCAGACCACAGTTTTATGAGCCAATGTGATTGTGGCTGATTTAGGTTGGCTGATCCACGTGGTGTCCGCATTCCTCAAACTTCAGCGTGGCTGGCTGAAGGGCTAGATCAGACTCGCTAACCCACGACTGTCTCACACAGTGGCCGATCATAGCCTAGTAAGGATTACATAAAACATATTGAATGCGTCCGCTGAATGTTTGGACAACTTCCCATACTTCATTGCATGGTGCCAAGTAAAATGTTTCCTCTCATGACTAGAACGAGTCAGCTAGTAGAGACTCGAGACTTGATGTCCAGGAAGTTAAAAAATTTAATGAAAGCATGTCCTGCTCATCTAAGCAGCATTGTTTCTCCAATATCTGGTACCTGCCAGTGTTGGATGATTTCAAAGTGCGTCTTCTCTTGCCCCATAAACCTACCTAAAAAAGCCTTGCAACATTAAGTTCAGTAGGTCTCTCGCTGGATGATACTCTCGGTCCAATGAGAGCGTATTTTTAACAACTTGTTACGATCTCAGAGTATGTTATGTTGAGTTGAATCTATCCCACCGTTTTACCTTCAGTCAGATGCAAATCTACACTGCATCTTTTGCCTCATCAATCTCCTCTTGAGAATTGGACTCATCGTCTTGTCAGCTCGATGACTTGTCTGCCCTGTGCTTTCTTCTGCTTGATTTCGTCTGAAGATTCCCGGGCTTCTTTAAGGATATAGCCCAGAACAGGACGTAATTGGATTGGTTCAAGCCGTTCCCCAAGAAGCTCAAAAGATGATCTCCGCGCCATGCCAACTTTGCCGATCATTTCCATAAGGTTATCAACGGTCAGCCGTTAATGGGACGTTGCGCCACGAGCATCCTTGTCGTCAGCGACCCTAGTCTGAACTTAGCACGGCAAATCGGCAGTCACTCGACCTCTCAGAGTCGGGAGAAACCAGACGATCCACTTTATGCGCTCCTGCGAGATTACAGCCGACGTCGCAGGTCTTCAGCTTACAGGCCCGCGATGCCCTGGTCGGGTGCCACACCATCTTCCATGGTGCCCCGCAGCGGGTTCGAGACTGAGACTGAACGTGGAAGAACAGCGTTGCTTTCTTCTTTTTCTTCCTCACCTTCCCTCATTTCTCCACGAAGCGTTACCGAGTACCCGGATCACCTTACACTCCCGAGTCACTCAAAGCTTCTTTACTGTCGAATTTCGTCCTTCACAGTCACCATCGCTAACGACGAGGAAATGGCGGAACCAACTCCAACTCCTGCCGCTTCGACTCCGGCTAGCCCCCGACTTGGAGCCGGGGCTGAAGCCGAGCCCGAGCCCGAGATCGAGCGGCCCGCTCCGGAAGTGGAGGTAGAAGTCGATCGGGAAGAAAACGACTCGTCTTGGGGTGGCGACGAGGCTTCTCGAGCCAGCACCTCGCTCAAGTCGGTCACGTCGTCTTATGAATGGAAACACGGTCGCCGGTACCATGGCTACCAGTCCGGTGCTTATAATTTCCCTAACGACGAGGAGGAACAGGATCGGCTGGACATGATCCACCATGTTTTCTTGAGGTTGATGAATGATCGTCTATACCTTGCGCCGATCAAAACCGAGGGTCTGAAAGTTCTCGACATTGGCACCGGCACGGGAATATGGCCCATTCAGTTTGGAGACGAACACCCCGAGGCCGAGGTCATTGTCGGAAACGACCTCAGTCCCATTCAGCCTCAATGGGTGCCGCCGAATGTCAAATTCATCATCGACGACGTTGAACTAGACTGGGCGGAGCCAGAGCAGTACGACTACATTCACTGTCGCTACATGGCAGGTTCTATCAAAGACTGGCCTCGGCTCGTGCACCAAATTTATGAGAACCTGAAACCTGGCGGTTGGGTCGAGTTCCAAGAATCCGCAAACACTCTGTACTCCGAAGACGGCTCCCTCAAACCTGACAACGCCATGGTCCAAATGATGGATGGACTCATGGAAGCCTGTGAGAAGATTGGACGGACCATGGACCCGGCTCCGTCCTTTAGGCGGTGGACTGAAGAGGCCGGCTTCCAAAAGGTCGGCGAGCAGAGATTCAAGCTGCCTATTGGCAGCTGGCCCAAAGACGCTAGATTAAAGGAGGTTGGCACACTGATGGGTGTGAATTTCGTGGAAGGGGTAGAGGCATTTACCGCCGCACTGTTCAAGGATGTTTTGGGATGGTCCCTAGAGGAGGTCACTGTCCTTAATGCTGGAGTACGGGCGGCGGTGCGCAAAAGAGATGTTCACCCCATCTTCGACTTCATTGTTGTCACTGGGCAGAAGCCTTTGTAAGCTCTAGTTAATTTTTTTTTTTTTTAATTTTCCATAAGCCAGCTGGAAGGTATTTTGCATCATTAGCAGCGAATGAGTGGATCATCTCATGTTATCATAGCAAAGCGCGTAGTTCAGAGCTCATCCTTCCGCGGTGTTGCATCCGTCACATCTTCAATATGATCCGAACCTTCGTAAGCATCTACATGAGCCTTTGCAAATTCTCTGGCCTGGACCTCTCTGGCAAATAACATGTCCAATTCCTCATACGTACGGCCTTTACACTCGGGCAGGCGGAAGAATGACCACACGAAGATGATCCCAGCGGTGGCTGCCCAGAAGAAGCCTGCTTTACCTCTCAAATTCCACTCCGTAGGGTTCCTTTGCATCGGTCGGCTTCTTGTCCCTGATTTCGATTCATTGAGCAGGGGCATTGAAACAACACTCACATCATATAGGTCTGAAGGACTTGTGAAACGATGTTGACAAGCTGATAAGCATTTCTCGACAGCACGACAGTCAGTGGGCGGAGTCGAACCGACGAAGTCTCGCTGATGATGCTATACTGTCCCATCTATTAGCATTACTCTGGCTGTGGCCGGAGTATCATGCATGCTGGAAATCTTTGGGTGTCGGGCGACTCACAGTAATTGGACCAATGGTAAGGGACTAATATCGTTAGCATCATCTCCTAGGCTTTGGCAGTCTGTGTACAAATGCGTCTGAGGGTTAGACTTACATAAGTAAAAAGCCACAGCACGCAGAGACCACCAGAAGGCCAAAGGCCTTTCTCGCCAGCTGATATATCAAGAATGCCTATGATGAACAAAATGACGGTGAGAGCTCCGATCCCTGTAACATATATGGCACGACGTCCCCAGTGAGTGATGAGCCACCATGATCTCAACAGTCAAAGTCAGTCCGAGTCCGAGTCGTAGGGTTTCGAAACAGAAGGTTCTTCCTTACAGAACAGTCCCAATAAAGGCCATGCCCTTTGCCCCCAAGCTCAGTTCAAACGCATTCGCCGTTTTCATTCCAGCAGTGGTGAAAAAATACGTCGGGGTATAAGCAAAGCTGCTCCCAGACATGACTTGTCCTGCAAATGCAACGCAGCAGATCTCTGTGCGTCGGCGGTCAATGCCACTGAAGCAATCGAGGTATGTCACACCGCCAGTCACTCCCTCCTCGACCTTGGTCGTGTGAACCACCATTGCCAACTGAGCACTGATTTGGTCTTGAGTCTTGTCGCCGCTGAGCCTCTCGATGGCCCTCCTGGCGTCTTCGAGGCGGTCTTTTCGAACTAGATACCATGGACTTTCGGGTGCAAGATATGAAACGACTATCAAAGGGATAGGCCATAGCTTGTTGTGTTAGTTGATGCGGGTCAAAAGGCTAGAAGATAGACTCTCAGGCCAAACTTACCCATTGAATTGCAAAGGGGATTCGATAGGCCATTTCTCCTTCAATGCTAAGACACCCACGGAGCACGCCAGCAGCAATAAGCTGACCGGTCGCCCAGCAAAGGTTGACCTGAAGCGGGTTTAGTTGCAAAGAACTTTGTAGCGACCTCTAGTGACAACGCACATAGGTAGTCATATATCCTCGAAGGTTAGTAGGACAGACTTCGGAAGCTAAGACGTGTCCGTTCAGCAGCGAATGACCAGGTTTCAGTGATTAAACTTACCATAGGCCGGACTGAGAGTTGCGAAAACACCCCAAGAAAGGCCGCAAAGGATTTGTCCAATCAAAAGCATGGCGGCAGAGTGTGCAAAGAAGACGACAAAGATGAAGCAGTTCAGGAACAACATGGCGCCAATCATGACCCATCGATAGCCGTACTTGGATGCAAAGTATCCATTCATCAAGCCGCCTGTTTGGTATTAGTCAGTTGTCCCAATCAAAGATGTTACAGAAGCTGACCAAAGATGGCACCAACCGTGGAAGCCATCGTGAGGCCCGTTTGCCACGGGCCAGAAACTTGGTAGCCAATTTTTCCCCCATACCAACTGCCGTACTTCTTTTGGAACTCCGGATAGGCGAAGAAGTTGTTGATTAGAATGACATCGTATCTTGGACGGATTAACATTACCCCTCTGCTACGGGACAAAGCTAAGGCAAGAAAGTGCTTACCCTTCCATCACAATGGACATGGAGATCAAGACAGACCAGAAAACTGCCTTACGATTCTGGCTAAGTGAATGCCTAGAAGGAAAGTGAATCGAGAATGCAAAGTGTGGTGCAGCGATCAGCAGAGGGCACCGTTTCTGGAACCGAGAGGGTTGCCGGCTGGTCTATATAGAGGCATAGCAGACACGAAGTAGTCGGGTCCATCAGATGACCGGCATGACATTCCATCCGAACCAGCCCTTTGGAAAGGCCCGGCATTGGCATTCATGGCTACATAACCTCGCTGATCTCTGATGGTTCGAGTCGTGTGGATATCAAGAACCTTCGGATTCAACCCCACCATCCCCGCAACCCCAGACTGCGGACGCTAGAACCTGGGGTTGTCTAGAAGGCCCGCGATTGGATGGTGTTATAAATTCCCGTACGAGCCCGGTGCAGAGTGTTGCTGACAGCGAGAAGAATTGACCAATGTCGCAGGGATCTTCCTAGACCCAATCAGATCGAGGAATATAGCCGGCTGCGATGTCTCACAAGTTTGAGAACTCTAGGTGTTTTTTGGCTTTTTCTAGAAAGAGGGGAAATGCGCCAAGAGCACTTGAATGTTGCGGGGTCAGCGTCATCGAAGAGATGCGGTTGGTTGAATGAATGTCTACGGAGGTTGGAGTGTGCGGAGGATCTCCGCCAGTCGAGGCAAGCCGATGGGAAGAGCTTGGAAGCGTCAAAGTTGGGGTGTTGGGGTGAAAAATGAATGCTGTACAGGAGACCAACGGATTGAGCACCGCGAAAAGGATCCGGCTCCAAGTTCGTCGACCGGAAATGCGCAGAACCCCAGGATGTTGGTGTACTGGAGGCCTCCATTTACCCGGATGCATGTAAGCACAGGTTGGCCGGCCGGCTCTGGCTTGTCAGATGACGTTTCTCCAATGTGGCCTGATATTGGAAATGCTTTCACAGTTGGTCACGATGCGGAACGCGATGACGATTATGAGCTTCATGGATGCCCAATGGACGGACTATGAAACAAGTTGGTGCTCTCCATTGTATAACCCTTCTATTGGTCTTTTTTTTCCTCCTTGTTGCGTAGTACCTCGTCAAGACTTTGGACTCCCTTCTTTAGCGGAGAGTTGGGGTTCTGTGCGAAAGAAGGCTCCCTTCGCATGTGCTGAACCTCAGCTGGGGAGATACCCAAAATCTGCTCTAGACGATGAGGTAATATGGCTCGGATGTATGAACAGTTTTCACCAGAGACCCGCCAGAGACGGTATAGCCAAAACATATTCAAATTCAAGCCCAAGCACCGACATTTCTATTTCAATGATCAGCGAAAAGGAGACACTAAAGGGTCAAAGAAGACAATCTTTCGTTGAACAATACTAGCTGTGCCTCGCTGCTGATGATGCTTCACGCCTCCGATTGAGATAATCCTGTGGAAGACTGCTCTCAAACCTCTCCAACAAGTCCTGGTGCCCATGAAGCAGCGCTTTCACTGTCTCGTGAGTTTCAAAGAGCAACCCCTCAGAGTTGCCGGCAGTTTTCTGCGTGGCGGTATGGAAGCTACTCAGGGCCTGGATAAATGCTGCGTAAACCTCTGGCTGGGTCGTCTCAAAACGTCGCTGCAATGTTGGTCAGATAAATCAACACCATCCACCTAATTGGGTAAATTGCCTAATGCGATAACTTACTCTCACATCGTCGAGAAAGCTCCAGCTTTCTTGGAGCACACTGGACCCTGCATCGTCCTGTGGGATGACGATCTCAGGTGGTTCTGACATGGCGTGCATTTCCAACTAGCTTCTTCGCTTTGCTTCTTCTAAAAAATAATGTTTTAAATTTCTCCGTCGCGAGGTAAAATAACTCCACGACGTCTAGGAGGGGTTCGTTGGGATTTCCCCGACTTTATGTGAGTACCTCCGCTTTCCAAAGATCCCTCTCCCACGGCCCGGAAATAAAATTTCGTGGTGTCGACCAATACGCGTGGTCTAAGATCGTGTCGGCCAACAGGTTTCTTCAAACAAAGCTCTTAACACCAAAAATGATGTAATCGCTCGTGTGCAACTCGTTGGGGCACGATACGCAGCCCGGCGGCACAGCACAGCGAGCTCCACCTCGGTAGTTCTCGATTGAGGGGAACTACGCAGGCCTCAAACTATTCGAAGCGGAAATGAGCAGCATCATGATGTTGACCCACGATGTGTTGACAGAACCCTGCGCTCATCATGGTTTGTCTTCAGAGAAGCACAAAGACTTCTTCCTCGCCAAACCTTGCTCGGATCTTTTCGTCGGGTGCCTCTGGCATGAGCGGGTCGATAAAACAATCGCCCAAAAGCAACCATCCGTTGTCAACTTTTCTTAGGGCGAACGGAATCGGACCACCATACAACATCACGACCACATCTCCTTCTCTTGTGCAAGCTGGTGCCAGCCCATAATAACCACTTTTTGTCTCGAACACCCGCCGCTGGTCACAAGCGCGGGACGCTGCAATTCTGAACCGTGAGGCGTTGCCGTCCCAGTGCGCGATATCCAGAGGCTCGAACGTAGAAGACTTTTGGCCAGCAATTTTAAACAGTTTGTGGACGTAGTTGAGGTAGTCTGCGTGAAATCGCTCGCAGTCGTCAGATGATTTGAGCTCGACGCGCTCGTAGCCATCGGTAAGCCCGGCAGTCAGCGTAAGTGCCATCATCGACACCGCCATGAGCGAGTTTTCATACTGAGGGTATCCCGGATAAGAGTTTCTCGAGGAAGCACGGGTCCATAAATCGAGTATTGGGTGAAGTGATGCTGCAGACGTTGTGACATGTTCTCTAAAGTCTCGAACATCGAGAGCGCGGGTAATCCAAGCAATGGTATCGAATCTGACGCCAGACACGGAGACCTTCCCATCCGATGAAGGAGTAAATTCCTTCAGACCTGGCAGACCATGCTTGTCTCCGTCTTTCCAGGCTGTTACGGATAGACTGTCAAGAATGCTGAGAACATCACCACTTACGTCCCACCTTGGTACCCAAGAAGACATTTCGGTCTGCTGATACTCGACTCCGTGTTGGACATAACACAAAGCAGACAATGTTTGACTGCCCCTGACCGCGGTAACCACAACATCAACGTAAACCTCAGCCAAGCTTTTCCGGTAGTCTACGCTAGGGAAAAGTTCAAGGTTCTCTGGGCTCATGAGTCCCAGCAGCCCGTAAACTTTATCCCTCAAGTTCGTGGCATGGTGATCTCGAAAGGCAATCAGAACCTCCAAGAAGGTTGAATCTGAAATCTCGCTTGTGTCGAACATTGCATGCGCATTATCAAATGGCAGACCCTCAATCTCGGGTGGTACATCGTAATCGTTCGCGAGATGCTGCTCACTGAGCCAGGCAGTCGTTACTCCCAACTTGACCCAGTCCAAACATCCAGAACCAACATAGATTCTTGACAAACGGGCCAGGACAATTTCTTGCACGCACCAGACTCGCGTGAACCAAGGTCGAGACAGCAGCCATCCCAGCGCTTCCCAGTCTTCTGATGTCGGTTCTGCCTTGCCCGAACGCTCAGCGACCGCGGTAATGTTCTCAATCGAGACTCCTGCGAGCCCTTCCAGTGCTTGTGTCGCCGGCGTGAAGTGAGCCATACTCAATAACTCAATATTCTTAGCGAGTGCGTGGTCGTTGCAGGCTTGATGAATCGTCTCGATCAGAGACATCGCACGGGAAGCTTGACCCTTGTCATCGAGGCCTAACCAAACGACAACCCTCTTAGCTCGCGAATAGATTTCCCTCATGAGCTGTACCTGCTCGGCCCTCTCATCCATATCGTCCTGGTTAATGCATAGGGCATCTGCCCATATCAACAGCGCTCGGTCCGGACGCCGGAAGTGCCGAAGAGCATCGAAAAGATTCTGAGTAATCGGGACCGTGTATCCCAAGCATTCGATCTCTTGGACTTGTGATGGATCTCCCCAGACATACGACAGCGCTTCGAAAGCTGGAGGGTCGTCGATGCTGACTTCCTGAAGCCCGAGACGCATGGGGCCAGTGTCGGGACCAGGCTGCAGAACCAGGATTCTGATACGCCGGCTTCTCAGCCGACTCACATATATTGAATCCATCTTCGTAGCAGACTAAAGAGCTTTGTGTATTTCTTTCCGAAGCTTGTATGTGTGCAAACCTCTTCCTATGGGTAATACAAGAGAGAATTTCAATCAAGGGTCGTCATGCGGTCACTTGAGATCTTAGTAGGTAGGTGCATGGTTTATGTGGCCACGCTTAGTTGCGGCGAAGGATCTCTTAGCGAGCTTATAAAGCCGCTAAGATAGTGAGTGTGTTTATCAATCCCTAGTGCCCATTTTCTACTTCCAAAGTCACAGGCAGCAACGATATTACCGATGATCACGGCCGTGTTGTAGATATAGTTTTTTTGGCCATCTTCTGCACCTGTAGCTTTAATTCTATGAGGTTGAGTGAGGTTGCCCGTTTGGTAGGTAGGCTAGTAAAATCGCGCGGTCACCAAAACTCCACCGTACGAAACGACGCCAGAAGCAAAAGAAATAGCGGTTGTCGGACTTGAACGACTTGACCATCCCCATCCCTGTAGACAAAAGAATAATCAAATTCTACATCTATGCCTGAATGAGCGTCTTTCCTTCAATGCCAGCCCGGCCGCCATATATACTTTGGACAATCAACTTCTCAAATTTACAGATATGATTGGCCTAATATCGCGGGACCCAACCTATTAGCGGAGTGTTCCAGTATGATATGTACATATGCAGTTGAGTCATTGGTATCGTTAGACTTGCCTTTTATTCTCTCTTCACTTCTGTTAAGCAAGACCATCTATTTGGTGCAGCACTTCCACGATCCGGTACAAGGCGTATCCAACTTCTTTCTCTCACATTGCGGCGAGTTATCCAACTTCTTAACCCACTGGCCAACTCCGCATGACGCCATGAAGTCGCCGCACGTTAAGCCGTTGCTCGACTGTTTGCAGGTGGTCCCAGAGGCTGCGGTCACGACGCGGCAACCATCGCCTCCGGGGAGAGCTGTGACAACAACAGCGAGCGTCAGCGTCGCGAAGACTGAAGAGAATTGCATTTTGATAGCGCTGAAGAAAAGCTTGCTGGGAAAGACGTTGACAGCGGAAAGGTGTTCAGATACGTGACTTGAGAAGCGTTGAGAAATACTTATCGCAAGGCATTTGCAAAGCCAAGGACGTGTGTTCTTTATATACCTGAGAGGGACTTCTAATCATTCTTCTCAGATCACTGTCCTCATTTTGATCGTGGTTTTGGGAACATGAGGAACGGATGGACCATGGAGCTCAAACTATTCTAAAAGGCATACTATGGTATCAGGCCAAAGTTTAACACCCCTATAGATACCGATAGGGCGCGGCCACTGCCATCACCCATCGTCTTTTGACTGGTCCGAGAGCTTCGTTTATAATCGCCCTATAAATTAGCAGCGATTAACTATTTCCCGTATTCTAACTTCTATCTCCTATATATTTGTGAAGCTAGCAGTATATAGGTGCATCAAATACTGGGTTGAGTATAGAAATTAATATATTTAAACGTTTGCTAGTTGTATCAGCTATTTTCTGCTAACGACAAGACTGGGAAGTTCATCCATCCCTGTCTGTGGGTTGGTACCGGGGCAGGGGTTTAAACTTATCCATACCACCATAGTAAATCGCACAGCGGAAAGCGTTCATCTCACATCATTACTTAATACGAGATGGCTGGCTGTGTCAGGCTAAAGCTTGCCGTGCAGCCACGATTCATAGCCAACTTTCTACTCAAAGTATTACGCAAGGCGACGACGCAAGTCTTACTTAATTAGTAGGTATAATCTAAAGGACTAGACGCCTGCGGAACGGGTTCTAGCAACGCGGACTAAGTAAATCCGTCTAGGTCTGACGGAACTATTTGAGCGTCTTCTAGGAACAAGACTGTCCGAGGCTGGTCTTAGCTTGAGATTATGTTAATTCCGAAAGCGAAATTCATATCCTTCCAGCCGCCCAGCATCTACAAAAGGATTCCAATGATTTACTCTCCATTCCAATGACGAGAAGAAGGGGCATAATTGAATCTGGGAAGAGTCTGAGTAATTATTGCACAACTTTAAGGGCCCATTCGAGGACGCTCCTCGAGTATCATATTGATCCAGCAATGGAAAAGAAGCATTCAAGACGATGCCGGAATGGAACTCCAATTCGGCCGCCTAGTCTACGCGCCCAACGGGAACACCTCCGTGGCCTGTATGGGTTGGAAGTTGAGTTGAATGTTGAGATCGGGCTCGCGGCATCAACCTCCCTCTGCCTTTTTATGCTGAATTAATTAATTCGGACTCTTCGTCGCCCTATTGACCGTATATCTTCATCTCCAACCTAGGGCAGAGGTGGGCACTGTTGAGCCCCCTGACTGAGGGGCCATTCCGATACGGAGAAAAAAAGAGCAAACGTGGACTCAAGCCTTGGATCTCTAAAACTCAAAAACGACCGGGGACCACTTGTCTTTCATGTTTGGTGGAGGTTGAGCAGCCTTTACCACTGCGCCAGGGCTTCTCATCGTTACTGAAAGATTCGAGAGAGAAACGACCCATAGACCTGATCGAGGCGCCTCCAGGTACTTGATCTGACCTGAGGGATTAAGCACTAGGCATTCGAAGGTGGTGGAAGCGGCGGAAGGGACAGGCAGTTTGACTTCGAAAGAGCTGAGGACAACCTACTATTACTCTAGGTACCTTCCTGTGAGGAAAACATTGTACCACACTAGGCTTACAATCATGGAGTATTCAAGTCCTTGTCTAAATTGTTCCTTGCGAGCTAGACCATTCGACTGGCACCAGAAACCCTCAAGCATCGTCCTTGATCTTGACACCCAACCCGCTGTCAACAACCACGGTAGTCTTCTGCAAACTCCTCTTCACCGGCTTGGGATCGTTGAAGATCTCCTCGAGCTCCTCCAGCGTGCGCTCCTTCGTCTCCACGCAAGACAAGTACATGAGCCCAAGATGCACAAAATGCAAAACCAAGAAAATCGTATACGTTTTCCAACCAATATGCTTGATCGACACAGAGGTCCCGTACGTGTTGATGAAGCTCGCGATACCCGAGATGAACCCCTTTGCGCCCATCCCCTTGGCGCGGATCTCGTTGTTGAGAATCTCGGCCGGGTACAGCGCCTGCAGCGGCGTCCAGCAGAAGCCCCAAAAGATGCCGTACGAAAAGATCATGGCGATGAAGGCGTACGCCTGGGACGTGGGCACCGACGTACCCTCCGCGATGCTGTGCTCCGCCCTCGCGGCCAGCACGTTGATCGGGATGTAGACCAGGCCCGTGAGCAGGGTGCCCCAGAGGAACAGCGGCCGCCGACCGACCTTGTCGACGAAGAAGGACCCAAAGATGCCGCTGACAAAGGAAATGACGGTGTTGATCCCGTTGAGAAGCAACTGCCGGCTCGAGTCTGTAATGCCCACGCCCCGCACCATGGCCGGCAGATAATACGAGATTACGGCGCCTCCAATAAACTGCGAGAAGACGGCTACCAGCATGATGAGCCACATGCGGTACAGGTTGGGCCGGTTGTTGATCAGGACCTTGTAGTTCCAGTTGTGGTTGTTGAGCTCCTGCTCGGCTTCCAGGGACAGCCGGATCTCGTCGAGCTCGAGCTTCACAAGAGCCGAGTGCGGGTTCCCGTCGCCGTGGTACTTTGTCAGGATCGCCGCCGCGCGGTCGGTGTGGCCCTGCGACCAGAGCCAGCGAGGGCTTTCCGGGAGGAACCAGACGACCGAGACGACAATGGTGGCCGGGAGGAGCTGGATGATATAGGGAATGCGCCAGGCCCAGTCATTGGGGATAAAGTTGGTGCCGTAGCATGTCCATGCAGCCACTAATGCCGGTCAGCTAACCACTATCGACATGATGATCCGAGGAGGCGAGACTCACGATTCGCGCCAATATACCACCCCAGGACATTATACAACCCACCAGCTAACCCCCTCCACGTGGGATACGCAATTTCGACAAGGAACACAGGCGCAGACGTGGCGCACATGGGCGTCCCCGTGCCGACGATGAACCTCCCTATAAAGAACTGCGGAAGCTGGTAGCTGCTCGCTTGCAGGACGGAACCCAGGACGATCATGAACCCGCCGGAGAACATGCAGGCGCGGCGGCCCCAGCGGTCCATGATGTACCCGCACATCAGGCTGCCGACGATATTGCCGACGGTGTAGATGGAGAAGACGGCACCGTTGAGCTCGCCCGTGAGGCCGATTTGGAATCGGGCCTGGAAGGGGTCCATTGCGTTGATGGCGGACATTACGGAGCCGTCGTAGCCGTTCATGATGCCGTCTTTTTTTGGTGATTGGAGAGTCAGCTGTGTGTCCTGCATCTTTCTGTTGCCAATTTCCCCAAACAAAAGAAAGAGAGAGATGCCGGATGTGAAGCACGTACTTAGAACGCAGAGACACATCATCGCGTACAGCGTCATCTGCGACTTTGACCTGAAATTGGGCTTGTCCTTGGCGATGGCATCGGCGAGGGCCACAGACTGGACATTGACTTCTTTTGCATGGCGATGTGTTAGGTTGTTACTCTTTTCATCGTCCAAGGCGGAGGTGGTCGCCTCGATGTGATGCTCTGTCGCCGCATTTTGTTTCTCCATGGCCAATGTTTCTTTTCTCTCTTGCAACAATTTTCCGCAATCCACAAAGCTCGAATGTATGGCTGTGCTGCCAAACCAAGGTTGTAAGTGAGGTCCTCCTCGTCAACTTTTATATCAAGAACTTATGCACCAAATACAGTCGAGCTCCTAGCCGTCGCCGAGACGGCATTTCCTCCACCGAAACAATCCTTTTGGGAACATCTGGCAGTCCAGCTAATGGTCTCTAAGCGAGATGACGCCCCTTGCCATCATCCTTCGTTCCAACAGCCCTCGTGCTTCGCCGCATGCACCCCTCATTCTCATTGCGGGGTGGTGGTGATCTAGACGACCAACAACAAGAGAGACAAAGTCCCACGACCGCGCCAAGGCGGTACTATAAATCGCCGCATCGCGCCGTATTTCTACCACAGAGATGGCGGTATATGAGAATGACTGATGTTTTGAGGAGCGCAGCTGACCATGGCGCGATGCGTCGATATCATACGCAAACAATCACACAAGCGCCGGACCTTCATTGGCTGGAAAAACAATCCATCAAAAGTTGGCATGCAGACGAGAGCGTGTGCATACTTCGGCAGATGCATTGGCAAAACCGGCTCGGCATTCACATGAGTTGTTCCTTCGTAGATCAAACGGCTGCTGCATCTGATATAATGTTGATAATTAAACGACAGGCAGTAGCAAGATTGACCACATCCGGTGTTAAAGTCAGTTCCATCAAAATAGCGGCTTTGTTCGGAGCATTTCTTGAATATCACACTCGGAGAAGGTACTCAAAGCTCCAGCTTCTCGTCTGGAGCTAGACTGAGCTGCTTCCACCAACCTCTCTGGGTCGATCCAGAATCTCTACAGCATTCGTGGGTGCTCGACGGCGCAGCAAAATGTATTCCTCAAGCCAGCACCAAAGCTCAAGAGCCTCGATGAAAGGGGGGAATATATGGTGAGCAGGGCAAGTGCAAGTTTCCTTGGTTTAAGTAGCTTGCCCGAGCCATCTTCAACAGATGTTGCCAAAAAAGTGTAACGAGTTAGAGAACCCACAGCAATGAGCATACAAAATGGACAGAAGGTGGCTTGTATGAATCCAAAGTGAACGAGGGAAAAGGTCCAGTGTATATACTTTGTGAGAGTGAGGGCCACGTGAGAAAGCACGTAGCAGACAGCTTCGATACAAGGCAAGTTTCGCGACAAAAAGCCTCTCGAGATTGAAATTGAGAGCAATTCCCCTTGTATTTGTGACCCAGAATATTCTAATATGCAGATTTTTATCATCTTTTTTGAACAAAACGCCCGCGCCGCCGAGAATGCCGTCTGCCCCAAGAGTCCCCATCTAATAAATCGCGCGTTCAATCATGAGTTGTTTGGTTGGTTCATTTCTGGATAGCCCAATATAATCTCTAGTGCTTGAGGGAAGAAAAAAAAAAAGGATGTTTGCACCTCAAACCATGATACCAGTTGTCTCTCTGATGCCTTGCCTGCCCCTACCATGTCTACTTTGAAATAAACTTTCTCTTATCGTGTATCCATCTTTTCAGGAATAGCGTAAGAAGAAAAAGAATAAAGAGAGGACGAAGATCCTCACACGACGTGCTTGACGCCGTTGGTCTGCTTGGAGGCGGCTAGCTCCTCCTTGATGACCCGGTCGAGGCATCCCGCGCTGGCGGCGACGAAGCCGAGGTAAGGTCTCTGTCCTACTTGTTAATTTCACGCGGGGGATAGGGATTGCGGGGGGAAGGACGTACGCTGGGGTTGAGCACCTTGGACTGGTACTCGGCGTGGAACTGGGTTCCGACAAAGTAGGGGTGGTTCTGGAGCTCAAAGATCTCCATGCGCTCGCCCGTCTCGTCCTTGCCGATGAAGTTCAAGCCGGCCTCGGAGAGCTTCTCGACGAAGGCCGGGTTGGCCTCGTAACGGTGGCGGTGTCTCTCCTCCACCGAGTCGGCCTCACCGTACAGGGCGCGCAGCTTGGACCACTCGCTGCCGGGCTGGAACTCGGTCGGGCGCAGGCCGAGGCGCATGGTGCCGCCGAGCTTGTCGCGGCTGATCTCGGGCATGTAGATGACGACCTTGTTCTCGGCCTGGGCGTCAAACTCCTCGGAGGTGGCGTTGGGGATGCTCAGGAAATCGCGGGCGTACTGGATGATGGCGGTTTGGAAACCGAGGCAGACGCCGAGGAACGGGGTTCCGTTCTCGCGCGCCCACTTTGAGACCTTCATCATACCCTCGGTACCTCTTGTACCGAAGCCACCGGGAACGATGATACCAGAGGCGGTGCACACATCGTGCCACGCCTTGTGGTACTGAGCCTGGTCCGCAGACTTGGCCTGGGCCTCGAGGTGCTCCGCATCAACCCAGCAAATGTTGAGCTTCTTGCGCAGGTGCATCGCCGAGTGCTCCAGGGACTTGACGACTGACAGGTAAGCGTCCTGAGATTTGACGTACTTGCCGACGAGGGCGATATTGATCTCGCCATCGTAAGGGCGGCTGACAACGGAGGCCCAGGTCTTCCACAGCGCCGCACCCTCGGCAATGCGGGACTGGGGGATGGACAGGGCGTCCAGGTTGACGGCCTTGCGCAGCCAGGGGATGAGGTTCTGCTCCTCCAGGAGAAGGGGAACCTGGTAGATGGTGGGCATGTCGCGAACGACGAGGACCTGAGGAATGTCGACTTGGCAGAGAAGGGCAATCTTCTTTATGGTAGCCTCCTCGAGGGGCTGCTCACAACGGCAAGCGATCTAGCGAATCGTTAGCAGTAGAACGGATTACGATAGGCATGGATTCATACCATATCGGGAACCAGGCCGTAGCTGCGGACTGTCTTCACGGCATGCTGTGTGGGCTTCGTCTTCTGCTCGCCGTGAATGGTGGGCACGTAAGAGACGTGGATCTGGATGAAGTTGCCGCTTCCGGCTCTGTGGCGCACTTTCAGGAGTCAGCATCGATCCAATGCCAGAGGATTTCAGAGCACAAACATTGAGTCAATGCCTCGACGTAGGGCATCTAAATGTAGTGTCAGAATGCTTCGAGTGGAGTTTCCGCTTGGCCAAGCTGATCTTTGGAAAAACGTACGCTCTCGATATCACCAACGGTACCTCTGTAGTCACAGATTAGCCTCTGAACCACCGAGTGACATGCACAACGACGGGTTCTCAAATCGTAGAGACCATTTTGAAGGACGCCTTTGTGATTTTGTAGAAGAACCTGGTAAAACGTACCCGAGCTCGATAATGCAGACATCTGGCTCCTCGCCAGAGTTGTCTGTGGGAATCTTGGCAACACGCTCAATCCAGTCCTGAATCGCATCGGTGACGTGGGGAACGCTGTCATCAGTCAGCAAACACGAAGGCATCGGCAGACTTATGAAGGCCAAACATACACTTGAACCGTCTTTCCGAGGTAATCGCCGCGGCGCTCCTTGTCAATGACATGCCTGTACACCTTGCCGGTAGTGATGTTGTGCTCGCCCGTCAGACGGATGTTGAGGTAGCGCTCGTAGTTGCCCAGGTCTGTTTACGAGCCTTGGTGTCAGAGATTTGCGATTGACGTGAACGGCGACAGCTGTTCCCCCGGGGAAGAGGGGGGGAAAGGAAACCATGGGTCAGATGCCGTCCGGAGGTTCACCTACCGAGATCCACCTCCATGCCATCGTGCAACTGATGATGGTCAGCGTTTTCCGTTGAGTCACAATATCAAAGACTGTTCCATGGACCACCAATATCTCTTTTTGGAAGACGAGATACGGGGCGATGGGGGCGAGGCGCTTGCCCCTATTCCCGGGGCCAGGAAGAATCATCTAGGTTTACAGAAGTACGAACCACAAAGCATTCGCCGTGCTCGGCGGGGGCCATAAGACCAGCATCGACCTGCATGTCATCGTCAGTCACCGGGACACGGTTTAAAGGGCCATGTTTAGGGGTGGTTTCACTCACCGACAGGTACGGGTCGATCTTGATGCTAGTGACACGCAGTCCCAGGGTCTTGAGGAGCTATTCAAGAACATACAACTGTCAGCAATGCTGCATCATCGAGGCTGGACGCATTGCATGCATGTGATGACTGTAAAGTGCAAAACACCCCGCCATCCCCAATGGCTTGGGGTAGCAGAGGCCAAGTGTGAAGTCACAGCCCGCAGATAAGGAAATTTTAACAGGGGTTCGGATACACACCAGACCCGTGGAAGAGGCGATGATGCCCTTGCCCACTCCAGAGATGACACCGCCTGAGACGAGAACGTAACGCATGATGGCTGATTTTTTCGACAGGAAGTCAAAAAGGGTATGTGTCGGTCGTATACGTTCAAGATGGGCGAGGTTGTCTGGTGGCGTTCAACTCTTGTTTGGCAGAATGGAGGGGAGGGAAGAAAGAGAGTCAAGAATGAAAGGCGGGACGCGACGCGGTCGGAGGTAAAGAAATTTTTGGTTATCGATAACGCATGACAGACAGACGGTGCACATCAGCGCCTGCCTACGCCCTTTACCTCTAACTAGGTACCGTAGCGACCGGGCTTGCGCTTCGATTACAGCGGAGGGCAACGAGCAACAGCGGGGTGGTGATCCGTGCATCGTGTAAAGTGGATTTGAGCCACACCTCGATGAGCAATGAGGCTTGCTCACGTGCCACACACCGAGTTGACGCTGGGCTTCCCGTCTTTTAAGCCACGGGTATCTTGAATGAGCTCATGTAGACTCGCCGTGAGAATTCTTGGGGCCACAACTAGAGCTTGTTCCTTGTTCGAGAACTCAGTCATGGTCTCCAAAGCTTTCACGATAACTTGATGCCAAATTTTTTCACTTTTACCCGGGCACACATCTGGTATGGATTTGTTCAAAGCATTTCAACTCGCCCTAAGATTGACAAAACAGTATAAGCCATCGTTTATGACCACGGCAAAAATCTCGCTCTGGACGAGATATCTGCGCGACGATATAGACTGAGATGCAACATGAGTATTAATGCTGGTATCAGCACTGTAACCGACAATTTTTGATGGACGACAAGCTGCAGTCCACAACAGCTTCGTTGTCCCCCAGCCTCGACATTCCTCGATCATAGGTAGGCGCTCTGAGCAACGGAAAAGACCTAGGAAGGTAATAAATTCGATGATTGAGTTGAGCTATTTTACATCATTTAGTTGAAACTTAAGGAATAAGTTAACAACGGGCGACACAAACTCTTGTCTGAGGTGGGGGGTGAATCATGGTCCGGGGCACTTTACCTATCGTCTTGTGACACTATCTGCAAGTGTGTACCACGATGATCTCTTGGAGAAAGAGTGAATATGTGGGAAAGAAGGTCTATGATTCTTCGCTGAGATTGAACGCAGAGCTTGGTATTCCATGTTCGGTCAGATTGACATTTGGAGACTCGAAGATTACTACCAATACTCTTTTACATCCGAATGTATTGTCAAAGTAGCACAAGCCGTGGAAGCAAATCTTAATGCTGCGAATCAAAACTTTTCTATTCTTGAGGGCTATTTCGCAAGGCATGTCAGATTGTTAGTATCTACACAGTCACACAGTGTAGGGGCATCAGGGGATAAGCAGCAGAACCAACAGCAAACATCGGGCATCCAGATTGGCGGCGCGCCATCGAAGGCCTGTGCCCCACAGAAGAAGTGGAGCCGGCGTTTGCGCTAGACAATTTCCGTTCGAACCAGCCCGATGCAGATTGGCCACAGGGCAGATGGATGTGCAGGGCTGGGAAAGGGACAGTAACACAGGGGTGACATGGCGGGGACGGAGGACAGGAAGACAGGAGGTCAGGACGCTCGTGCAGGGCAACGACTCGACGAACTCTGCTCATCGTCTCTGTGATGCCATGCAAGTGTTGCTAGCTCCAGAAGCAAACTCAGTTCCCCATTGCGTCGTACAGCGTGTTCCGGCCCGACATGAGGAGGGAAATCTGCAATCTCGCACCGATTCTTAGCCCACCCCGCAAAGGAGGTTAATTCGTATTGGTCGCTCTCTACAGTTCCTCAGGCCTTCCAGTAAAGGTAGGGCAGCCGCTGAAAATTTCATGACAACATGCGAAGTCCTGCTGGTCGGTTGGAGCATGTGTTGGCTCCGTATTTGCTTCATGTGGCTCGTGAAGCCGGCTGGCTGTTCGTCTAAAGCTGTAGCACGAAAGACTTGCAGACTCAGAAGAGAAGAAAACCAGAACGCATGGCACGACTCTCCACGCTGGCGATGGTATTTCCGACGAAGAGACCAGCATGAGCTCCGACAAATAGACGGTGGCATCGTAAGGGTTTCCTCATGTGTAGGGAACGGAGGTGGGCAGAGATAGACCATGGCTGGCGGGCGCGAAAGCTTTGGCGTTGGCTTCGCTGGCCCGATTTAGGTATCGAGGGAGGGAAGATGGATGCTTGAATGGAAGAATGGTGCGCCCTTTCTTGGGCAGATCTACATCCACCAGGAGACGACCGTGATTATCCGTACGGCGAACTGTTTCAAGATTGCTCAAAACTTCAAAGCTTTCCTTGCCTTTTGACGAGAGAGGGATGAGGAGTTATCCCGATTCCCCATGACGTTCTCAGCAGTCCCTTGACTCCGGCATTGACTGCCTCGGGGTTGGTGAGGGGTGTTTGGCGAGATGGCGGACACTAAGGTATGAATACGTGAATGGCGGGCCACCCATGCAGTCCGGCATCTTGGGTGCTTGGCCCTGACAACAAGGGTGTCCAAGGGTGGGGAGAAACGGGAACCATCGAGGCGTAAACGGTGAGTCTGAATCGGTTCGAGCGGTGAAGCCAACGCAATATGCAATACGCAATGCGGCCGCAATAGCAATTGCACTGGCTGAGGTGGGAATGGATATTCCAAAGTTCTTCTTCCTGATGTGGGAAGTCCAGGATCGACTAGAGGCACAGTTGGCAGGGATTCGTCCTGATCCAGCAAAGCAGGGTCGATGAGAGGTAAGCGCTGATGGTTTCTCCCTCTTGTGTTGGGTTTGTGCTGCGTGCGTATCCACGTCTCGTCTCTCGTCCCATCATCTCCCGGATGGGGCCGATGCTGGGCTTGGTGACATCCATGAATGGTGACAACCTTGGTCCTCCATCCTGAGGCACGGCAATGTAAATTGGAACGATGGCCGAGGAGCGTTCAAGTCATGGGAATCCAGGCAGATGAAGGTGCTCTTGCGCGAAGCAGCACATCCATTCCATCGAGTTGGCGGCAATGAGACAGGAAAAGGGGATAAAAAGGTTATTATTGCGCATATTGAGAAGAGACGAGGATCCGAAGCTACCATCCTTGAGAGGCGTGGCAGAGACAAGATGCGCCAGCCCGGGCCCAGCAGCCAACGTGCCAACCAACCAGCAGCCATACAGCCAGCGTGGCAAAGGCAAGCCGCAAAGCCGTGCGTTTGATCGGGATTTAGATTGGATTGTATCTGTCCTGTGGGTTGGGTTGGGTTGGAAAGGGCGCGAGATTGAGGAACGGCGGGGAAGAAAGGCCGGAGTAGGCGACGAGATGAGATGAGGCAGGAATTTGCATTTTGCTACTCGAGGGGTGTGTGTTTCTCGCAATAACGTAAAACGGGGAAAAGGGGGCACGCCGCACGCCGCACGCCGCACGCGTGGTTCTCCACGAGTAGGTCAACCAGAACTGGGCCCTCCATTGCAATTAGTTCGTAAGGTGTCCGTAAGGTAAGGTATCCGTAGACCTTCCAGGTTGCCAGAAAGATGGAAAACCCGCGGATGGCATGATTCAGATGGTGGGTGCAAGGAGACGATCGGAGGCTATTGACGGGTGCGTACCTTACAAGGACCGGATGAGGCGTCTATCAGAATGGGGGAGGAGGTGATGGTGGCTGATTTCCGAGGCTTCCTTCCCCCTCCCTCCCCCTCCCAGCTCGACGTCAACCTCATTCCCACGGGAAAGGTGCAGCTGAAGGGCTAAGGTACGAACAACTTTTCTTTACCTTGCGTTGACACTTTTTACTCGAGGAAAGTCAGTTGGGTATTTCCAGCTTTACCTTATTGCTTACCCTTTCGCTCACCTTATCTTGCGCAGCCTACCTTCCTCACCTTGGGTAGGTAGGTACTAGGTAGGTAGAAGTTCCTTGTTCCTTGGGAGGGCAGGCACCTTCCATTGCCTTTTCAGTCGGGACAAAGGTAACCGTTCCTTCCTCGTTCCTCCCAGCACCCGCTTGACATGGCCGCAACTTCCTCAGCCCAACTTCATTCCCGCTTTCCACCTCATGCTACCTTACTAGGTACCGTGGCTTAAGCAGGTGTCAAGATGCCACAATTTATAAAGGCAAAGGAAAGAGTCACGGATGGGGTGGAAGAGCAAGATTCAACCGTCCCCAAGGTCAGCGAGGCAGGAAGGGCCATTCTTGTCGTCGGGGGAAGGGGGGGTCTGCCGCTTTGCAGCTGTCCGGCACTAATGTACTTTATGAGGCAGGGACGAGCAAGCACTGTAATGGGACCGCACTGGCAGGACAGAACCAGAACCAGGACCAGCACCAGCACCAGCACCAGCAGGGAGGTACCTCCGTCATGTACTTTATTCACATAAATCGCCCAACCTGCCCCCGTTCCCTTTCCTCCTCTTCTGACCTTTCCCTCACTTCTCTGCTGCTTCCCTTCCTGCTGTCCATCGTCTGATTTCAATGGCATGGCCCTTCTTTGCAGTCTTCGTTTCTGCTCTTTCGCGGCCCTTCACGCCGTTCATACCGGCATTTGCTGATCTGGAAACGGTAGCCCCTCCTAAGCCTTCACCACCGTTTTCCCACCGTCGGGGTCTTGTAAGTCCTAACAGTTGGATCGAATCACAGCAAAACGGCACATTCGACCTCGAAAAAGTGACCGACTTGGCCAGAAAAACGAAAAGGACGCGAATCCGACCGAGTGAGGGAAATTTGGGCAAGCCTCGCTCTCACCAAAAGCATGCCGATTCAGCAAAGGACGCAGAGGGCAGACTCCCTCCCACAAAGGGTCGAAACAGTCATGGCCTGTCTGGGGCCACTCGACGGACGGGGTCGACCGGGGTGCTTGGCCGTATCTGGACCGAGTGGGCGAGAATCTCCAACCCGGCGATTACGATGAATGGCCAGGTCTTCTGGCTTCATTCTGTAAGGTAGCCAACACAGCTCCTTCTCCTTTTGACGGGCCGCAAAAACATCAAGCCAAAAAATGGCGAGAAAACCCGGACAATTTGGACCCCAATCGACCCGAAAACCCAAGCACCGCCGCGACACAGAACAGCAAACTATCGAGCGCAGGCACGAGCAAAAAGTCTTCCAGGACCAGCCAAGCGGGCCATGACCGTAACGGGGCCGGCACGGGGCCAGGCCAAACCACGCCAGACATGGGATCCCGCCAAAGAAATGACGAAACAACCCTGAGAGCAGCCTGGACCCTACCGCAACCGCTACCGCTACCTACCTTACCGTGGCACCATGTCAGTCAAGATTTTCAATACCTCGTCTGCCACTGTGTAAATGCCAACTGGAGACCGCCGCAAATGTCGAGCAATTCTTTTCTTGCATCTGCCGACTAGCCAAAGAGCGGCAATGAACAAGGCCACTGTCGTCCATAGTGACAACCGTGTAACGAGGCCAGTCTGATGACCGCAGCCATGGCTGCCCGACCACCACTTGCGCCGGGGTTGAGAGATTCGGACGGGGATGGATGGCCGCTTCGACCTGAGCCATGTCACTGGGAAGGATGCACCTTTACCGCATTAGCTTCTTTGGGGCTTCACTGGCGGGGCATCCTGCAGCAATTAACCATGGACAACGAACGACAGCGGCAGTTCCTACTCTGGATGCACCATTTATTACTCGAACGACAACGTTGACATTGCGCGCCAATTCGTCTACTTTTTCCTTTCCTCAGCTTGTTTGCTTCCTACAGTTAGCAATCCATGCAGCCTCGACTTTTCTCTGCTATCTGTACGAGGCAAGGCCATCCCCACTTACAACAGACGCCGCCGAGTTCTCACACCCCCTACAGATGTGGTGGTGAAAGGGAAACTCACAATCACGCGCAGTCAGAGATTGACGTGCGACGTAGTACGCCTTGCTAACCTTGACTGCCTTGGCACCGGGTCACGTTGGGTCTGCCACATCTTCGTTTCTTCGTTCACGCACCGCCGTACTCGCCGGCCTGCAATTTATCGATCTGGTCTCCATGGTATTACATTCCTGTACGACGTCAGCAACACCTAACGGTGTAAGCGCATTTTCTCTTGTGTGACGGATCTTCACCTATCGTCTTCCCATCCGGGAAGCTAACATTACCTACTATCTGATATTGCTGAGTTCACAGAATGCCGTCGCTAGCCCCTTATCGAATGGCGAGCATTTCCGACCCTTGTTCCTATCTCATCCTCTGGCGATCTGAGCGGACTGTCCAGTTGAGGCGAGCTTGCCCGTGGACGGCGATACCGACTTTCGAAAAAAAAAAAAAAGCCTAGGACAGGACAGCTCAACAGTCCTATGTTTTTGATCAACCTATGGCATTGGTCTATACATCATCACGTGGCCACTTTTCCAAGCGGAAACCATTGCACTCGAGATCCACCCAACGCCATTGCGATGTTGGAGGCGAAGGAAGGCAACACCAGCCCTGGTCTGGTATCTCTGAATGCCAAGAAGTCTTGGAACAAGTTTCGAGGATTATGAACAGGTATCGTGGAGGCAGGAAACTACGACGAGTTCCCCTTGCCGCTCTGCTGATGCTGGAAACGATGGTGAATGGAGGGCGGGACTTGAACAAGGCCGCACGGCACTATCTCGGATTGGTGGCTCACACAGGGAGAAAAGAGACGTTCACCGTGAGTGGCAACTCGCGATGGGGACCAGCGCAGATGATTTAGGGGACCATGGCATCGAAATGCTCACTGAAAGTTGACACCCGACGAAGGAGTGTGACATCGACAACAACGGCTTTAGTTCGCGAGCCCGATGCAGGATGAGCAGCATTTCTGCCAGAGGCGAGCGAGGTGGGGCGACATGGGAAGTGAGTGAGAGTAATACACAGACGATAGGAGGTGGACACCAATCTGGTAGTATCTGGTGGGAAAACACTCGACTTTACTAACAGAAGACGTTGACTTCTGATCTTTTGTTTAACAGAAGCGTCTAATTGGCTCCTCGGCAGACTCCGGACCAAGGGTTCCACCGAGTTCAAATCGCGCTAGTCCATGAATGGAAGAGAATCGCGTCGGCGGATGAAACCAACGGAGCACCAGCACAGCCCCCCCGACTCTTTGCTTGTTTGACGAGACTGGGACTTGACAGACACGGCAGCACCAGGAGGACGGACAGGACACTCTCACTCGCTCGCATTCGCAGCTCAGTTCACAGTTCCACAGTTTGCAGTTCATCCACACTCCCTTTCCAAACCACGACTCCCAGCTCATCAGTGTTCCAAGCTGCAGCAGTCTGCCTCTGATTCGGGACGCCGCCGCCGCCAACAAAGCTGCTTTCTGTCGTCGCTTTTTGAGCAGCATCTCTTAGGTAAGACCAGTCGCCTCTCTATCTCTCTCATTCTCTTCTCAGCCTTTCTGTTGTACTGTCGCTGGCCGCTTGCCACCCCCCATCGCTTTTGCTTTGAGGCTTTCTGCTTGTTCTGCTGTCTGTCCTGGTCTGCCCCGACCCGAAGCTGTACTGCCTCCCTCCGCCGCCGCCCCGAAAGTCGTACCCTTTTTTCCCCTTTCCCAATCCTCGCACCCCCATCCCGATCACCCCGGGCCGCCGATAGAGTTGTAAGTCCTGTTTCGATCATCTCGTGACCTTTATTTGATGCGATGAGATCTCCTTTTTGATGGTTTGGTACCTGCCGACGTGGTTGCCGATGCCTGTGGTTGTGCGAGTTCGCGATCCTGGGCACTCTGCATGTTTCGCATCGCCTCTGCCTTTTTTTTTTTTGGCCCTTTTCCCCCTTTTGCTACTACCTTACCTTGTGTTCCTTGCGCGCTTCCCAGCCCGTATCTGGCTAGTCACTTGCGATTAATCTAAGCTTACAAGACGCTTCCTCTTCTTCGTCTGTCTCATGGATCTCGGGGTCGCTCTTGGCTTGGCTGTGTTGCGTTTCTCGACTCATGCTCCCTCTGCCTTGCCCAGAATTTTTTTTTCCCCCTTTGCCTTCCCTGGGCGCCGCCGCCTTCCTTCGCAGTCCCTTCACAGTCTCTCCACTCCAGCCTCACCCCAAAGGCCCAACCAGCTGCCACAGACTGCAGTCACTCGTGGTCGACTCAGGCCCCTACTGAGGAAAGGACCGGGCTGTCCCCCCCAAACCGGCGCCAGTCGTGCCCAGCCTAGCGCACCTCAGCCAAAAGCGGCTGGCTCCACTGCTGATTTCCCAAACACCTGCGACTCGTCCGCTCGCTCGTTTCCCCCAGCACCACCACGCACCACGCACCACGCACCACGTCCAATCCACCACACACAACCGCGACGCGCGACAAGTCTGCATCGCGACAAGCCGCTGCCGTGTCACTCCCCATCTCATCAATTTGCTGCTCCATTTCAATGGCCCTTGGCTTATTTCGCTGCAGTCGCTGATTTTCCCAGTAATCGCTCGATGGGTCGCGCGAGCCGACCTCAACCATGAGCACCTGGATGAACGAGGCCGCGGTCCCCAACCACAATGGCAACGGCTTCCCACACATGAACGATCCCAACGCGGCCGGAGCCATGATGGACCCCTCCGCCTTCATGGGCAGCCCTGCCCATTTCAATCCGGCCCAGTTTGCCAATCCTCAACAAGCCCAGCAGGCCCAGCAACAACAGGTTCAGCAGCAACAGCAGATGGCTGCCATGCAAAATGGCCAAATGCGCAACGCCTCTCCGTCATCCTTCCAGAATCCCGCCTATCAAACAAACCCCGTTATTCCATCGAAACGACCTCGCCCTCGCGAAGACAGCCTCGCCGGCTCACCGCGACAAAATCCCGGCATGTTGCCGACTTCGCGCTCCGAAACGCCCCAGACCTTCCCGGGCTACCAACCCGGTATGCCCCAACAGGCGCAAGGTCAACCCTCGCCGTATCCCCATCTCCAAGCCAACGGCTCTGCGAACGCGACACCATCACCCATCATGGCTAACCAGTTACGACCTGGAAGCGTGCCGCAGCGGGTCGCGACGGCGTCACCACACCCGTTCTCACCCGGTGCGCAACAATTTGCGCCTCAAGCATCACCAAACCCCTCCGAACACAGCACACCACAACCCAACCACTTTATGCAGCAAAACATGCCCAATATGCCACAGGGCTATAACCCAAACTTCAACCCTTCGCCCTCCCCCGCGCGACCCTCCCCTAACCCGAATGCGATGGCGGGCTCTGGCATGATGCCTCAGCAGATGGGACAGATGCCCCAGCAAATGGGTCAGATGCCGAACCAGATGTTACCCCCCAACATGCAACCGCGGAATGCCATGGAACACCAACAGATGGCAGCTTACCAGGCGCGTCTGCAGAAACAGTTGCAACAAGGGACGATGCAGGGAATGCAGAATATGCAAAATATGCAAAACATGCAAATGGCTGCCCAGATGCAGGCTCAGAACATGGCGCAAGGGCGTGGGATGATGCCGAAGCAACCCATGCAGATGCCCAACGGCCAAATGCCCCCGGGCGGCATGAGACCCCAACCCCAGCAGCGACAGATGCCTCGAACTGATCCAGAGCAGTTCATGAAGAGCCTGACCACTTTCATGACCGCCAAGGGCCAACAGCTCGACGCGAATCCGGTCATCGGCAACCGGCCCGTCAATCTCTTGACATTATTCCAAGCCGTGCAAAGCAAAGGGGGTTACAAGCCTACAACCGCTAGTAATCAGTGGCCTCACGTTTCCAACAACATTGGATTTCACCCGGGCCAGATCCCTCAAGCGCCTCAGGTGTTGAAAGAGATATACGAAAGGAATCTGCTCAGGTTTGAGGAGGCGTGGGTTGCGCAGCAAAGTCGGCAACGCATGATGCAACAACAGCAGCAGCAGCAAGCCATGCCAAATCAGCCAATGCCCCCTGGGGCTCAGCCTCAGACAACACCCACAAAGCAGATGTCTCCGCAAGGGCCGATGCCACCCCAGCAGCAGCAAATGATGCAGCCTGGCCAACAGCCACTGCCGCCTCAAGCCCAAACTCCCGTTAAGCAAGGGTCTTTCAGTGGCCAGCCTCCGTCCGTGAACGGTTTTCAAACACCTCAAGCTCCGGGGCCACATACGCCAGCGAGTGCGCAGCAAGGTCATGCTCGGAACAGCTTGTCTCGCAGTGTAGAGCCGACCCCGGGCCATCCTCAAGGCTTTCCTGCAGCTTCTCCGGCGTCCGTCAAGGGTGGGGGACTACCCATGCCGGCGCCTCCTGGACTGGACCAAAACCCCATGGCAGCTTCAATCAAGCCTCGTATGTTGCGGCTAGCCCAAGAATCGGACGAGTACACGCCCAGCGCTCGCCCTCTGGAGACCTATGGCGGTATCAACATCCGTGCTTTCGATCTGAAGGGCCTGGAGCTCCAGGGCTTGAAGCCCGACATTCCACCACAATACGAACTTGGATATGTAGATTTGCATGCTCTCACACGAAGCTTGGAGTCTGGAATCCACGGCGAAATACGGCTTGCTCTTGACACCCTCGCCACTGTCACTGCCACCCAACACCAGGCCTTGCATATTCACCTCAAGTATTGCGAAGAGCTCATTGAAGCACTGCTGGAATGTGCCGAGGACCAGTTGGACTTGCTTGTCGAAAACACGGAAGAGGCCTCCTCAGACATTCAGCTGACTCCCTACGAGGACGTAGCTCGTGCCTGCTGGACCGATAAAATGGGCGTGAAGGAGCTGCCCAAGTTCGGATCCCCCGAGTACGAACTTGACCGTGCTGTCGACCGATTTTCCTGCGTCATCACTATTCTACGCAATCTTTCCTTCCCAGAAGCTTCAAACGAGAACCACCTGGTCCTCGGCGACGAGCTGGTCATCAAGTTCCTCTGCGCCGTTATAAGATACCTTGGCACGAGGACCATGTTGTTCCGGACAAGTGCAAACACTCTGGAGTTTATGAAAGACGCCATCATCCTCCTCTCCAACATTGCAGGCGCAGTCGAGATTCCTGGCCGTGAGCAGGCCCTGTGTCTTTTGCACTTTCTGTTAGCATTCGCACCAGCACCTGGACCGGCCGTCGTGGACAATAAGCTCTACTTCCCACCCTACCAACCTGGGGTTCATACATACACTTTCCACGCCGTTGATGCGCTGGCTAGGTTCCTGGCTCGTGACGAGCCGAATAGGACGCATTACAAGACGCTCTTTGCCATGGAAGCCAACAGTAGTCCGCCATACGACTTGTTGACGCGCTCATTTGCTCTGGCTACCACGGTCATACCCATCCAGTCACCAGAATCCATCGTCGCGCACATCGAGGTTCCTGAAAAGTTCTTCAGGCTCGTTGAAGACCGGAAGCCTTGGCTGATGCAGGGTCTCCTGGCTACAGATATCATCGCATCTCTCGCACCCGGATATGAGACAGGGGTTGCGAAATCATGGTTATCTAGTGGCAATGGGTTCGCTCAATCTCTTTACCACTTTGTACAAGTGCTTGGGGCTCAATTCGAGCAGCCATGGCAAACGCGGAGTGGTCAAGGTGACCCCGCAGGCCGAGACACTGGGCTGGTTTACATCGCAACTTCTGGCATCTCAACCCTTCGGAGGTTGGCAGAGAAGGCACGGGATCCCAACGACCCCAACTCGTTAGTCCCCGCGGACTCATTGCCGTCCGAAGAAAGCCTTTTCAAGATGATGCTGATGCGATCCCCCGAATGGACAAAGGACGGGGTGATGAGAAATCTTGCTGCGTATGCCTCGCTGGAGTCATAGGCATCGCTATGACTTTGGCATGTATGGATTAAAGTAGGAGTTGATTAAAAGAAAGATCCAAAGTGAGGGTTTCTTTACCGGGCGGACTTGACGATGGGCCGAAGAATAGACCGAAGCTGGGTATCTGCACCTGAAGAGGCGTGTAAAGTTATACATGGCGCGGATTGTACAAGTGTTGTAACCAAAAAGACTTTTGGCGAGTTGACGGGATTTTACTGGGAGCATGGAGCCAGGCTGCTTGGTCAATGGGCCGTCTTTCATAGGTGTATAAATGACGCGGAAATGCAAGAATACCTCAAAGATCATATTTAAACGCAACTGGTACCAAAGACGTGACATGTGAGGATCTCGATTTTGTGGCTGTAAGGCTTCGGCATGGGTTTTCTCCATTGAATCTTGTTGGTCACAACGCTTTGGATATGACATGTGCGAAGAGTCCTTAGTGAACCTATGCTCTCTTGAGAGCTAGTAGTACATTGCCACATGTGTAAATGAATGGCGCGGTATTGTACCAAACATTTCAGTCCGTGCCCTCAGAATAGAACGTCGGCCAAGTGACCGTTCCTGGTCCAGGTAGGTGGTATGATACATTTCGTGATTGTACAACTCGGCCTCGATGGGCAGAGAACCGCATCCCGAGTTTCCCAGTATTTACGCCTTTATGGAAGGTTTACCCAATGCGCTGGTCAGCCACTCTTTGACCTTTTCTACATGGAAGCCCTGAGATGTTGTTAGATAGGGGGAAAGACAGTAGCTAGAGCCAGGGGAGCTGGGATCCTCAAGGCTTTGTCTCCGTGTAATCTCTAGCTACAGAGTAGGGAAAAGGGCTCCGACGTACCTTGATCTGAACTTGTCCCGTCACGGGGTTCAGCTTGATATCGTCTTCAGCGAAACCCGCCTCGCGGGCGAGGTCCTGGGCAAAGGCCTTTTTGTTTCCCTCAATCTTCTTGATAATGGTGAACTTGGATGAGCCGGCGGCCTTTGTTCGCGCGTAAACGGGGAAATGGTTCGAAGGGGTGGGTGATATGAGGTATGGTCTGGCTGTAGTTCTCGTCGGTGGCGTCGTCGTCGTCTCGGCGGTGGCGGCGGCGGATGTTGAGGAGAAGCGTATTGACGGGAGGAAAGCGGATGTTCTCGGCGTCAGGAGGGAGGTGAGTTGAAGCTGGGGCCTGGCGAGGGCGGCGCTGCTGGTTGCTGAGCGCATTTTGAAGATTGATGCGGAAAGATCGAATCACTGGTATTGTTGAAGGCCACAAAAAGGGGTGGAAGAGGCTTTGGGTCGGGCAGGGCTCCGTTGGCTGGATCCTAGCAGTGACGGAGATCTGGTACAGAGGTTTCCGCTCGTGAAGGGATTCGCGCCGGTTGAAGCTCGGATCAACTTTGGCGTGTCAAGGGACCGTGCACTCGACGTTGAACTCACCACCCCCACAATTTTGAAGAGATGCAGATGCTCTTATGTAAGCGACCACCATAGCTGTCCTCCCAGAGGTGGTTTAGGTAAGTGCCTAGGTGCCTACCCTTGCGGCGGGAACGGGAAAACCCCGGGACGAAGCCCCCCACCAAACCTGCCCTTTGGCGAAAATGCCCAAAACTCTTTCTGCCCCTCAGCGGAAGGAAAAGATTGAGCAAAAGACGATCGCGCAGACCCCGAACCGGACGGCCGACGACACCACACCCCCCCTCCTCGTCCTACTCCCCTCAGGCGACGACTCCATACTTGGATTTTCACGATCCGGTAGCATCCAACTCTGAAAGGTCCAACGCTCTCTGACCGACAATACAACCCACACTACGAACCCACCCCGAAAAATACACTCGCCCAACATGGAGGAAGTCTACGCCGCCCTCGGCGAAGAGAGCATCCTGCCCAAGCTCGCGTCGCAGCTGTCCCGCCACCTCGTCTTCCCGCTGATCGAGTTCGAGGCCGGCCGCGCCGAGGAGAAGGGTGACGACGACAAGGCCCGCAAGATCCTGGCCGGCAAGATCAAGCTGCTCGAGGACACCAACATGGCCGACTACGTCGCCCAGCTGTACCAGGACCTCAATGGCGGCGCCGAGGCGCCCGCCGAGTACGCCAAGAAGCGCAACGAGGTTATCGCGCAGCTCGAGAAGTACGAGCAGGACACGGCCAAGATCTCAGAGCTGTTGACCCGCGAGGACGTCGTCGGCGCCCTCCGCAGCGACAAGGTTGCCAACTTGGAATTCTTGAAGAAGGATCACGATGTAAGTGGCCTGTGTCTTTGGCTTTGATAGCGTTGAGGGATCTCACGGGGGGCTCGTATACTAACGTTTACGAAAACCAAAAGGTCACTATCGAGATGGTCAACGCCCTGTACGAATTCGGCCAGTTCCAGTTCCGCTGCGGCAACTATGGCGCGGCAGCCGAGCTGCTGTACCAGTTCCGCGTGCTGTCTACCGACAATGACCGCGTCGCCTCGGCCACATGGGGTAAGCTCGCTTCCGAGATCCTCACCACCAACTGGGACTCCGCCGTCGAGGAAATCATGAAGGTCAAGGAGAGCATCGACAGCAAGCTCTTCAACAACCCGCGCGCACAGCTCGACCACCGCACTATGCTGGTCCACTGGGCCCTCTTCCCCCTCTTCAACCATGAGGCCGCCCGCGAGCCCATTTTGGACCTCTTCTTCTCCGCCGCCTACATCAACACCATCCAGACCGCCTGCCCGTGGGTCCTGCGCTACCTCATCGCCGCTGTCATCACCGGTCGCTCGCGCTCCCGCAACTCCTCCCTGCAGGCCAAGCAGATGAAGGATATTATCCGCTACGTCCGCCAGGAGGCCTACGAGTACTCCGATCCCATTACTGAGTTCGTCTCGGCCCTGTACGTTGCCCACGACTTCAACGCCGCCCGCGAGGCCCTTCACAAGGCCGAGGAGGTCTGCCGTGCCGACTTCTTCCTCATGTCGTCGTCCGACGCCTTTGTCGACGCCGCGCGTCACCTCATCTGCGAGAGCTACTGCAAGATCTTCTCCCGCATGAACATCCGCGACCTGTCCGCCAAGCTCGGCCTCAACCCCGACGACGGCGAGAAGTGGATCGTCAACCTCATCCGCGAGACACGCCTCGACGCAAAGATTGACAGCCAGGAGGGCACCGTCATCATGAATCACCCGCCCAACAACGTCTACCAGCAGGTCATTGAGAAGACAAAGGGCGGCTTCTTCCGCACCCAGGTGCTCACCGCCGCCGTTTCCAAGTAGTATTTGGCATCGTCGACGCAGCGGCAGCAGACGTCCTGGGGTTTCGGAGAGGGCAGCAGAAAGCTAGCTTAATTTGGGCCACGAATCACATATGAAGACGATTACCGCACAAAAGATGGGAATTTTTTTGGTGATCAAAAAGAAAGAAGGGGGAGAAACCCTGGTTTCTTTTACATGATACGATAAACTTACACTACCCAATACTTGACACCAGAAAGAATCTTCCTTCCCCCCATCTGAGGGGGTGGGAATTTCCCCCCTTCCATGGCGACGAAAATTTGGTGGAAAAGTGTTTGTTGCTGGGGTGGTGGTGCGGTAGGAGGAGGGGGGGGTTTTCAGAAAAAAGAATCAAGAGGTTTTGATGATTACATACAACACACAGAAATCCCCGAGGCTTCTTTTTGCATTGGCACGGCGTTCAGGGCAAAAAACCGGGGGGTTGGAATCCCCCCCCTCTCCACAACACGGACTGGTGAAGATGAAGTCAGGGAAAGAGGCCAGAGAGAAGGGGGAGACAGAGAGGGGGAGGGGGGATGAAGTAGATTCCACCGCTTTTATTGAAATGTTACCACTTTTTTAAAAAAAAATCAATGCTGTATTTTCTCTACGTGATTGATATGGTCCCTGAAGCGGAGGTTTAAGTTGGCTTCTGGGCGACTACCATGAAAGTTTTGACTGATGCGAAAGACTGGCAGGATTCACAAGATATATTGAGAGGAGGAAAGCGGAAGCAAGGAAAGACGTGGACCATGTTAAATCCCCCAGCCTCAATCCTTGACTGTGCTGGCAAGGGGATTCCAAACATCATTCCAATGCCATGAGGATACCACGTCGACACCATATTATGTATGCACCATGCCATTCTTCTAGGTCCGACATCTAGCCTTGTCAAGTCCTTCTCCTGTGTAGTCTGATGTTTGATAAATCTACTAGGCACGTAGCATCAACAAGAATTAAACAGCATCACAAGCCAACAAAGCAAAGAAGGTGGAGAAGTCGAGAATTAATAGGAGGGATACCTAAATACAACTCCATGTTCATGAGACGTTTCTTCATAACGATAATCTAACCCATGCTCTCTCTCTCTCTCTCTCTCTTTTACCACACAGACACAACCTCAAAGACTTCGCAGACTCTGCGCCGCCCCGTCCTCGCGACCAGCCATAAACACACGTCCCTTGAGCTCCTCAACAACACTATCACGCATCCACCATTCCTGATTCTTCTCCCCCTCCGCACGTCCACCACTACCGCCACGGCCACGGCCGCCGCCGCCAGCCCTGGCAGCCTTGCCCTTAGCCCACGAGCCCCCATCAAGCTGCGCACGTCGATCCGCCCACTCGAAAAGCATCTTCAGTCCGAGAAGCCGCTCCCGCGAAGACCCATCCATACTCCGCTCCAGCACGAGACGAGCGTCCACCGCGGATCCCGAGGTCTCGCTAGCTGCGCCCTCGGAGCTCGTGCTTCGATCCAGGACGGTGGCGCGCTCAGCGTACGTTAGGTCGCGGAGGGCGTCGAGGCCAAAGATCCATTCTATCGGATCGCGAGCCCCATTGTCTGTGACGTCGGCCAGCGCGTCTCGTCCGAGCGCACGAAGCGTCGACGTGAAGGGGGCTTCTTGCGCGGGACGCCGGCGGAGGTAGAGGCTTTGATTCTGCTTAAAAGCGTCGACGAGCGAGGGGTTCTTTTCAAAGTCGATTTCGAGGTCCCAGAAGGCTGGGCCCGCGTCGGTGCGAATGCTGGAAATGTCGGCTAGGGGAGGTAGGAGGCAGGGCGTATTTCGGATGACGACAACATCCTCTGCATTGTCGGCTCCGGTTGTTTTTCTGCGGATCTCTATGGGGGCTGTTATAGGCTGGCCCGTCGCAACGTCCTTGGCGACAAGGCAGCGAGGGTCGGTGGCAAGAACCCAAAAGTGGCGGAAGGCTTGGAGGTGAGAGCGGTTGTCCATAACTGACGTGGGGAAGATTGGATAGAATGCGATTAGCAGACTGGCGATGGCCATGTTGCTCGTGCCAAAGGTGGCGGTTCCGCACCCGAGGAACAGAGATCCAATGGCCAGATGGGCGGCCAAGTGAGAGCCGTAAGGAGTGTCGGGATCATCGCGGCCGTGTAGCAGACGAAGGCGACGGAGCACGACAAGATCGCCAGTGCCGGCCATGACTATGGCGGCGGAGAGCGCGAGAACGTCCTGGCACATGCGCGCGTTGGATCGGGCGAGCTCCTCGTCGTACATGGGATAGTCGTGTGGAGGTGGCCGCGGCGTGGCGGTAATTCGAGATATGCGGATAAAGTGGTCGAGGTAGTGTATCAAGAGATCTCGTACCCTCGTAGACGCGCTGCCTGCATAACGCAGCGCGATAGAGAAGCAGATTCCGGTGATGATGCTGAAGAATGGTAGGTCGGTACTCTTCAGCTTGGTGGTATTGACGAGCTTGTACCGGCCACGGTACGCCTTGGGAAGGCTCTCCAAGATCCATTCAAACTTTGGTTGAATTTCGTTCCACATGATCAGGTTCTTGGCGACGGTACGCAGCAACAGGATATCCGGCCGTATATAGTCGAATTGGACGATGGACTCTGGCACATCAATCTTCCTGGCCACGATGTGGTCCTCCGATTTCATGAAGATCAGGGCGAGTGCCATGACCGCGCCAGCTGCTGCTCGGTCAAGAACGTGTACCATTTCGACCTTCTTTGTGGCTGTAGCTATGGTGATGAGGCTTTCCGTGAGCCTCAAGTCGTGCAGCCCACGGAGATCATTCCCCTTGCCGAGATTGATGAGGCCAAGGGAGAAGCCAGCGGCAAGCCGGTAACACTCGCTTCGAAGGGGCTCATCTTCGTCTTCCTCATCCATGTGTTCAATCTCAGACATCATGATCTCGCTCATGCGTCTGTGTTGACTGTTGCAATAGAGAAGACCGATGCCCATGATACCTGTAGTCTGGGTTAAGGGGGGTAGATTCAGCTCTGCAGCGCCTCGGGGCAGCATGCGAGTAACATGCACCGAAAGGAGACGAGTGATGAGCGAATCCATGGTGCCCATATAAGATGCAGCCAGACCCAACAAGAGACCGACCGAGGTCATGGTGTGTTTCGGAGTGAGGTACTTGAAAGCAACCCATTTTGCTATTCCCTTGAGGTGTCCATTCAGGCCCAGGGCGAGCAGAAAGCCTGCGTGTCGATTGCTGAGGTCGTGGCCAGGCTTATTGTACAAGATCCAAGACGTGTCGATACCTTTGGCTTCCGGAGAAATGGCAAGTCCGGCCGCCACACCCTGGTGGAAGAATCCCCAGCAGACTTTTTCTTCAGTGAAAAGCGCCTTGTCGACTCCGACGGTGACATTTGTCGGACGGACGACACAGTTGAGGTTGAACCCGGACACGTGGAATTTCTGCGTCAACAGCGGGTATCGTAAGCTGTAATACAAGAGCGCTCGACCTGCAGGAATGGCCAGAGTGCCCGTAGCTATTCTGGACACAAGTTCCTTTTGTCTTTCGAGGTATTCACTCTCCGACCACGCCGCGTCGGCCTCAAGGCGGACAACACGAGCTCTGTGAGTTGAGAGAAGATTCTGGGCCTCGTTGAGGCGACGGTCCTCTTTAAATAACGCTCGTATAACAGCTTGTCGCTCAGTGCCCTCTCCTTCGTCGTAGCCAATGTTGTTGTACTCATCGACACTGTGACAGATAGTTTGGTAGTCCCATGACGCATTATGCGTCGGTGTCTGTAACTGGTCAGTACAGTATATCAATAAGGAGTCTTGCGGAAATACTGACAAGAATGTTGGCGCCGCTCTTCTGCAATTTTTTAATCGGTTCCAGAACCATACTGATATCGCCCCGGTTGACGAGCTCCAACAAGTCCTTGGGCCATGAAGCAGGCGGCCGAGCTTGACATCTAGCGATTGAGTCTTTCAGCGGTGCAAGTACGGCCTCTGGAAGGGTTTCGAGAACCCGATTGCTAATGCCCGCAGCGTGCATGGCTTCGACCATGTCGGCGGCACTGCTTTTTGGTGTGAGCTTCTCAAAGAGCCTCTTGAACATCAGCGTCCTTGGCGTGATGGAGGCCCATCTGGAATCCTCGAGATGCTCTTGATCCGCCTTCATGTTTTGGGAGTGATAAAGGTTAGCTAGTGTAAGATAAGGGTGGTATTGACCGGCAGAAAGACAAGTCTGTATCCAGTGAAAGATGTCAAAGTCAACACCTGAGGGTTGCGTAAGAGGGACTTCGAGGCGGAGCTCTGTTTTGGTTGTTAGCACCTCATCATATTCTCCAACAGTGACTTGCTGACCTGTATCATAGCGAGACTCCAATTCTTCTTGAATTCCCAGCTCATACACTGCAACAAAGTCGTACCATCCCAGCCAACGGGCGATTTGACACATGATCACTCGAAGTGGCGCCGTCCCCGGGAAGGCATATTCGGGTGTCATGATCTCCAACTTTTGTTCCTCAAGGAGAAGATGGAGGGCTACGAATACGTTCCAGGCGGCATTACCACGGTTCTCTGCGCTGCGTTGTTGCCCAGTTGGCAGGTATCCATTGGCGCCGACGGCCTTCTCGCCAAGCGGGGACGCCAAATATCCCTTGGCGTACTGGATGTGAGTAGACATGAACCTGGTATCTCTAAGACCAGGATTGGGCGAACTGTCAAAATCTTCACTGCCATCTTCACCGAGGGTCCAATCCCAGCCCCTTGTCTGCTGCCAACTTGGGCAGCCCAAAGCATTAGGAGTTTCGTATAAGTGCAGAGTGTTCCAGTCCTCGATGTCCTGTATTGACCCGAATGAGCCAGATTGGGGTCGCCTTTTACCTCTCGAAGGTTTCGTGAGAGATTCTTGTGCAGTGCTGATCTTCCCCAACGCGAGATAGATGGACAGAAGCTGAATCACCAGTGCTGACCACTCAGCATCAGCGACTTCGATCTCTTCGCTCTTCAACCATATCATGATATGCCACCAGCCAGGAAACATCTTCTCCGCGTGAGATGCGGGAAGAATGCTCCGACAAGCATCGAGCACTTTCCGCACCTGGTGATTCCGAGGTTGAAGCTGAATTTGAATCTGATGGTGCCTGTTCTCACCATCAACCATATCAACGATACCCCTCGCTTTGGAGTATTTGAGCGCTCCGACATTGCCGTTAGCGACTTCAATGTTCTCAGACTTGCGATGCCGGACGTCCCTGTCGACAACTCGACCGCGATAATGCAAACTTCTCACGTTTTCCAGCGACATTGGAGGCAGGTTGATGGGTGTGATTTGACTCCATGGCGCCTGTATACTGAGTTCCCTGCGACCCTCATGCCCTTCAGACAGGATGAGGATAACCGAGATGTCGCCGTCAGTCACTTTGCAAGAGTCCACAACATGATGAGCTCGCCGAAGGGCGCCGCAAGCTAACCTGACGGGGTCTTCTGATGAGGTTGAGCTTTTGCCCGGTTTAGGTGGAACAAGAAACCGCGGCCCTCGTTGGAGGTCGATTGTGAGGAGCTGCAGTCTCTTGTCGAGAGAGTCTTGGATTCCTACAAGCAGCTCACCGCGAAGAGGATCGTCTACGGCGAATTGCGGCGCAGTCAGGATGAAGACCTTGCAATTCTCACGAGCAGGCTGTTTGGATAAGGAATACCGCACGTTAGAGTTGTCCAACGAAATGGACTGGATCTTTGTGAACATCATCTCTTGGGAAAGACCATCGAAGACGTGGTCATCGAGGCCCATGTTGTGAAAACCCTCGAAATCACCACCGGCCCGCAGTTCTTCTAATACGCCGTCGATTGGAGCCTCTAGCAGGCTGCCGAGACTCGGATGGATGGTCTGATTGTGGTTGAAGGAGCTGAAGCCGCCACTTAGTCTAGGCCCCTGACTACCATAAGACTCGATTCGCTTGGATCCGCCATGTGCAGGGCCAGCCAAGGGCTGCTCAGAGAAGACGGAGCGTTCTTGAGAAGCGGAGAGATCGGCGCGAGCCAACATCGAACTCACTCGCCGCGACTGCCTCCGATTGGCGCCGGATTCCTTGTCCAGGTCGAAAGAGGAAACCAAGTCCAGCGGCTTCTCAACTCTGTCTGGTTTTTCGATCTTTTCACTTTTTCTGGATCGTTTCCCAGGCAAAGGCGCACCGAAGCTCTCCCGAAAATTTGTCTGAACTGGCGTCGAGGCACCACTCGCGGCGAAATGCGGCTGCATGGAGCTACGGCGACGCTCTGCCCGGCTCTTGTCCTTCTTAAGGCGGCCGATGAAGGGGTCCTCGTTCTTGACATATGTCACTCTCCACACTGCGTATGTGCTGGCTTCTCGGTTGATGGTTACGGCGAGAATGAGCGGCTCGGCGTTCTTGGTGTTGGGTGCACCTGGATGCTTGATCTCCTCCATGTGCAAGATCTCTTCTGCGGGATCCAGAAAGCATGGCGCTCTTGGCGTACTCTTCCTCCTCTTGTCTCGGGCGGCATCATCTGGACGAGCGACGATGAGTCCCAACTCTTGCAAGGGATCTAGCAGGCACACCAGGCGGGGCCAATGAGAGTCTGGTTGTTCCAAAGGACCCTCCCACATGTTGCCGAGGGTCGAGCTTAGCCTCAACGGCAGCGACTTGGGCTTGTTCAGGCCCTCTACGGAGAAGACGGTATGTTGGGAGCTTTGAGGTGAAGTGACGGTAATCTGAGAGGAGACGAAGGAGTTCGGCGGTACTTTTGGGAACTTGAGGGAGACAGGCGCGGTGGTATCGCCTCGCTGCTTGCGCTGGATAATGACACCCTGAGGCGCAGCGCAGGCGGCCTCGACCTCGAAAGGCATGTGGACGACATGGCTCGTGCCGGAGAGGAAGTAGATATGGGCTTGTGTGCGTAGGAAGACGACCAAGGCTCGAGATAGACGACGGGGCTCGGTCGGCGGGTCGAGGGATTTCCTCTTCGAAGCGCTCTTTTTGCTGTGGTCGGAGGTAGGAAACGACGCGAGCAGAGCCTGGGTGACGGGCTCTTTTTCCAGGTCGAACTTGTACGACTTGCGAAAGACGCCCCCGCGACTCCAAACGACGCAGTTCTTGGTAACCAACAGCTCATCTTCGACCTCGGTCGTGTCGTCGTACTCGCTGTGATCAGGATCGGTCGATATCTCCCAGGCGTACGTCGATGGCGGGGCATCTTCGTGCGTTGCGTGTTGGAGGCCGCTCGGCTGGTGCAGGCCCAAAGATTTAATGGACGCCATTATGATCCCCCATGTGATGGGTTGTTAGGAGAGACGTAGGCCTTGTCAGAGCAGTCCGAGGGGTGGAGGTTCTAAAAAGAGCGGGTTGGCCATCACAGCCTCGGGCAATCGGTGTGTCGTTTGCTTTGTTGAGAGCTCGACTCGGCGGCGACAAGTCTGGTGGTGGTGGTGATGCTCCCTCTTTTTTTCGTTGGAGTCGCGTCCCAGCAGCCCAAGAACGCGAATCAAGGCTCCCGGCACTGCAGCCAGCGACACTGGTCCAACTGGCAGGCTCAATCCACTATATTTTGGGTTGGCGGGTGGGGGAGGGGTATCACACTCGGAGGTGTCTACGCGATTGGAGGACAAGCTCACAGGGACCCACTAAAGTAAGTAGGCACGTACTGTGGTAAGGTAGCACGGTACCTAGGTAGGTAGGCAAGCAGGTGCCTTTCGTCAGGAACAAGCTCCCGCCGTGCCTCAGGCGCAGGGTACCTGTGGAAGCTCCCATCGCTGCTACAGCTCTTCGGGTACGTACCGAGCACACCCTCGTGACGTAGCAGACCAGCGCGCGACAACTCATTGCGAAAGCAGTTAAGCCTTCCTCTCGACCGCACCAGACTGTCACGTCCCTTTAAGGAGCTCCAACTCAATCCAAAGCTCAGGGTAGCTCTGAATCTCGCCTCGCCTCCCTGCATTGCATTTCTCGCTTCGCCAGGCCGAGTCACTGCCTCATAATCCCCGCCTTGGCCCGCCACTCTCTCCTACTTACCAACCAATCGACAATGCCACTGCGAGCCTCGAGGTGACGGTACATCCAGCACAATGACGGACGCTTCCGATCCCGATCGTGATGTCCCTACCGCTGCGCAGAAAGGCAAGGGGCCCGAGGTGGCCGAGACTGTGACTGCGCCGGGAGAATTGGCGGTGGACAAGTCCGAGAAGGAGACGAAGAAGGATGGTGATGGCACGGAGAGTAAGGAGGAAGAAGAGGATTATGAGGACGACGAGGATGAGGATGATGACGACGACGAGGAAGAAGAAGATGACGACGACGACGACGACGACGACGACGACGACGAAGATGATGACGAAGACGAGGAGCCCAGGCTGAAATACGCTCGGCTCACCCAACACCTAGGGCCCATTTACCGCAATGGTGATGCGACCAGCGCGTTCCTCGTCGCGGGTGACAAGATGGTGAGGTCGCCTGTCAAGTGCATACCTATCCGTAAACTGACTGTCAACAGATCATAGGAACGCATAACGGCAACATCCATGTGATCCAACTGCCCATGTTCCAATCTCTCCGCGTATACCATGCCCATTCCGCCTCCATTACGAGCATCTCCATCTCCCCGAACCCGCCTCCGTTACCAACAGCAAGATCCGAAGCGGTGCAGAGACTCGCGGCGGAGGCTGCCGAAAGCGTCGCTAAGCAAAGGCCACCCTCCCGCCAGTCAGGCGCTTCTCCTGCGGCTGCCTCAAGAAGGCCTAAGGATCCTTCTCCTGTACCTAACACGCCCTCGAACAACGTCCACATCGCTACGTCGTCCATGGACGGTAACGTATGCGTGTTCTCCCTCGTAGATACAAAGGATGTCCAGCTGCGAAACTTTGCGCGCCCTGTGCAAGCGGTATCACTCTCCCCCGACTACAAGAATGACCGGACATATCTGTCGGGTGGTCTGGCTGGGCAGCTTATCCTAACGTCCGGAGGCCAGCCGGGCCGAAGTACCTCGACGACCGTTGGAACAGCAGCTGCCACCGCTTCTGGATGGCTTGGTAGTATGGGCCTGGGTACTAACACGGGTAAGGACACGATCCTGCACTCTGGTGAAGGCACAATCAACAATATCAAGTGGTCGCTTTCAGGGAAATACGTAGTCTGGCTGAACGAGCACGGCGTAAAAATCATGCGGTCCAAGTTGCACCTGGAGAGTGCCGACGCTGACGATGCTTGGAAACGCATCGGCCACGTAGATCGCCCCCAAACGGATGAATGGGAAACCATGGCCAGCGTCTGGAAAGGACGCGTCGAATGGATCGACGAGCAAGCCGTCGAGACCGAAGATGGTGAAGTCGGGCGAAAAGACGTTGGCTCAGAGCTAGCATCCGAGGGCTCAACGCAACAAGCATTCTCAAGCACCAAGAAGATTGAGAGGCTCCTAGTTGGCTGGGGAGGGACGATCTGGATCATCCACGTTCACCCAGGGAGTGTTGGTACTGGTAAGCGGGCTGGCGAAAAGTCAATCGGACGCGCCGAAATCGCCAAACAGTAAGGACACTCCCATGCATTCCAAAGCGACTCGATTCTAACACACTCCTAGCCTTCGTATGGATTGCATAATTTCTGGAATTTCGTTATATACCCAAAATCTTCTCCTTGTACTAGCATATGTATTACCGGATGATGATGAAGACAATGAGGACGAGAAGGCTGCCAAGGGCCACAAGTCAAAATTGTCAACAACGTCAGCAAGCAGCGAGCCCTCTGGTGGAATACGACGTCGCCAAAACAATTTACCACCAGAACTTCGATTAATCGACCTAAGCTCGCAAGCCGAAGTCGACAAAGATGGCCTTAGCGTAAGTAGATACGAAAGGCTTTCGTCGGGTGACTACCATCTCGGAGTCCTCCCAGCGCAAAATGCTGCCTCAGCTGTGGCTTCTTCCAAGGGCGCTCTGGAAGCAATCACTGGATTTGGATCAGACATGTGGAATGCCGCTATCAATCCAAGGACGCTCTTTAGCTCTGGCGCAAGTATCAGGAGCGGGAACAGCGGAGACGGTGTCTCTAGCACGCAGGTCCCGAGCTCGGTTGGTGGTGCCCGAAGATCAGGGACACCTACAGTTCACCCCAACCTCATCAAGCCAGGGGTCAAGATCTTTATTCACAGCCCGTTCGATTTCATACTTGGAACGAAGAGGGACCTTGGAGACCACTTGGGCTGGTTGCTGGAGCATCAAGACTACCAGAAAGCTTGGGAACTGCTTGACGAGCACCCCGAGATCATGGCAGCACCCCCAGAGAATCTTCATGAGCTCGTCCCGACAACGCCAGACAAAAAGCAAAGCAGTCAGGAGGACTTTGACGATGCCTCGTCAGTTATGGGATCTACCGGACTGGCAAGACACCCTAATTCCTCGGCCCAGAAGGAGAAGAGACGCATTGGCGAATTGTGGATACGGGAGCTGATCGAGGCAGGTAGTTGGGCTGAGGCCGGCAAGGTTTGTAGCAGAGTCCTTGGTTCCCCAGACAGATGGGAGAAATGGGTCTGGACATTTGCTGGCGCGGATAAGTTCGATGAAATCACGGACTACATTCCCTCCGAGCCGATGTATCCGCCAATCCCAGGCACTATTTACGAAGTCGTCTTGAATCACTACATCCAGGTAGACAAGCTTCGATTCAGAGAACTGCTAGATCGCTGGCCGACCGACCTCTTCGACATCAAGACTGTCACCACGGCCTTGGACAATCAACTCAAGTACCGCGATGTGCGAGAGGATAGCGTCGAAGGGGGCGAGAAGGGTCGCGACTGGAAGATTGTAATGGAGTCCTTGGGACGATTACACGAGGCAAATGGGCGCTTCAGGGAGTCGCTCAAATGCCACATCAAGCTTCAAGATGCGGACTCGGCGTTCCGACTAATTCGCGACAATCATCTCGCCGAAGCGGTCACTGATGACATTCCCGGCTTCATTGGATTGCGAGTGCCCAGCAAAAAGCTCGGTTCCATGGGACCGGACGAACTCGAAGCCGCCACCTCGGAGGCCATTACTCTCCTTGTTGACGAAGCGCAGCATGGTCTCGTCAAGCCTTCCGTGGTTGTATCGCAACTCGAGGAGAAGGAACTCAATCTCTACTTATTCTTTTATCTGCGTGGTTTGTACAAGGGCGAGGGAATTGAGGAGCATTCCGGGGAGACTCGAGACAGGCTTTTGATGGACAGCCAATCCCAAGTTAACGAATTTGCGGACCTGGCCGTTCAACTCTTCGCCAAATACGATAGGGACCTTTTAATGAGCTTCTTGAAATCGTCGACCTCTTACAAATTCGAGAAGGTGAGTAGCAACTTCCCTCTCCCTTGTCTATGGCTACGCGCTAGCTTTGCTGAGGCCTGGTTTCTAAGCTAACGATCACAGGCTGTCCAAGAGTGTGAAAAGTACAGGTACGACGACGAGCTAGTGCATCTGTACTCCAAGACGGGTGAAATGAAACGAGCTCTCTATCTCATCATTGATCGGTTAAAGGATGTTAAGAAGGCAATCGATTTTGCGAAGCAGCAAGATGACCCCGATCTCTGGGACGATTTGTTGAACTACAGCATGGACAAGCCAAGCTTCATTCGCGGGCTTCTCGAAGAGGTCGGAACGGCCATTAATCCCATCAAGCTCGTCCGGCGCATTCCCGAAGGACTTGAAATTGAAGGTCTGAGAGAGGGCTTGAAACACATCATGAAGGAACACGAGATTCAATACAGTATTAGTTCGGGGGTGGCGCGGGTGCTCCGAAGCGAGGTCGCCGCTGCACAAAATGACCTGCGCAGTGGGCAGCGGAAGGGGATCAAGTTCGAAGTCGTCGTTCAATCGACGGATCACGTTGACGTCCAAGTGAGAGACGTTGTGCATCCGCCAGTCAGCGCGGAGGAGGTGGAGGAGAGTTTCTTCAAAGCACCGAAGGCGGTGGAGCAGCCGGGCCATACTCATCAGCCGCCAAAGCCAGGTCACTGTGCTCAATGCCACGAGTCTTTTACTGAATACGAGATGGAAACCTTGGTCGGCTTTGCCTGCGGGCACGTATTCCACCAATCCCATCTCATGGAAATGCTTTACCCGGGCAAGCGACAAGAGGCCGATTTTGGGCTGGCTAGCGAGGAGTCGATCCGGAGCGGGTATCGTGTGGGCTCAAAGGTTACGCATGCGCGATTGCTCAAGGACCGAGTGAGGGAGGGGTGTCCTGTTTGTACTCACGGGGCCGAAGTACCGGTGTAGAGGTTGTAATAGCCATTGACGAAATGCATACGGCGGCGAAGCCATCTTTCAACTTCAGCTTTGTTTTCTATGTATTATATTATTTGCGTGATCCGCCTCCATTCTAGACTTTAATGCCCATTCTGTCTTGCGCTGCGTCCATCGTCAGTTCCGATTTAGTCTTGTTCCGTGTCTTCGCCGGTCAATTGGCCAGGACTTCCGATGCTCTATCTGATTGATGTTGCATATGACAACATCAATTCACAATAAAGTGAGAGTTATTACCGAGCCCGCAAGTTGGCTACGACGTTGAGCAAGGAAGACACGTTCCACTCGATTGGCGGATTCCCAGGGAGCACGGGCCGGCCGGCAGATCATCTCATCCTCCCCCACACGTTACAACACCCCACGCCCACACCCCTTGGTGGCGCTGCCGCGCTGCCGCCGCGCTTGGAGACGACATGTCACTCCTCCATCCTCGGCCTGGAGGTGTGTCGCGGTAACCTCTCCCCCACCTCATGCATTCCGCGACGTATGCAAAGGGGAATCGATATGGCGTACTGGGATACCTACCAGAGTCGGGCTCGAGGGAGGCTGAGTTGTGAGTTGTTACCCGTGTTTCGTTTCCCCCTCTGTTCCCATCCTGTGCCAACGCCTTTTTGGACGGGACGAGCAACCGTGACGCCAAGGCTGACTTGGGTTCAATATACAGGTGGGAGCTGAATAAAACGCAATCCCCTCTGCTGCGTCTCCCGCCAGAGATACGCAACAAGATTTATCGTCTTTTGCTATCCAATATCGGGATCCATGTCCTCCACGATCCCAAGACGGGATCCTTTCACTGCCTTGTCCTCCGACCCGGCGCGAACCCCTGGACATGCGTCCCTACGACTACGACCATGACGAGTACAATGACGATAGACACGACGCCTAAGAATAAAAGGAAGAAAAGGGGGTCCACGCGACATGAACCTGTCCTCGGCCGTGGCCTCACGCTGCTCGTGCTGGTCTGCAGACAGCTGTACCACGAGACGGAGCTGATGCCGTACCGCGACAACGCGTGGAGCTGGCAGACGCCGGGCTTGATGGAGCGGTACCTGCTTACAGAGCGGCGGATGGGGTTCGCGCAGCGGAGGGTACTGAGGGAGGTTTGTGTTAGAGGGATTGCTGGGTTTGGAAATTGTAGTCGGAGGGTGAGGGGGGTTCTTGGTGGGTTGGAGGTTGTTTGGTTCTGGGAGGGGAGGAGTACGGGGGATGAGAAGGGAAGAGGGGAACGGAGAGGCTGTGGAGGATGGGTTTGTGAGGTTATTGAGAGGGGAAGGGTTGAGGCTGGGGTTGGGAAGCCTAATTGAAGATCTTGACGGCGTCGATGGGGGGCTCTTAGTGGTTTGGGAGAGTCTCGGCTGAGGGCACGGTATGGCTTGCGCTTCGAGATATACATGAGATATACGAGGCTACGAGGATGATGCTGGCATATGGGAGGACACCATAGATGAACGATATAGATGGAGATGATGTCTTCTCAAACCAAGAAAGGCCCGTGGGCTGCCGGTGCAATCCCCCAGTATTTCAAGGCTCCGCATCCATTGATGACTTCCGTCTTTTCCGAGGCGGCTGACTAGGGTTATCGTGGCACATATGATCCTCAAAAGGCATGAGTAGGCAGGATTCAATCATGAAGATGCAAGAGGGTTCGATGCAATTGGAAGCTCAGGGAAGATTCCGGGCCATATCCGGCCATCTTCGGAGCTTGGGCCCGAAGGTGCACCGAAGTTTTCGGAGCTCTCGGCCCCGTGGACCCACCTCAGGCCGGCCACAGTTGAACGACACACCAAACCCAGCACACTGCAGTGAATTTCATGCCCCTGGAAACCACATAATTTTCACATGGAGAATAAGGAAGGCGCAGGATTCTAGTGGGTGGTTCGACGTGATTGAGGGGGGCTCAGGTCCAAACAAGGGCTTTTCTGGTGTTTGTTTGATGCGTGATGCTTTGGCGATGCCGCGATGGCTCTGGGTGAATGTAGATGATGCTGGAAGCTTGTTGATCATGAATTTTCATCCCTGGAATTACTCTTGGATGGCGATGTTGTTGCTTGAGAGTCCAGCCGCGAGTTGGTCCATGGGGCGCCTCATCTCTGCTTCTCTCGAAACACCAAAACAAAACACGATTTGGCGTTGGGATTGGGCTAATTGAAGTCGCGTCACGTCTCGTGAGGATAAGTTCATCAAGAGAAAGGCACAATCATATTTCAGAGTACAGTCACCGGATGAGGTATCAGGAGGAAAAGCTTGTGACGGGGAAGTGTCTTTTTTTATTGTATTGAGGTCTTTCTCAAGATGCCAAGAAAGCATCTCATGCCTCAACTATCAGTGTAGAACCATGAATCCATTGTGTTTTAGTTCCAATCTCGAACCCAATTCTCATTGCCAAACCAATTCCGAAGTATGCCTTCCAATGCTGCCTTTCCATTCAGAAAAAGCCAGAGAGAAGACTTGACGCTCTAGAGAAGGTAGACGAAGATGAAGCCAGCGATGAAGCAGACAAGGGCAACCTCGGCCTTGGAAGCGCCAGAGGTGGCGCTGGGAGTAACTCCAGTCTGGGTGGCGGTGACCATGGAGGAGGTCTCCTTGCCATTGCTAGTAGAGGCAGTCTTGGACTCAATGTGAGTCGACTCCTTGGTGGAAGAAGTGCCAGGAGACTTCGAGAAGGAGGAAGTCTTGCCAAGAGTGGCAGTGTCGACAGGCTGCGAAGCCGAGAGGGTGACCTCGATAACATCGCAAGTCTGGGTAGTGATAGCGCGGCAGATGCTGCTGGTGTGGACTGCAAAAAACAAATGTGTTGGAAAATTTTGATTGCAAAAGAGGGAATGGGGAAGGAAAACTTACCAGAGACCGGGAGGTTGGTTCCAGTCGGGTGGCCCAAGCCAGGGCCCTCGTCAATAGTCGTGAGCTCGATGATCGGAGCCGAGGCTGGATGAGTGTGAGCCTTGGGATTGCGCTGCGCGAAGGAGATGGAAACTTACTGGGCTGATCACCATGAACGAAGACCGCATGATGAGTCTGAATGGCCGCGACAGCGCCAATGATGATGGCAGTGCCCTCGATAACCACAGAGGAGCGCATGATCGCGGGTGATGAGATGCTGGTAACGGGTTTGTGTTGGTATTGATGAAGGTTGATGCTGTAAGGAGCAAAAGAAGAGAATGCTGCGAAGCAAGTGTGGGTGAGAGTAGCGAAGTTGGTGAAAAGGGTAGAGAGAAGGAAGAGTTTGGAAGTTGGAGGGGGGGGGGGAGAGAAGTTTTGTGGGAGCCAGCTGGAGGGAGGGCAGCTGGCTGATTGAGAGGTGGGTGGGTGGTTGAAGCACCCTTCTAACCCCTTTTGGAGGTTGTGAATAATGAAGCCGTGGAGAGAAAAGATTGTGATGATGGAAAGGACGTACGTACTGTTGACTGAATTTTGTAATTGGTCGATTGGGGGTTTGAGGATTGATTAACCTCCTTTTGTGAGGGCGAGGACTGTAGACGGGAGAGCAAAAGAGAGGAAGAGTGCTGTGGAATTTTCTCATAGGTCGATTGAGGGCTCTTGGTCACATGGTGATGATGTTGCTGACGGGAATATCTTGCTTGAGTGAGTGAGGAATCAGGAGGCGGGCACAGCAGCCCACAGAAGAGGCGAGAACTGAGGGCATTGGAGAAAAACCTCCAAAAGGGCGAGAGCAGACTCTCAGGGTCACAATGCGATGATAATGTTGACGTGAGGGGACTTGCTTCACTGAGTCAGTGAATGGGTGAGGCAGCCCATGGAAGAGGTTGGAAGTGAGGGTTTTGGAGGTAAATTTGTGAAAGGGCGAGAGCAGACGGCTGTGAGGCACATGAGCTGTCTCCCATTCTGGAAAAGGCGAGAGCAGATAATGATAGAGGGCTACTTTGAAAGCAGCAAGGCAACGGGAGCTGGACTGCTTGCTCACTTACTGTCTGGACGTGGTTGAGGCAACTTATGAGAGAGGCTGGAGCTGAGAAGATTTCAGGTCAACTTTTGAGAGGGCGAGAGCAGACGATTGTGAGGGGAATGGGCTGCCTTTCCGTCTGAGAAAGGCGGGAGCAAACAACGATGGGATGCTAGTTCAAAGGGCGAGAGCAAAGGATAACAAGTGAGCTGGAATACTGCCTCACACCTAGAAAGGCGAGAGTAGACTAGGTATAGTGAGCTGGATGGGCTGCCTCCTCATTTAGAATGCTGAGAGCAGACTACCTAATGATGAGTCAAATGGGCCTCTTGGAAAGGCGAGAGCAGACAACAGCGAGTATGCTAGGCTGTTGCCTCATCACCACAGTGATGAGATCAAATGACAATGAATAGAGCAAGTCGTCTGATGAATTTTCGCTGATCGCTGAGATGGGACGATGGCTAGCATCAGGGCTCAGATGGAATTCAGATGGATATTGACGTAGTTTAGACGGAAGAGGTGAGCTCATTCATCGCATGTTGAGGGTATCTCAAATGAAAAAGAGCCATGAAAGAGACGAAATACTGGTGGGGAGGCTGTGATAACTAATGGCTACGATGGCGCTTTGAGTCTAAAAAGACATTGGAAGAAGCTCCTAGATAAAAGAATGACCTGTGGTAATAGATGAGGGCAGTCCACTATTTTCTGTGACTTTTTCTGTGACGTTTGTTGCTGTGGCGATGATTGCAATGCTTTGGCAACCTTTGTGAAATAAACTCCAGAGGAAAATGGGAAGCATAAGCATGGGTGAGGACAGGCCAGAACATCGTGACAGTGCAGGCATGGTTTCAAGGGATGTTGTCTGGTCAAAAAAAAAGGTTCATAATGAGTAAATTGTCCATAGATACAGAATCAGGTAGTCTCAACAAGTTGCCAAAAAAAAAAAAAAATCTTTAGCCCATTGGATACAGAGAGGCGCTGGCTGGAAGTCCAGTTGTCAGAGACATGGTGGGGGTTTCTGCAGATTTGCCAGCAGCTTCTATACGAGTGCTGCTAGGCTGGATTCGAAATCATCAGAGAGGTTACGCAACACCCCTTCAGCGAAGAAAATTCCAATACAGTACAGGAGCATCTGGGAGGGTTATGGAGACCTTCATCGTTAACGTAAACGACTGTCATTTTCGAAATAATCCATCGCATATAGATATACGTCAATGGACATTAAAATATTCTCCCACAGAAGCACAATTTAGGTACATCTCTCTCGATCATGACTGAAATAGAGAGAGGTGGATAAAGCCGAGTACGATCCAGGACCTGTCCTACATAAATCTACTTACGGATGCAGATGATACCTCTCCAGAATCCAGCGATGGCGACAACGTCTTTGGCTATAGTTCCTACTCGCAACGCTCTCTCTCGGATGTTGTCGAAAGAAAGCATTGGGCGAAGACTTTCTACAGAATTGTCGGAGGGAGGGTTGAATAGTTAAGCCGAATGCTCTTGAGCATTGGGATTAACCTATCTTACGGCGAGAGATGGTGATAACTGCTAGAGGAATTGGAAACTGCCCTTTCACGACCCGAGTATACGGCGCAGCCGGTGACTGGGAATAAATGAGTGATCCGGCCACAGAAACGAGGTGGACACTCAAATTTTCAACGGCTATGCAGTATATCCAGAATTAGAGGCCCCCATCCAAGTCATTTCGTATCATCCAGACTGCCGCGTCAACATAAGAGAGTGGTGCGAGAACCAAAATGCCAAATTGGGGGTATCATTCATTATTCATAATTATCTACTGTAACGTTCCATCAAATCACACCAGCCCCAACCTCATCCAAAAATCCCCGCAACAACCGCCATGACGCCAACGTAAACCCCCGATGCCAAAACCCCCTCCGTAGCAGCCACCCTCGCCGGCCGGTCAGCGCCATTCCTAAACAGCCCAGCCTGCGCCACGCCCGCAGCGACGCCGACAGCAACCAGCAAAACGACGGCCATCCTCCCCACGAACCCGGGGATCACAGCGAAAGCGAGGATGGGCAGCAGAAACGCCGCGGCGAAGGCGATGGCGAGGGTGGGGAGGTACCCCGTGAGCGACGAGATGAGGAGGTGGCGGATTCGCTCTGCCCTGTCCATGCTTTCCGGGTTCAGCAAGGGGGGTAGCTTTGCGTTGAGCGGTTGGGGGGTGCGGAGGTCGTCGCTGGAGAAGCTGGAGTGGTCTGAGAAGGAGGAGAAGGTTGAGGAGGGCCGGGCGAGGGAGACGAGGTCGTCTATTGGGTCGAGGAAGCGCGTTTCAATCTCGACTATGGGGTTGTGGTTTGCGAGGTAGGCGCGGTAAAAGTCTACGTCTTGCGGGGCTGGGTTGGGGAGGTGCTGGGTCTCTTTGAAGGATGAGAGGACGTGGTCTGTGATGTGCGTTAGAGTAAAAGGATGATGAGGCGGAAGAGGCGGGAGCTTACTGTATTGACTGAGTTTATAGCCAACCTTGCCGAGGATATCCGTCTTGTGCCACTGGAGCTCGCCCGCGGTGAGTGAGTCCTGCCTCCTCGACGCCGGTACGAAACAGTTTTGCATCCGTCGCGTCTGCGTGTCGGCCGTGTCGAGGCGGTGGAGCTGCTCTTCTAGCTCGGAAAGCTCATCTTGGAGATGTAAGAGCAGGCGGTGGTTGAGGGCCTCAAAGCGCCGGTAGATGGGCTTGATGCTCGATCTGTCCGCATCGTCGCCGGTGCATAGCTTGGAGGCGATGAGTTCGTACCCTGTGAGAGGCAGTTTCTCCGCCCTGGGCAGGTGCTTCGGGTGGCCGTGGTGGGTGCCGGGGAGACGGGGCTGGAGGGCGTTGGGAGGGAGGTGAGGCAGGTTTGCTGTCCCGCGCGGCATCTCGGGGGTACCGTAGTGACGATAATCATGCTGCTGTTGGCCCGGAGGTGTGGACACCTCGAACTTGCCGGGCATGGAGGGGAAGTCGCCGTAGGCGCTGTGGTCGGGGCTGCTGCTCCTGTCGGTCTCGTGGTCGCCGGCCATTTCGGAGAAGACATCGCTCTGGAAGCTGCTCGAGGCGGTCGAGGTGGTGCTCCGCGTCGAGGGCGACTGGTAGCTGGTAGCGGCAGGGTCGGGCATCCTCCAGTACGACGACTGATCAACGGAGCGCTGGATGACTTCCGGGGTTACGTTGGGGGAGTCTCGCTCGAGGTAGCACAGGGCGTTTGATGATGAGAGCTGCTGCTGCGTCTTGGGCGAGCGGCTTTGTCTTCGGCCTTTGAAGTAGGTCTTGTCATGGGCTCGCGACTTCTCACTCCCTCTGCGCCTGGGCCACGATGCTTGAGTGATGGTTGAGCCGCTGCCGCTAGAGCTGCCGGAGCCGTAAGTCTTTTCGGTGAGATCCGTCAAGCTGGTCAGGGTGGACTCGGTAGGTGATGCTAGGCGGACAATTGCTTCCTCGTCCTGTTTTCGCTCAGTCGGGACCACCGTCTCGTCTGAAGAGGATTCCTGGTCTGCGGTGGCGATGAGTTGATCGGACACAGGTCGCACAGGTTCCATGCCCAAGATGCGACGTCGCGTCGGCGAGTCTGGGTTGGGGGCGGGCATGGAGGAGTGCCTCCGTACGGTTGCGCTCCTGGGGCGCGATCGCGGGAACGCAGGCGTTGACGTGTCGTCGGCCGGCATGTGATGCTCTCTAGGCGCAGCAGTGTTATCGCTGGTGGCCTGCGCAAACGGCGACGAGGGGCCCAGCGTCGGGACGGCGTCCACGACGCGCATGAGTCCGTCGACCGGGTCCGAGGCTAGCCACTCTTGATCTGCACCATGGCAGTTATCCATGGTAGTGCCAGGGACGTCGGTCACTGAAGGAGGATGATAGGCCGTGGACATTGCCGCTGGAGGGGACGCCCGGACTGAGTGATGGACGTTGGGATCAGAGTTGGGTCAGTCTTCCTTGACTGAATGAAGCTTAACGGGTCGCCGAACGGAAGTCGGGATGTCCCTCACGTTGAGTATAGCAAGGTACGAATAATCGAACTGACACGAGCTGGAATGTGGCCAGGTGTACAACGAGGAATGTCTCAAACTAATAGACCTAGGGCTACTACGAGTCGCACACGAGACAGTCGGAGCTTAATACACATTACTAGAAGGTCGAGGGGGGGTTGAGCAATGAGGATGGGAAACACACAGAGAAGTCGGGCTCCTGCAAATAAAGAAAAAAAAAGAAAAGAAAAAAGGAGACTTGATGAACAGGTGCGCCCTCGAACGCTGTTCGGAAGTTAGGGAGGGAGGGACGGGATCGGGCTGGGGAACTCCCGGGATGTTGAGATTCTGGGGAGCGGCTTCAGGATGACAGCGATAGCGGCACCGGCAGCATCACGGCGAGGATGGTGTCCATCGCTTTGGTTGGTGTAGCGTGGCGACGGAGACCGACATTTGAACAATCTTTTCCTGAATAGCAGCAGCATAGGAGGGGGGTTACACAGTAGGGAGGTGGCACGATGGCTATGTCTCTTGGTGATGTAGGGGCAAGGCAGGGAAGGAAAGGGAGGGAAACATGGAAGAGCAACGCCGCGTGATCGGGTGAAGAGTGTGTCAGCCGTTGACGGATTTGTTTCAGATGACCAGGAAGACTGGACCAGCGAGCTTGCGAGAAGGGGGTGTGCGACGGTTGGGCTGAGCTGAAAGACCTGTATGTGTGTGTGTGTGTGGCGGCATTCGGGTGCGTGGGGTGGTGGGAAGCAGCAGGGGGGAAGTTGTGGTATTCCGTATCGACTGGACCTTGGTTTCTTTGAATTTGAGTTGTGACTCTATTCAGTTGTAGGATGCAAGATGCAGGAAGCCTTGGAGTTGACCGGTCAGACAGACGGGAGACGGGGGATGACAACATGAAAATGGAAGGGCAAACGGCGACCAAACGATCCCAGTGCCGCGGGAAGTCCCACAGCGGACCCGTGGACGGTTAGCTACCTTACCTTACATGGCCTGCGTGGCTCTCCACTAATTTCCAGCGCATGTGCGCCACTCTTGCCTTGCCTTAGGGGATGCAATGCAGCATTACTTTGTATGGTAAGCTTGAACATGGCACTTCCGTTGCGTGACGGACCCAATGCGGCCCGAGGTAACCGGTACGTACCCAGACAGGTTCCATCGATTTTGATGCGACGGGAGCTATCCGAACTGGTGACTGTGAAGCTATCCCCAGCTCCAACAAAAACCAGTATAGAAGATACTTTCTGGCTGACAACTACATCCAATCGAACGCCTGCAATAGCTGCGTCGGGGCGAACTCTAATCATTCTGAACCTTCCGTCCCCCCGTTCCCCGAGCCCTTCAATCACGTCCACCCAACCACGCTTCAAAACTACTGGTCGACGGCCACGAGCCTTTCGTAAAGGAGGGTGTACAGCATACAAGTCAAGAGAGAGGCTTTGTGATGACCCTTATCATATTCGATTTCTGACCAACCAATCCCGCGAGAGCGCAAAGCCTGCCAGCCCACGAACAGACCTGCAAAAGACAGCCGCCGCCAACAACCTTGGTTGCGCGCCACCTATGAATATACCTCGAAACAACACTTGGGCCCTTGATCTACCTCCCCACAATGGCGCGCATACCGACCCGCGAGCTGTCCTGCTACCTGTTCAACGGCCAGCTCTCCCGCCAAGGCTGTCTGGCCTCGACCCGACGGCCATACACTCGCCTGCCGGCCCGTTCCGCCCTGGCCCTCCCATACGCTCTCAGGGTTGGGGAGTCGAGGGCGACGCATGCGACCGCTCAAACCGCGACGGCAAAGTCGCAAGAGGGACCCGTGGTTCCTCTTAGGAAGAAGCTCAAGGAGGAGAAGAAACAGCTAAAAAAGGAAGCAAGAGGTCAAAAGCCCAAGGGGAGCAACCAGACAGTCGAGGGCTGGGAGCTGACGGTCGGCATTGAGATCCACGCGCAGCTTAACACGGCACGGAAGCTCTTCTCCCCAGCCGCGACGTCCTTCAATGACGATCCAAACTCCCATGTGGCGCTCTTTGACGTTGCCATGCCAGGCAGTCAGCCGAGGTTCCAGAAGGAGACGCTCATCCCGGCGCTGCGTGCGGCGTGCGCTCTGAATTGCGACATTCAGCCCGTCAGCCGGTTCGACAGGAAACACTACTTTTGGTGGGACCAGCCGTCGGGCTACCAGATCACGCAGTACTACGAGCCCTTTGCCCGCAACGGCGAGATCGAGCTCACCGCCCGGGATGGCATCGCCGCCGAAGACGGGGAGAGCGTCACCATCGGCATCCAGCAGATCCAGATGGAGCAGGATACCGCCAAGACGCTGGCGCAGCCCAACGACGTCTCCTGGCTCGACTTCAACCGCGTCGGCATGCCCCTCATTGAAATCATCACAAGGCCGGAGCTCCACCACCCGCGTACCGCCGCCGTGTTCGTGCGCAAGATCCAGATGCTGCTCAACGCCGTTGATGCCTGCGTGTCGGGGATGGAGACGGGCGGTCTACGTGCCGATGTGAACGTCTCGGTGCGCAGGACGGGCGATCCGAACACCCCGCTCGGTACGCGGACGGAGATCAAGAACCTGAGCACCATCAAGGCCGTCGAAGACGCCATCATCGCCGAGCGTGACCGGCAGATCAAGGCGCTCGACGCGGGTGAGACCATTGCCAGTGAGACAAGAGGTTGGACTCTAGGCTCCAAGCACACGCGCCGTCTGCGTGGTAAGGAAGGCGAGGTAGACTACCGCTACATGCCCGACCCCGATCTGGGTCCTCTCGTGATCGGTCAGGACCTCGTGGACCACATCAGGAGCTCCGTCAAGGAGCTGCCAGACGTTGAGTTGACGGAGCTGATTGATGACTACGGCTTGACGGCCAAGGATGCAGTCTCCCTCATGTCCCTCGATAATGGCGGTAGGCTGGAGTTCTTTTACAAGGTCGTTGACGAGCTGGGGGTCCAGCTGAAGAATGCGGGCCTAGAGACCGACCTGCATGGCCACGCATCTCTCGTTGGCAACTGGATCCTCCACGAGCTTGGTCGGCTGACGACAGATAAGGCGGATCCGGAAGCCGCCCAGCGAACGTTGGACATCGCCCAAGACGGCTCATGCGAAGCGGTACCGCATACTGCGCTGGCCCGAATCCTTTACCACCTCCAGAGGCGGGAAATCACAGGCAAGGTTGCCAAAGAGCTTTTGGTGGCCCAATACCTAGGCAACCTGGACGAATTCGATTCCGTTACGGACGCCATCAAGACCCACGAGTTGTGGTTCAAGGAGATGTCGGGCGAAGAGTACCGGCAGCTGGCGGAGAGTGCTGTCGAGGGGGAGGATAAGGTCCTGAAGGAGTTTAGGGAGAAGAAGAATTATCCGCAGGGCAAGCTCATGTACCTCGTCGGCAAGATGATGCGCATCGGCGAGACGGAGCGGATCGATCCTTCCGGTGCCGAAAAGGTCATGCGTCAACTCATCAGGGAGCGGACAGGCGCGCATCAGGACTGAGTACTTTCTCTCATTCTCTTTCCCCTGGACGAGCTCTATCAGCCCGCGTACGTGCATCTGGGCACGTTATACTGTACAATGTGTCATAACATCAAAAAACTCGGTAATACAAGTATACTGTGGTAGGGCTTTCCAGTCTCCCTCACCTCCAGTCCCAGCCTTACTTCGGACTTGGCGCCGCTGGCCGAACGTCTAGCTTGCTCGGCATGAATCCGAAATTGATATTCTCCCGCTCCCTCACAAACCGTTCGATACGCTCTTCCCGACCCTTACCAGCCACAGCCTGTCCCTGGCGCCTCAGCGCCTCGCTGATATTCGCCTCGTGCGCATTCTTCTTCTCCAGAAATGTCGCCGTGCTATTATCCATCCTCGTCGTCTGCGCCACCGTGCCGACGGCCAGCGCAGCCAGCACAAGCGCCGCAAAGCTCGCGTTGGACATGTACATTGGCTTCTGCCGCTCACCATTCGCCTGCCGGTCGTGCCAGCGCTCCCAGTCCTCCCACGTGGCGTTCATGGCCGGGTTGCCCGCCTCGTGGCGCCAGGCTTTATCGGCACGGCGGTAGATTTCGTTGATGTCGCGGGTGTCTTCGGCGCCGGTGCCGGGTAGGTGCCAGCCCAGGCCCCAGGCGTCGTAGGCGCGGCGTTTATCTGGGGAGCTGAGGATCTCGTTTGCGAGGACGATGAGGCGGTAGCGCTCGAGGCGGGTTTGGGGCGGGAGGGAGTCGAGGGCTGTTGCGTGGTGTCTGTCTGGGTGGTATTGTTTTACGAGCTCTGCGAAGCGGGCTTTTGTGTAGGGTGCTGCTTTGTCTATGGCGAAGATGTCGTAGGGGGTGGGGTTTGCGCAGGTTGGCCATGGACTGCCGGTTTTGCTTGAATTGCCTCTGCTTTTTGACGTATTGGAACCATTGTGAGGGGGTTGATTCACTGTCGCGTATGATCGTGAGGTCGCGAGTCTTGTGTGTCGTGAGGCGGGGTGGTCGGAGGAGTTGGACGGTCGTCGCGTGGGTGGTGACGTTATGGATGTGTGGTGTGCGGGGACGGCAAAGAGGTTTAGGACATTGTTGCTCGAGCAGATGGCGAATGCCGGGGACGTCTTGAGAATCATGGCGAGAGGTTTAGTTTGTGCAAGTCACAGGTTTTTGGACAGGATCTCAAGGAGGTTGAGGGGACAGATTGCGGGCGAGCATCTTTTGGACGTCGGGTTTTGTGTTGAGAGTGCTCGGCGATGTAAGTGAGAGAGTTTGGACGCCGGTGGTTCGACTTGCACCAGCAGCTCGCCCAATTGACGCATTCGTGCTCACGGGCGGTGGTCCAGTGTGCTGAGTGCTCAGACTCCCAGGTGGCCCTCCTCCCCAAGCCGATCCGATAGCTCCGCTGCAGGAAACGAGTGGAGCGGGGACGGGAAAGGGTTTGGATCAGACCAATCGGCTGATGGAGGGCTGACTGGGGAGAGTTTCGGTAAGAAACGAATGAGAGAAGGGGCAGAGCTCTCGGTGAACAGGTTTGGGCCAATGTCACCACCCATGATCCAAGACGTGCCCTGACAATTCAGTACCTCGACCACTGTGGTTGAGAGATATTGGCCACTTTAAGCTTATTGCACATGGTTTACTCTCAAACGCAATACCGAGGCCATGCAGAAAGCATTTTTTATAAAGCACCACGAGCTTCTCCCTGGCCCTTAATATGTAGTCAAGGGAGGTATGTACGTTATACTACCTTTAGTACGTGAGGTAAGCGATTCCTGGTCACGTGTACCCACCTGCAGCGCTAGACAAGGTTGGCAAGGGGTCCCGCCCCGACGACACAGCTGAGGCGCACCGAACGCACCGGGACGTGGATTCACCACCACAAACTTGCTAGGTTCCCAGACGACTCTTCCTCCACACTCACCCAACCACACTCCTCTCAACAACGCAAACCCATTCTTCCCATAAACCTCTCGCGCTGCGCCTCGTGGACGAAACACATTTTGCGCTGTTTCAGTATCCCGAGTCAACGACCTTATCAGATTTTCCGCAATTGCGCAATCCACGAACACGCACCCACAACCCAACCAACGAGCCAACCACATCACTCGACTTTCCTGCACCGAAACTCTGCCCGAGTCCCGGTCATCCATACTCCAACCAGCTTCCCTCCGGCCACGGAACCAACGACGAATCCCCCGCGACGCTCCTGCTCGCCTTCAAGTGACATAAACGCGACTATCGAATATTTTCGAGCGACAATTGCCTCTTTGTCGTCATCTCCCACCTACCTCTCTGCTTCCTAATTCCTACCGAGCACGACTCGCCCCTCGATTCACATCGCGAAGTGGGGAAAGCAAAGCCCTTTCGCGCAATAACCCTCAACAACTGTCAACGCACCCTCTTCTCCTGCCATTAGGCACATACTCCATAAAGACACATTCAAATGGCGGAAGCACTGGCAGATAAGCTTAAGGCGACGAACTTGAGGTTCGCCCTCCCCACCAACCTCCCAGAACCCGTTGTTGAAGGGTTGTGAGACTGACTTTCGCAGCGATGGCGCCGCATCAGAGGACTGGAAGAAGAGCTTGAACCTGCCTGCCAGGGACAACAGACATCAAACTGAGGTATGTGCCGGCAAGATCAACCCACTCGTCTCTGTCTGCCTCTCTTCTCACACGCTTGCTCCCAGGATGTCACAAACACCAAGGGTCTGGAGTTTGAAAACTTCCAACTGAAGAGAGACTTATTGATGGGCATCTTCGAGGCTGGATTCGAGAAGCCGTCGCCCATCCAAGAAGAAGCAATCCCCGTCGCCCTGACCGGTCGTGATATCCTCGCGCGTGCGAAGAACGGTACCGGAAAGACTGCCGCCTTCGTCATCCCCGCCCTCGAAAAGATCAACCCCAAGGTCTCCAAGATTCAAGCCCTCATCCTCGTCCCCACTCGCGAACTCGCCATGCAAACATCACAAGTCTGCAAGACACTCGGCAAACACCTCGGAATCAATGTCATGGTCACCACCGGAGGTACTGGTCTCCGAGACGATATCATCCGCCTCCAGGACCCCGTCCATATTGTGGTTGGTACCCCCGGCCGAATCCTCGATCTCGCGGGCAAGAACGTCGCCGACCTCAGCGAATGCCCCATGTTTATCATGGACGAGGCTGACAAGCTTCTCTCCATCGAATTCACTCCCGTCATTGAGCAGCTCCTCCAATTCCACCCCAAGGACCGCCAGGTCATGCTCTTCTCCGCCACTTTCCCCCTCTCTGTCAAGGACTTCTCCGACAAGAACATGGTCAGCCCGTATGAGATCAACCTCATGGATGAGCTTACCCTGCGCGGTATCACCCAGTACTACGCCTTTGTCGAGGAGAAGCAAAAGGTCCACTGCCTCAACACCCTCTTCTCCAAGCTTCAAATCAACCAGTCCATCATCTTCTGCAATTCAACCAACCGAGTCGAGCTGCTGGCCAAGAAGATCACCGAGCTGGGCTACTCATGCTTCTACAGCCACGCCAAGATGGCCCAACAAGCGAGAAACCGCGTGTTCCACGACTTCCGCAACGGCGTGTGCCGTAACCTCGTCTGCTCCGATCTTCTCACCCGTGGTATCGATATTCAGGCTGTAAATGTCGTTATCAACTTTGACTTCCCCAAGAACGCCGAGACTTACCTGCATCGCATTGGTCGCTCTGGTCGTTATGGCCACTTGGGTCTGGCCATTAATCTTATCAACTGGGATGACAGATTCAACCTCTACAACATCGAGAAGGACCTTGGAACCGAAATCCAGCCCATCCCTGCCAGCATCGACAAGTCCCTCTACGTCTACGAAAACCCCGAGTCCATTCCGAGACCCATCTCCAACTTCCGTACCGGTCAGCCTGGCCAGGCCCAGCAGCAGCAGCAGCAGCAGCAGCAACAGCCTGGTCAGATCCAAGGCCAGCAATTGCCTCTCCAGGGAGGCCCTGCACCGGGCAACTGGCAGACTCAGCAGCCCCAGCAAGGCCAGCAGAATGGATACCAGGGCGGCGGTAGGGGCCGCGGCCGCGGCCGTGGTGGCTACCGTGGTCAGAACCGTGGCGGCTACGGCGGCCGAGGACGTGGTCAAGGCCAAGGCCAGGGCCACCCCCAACCCCAAGGACAGACGTCCTAGGGTTCCACCAATCTCTTCTCTTTAGAAAGGCGTTACGGCGTATGCGTCGCGGCGGAACACGCGACTGCGTCTTGTTTGGATTGTACATAGTTCCATTTTTTCTTTCTTGATTTTGGAGGCGACACGGCACGATTTGACTGGGTCGGGTATCTCATCCATGCTCAACATGAGCTTCTAGATCGATCCCCCTCACCACTCACGATCACGAAACACGAAAACCAGACTCGATCAGACCTTCGACTGGTCGCCGAGCAACAAAAGCTCCGTCACATATTCGCAAACTTTTGGCCTGTACCATACCCCAACTGATCTTGCTGGCCTTTTGTTTGGCTTCTTTTCTTTTCCCTTTGGCCTTCTGAAGACGGGCGCTTTCTACCCGGAATGGAAATACATGCTGTCTGGAGACGACAGAATGAGCAAGACGACAGGCACAGCCATTGAAAAAACCAACATCAACTACGGGGCGTGACGACTGGTCTTGAACGAGCCACTACACCCCTCGGCATGGAAATAAACCCGCTCCCACCTTATCATGTCACGTGTTTCTCTAACGACGGCGTTTGGGGGTTTACAAGCGGCTGAACGGTATCAGCCTGGGACGGCGTTCGCATGGATGGCGGGCCACATTTGATTTCTGGTGGACAAAAGGGGAGTTGACCCTCGCGGCCGAGGGCGGCAACACTATGGGATGAGGGCGGTCCGGTAGCTCATCTCTGGTTTATGCGCCGCGGTGTCTTTTGAGTATTAATCAATCGATCGCGGAGACGACTGATGTTGGGATATGACACGGAGGGCGACGGGGCGGCTGGCATCCAACGGCGTCTGTCGGGGCATGATTCTCGGCATCGTGCATTTTCTTTGGCAGGGGAAGATTTGGTTGGAGGCCCTCCGTCCGGGGTAGGAGGAGGAGCGTTTGTCGTCGGTCGACTGACAAGCCAAGATACTGCTTCTTGGCACCCGAACTCACAACGGAGGTTTCGACATGATCCGTTACGCATTCTACGCCTATGCCCTGCTTCTTGCGAGAAAGCAGGCTCGACGAACGACCGCAGAAATACCCGAGTATCATTACGCCTTGTTTGGCTCTCTTGGAACCAACCGCCTGGCCCAGCTTTTGAGTTTCTTGTTTGCCTTGCGAGGTGATGGAGGTCTCAAGGGTGATTGGGCTCAGTCTGGTTTATTGGGAGAGCGAGCGGCCTCTTTTGGTACTCACATCAACAAGAAAATAACGCAAAAAAACCGTTTTGGGAGAGAATCGCTGGATGGGCTGGATGGCTTTTGGACTGGTTTGGTCTTGCATGTGGCACTTGCTCATGAGGCGAGTGTCATGGACCAGAACTGGTGGGCTAGATAGTTGTCTGAGCATTTGGAGTGGCAATCAAGGCACAATTCTCTCTCATGATCTTTTTCACCGTGATCTTTGATGCGTCGTATGTCGTACTCATTGACCTGTAGCTCATTGCTTCGGTTCATCTGGTTGTGGTTGTAGCGCCTGATACGTCTTCTGCGACACGGATCGACTGTTTCTATTGAATGAGAATACCACAGGAGGGGCGACAAGACATTCTCGTCATGGCATCTAGCTTTTCTGTCGCAGGAGGCACGCGGATATATACAGACCCATACTTTTGGAGACTCGCCCGGCACTCCTGCCGTCGACTTCTTCATTGGGAGAAAGCGTCGCTTGGCAATGGAATGGAAAGAGTCTCTGTTCTGGACCTGCAAGCTGTCGAAGCAAAAGACACCAGGTAGGTGTCATCATGCGAAGATTCCAGGGCTCGTGTCTTGAGGGGGGTTGGTATATGAGCGCATCATTCGTTGATTGACGCGGTCGCAGCAGACGTGATTTGAGGTGCGTCAAGGATTGCAAAGAGCAAGATGGCCAGGCCCGTGCTGTACTCAGCACGGGATATGGCTGAGATGATGGGCGCCGTTGGAGTTGTATCCAAGGATTGTCAACCGCTCCTTCCTAGAGACGTGACACCGCACTCGGGTACAGGGCGTGACATTCAAGTCCGGAGAGGTCGCGTCCCTGCACGTTGGCGACTGTTTGGCTCCTAGCCCGGAGGAAAACATCCGCGAGAGTGCTGGTTGGCGGCGGTTCTATTTTTAGGTACCCTCGTCCGATTCCGCTGATGACGGAGGCAAATGTACAAGAACCCGACTGGGAGACGTGCTGATGATCGCAGAGCAGCAGGAAAGAGGGGCTCGAGATTGGCCGCACCGACAGTGACATCAATGTAGGCAAATTTAGAGCGGCGGCGAAGGCTATGATGGTGGCGTTGGCCACGCCGGTAATAGACGGTCCGGCCGGTACTCCCGTGGCACCGCACCGATCCGTTCGCCGTGCCGTCCGCCACAGGCCCGATGCCAAGCTCCGGCGCCGGAGTGAGACATGAAGTGTCAGCAGCTCCGGATTTGCTGTTTTGGAATCACGGGTGGTAAAAGGCGCGTGGTTCACTGTGCTACGCGGGTCGCGATGCCCTTCAAACAGTTCTGGGTTGCCTGGTTGGCTATCTGGTTAGTGCGCAATTTCCTTGGCTGGGTTCTGTGCCATGTCGTATTCGGTTGACGTGATGGGCACGCACGTCGCCCTCGCTGTAGCCAGCGCATCCTCGAGAGCGTTCTCGAGTTCCGACTTGGGAGTCAGACGTCAAATCGAAGAAGTGTGGAGTCAGAGGTAGACAACGTTTTGGCGACTTGAGTCAGAGTGAAGAGGTCTGCACCTTAATGCCAGAGGCAACGCCAGCATTTACCGAAACTCGTGCTGGGAGATTGCAATCCCAACTCCACGATTGATCTTCCTCCCTTCTCTTTTCACTAATAAACGACCTACAGTGTTGACACAGGGTATGGCTACTACGTGTACGCGCCGCTACCTAGACTTCCTTGCGTGGGACATGGAGCTCAACGAGCACATTGAAAGCGAGGGGTCTAGAAATTCTTTATGCGCGGGCGTGCCCTTTCTTGGGAGAAATTGGCACGCCATTCATCAATCTCCGGACCCTGTGAAAGCCAAATGACATCGTGAAGGGTCAAATGGCTCAAAATGGTCCGGGTTGGGAAGGGGTGGGCGTCGAGTGAGAACAGTGGTTGATAAGATTCTACGTCCTATATTGCTGCTATGCGGCAATCGACTTACCTCTGATGCGCTCTAGATATGATAGACCCATCAAATTTGATAGCGAGAATGCGCTTGATGTGTTCTGTTTGGCATAGAGCTAGCGAGAGAGAAAATTGAAAAGGCAGAGAGAAGCTCGGGGACGCATTGCGGTATTTATTTGCCCAAAGTATTTTGTCTATGCTTGTATCCGTTTATTGCGCACTGGTAATCTTAAAGGACGCAATTGATCCCAGTTCCGTACTCGGCTAGCCTCTCCATTGCTGATAGCTTCGAATCCACTTTCTTTGTCAGTCTGAGCGTCGTTGACCTCGTTGTCTGGCGACCATGTAAGTGGATCCGAGGACCACAGAGAGAGAGATAGAGAGAGGCTCAGAAACCAACACCAGGTCTCTGTAAATGTCGTATGGACATTCCTGTGGGTGTCCCGACTCTGGACCTTTGCATAACCGTATACCACTACTCTGTTGCTAAAGCTCCGTTTGAATCATCTCAGCTATCTTCTTCACTAATGGAAATGCACGGAACGACTTCTTATGGCCCATTACCTAACCAGCGATTTTGAAATTTCCAAGGCTGCCTTCCCCCTGTGCATCGGCAACTACAATGTGTGTATCGTTTCCACATCAGTTGCCCTTGAAGTCTGATGGGGTGTACCTGTACCAGCACTAAGAAGATCTCTGTTTCGTTATCTATCGGCAAGTATGAGGCCGAAACCAAGCGCTTGACACACTTTTGCATTGACATCCTCGAGAAGCTTGACTGCTGCTTTGAACCCATCTTCTAGGCTCCCCGTCAGACCAACATGGACGACGGATATTCGATTACCCAGCTCGGTTGTGGCATGGACTAAATGGTTCGATATGCCTGCTGGCTCAGTTTGTGTCGTGACGGTATTCGTATATCTCTGAAACTTGCCTCTCCTGCTCTTCGCCTCTAATTTCTTGGAGAGCTGGTTTAGTTCTTTCACAGTTGCTTTGAGTGTCTCAAGCTGCTTCACAACCGCAGGCATTTGTAATTTGGGTTCCTCTCGAATCTCTTTGCCATTGACTCCAATATGGTCGCAGAATATGTCAAACTATAGTTCAGAGATCAGACCTCAAATATTTTTTTTGACGCTAGATGGATCACCCAGGTATGTATGAAATAAGAATAAGAGAGTTTCATCTTCTTCCATGATGAGACTGGAATGGGACATTCCCTGCTCACGTTGTCGATTCTTCACACCTCAGGTTGGATCGACTAGATAATACGGCCTCCTTCTTCTCCAAATATTCCGCATGCGGTTGCAACTCACTGGTTACAACTTCAACCATTTTTGGCATATTGACCTACATGTTGCTCTCCAGCCGCGCCGAAGGTGACTTCCGTAAATCACTTCTTAAGAAAATGCGACGCAAAACAGGTTTCCATCTGAATAAAGACAGAGCCGAACCTTCTGGAGCATTCCTCTTGAGAAAGATACTAGATGATAATTTTCACCATGGCGATCAGCTGAAAATAGCTCCTCTTCTGCTCATAATCGATGGGGTAGACTTCGACGGTAGGGCGGGAGACCAGCCGGACTCAAACATATCCCATCTCATATACTGCATCGAGCACTTCCAACATGGTGGTCCGAAAACTCGTATGAAATGATTGTTCACCGGCAAATTTTCCATTTGGAAAGGACTTGGAGCCCTGACAACGTATAAAATGCACCGAAAGCCTGCGGTTTGATAGCATGCATCAAAGCCGAGATCAGATCGCAGATCCGCTCCCTGACACCAATCAGTGGCTCTAGGAAACCGAAGAGTTCCAGTTTTGGGTATCTTCCGGTAGAATCCTATGGAGAATGGGCAAAGCGGGAAGCGGCATGTCGGTTCTAGCGAAGAGCATTCAACTTTGTGTCCAAAGGGGTGGTCAAAACGGCAATCTCAATGACAATCGATTTGTCTGTGAATGGTTGTATGCGGCCCGAGGGCTCGACTATGGGGCGTGAGATGTTTCAATGAGGCGGGGTCTGATTTTAGCCATCTTAAACTCAGGCATAACGACGTTTGACCCTGTAAGGGCCGCCTATCGGGCCCGGTTTGATGCTAGACGGCAGAATGACGACTGGTCGTTGATGGAACTACAAGAACTTTTTACGACACTCGCAGTCATAGATACAATCGACGAATCAGGGAGCATCAGGATGGCATCAAGTTTCAAGTCATTACACAAAAATTTTGGTTTGCTGGAGATGTTTATCCACATTTGCGGTTCCAGGCACAGCTGGGTTCGCGTCGTCTTGCTGAGTAGGCCTGAGCCTATTATTTCCAAAAACCTGAGCAACTGCTCGCAGATTAACCTGGGGCATCAAATCGACCGGAATGTTACCATCTTGATATAAGACGGCATTGAGAACCTCCGAATAGCCTGGCGGAACGCCTTCAACCCACATTCAGCGGAAGTCTACCAGAATTCACCAGGCGCAGTGAATAACCAGTTTTCTTAAGCGAGCCTGTCCATTGATGATGACTTCGAGATACAAGAGCATACACAATACAAGGTACTCACACACTTAGATGCCCAGGCAAACGTTGTAATAAACTGTGTGCTCCTGATTATTCAACAACGTTTACTCTTAATCGAAGACGACAGAGGTTTTGCAACTCAGGATTCGATGAACTCGCTTTTTGCATCACTACCAATGATTGAAGAACTATATCTCCGATTTCTTGGTGGCCCCAAAGGCTCCAGTACCAACAAGAAACTGTCGACCACCAAACGAATTCTGGTATAGGTCGTCGGGTCTTAAAGAAGATCCTCGCTACAATTGATAGAGTTAAGGGAGGATATTGCCATACCTGACGAGCTAGAAGTAAGGGAACATGCAGACAATACAGAGTTCCGCCATGATTCCGTCAAGATACACAGAAATGTAGCCGAGAAAGATTCTTGGCCCAAGTCGCAGTATGCAACTGCACTGCGGTCTGTTGATAGAGATTTGAATGATCAGCAAAGGTTCAGACTAGGCCCGCGGTATAAGATCAGCCACGCGACACCAAACTGCAAGATCCAGCTGTCATATCAAACAGTCAATTCATTCCTACAAACTCCAGGCCGGAGCAGAGACTTCCACATTGATGCAGCTCACGCCGCAAGAATAGTTATAAACCAAGCCAACCGTTACCTTGTTGTTCGTCTTTCATCATCCGAGAAAATATTCTACCGAAGCTCTTCAGAAGATGAGAAGGACCCAATTTTGGCGTTGGGGGTGGCCTTGTCAGCTCTGCTAGCAATTCGGCAATATTGCGAGGAGCGACCGCTTGCAAAATTTGCCCTGGACAACATTCTCAAGTCTTATCCCAACAACAAGACCATCTTTCGAACACCAATCACAGATGATATGAATGCCTTGACTCCCAAAGACTGGATAGCCCCTCATTGGGTCGCAGATATGTGTTTTACCCCCTGTTCTGGAACGAGCATCGAACCTCTCATCTACATCTGCTGTGTATATGGGCAAAAGGAGGCTTTAAAGAGCTTTACATCTCAGAAGTATAATCACTCTGACGATTACAAGGAAAAAGGAAGATCCATGTCGAATGGAAGGAAGTGTCAAATCATTTGCGGCGCCATCGGGGCTTTCATCAAAGTCCGCGTCTACCACGGCATTGCCTGTCGGAAAGAAAATATCAAGAACGAAAAGTTGGACGGCACTGCCGAATTCCCAGAGGGCAGATGTCAAAGAGTTCTGAGGGATTCATTGGCTGCAGTGAGATCAGCGAGGCATTCTAGGAAGTGTAAAGGTGGATGAAGTTCAATTTGATATCTGAATTTGAGGGATGCCATGATGAGAGGATACTGAATCAAATTGAAGTACCGGTATTCTTTCGTCCGGTTTCGGATGCGGACAGGGAGAATTCCACACAGCTTTAGCGGCAGATCAGCGAGTCATCAATTTCTCAATGCCCCATGCGGATGAAGATTTGCGTTTCCTGGAATAGGTTACTACCCGGAAAAGAATAAGAGAATCCCCTTTTAAAGTTATATTAATCTTGTACTGGCCGGCTTTGAGCATATATCTACATGTGAAAAGAGGAAAACTCTCAGGATCCCCTGCTGTTGGCTGCATCCATTCATAGATTTCGCTCCTTGATTGAACAGTGAATGTATTTTCCCAGCACTGAGATAATCTTTTCGACAGAAAAGACGACAGTAAAGGCGTTACCATTTATGAGAATGGTCTCAGCCGTCTTGGGACAGCACCATACCTATATATGGCAAAGCCACGTACAGAACACTACAACATCGATGGTCCAATGAGGCATTGAGATGAATAGTAGAGAGATGAAGCGTTTGCACTCTTGATTTTTTCATAGCAATTGAATGAATGGTTTATCGAAGCTCAAGGGTTCATATCTGAAAAGCTGCTGGAGAAGACTTGATGAATCGAGGGGACGTTGGATTTGCGGAATGATGGACATTGGAGAAAGATCAGGAAGCAACTTGAATGCAAGATGAAAGGTGGTTTCTATTCTGTTTTATAGGCGGGTCAAGCCCATTAAGGAGTCCTGGGTCTGAGTGCCTTTATGGAGCTTGATGCCTCTTGCCTACGATCAAGATAGCCAGAACCTTTCTTTGAAGTCCATTGGGAATTTCAATGTATGAAGGAAGTTTCTTTAGGTTCCAAAAAGTCTTGTAAGATGAATCCAATATCATTAAACATGGTTGATGGCTGCAACTACATATTATTTAACCTGGCCATTTTGATCTCCCCTGAGCACACATCACTTGCTAAACTCGACTGTAGCAACAAGCCCAACCTTTGTTTCTTATCCATGTAAAGCCTCGAGACTCCATAACACTCACTGGACAACTCTTCAAGTTGTGAAGAAGTTGGTGCTACATGCTTGAATTTTAGTGGCCGTCCGTAGTGCGGCATCACAGGTTTGTGACTCCTTTGATCCCGCTTCGAGAGGTCCTGACAGTCCTACTCGCCGCATGAAGCCTGGAAAACCATACCTACCTCATGACATCTTGAAGGCCCCACCCGCCTCATGAATCTTGACAGTCCTGCCCGCCTTAAAAAGTCTTGACAGTACTACCCGCCTCATGAAGCCTCCCCTCTTATCTTGCCTCAGACTCTTCTCTTTCCATAAACTTCTCTCGACAAACTCTTCCTTGTCCTCCAATCTTCAGTCAACCATAAGGAACAGCAAACAAAGTCGCTCAGGTAAGTAAGCTCATCTCTTCCACATCATCACGAAGCGATTTGAGACCTTTCCGTCTTTTCCTCCCAATGTTTTTGTCTCCTCTATTTCTTGCGTATCCTCGCGTTTGATTGAGATACCATCTCCTTCCAATACAAACTGCGCTGCGGAAACGAGCCGCCTGGTGGTGCTTGAGCCGCCCTACTGAGAGTTTTGACTGATTATCTTCAGTTCACGGGCAACTTGGGAGAAGCTCATTTTCCGACGCACAATCATCTTATAGGCAAGTCAATTCCCTTTTGTTTTCTTCATCAGTCTCTCAATTTCCCTCCGAGATGGAGAGCTCGGCTGGTCTGGACCGCTTGCAAGGGAAGGTCTATCTCTACTCTTCAAAATCAGTACCACGCGTCGCCTCCACAATCTTCTCTGACCTTCAGGCGGTCTTCATTCTCTTGATCTTTTCTCTCCCATGTTCAAGTTGTCAAGATCCGTCGCTCCTTCCTACTCAGTCTTCAAGCTGCAGCCAAGAGAGGGCAAGGAAACAGTATAAAAATTGGCTGCCCGCTGAAACATTTTTTCCCTCAACTCGTCGTCCATCATTGACTTTCGACTTGATTTCTTCCCTCTAAATTCATCTACCTTGAACCCAAGCTCTGCTAACTTCCATCCTCAGTCCGTTCCAGCTCTTGCCCTAAGCATCACTGAAAATGCCTCGCAACATTCCCGGCAAGACCACCAGCTCCAAGCCGACCATGGCGCCGGCTCTCCGAGCCAGCACTCAGAGCAAGGCTCTCGTCAAGAAGGCTGGTGCCGTCGCTACCATCAAGAAGGTGACGGCCTCTCCTAAGCCGTCCAAGAAGGCAGGTCACACTTCGGACACCAAGTCCCAGACCGAGGAGGTCAAGGAGGTCGAGGAGATCAAGAAGGTCGAGGAGCCTCGATTCGACACCTTCCACCCGTTCCCTCGTCTCCCCAATGAGATCAAGGCGATGATCATCTGCGAGTACATTGACTACGAGCCCGCCGTCATTTATGGCAGCTGCAAACCCAATAAGACAACCCCAGGACTCATCGACGTCAACACTGGAAGAGATGGCGCCGCGTCCAAATACAAATGCTTGACCCAACTCGCCAACAGCATCATTGGATTCGATGAGGTCATCGAGCGCGAGTTCGGAGTCTCATTCCATGACTTGTCTCGCTGCCCCGAGCTCGGCGTCCGCGCGGACAAGGATCTCATGGTTCTCGTGTTTGACGTGAAGCAGCGACCCTCTCTGGACTGGTATAGCGCTCAGCAGCGAAGACTCAATCGCAGCCACTTCGTCGTCGGCATTCGCAACATTGGCGTTGTGTATGATCGAGACCGCCTTTATGGTCTGGACTTGAACTTCAACAGGGTTGTTTCCCAACCTTGCGCCTTCGGTGATCTTGCCGTGATGGTCGAGAGCTTCCCTGATGTCAAGAACTTCTTCATTCTTGTCAAGTTGCGCGACGGCAACAAAGCTTCGCAGAAGCAGTTCCTGACGGATCAGCTTGGTATGTACTACTGTATCTCTGGGGAGCCTTAGTTGGCCCGCGCCCTGTGGTTACTCTCATTTTATAGGTACATGTACTAACAACAAGATCATAGCCACAGCGAAGGAAAGCAACCATCTTATGATCTTTGAGGAGAAGGAGAGAACCTGGGTCGAAGTAACCCCTGCTGTCGCCAGAAGTCAGCCCCGCGGTGACCCTTTGAGAAGTGCCCTCGACCTCCTCGTCCGCACCGACTTTCTGTTCCATGCACTCTCAAGCGTCAGGGCTCAACCCGCTCATGTTCGATTCCGCCTTCTCGCGGCATCGCACTTCAAGAACAAGACGCTGGGAATCTGAGACAGAACTCCATCACGAATAAGTTTGCCTCGAAGGATATTAGGCCGCATAGCGTTTGGCAACCGGAGTTTTCAGAGAAGGAAGCAGCATTCTGGTCATTGTTTTACACGAGGGTCGCCTTTTTTTCAGATGACCGGGGAGATTTATAGACAGAGCTTCAGCTCATATGCATTCGGTCTGGGAGAAGAGAGGAAGCAGGAAGTGCAAGTGCCTCAATCAGAGATTAGTTACCATTACAATTCCAGAAAATTACAGTATTGTTGTAGTAGTCGGTGACATGGTGCCATGTGCTGTCATTCATTACACAAAGCTGCGGTGGAACTCCCCAAGTTCTTGTGCATGGCAGTACCTAAGTCGCATTCCACTTTGCGGCCGCCGAGCGATTCAGATGTGCATGACATGAGGACTCGTGACAGCTTCCAAACGATTGAGTGTCATTCAGTGAGATTCGAGGACGACGGGGACTCAGGGAAAGCTAAAGATGCAGCTAAATCGCAAAGGCAAAGGCGAGGTGGACCGTCTTCGTTCGGGTAAGATCCGCCCGCTCGGCTCGGCTTCCGATCGGCGGACCCTCGAAAGGTGCCTTATCACGAGTGAATTCCACCGCTGGAAACGAAAAGATTTCGGCACTGGCTGTGAGCTTCAAGTCCGTTTTAAAGCCTTTGTACTTGAACTGTCTTGGGGCGGCATCGGAGCATTTCGGTAGGGAAAAGCGGCTAAGGGGGGACTGACTAATTTCAACGGTCACATCGTCCGACGCGAACAGCGATAACTTGTGAGCTAAGAACCTTGTTGCTCTGGCTCACGTCGCACACGTCACCTCATCCAAATCCTCTTCTCTATAAGTCGGATTCTTGATTACACACTTTAGCTTGAGATTTGGACTCATTCAACGTCCAGAGAATCAAGAACACTCCCTCTTATAATGAGATTCGATCCAAGACACAGCTACAATGACGACTGCAAATAAACGCCCACGCAGCGAGCCGCAATGGCTCAAGGCATGCGTCGATGTTCTCCAAGCGATAAAGCTGGTATGTCCAACTCACAAAATCATCCTCATTGCTAGAAGACGACCTGATAATGTGTACAGGCCGCGTCTCAATCGGCCCCGAAGCTCCTCAACTCATGGCTCTACGTGCCCTCGGGTATCATGGTCATGCTGGCTGCATGCTTCGGTGTCAGCGTCTTCTTCGACGCCGTCGGGGTCTCCTTCCCGGCCTCTGTGGCCTGTCTGATTCTGCTCTTCTTCGGGCTCTTGTTGTCGGAACTGGTGCTAGGGAACCACAAGACGAGAGCAATTGTCGCTGTCATTGATGTGCCGGTGAGTCCTTGCAAGGCGATCGGCGAACGTTGGAGTTATGATGCTGATGGTTCGTAGGCGGGGTGGTCTCTCCGTTGGATCAATATCTTTTTCACACCATCGTTCATCATGCTGCCATTGAGTCCCTCGATCGGTATCAAGGAGGTCATGAAGATCATCGCCGTCTTCAGTGAGCTCTTCTTCCCTTTCATCTAGTGCAGCATTAAGCTAATCGGCCGTAGTCATTGGATTCATCATGATGATGGCGCTGGCCGCATACCTCACCCGCGGCCTCCAACTCCTCCTTGGCTCATCCAAGCGCGCGATAACAGAACGCGCAGAGGAGATGGGCAACGAGACAGACGAAATCCCTCTCGCCGACACGCCCCCTCGAAGCGACTCCGTCCCGGGCTCCCGCACCATCTCCGCAGCTCCGTCCTCGTTATCGCTCAACACCCTCGCTCCGCCGCCGCCCTCGCAGAACGCGTCACACACCTTCCTCCCATCAGCAAACTCCCCCGACCGACCGACCGAGACCGGCGGCGATCTACCCTCGTCCCCGTCAACCCCGTCTCTTCCACGCCAAGAACCCGTCCCCATGCCACGCTCACAACTCTGGGCCGCTTGGATCTGCGGCCACCTAAACTGGGTCATTTACGCCTTCATCTTTGCCTTCGTCGGCATCCCCCTCTACTACGCAACCGGCTACGCCATGCCCCTCCACCTAAGCCTCATCCTCCTCGTCTACTTCGCCGCCATGTCCGTCCCCGCAAACTGGAGACAGTACCTCCACCCCGTCCTCCTCACCTCCCTCCTCTCCGTCCTCGGCATCTGGGCCCTCGCCGCCGTCAGGGGCACCGGCCTCTTCGAGACCCTCCGATCCTTCCGCACGGGGGCGAACTACACCTACCTCTGGCTCCACGCCAGCAACGCCAGCGGCCGCCTCCCCGGCGCCGGCGACATCTTCAGCACCGTCCTCGACGCGAGCATCGTCTCCCTCGCGCTGCCAATGTACCAGTACCGCCGCGAGCTGAAGCAGAACTTTGTCGCCATCGTCCTGCCCAACATCCTCATGTCCATCGGCTGCCTCTTTTCGTACCCCAAGATCTGCTACGCCATCGGCATCAGCGCAGAGCGGTCTCTCGCGTTTGCGTCGCGTAGTTTGACGCTCGCGCTGGCTCTCCCTGCAACGGAGAATCTCGGGGGCGATCTGAATACCGTGGCTGCGGTGGCCATCATGAGCGGCATCGTTGGTGTGCTGGTTGGCCAGCGCATGCTCGCTTGGCTGAGGGTACCCGAAGGTAAGGGGATTTGCGCAGTATGAAATGAAGAATGAACGGGAACGGCAGCTTACAAAGTTACAGATGACTACATCACCCGCGGCGTCACGCTGGGCGCCAACTCCTCAGCCATCGCCACCGCGCTCCTCCTCCGAACGGATCCCCGTGCCGCTGCGCTATCGAGCTTGTCAATGAGTTTATTCGGCACCATCACCGTCTTGTTCACATCCATTCCGCCCATTGCAAGCGTCATCAAGTCACTGGTAACGTGATCGTATGAAAAACCTATGGTCCGGAATCACAGGCAGGAGTCCACCACTCGAGCTCCCTCTAGGCCGAAATGCTAGGAGCCAACCGCCGCCAAAAGTCGCACCTCTCACCACGCCCGCCCTCCCAGGAATCAGCCGGCACAACCCTGATATCATTCACCTGTCCCGGAGCCATAAACTGCGTGACGCGCGTGCCCCACGACGTAACAAACTCATACGGCACCCCGCCCGTCTGGTTCAAGTTCAACTGCTTCTGCGCCTCCTCCGTCCAGACCGGCCACTGGCTCGCTCCATTCTCAGCAGCTGCCCCGCCTCCCGAAGCTCCGTTGGCAATCTCATCGCTGATGGAAGGGTCGTTGGCCGTGACGAAGTTACCCCAAATCTTGCGGAAGGCGAGAACAAGGTCCGGGCCCTGGTTCGGCGTCGCGGGGCCAAAGTAGCCTGGGATATCGGCCGTGTGCCAGGCGAAGGGTACAGAGTACTGGTAGTGCCAAGACGACTTTGGCGATGTGAAGGCGTCGGAGAGCCAGTAGCTTGGGCAGACGAACGTGGCTTCAGCGTAAATGTTCTGTTTTTTCCATTTTGCTTTTGTCAGGGCAAGGGGTCACACAGGCCGGGGGTGGGGGGGATGGCGCCTCTTACGTTGGCTCTCTGCTGTTGCCCGGTCCCTGACTGACTCACGTCGAGGGCCGTGAGACCCGTCAGCCCGTTTGTCTCGAAGCGGGTGTCGTTCGCCCCCGTCTTTGTCGGATGCGCGGCGAGGATCTCGTCGATTTGGCTCGAAGAGAGGTTGGGGAACTCGAGCTTGAGCCAGGATGTCAGATCCGAGACGCTGACAATGTTGGGCGGAGTGAGGAGGGGCCCTTCATTCGCATTGTGCTTGAAATCTCGTCAGTTGCCGGCCGAGAATCCAGTGAAGGGGGGATACTCACACCGACGAGCAGGCGCTCTCCGTTGACTTTCTTCTGCTTCATCTGCTCGGTGGGAAGGCTCTTGATGTAAACGCCGTCCGTCACCGGGTAGAACGCCCTAACGCCGCCCAGTCAGCCGCGTCCAGGAAGAAGAAAACTGCAACGTCATGAGACCCGTCCACATACCAAAACCCATACGGCTGTTCAAAAGTGGTATTGGCACTCGCCACCTGCAACGTCATGCTCTCTTTCCCGCGGAGACACTCGAGGACATCACCAGACGACAAACAGCCCGCCTTTTCAGCAAACGCCTGATACCGCGCAGTCGGAAACGCCGCGTCGTAGGCATAGTGGAACGGGAGGTACGGCGAGGCGGCGATTCCCTTAAGTTTTTTTTGATTCGAGGTTAGCGCCCTCCCATCTCACCGTCGGCGTTGAGCAGAGGCGAAAATGCAGCGAGCAGGAAACTTACATTATTGAAGAGAGTCGTCCCCAGACTTCCGTCCACGGCGAGGATGTGGTACATGACAGACCCGGCGCCCGCCGACTCCCCTGCAATCGTCACCTTGCGACGATCCCCGCCAAACTGGCCGATGAAGCGCTGCACCCAGCCGAGGGCAAAGGCCTGGTCAAGCAGTCCCGCGTTCACCACGCCTCGGGCTTTGACCTCTGCTGAGGAAAGGAACCCCAATGCGCCGAGCTTTGCGTCGTCAGTTTGGATTTCTCGCAAGCTTCAAGCCTAAACCTATTCCTCGTCTGCGATCAATGGTCCGGGAAGGGGGTCGAAAAAAAACAAGCCCATCAAGAAAGGGGGAGGAAAAAAACGACAGACATACGCGATACTGAATAACAACAGCCACGAAACCACCCCCATTCGCATTGATGATCTCCGACATGTCAATCCTTCCATCGCCGTACCCGTACCCACCGCCGTGGATGTACACCAGCACCGGCAAGTCCTCGGCAGCGGCGGCGGGGGCGTACACGTTTAGGAAGAGACAGTCCTCGTCGCCGGGGATGAAGGGGAGACCCGGCACGGCAGGGTAGTTTTGCGGACAGATTGGACCAAAGTCAGTCGCTGCCAGGACCCCAGCACCACCACCACCACCGCTCCCGGCAGTGTCGTTGGCCGACGGGAGGCGGGGAGCACGCCATCGCTGGGCGCCTGTCGGAGGAGCCGCGTAGCGGATCCTAGAGGTTGCGGCGGGTCTTGTCAGAGGCAACTCGCGCGTATATACACGGGGCGGTAACGTTGAATTGCCAGGGAGAAGGTCAGTCTTACCCTTTCCAGATGTTCAGGCCGCTGCTGGCGTTGGTGTAGCCTTCGTACTTGGCATACCCGAGGTCTACAGTCAGAGAGGTGGGCCGCTGTTGTCCTTGTCCACGGAGAGCATCGTCGAGACCCCGGGTGTCGGTTAGGAGACTATTCAAGAACGCGGCGGCGGCGTCCTGGTCTCTAGACGATCGGAAGGCGTTGGAGAGGCGAGATGTGAGAAGCCCCACGACGGCTAGAGTTAGGGTCCTGAAGAGGCGCATGGCTGTTGTTTTCCTTCGGTTTAAGCGAGCGTGGGGTTTCTGTTCGTGTCGAGCACGAAAAAGATTGTGGACCATGGACAAAATGGGAGAGAAGGGAAGCAGTATATAGGTACATGGGATGATGGCCTAGTAGCCCATCCGCGATTCTTTCCAATGTTCATATAAGCGGCAACGTGCCGTATGAGCTATTGGGGTTGACTAATATCGTGGCCGGGTGACCGGGGGTACACTCGTCTTGATCTGCTTTTAGAGTTCACCAAACTAGGCAGGACGCTAAGAAACCTGGTTGTTTATAGAATTCATTATGCGTAAATCCATACCCTCTTCCACAAGGTTGTTTTCCGCCATTGACATTCAAGAGCCGAGTCAATCGGTAGCGCAATCCCCCCCCTGTCTCTCAGGAGGAGAGTACTAGGCAGCGAACAGGGTACTCCAAGGGCATTTTTCGGACCGTGCCATGACTGATGCAAGTTTGTCTGCAGGACGGTGATGCGACGAACACCGGGGGGACCACCATCGCCGGGCATATCAGCGTCACATCGGTGCGTGGTCATGACCTCTCCGGAAAGGGGGGCGGGCTGGAGGGAAATCGAACTGCCAAGTCGTTGAGGTTGGAAGATGCCGAAGTCGTCGTATTCTCTACGAAAGACTTCTCCAATCTCCTAGTCGGCTGTTGTCTGTCTCCAGAAAGCTGGCGGTGGCAGGGACTATCTTACATCAAGCCATAAGTACGAAAACCAGACCTCCGCCAACAAAAAATCCTACGACATGAAAGGTCCAAATTTGTTACGCTACGGGAACGGGCCAGAAACAGAAACCAGAGAAACGGAGGCAAAATGACTCCGCCGGCGAACCTGCTGACTACTATATAACGCAAGTCCCTTAACGACCCAATCTATACCCTCTCTTACACATTAGAGTTTAAGCCAACTCAAACTCCACATAAAAATAAAGACCACAAAAAAAGACGGTACATTTCCAGAGCCTCCCTTCGTCCGAACTATACCAGCGGTCGGTTCTACCGCCGGGCCGAGGGGCGCGTTCTGCCGTAGATATACCACATCGTCGTCCCTCACCCACGAAAAAGGACGGCGACACAGGTCCCGCAGGCGCTAGCTAGTAATGATGCCACCGCCTGCACCCTCATCCCACGAAACCAAGCAACAAGTCCGCCAAAGCCGTCGGGTTTCGTCGTCGCTGCTGTCGGATTGATAGTAATAGTGGTAGTCCTCTTCTCCCGACATGCCTAGATGCCACCGCAAGACAAACCCCTCCTCGCCGGTACGCGGATCTCGCGAGTCCTACATCCACACAGAAAAGCCGGATCACAATGTCGTAGAATTCGTTCGTAGTCCGACAGGAAGTGCGGGCAAAACAGCTCAACCAGCCTTGATCCCTCTCACATGGTGAACACAGTGGCCATGTGTCAAGATTGGAGGGCTCGAAAAAGGCAAATACTAGACGATCTCACGACACGCAATTACCCAGCTACTCATTAAAGCCTTCAATCACGAAAAGAAGAAACACAACAATTCAAAATCAGATGCTCGCATTGTCTAAGTCAAACCTAAACCATCCATAATCCATCCGAACCAATTCCCATCCCAGCACAAAAAAGCCGTTCAAATCATGCAAGCGGAGTCTCGAGCCCGCAGTTTTTCATCCCAAAAGTATTTCCCAACGTCATGAACCGTACATGATCATCCGCATACCTCTTCTTCGCCTACTTGATTGAATAAGAAAAAGAAATGGGGTGCCTTATTTCCGCTCCTCAAAGTAGAACTTGCCAAGCTTGTCGCCACCACCCTGAGGGCTGCCAAGCGCGGCGTTGCCTACGCGCGCCTCGCCTCCATCAAGCCGCTCCCTGAGAAGACGCTCTGCGGTATCACGAGCTGTTGGTGTCGTGGCGGGGTTAGCTTGTGAAGATTGCTGGGGGAACTGGGAAGCAGGGACGGGTGGCTTGTTGGTGGTGTCGACGTACATTTCGTCGCTGGGTACACCGGCGCCGTCATTGGTCGTACCATCCATCATCCGCGCATCCCGTCGTTCCTGCATGGCGGCGGCGCTGGTCGGGGTGTCACCACCCATCGTGACGTCGCGGGCCCGCTGCGTCGGCAGGCCATCACTGAGGCCAGAAGCGCTTCGCTCCAGGCCCCAGATACCGGCCTGGCCAGCGACTCCGGGAATGGGTCGACGCTGATAGATGGGACCGGACACGGTACTGTTGGCGCCCTCGCCAAAGCCAACAAGGCTGGCGGAACCGTCGTCGCTCATGCGGTCGTCGTAGCCTCCGGTGGACCCTGCCGTCTGGTCCTCGTCCATCCGTTCGGGCTCGGCGCCCATGCTGGTAACCGAGCCGGCCTCGCGGTAGTTGGTATCCATGCTGAACATGTCCTCGTCCTGCTCGCCGGGTGCGGTGCGCGTCTCGTTTTCGTCGCCAACATAGCTCTCGGTTGCGCTAGCGGTACCGACGGTGCTCATCTTGGTGACAGCGGTAGGCTGGCCATGGGCGTCAAAGTATGCGGGCGTGAGGTGCGTGTTGGGCGGGTAGTTGGCAGGGAAGCCGGTAGAGGTAGGGGTCGTCTGGGGAGAGATGGAGGAGCCGGCATTCTGCTGGTGCGGCGGGGCGCGCAAGGTCGAGACTCTCTCTAGACCGGCGAGGCGGGAGATGCGGTCGGCGCGCTCGGCTTCGAGGCTCGTTGTGGAGGGGTGGTGAGCGTGGCCGCGGGCACCGGCAGGACCCTGGGGAAAATGGCCTCGGTGACCATCTTTAATAGCGGTGGTAGAGAGGGCAGAGAGGGAGGTCGTAGCGCTCGTGGGGGTGCCGCTGGGTCGGGAGATGTTAGCTTGGATACCAAGTGGGAAAGGAAGGACGAGGCAGCGTACGGCATCTCCGAGGGAGTATCCGGGTTGGAGTTTGGAGGAGGAAGGTTGATGAAAGTGGGACGCGGTGCTTGCGCCATGACTGCTAGAATTGGCGTTGGTATCTAGAACGAGGCCGATGGGTGTCGATGAAGTCGATAGCGAAAGCCGTCGACGGAGGAATTGCGTCGATGTTTGGGCAGCGACGAGGTCGCAACCTGGTGCTTGTGGGCGGGTAAATGCGCCGAGGGCAAGAGGCAAGTTGGACGGGGGTGCTGGCGCTGGCGCTTCTTTGCAGAAGGTAGTTCAACGGCGCGAGCTATCAGGTATCGTGGTCAGATTGATAGACAACCTAGGGGACGATTGGGTAGAGCTAGGCGACGGAGGTGTAGTGATGTTGGGCACGAGTGTTAAAACGGTGTCGCAAAGGGAGCATCAACTCGCATATTGTTCCTAATCGTGGTGCGAAGATGGAAAGGGGACGAGGTGTGACGGGAGTGTGCAAGAGCCGAGTGAAGAAAAGCCAAGCAGCTGGATGTTGGCCGTTCGCGTCAGACAGGGAGGCAGAGAGGCAGGTCCCCTGAAGTCATGAAAGTGAAGCGTCCTACCTGAGCCCAGGTATCCGTACCGAATGGGAAAGCAGGGCAAGCGCTGGTTTGTGGGTGGGTACCTTCTCCAAGGAGCTTAGGTAGAAGGTGGCAGCACGCGGGACGCAGAGCAGAGCAGAGTACCTTTAGGTAGGAGCAGGAGCAATGCGTGGGCTGGCGGGGGAGGGGAACAGCACGCAGCGGGGGCAGACGACGGGGACGGGGACGGGAACGGGGGACGGTGACGGAGTGTCGGGTGGCCAGAGCAGCGCAAGAGCACAGGGCATGACGTAAGGTAGACCCCGGTGTCCTGGTGCGGTGGTGCGCCCCGCTTACATCACCAGATGCAAAGGCGTCCGACGTGCTACGATTGGCTGGCACAATAATGGCTGTAATGGTCGTGATTGGCCCCCTTCTTGGGCCCTTGGGCACTAAGGTAAGTGAGGACGGACCCCTGATTGCTTCTCCTCGCCATCCCTGCATTCCCCTCCCGCTACCTACCTCATGGTACCTGACGTGGGCTTGTTCCGTACAGTAAGACTCCCATTTCCCATTTGGCTAAGCCATATGCAATGATGGCATTTCAATTTCCAAGGGAACAGACATGTGCCAATGCACATGCAATGTAGAATGACCCAAGTCTTTGCCTCGAGAGGTAACCCAACACTCCCATCCGCCAACACGCTGCACTCTGTCCGTCTCACTCTGTCCGTCTCACTCTGTCCGTCTCCCCACGAACCACCACCAAACAGTGGAAACGACCTTCAGAATACCCCCGGCGCAAAATCAGTCACCCGCGTCTTGAGAATAGCCGAACCAACCTGCTTTTTGAAAGCCTGATGCACAGGGTCGTTGGCGAGGTAATAATCGCGGTCCTGGATGCTCTCAAACTCGGCAACAAAGACGTGTGTGATACCGTCCTGCAAGCCCTCGGGGCTACAATCGAGTCCGCCGACAAGAGACTTGATGTACGCCTTGTTGGACGTCGGGTGAATGCAATTGTCTTTGAGAGCCAACATACTCTCACACAGCTGTTTTGGCGTTAGCCCTGTCTTTGTCTTTTCTCTCTCTCTCTCTCTCTCTCTCTCTCTTTCCCACCCCACCAGGCGTGGACAAACGTACCGTCTTCACCTCCTCCGCCGGAACAAGCTCCTTGAATTGAAACTGGACAACGTGGATAATACTCATTTTCGATACGCAAGAGTGGAGTAGGGGGGGAAAAGAGTCGTGGTCAAGATAAGGTAGAGTTGAGCGACCTGTGTTGTTGATCAGTGTTTTGAGTTCGTCTGCTTGCAAGTTGCCACCCTCTCCCGGACGTCCAGTCCCTCTCCTCTCTGTTTAACGCGCGGGCGGATCAAGGTGCGGAACGGCGGGGCATCGCCATCTCACCCCTCATCGTCCTGTCCTGTCCTGATGCGGGGAGGCTTCGGCCAATCACACATGCACAACAGCACCGCTGCTCCCTCTTCGTTTGACCAACACCACGTCTACTGGCATATTTATTCTGTGCACGGGTCTTGAGTTCAATGTCTATCCTTCCTTTGCATATCATTCTCTTGTATCCAAGTGGGACAGACGGTGGATGTACCAACTTGTCAGAACGACCAGTACAAGACGGTCGAACTGGTCAACTACCGTAGTAGGACGCAAGGCTGATGTACCGCGCAGAGAACCATCTTGAGAAATATCACATGCCATCCACAAAAAACATGTTGGTAATGCTGTATTTTCACTAAGCGCTACGTACGATTCCACTCATTGTGATATTCTATCCCTCCGGGTTACAACCCCATCCCCATCATCATCATCATCATCACCATCGTCATGAAATAGTCACACATCCAAGAATCAGTCACCAGAATGATGATCATTCTTCTATAGACATTCTACTCCCATCATCTAAGCCCCCCCCTCCCCCACCCACCCCCCCCACCCCCCACCCCCTGCCACCCCCCCTGGCGCACCCCGCCCGCAGCGAGTGACCCCAGTGAGCCGC